GTGCTCCATCCCACTGGCCACTTCAGATTCGAAGGTTGAGCATGTGAGGCAACCGGGAGCAAAATTACCTTACAGATTGTTACATGCATGATATCTGGTTACCGTCATGATTGTTGCGCACATGTGCAGAGAGGGACAAGTGAGTGACTAATATTAGTTGCGTAGAGCGCATGGATGTGCAACGCCTTGTAGTGAGGCAGACTTGGTCACAACCTACTACAGTCCTCATTGCAATATCAAATTTAGGACATAAAAAAAATTGATGCTACATTTGCGTCATGCTCACACGCCAATTCTGACTAAGCTTGAAACTGACTTAGCTTGAAAGTGCAAAGATCACATTGCAAGTCACTCTCCAGCCGCCGGTGGGCGCCTCAGAAAGCGAAGGCACCTCTCGGGAACTGCCACCATCTGATTGCCCCCAATTGCTTCCAAGGGTGTTCTGCCTGCTCTGACTTCATCTGTGTCGCTCAACCATGCCTTCTGGTGTCCAGCCCCAGTTGCGTCTGTGATGGTGAGCCCGCAAATAACACCAAACCCCTCAAGCTCAGCACCGTGGAACCGTGTGCCAGGCCCAATATGCACCACCTCTGCCGTCCCCACTATCCTCCTGTCATCTGTTAGGACATAGACTGTGTCATCTGGCAGAATCTGCACGTCACTGTGCGCGCTCGAATGGCCTCTGGCTTGCGGCGAGGGGTTCAGCTGACATGCCAGCCCTGCGATGACACCCATTGCAGCTTCCATGTTGATCCCAGGGGAGGAAACTTCCAGGGACGGTCGACCTGCGCGCACCAACACACAGCTGCTTACAATCCGCGATTATTACCGCATTCAAGCAATATCTTCCCTAGTGTCTTGCTAGGATGTCAAGCTCAAATTTATTCCTGTTGTTAGTATTACCCAGATGACCCTTAGGTGCGGCACTCTACCACATCATATGTAGCAGGGTGCGTGAGTGACAGGCATGACTCAGGCAAAGGGGCAAGCACAGCATGTGGAGCAGGGTGCGTGAAAGACAGGCATGGCTCAGGCAAAGGGGCAAGCAGACACTTCAGCATTGAGAGACAAGACATGAACAAATCAACTACACCAGCGTATGAGAGCAGTCAGTTGACAAGTTCACAGGAATGACAGAGCAGGATTTTGTACATGCCTGCTGGGCCATCTGCAGAGCGGTAGGAGGAAGCTGGCTCCTCATCGGCAGCGAGCTCCAGAGCAGGATCAAAGAAGACCATGGCGCCAGACAGCGGTGACTGCTCCAAGGCTGACTGCGACTGCTCCGCTGCCGTAGCACTCCCACCTAGACAACACATGCCTGTCGTCAGCTTATTGCTGACAATTACCTGTCGATAAACCTTCGGGGTATGATTCGCATGGCATTATAACTTAGAAACTCACTGTGAGTGGAATCATATAAGCCAGGACAAAGAGAGCCATGATGGCTCCTCACCTTCTCCGGCGCGCGCCGCATTCTGCTCCTCAGCCAGCAACATTGCCAGCGCCACACCAGTTGCAGCCTCTTCGACGTTCATGGGCGAGCTCCCGGCAGCGCCTCCGAGAGCCACCTTCAGCCGTTTTGGATGACAGAGGGCCGCTGCAATGTGCCGGTAGTCGATCACCAGCACAGCCATTTTGGCCGGCGATGCGGCATGCCCCTGCATGCTCAGCCGCACGTTGGGGACTGGCACAGGCTGCGGCGACTCATCTGCCAGCAAGCAGCCGTGCAACGGCGACTGGCTCGCACAAGCTGTGGGCTGCGGCGGCACTTCGCTGGCCTCAGGCAGGACACCCTCTGCCTGCCCTTCTGGCTCTGCTGGGTCACTGTGCTGCTGCGCTGGCTGGTCATCCGCATCTGACTCAGAGAAGAGGTTCCCAACCTCGTCTTCGTCGCCCTCAGTGGGGGGACCCCAAAACTCTGCGGCTCTGGCGGTTGGGCGCCTGAGCCTGCCTCGGCTGCCCCTTCTGGGCCGATTGCTGCCACGCGCCCCGCCTGTGCCGCGGCGGCCACGCTTCCTGCCCCGACCCCGCCCATGCCCTTCCTGCACGCCCCCACCGGTGGCTGCCTCTCCTGCACCCCGTCCCTCCACATCTGCGCGTGCCCCACCGCCTTCCCCTGCCACCGCTGCCTCGGGCTCCCCCTGGCTATCTGTCTGCACGCGCGCCTCGAGGAACCATATCTCCATATGCAGCTGGGTGCCATCGCTGCCTGGCTGCACAGCGCGCACCAAACCAACAGGAGCCTTGGCAGCACGACCCAACTGGGACAAGTTGCGTGCTGGGAACTCCCCGTCGCGGTGCAGCGTGCTTGTGACGGCCCAGAGAGCGACACCAATCGAGGGAGTGCTCTCCCCCAACTGCGGCAGGTAGTGGCACTTGTCGAAGGTCCAGAGCAACTCGTCAATCTGCTTGAGTTTGACCACGGGCAGGCCGCTGCTCACTCCTGCAAACATGTGAGCGCCTCAATTGACTGGCTATCATTCCCTTCCATCAAATCTGCAGAAGTTAAAGCCTTCTCGGGTGTGCAACAGTCACCAGGTGATCAGAGCTTCCAGCTGAGAGCGCCCACTCACCCTTGTTAACAATGGACTTGGCCGCTTCCATCTGAAGCTGTGACTTCTTCGGCGCCTGTAACAACAATAACTTACAATCAGTGTGTTCAGCCAAACTCGCTTTCACTGCACCAGCAGCTTGACAGATGAGAGGCGTTCACAAAGCACATGCAAACATAAGGATCCTCAACAAGATGCCCACCTTCTGCCTTGCTGGTCTTTGCCGTGCCGGTTGGGCTGCGGCCTCAACAGCGGCTGTGATCTCTTCAACCGCCGCCGCACTCGGCTCCAGTCCACCTGCATGACAGCATCCATTAGCTGCCAGCGCATAAGATGTCCAGAGGAAATGGTGAGGACATGTTATTAATTTGCCAGGCATAAGATGTGTAGGCGCTGATCGTTACAGCCATCATGGATAGCTACCTTCTGGATGCTCAAATCTAAGCAGCCCTTCCACCCTGGCGAGCAGCGCGCTTCTGGTGAAGATCACTGGCCGCTGGCCTCTGTCAAGCAGGAACCGCTTCAGCTCTGCAACGGTGGATGAGGCCTTGAGGCTGAACGCAAGCCACCGTTGGACGATGTCCTGCTCGGCTCCCTGAGCGCTGAGCTGCCTGCGGCTGATCCCTGGCTGTGGCGCTTGCGAAGGTCCTGCAGCTTCTGCCTCTGGGGCTGCGGGACCCTGCATGCCGCCTGCTGCAGCTGTGGCGCCCCTCTGCGCCTGTCCTTGGGCTGTCTGGCCTGCCTGAAGTCCACTGGCCTGGAGATACGAGGCTGCCATCACTGTCCTGTTCAGGTTGGGCACTGCTGCCAGCAATCTGCTGGCGCTCTTGCTGAAGCTGACTTTCTGATTGAGGTGTCTCGTTGCAAAGATGGCGGTCGAAGTCGTCCCATTGTCTTCGAGGCGAGCCTGCTGACCACCAATGATGCCTCGAATCTTGCTTGATCGCCTATCGGCTCTCTTCCTCTCCAAGTCGCCGGTCTCTGCCTCTGAACGCAACGCAAAAGTCAGAGTTAGTTACTCTGTGTCAAGGTCATGGGGAGATTCAAAACATAGGTGTTCCCAACCTTCAAAGATGGAGTGCTTATTGAGACCTACCAATCACTCCTTGATGCATGATAAAATTCAACTTATCCTCATTGAGATCCTTGCCCCTGGTTTGGGCTGCAATGACGCAGTCCTCACAGCATTTGTGGGTAATATTTCTGAGCTCTGGATACTTTTCGCTCTCAATCTTCCCGCGAATAGAATAGTAGCCATTAGCTCTGGACAATGCTGAAGGTTCATCTCGGCCAAGGCAGCTCTGATGGAAATATCTGACCCCTGAGTCCACGGCATTGCAACGTTGCAATGGCACCCTTGCCTCTTGTTTGAAGACCCAGTCGGCAACAGCGTCGTGGCCGTATTCGTCCTTTGTCAGACCTTCTGAATAGAATCTGATAATATAATCACAACCTACACAGCGAGTCAAGCGTTCTGAACTTGCGCAGTTCGGATGAAGCTTCTCCTTGTCACTGCCACACTTGTAACACGGGATCCTAGCAATAATAAGTGACATGCTCGGTACAGAAACACATCACTGATCATTCTCCATGCTTACTGACGAAAGGCCTAATTTTTATTACCAAAATGGCATGCTATGGAATGTGTTACCAGGTGGCATGGCCCCTGATTGCCAATAATCCACCACATTAGTAGCGTTTACATCCACTAAAGTAGTGGATTTTGATTACTCGGGTGCCCTGCACCAGGAGTCAACGTGGCAGTTGGGGTGTCCGGAACCCAACCTGCGCTTCTCTTGGAGACAACGAGAACTCAGCTTCAAAGACAAAAGACAAGAATTCTGTTTTTCTCATCAATTCTGATCTGAGGGGCTCCTTATCCTGGTGAGGACGGCTGCGCACGAGGCACTGCCTGACCAGAAAGCGACGAGGCCCTGAAGGTGCATCTCGTGCAAAGAAAACATTAGTCACACATGTTCAGACTCAAAATATCACCTAGGAGTTGTGTCCCAATCAATCCTTCCAACTTGTAGTCCTCGAATCTTGTGGGACTGTCTTCAGCAGATCCTTGGCGCGGTTTACACTGACAGCAGCTCACAGCGCACTTTGACAGAGATTGCCTTTTCTGAGAAATGTCGAGCAAATTATCTTTCCTCCTTTCTGATTCGTTTGCTGGTTTGTGAAGTAAGCAGGAAGTGCGGGCATGGGGAGCTGCCTATCTGCGCCGGTCCATGATACCACAAAAGATTTCAGGTAATGAATGACCCATTTATTCTCACAATGCTTAGATTTATATTGGTTTTGTGGTGAAAGTGGTGTCCTGGAACGCCTGTGCCAAGTTTGTGCGTCCTAGGGTTGCTTAAGGTGCCTTTTCGCAGGACGTACAATCTCACCCCACCATGGGCGCTCGTGGGCGTTGGCAAGCAGCTTTACAGATTCACGTTTTGGATGCAAGACACGATAATACCGCCACCTTTGCGGATCGCCGACCTCGCCTTCACGTCCTTCACGACCTCCCATGTCCTACTGACGCTCTGCCAACTGAGCATCCCAGACTTCCTGGCCACCGGGCCTCAGACAGCCTTGGCCCTCAGCCAAAAGTTGGGTGCGTGACCGTTGCCTTACTGGTCCTTAATCCCAACAGTACTGATAATAGGGGGGCAAATATGCTTGACCAGCCCAACTTCTTGCGCAGCTGCCGTTCCTTACTAAGCTCCTTACTGCTTTCACACATTGAAAGAATATGATGCCGCATGGACATAACTGACCTGCACTCCTATGGGCACACAATTCCAGCTTAAAGACCTGCTTACAATCTGTTTGAGTTAGCTTCAGTGTTTGAAGAGGTATTGACTATAAGAACTTACTTTCTGTGACGCTTCGACTGCCTTCCCACCTGAAAAAGTGCTTGCTACCGGCAAGCGAGACCACCTGTCTAGCAAGCTCAGAAGAGACTGCTTCGAGCGGTGAATTCAGATTCAATGTCCAATTTCATGCATGCGCAGGCACGGACCCGGACCGCCTGTTCCGGCTGCTGCGATTCGCGGGGGTGCACGGGTTACTAACCATGCGCAGCGCGGGCGGGAAAAAAGGTTCTTGGACGCCGGAGGGAACGCTGTTCAAGAACAACGCGCTCAGCTCCATGCTGTGCGACGACCACCCGCAGAGCCAGCGCCACATGGTGCGCATATTTGTGGCCTGCCACTCATGCATGCACATGCATCGCCATTTGAAATATCACCTGTATGGATGCCGAATTAAGGCCTGCATTTGCTGCTACCTGCTCCTTCAACACGCCCAGAGAACTGGCTGTGAAGTCCTGCACTCAGTACAATCTGTATTTAGCGCACCCTCCTTGCACAGTGTCTCTGGTGGCCCGGATAGTCATCACTTGCAGCCACACCCACATGGCAGCTGTGCTGTGATGTCCTGCACATGATTGGAAATATGATCACCGTGCCTCTTTGGACTGAGGGCTTGTTTAAAACGCGCAATGTTCCGCTACAGAGGCTGTGTAGACAGAACAGCATCTGACAGCAGTTTTGTTCGTGAGGTTCCACTTCAAGTACATGTCTTCTGATAGTCTGCCTTCCTCCCTTCCCTGCAGGTCCTTTGCCTGCTGGTACATGTCTGTTGACGCAAGCAGAGTGTCAACTCAAATCCTGCAGGTGCTGTGCCTGCTCGGCAACGAAGGCACCGGCAGGCCCAAAATTCTGCTCAAGCTGCCTTGAAACTGCTGGGCAGGGGCGCTCTGATTGATGCTCACTTTTATGAATTTGTACACCGATTCTCTCCCCTCGCAGGCTGCAGGTGCTGTGCCTGCTGGGCAAGGACAGCCGCAAGCTCTGTTTAAGCATTCTTCGAGCAGTCTTCTTACTGTGATTCTCGCACATGCTTACGTCTAACAACACTCTCCCCTCGCATGCTGCAGGTGCTGTGCCTGCTGGGCAAGGACAGGCTGGCGGCGGCCTGGGATGAGCTGGAATGGGCGGTGCGTACAGAGGGCGGAGATGCAATGAAACGCGCGTATGGGCGAGGAGTCTGGGAGCATCTTGAAAAGAGCGACGGCCTCGAGGATCTTTTCTCGCGCGCCATGGCCGACCTGGACCATTCCTGTGCGCTGCCTCCTCTATTTTTCAGAAAAAGTGGGATTTGTTAGCCTTTTTGAAATTCAGCGATGGCCCTGGGAACCTGATCTCGCGTGCCTGGCCTGCCCTGGACCATTCGTGTGCGTCAACCTCTTGTAGTTGGAAATCTTAAAATCCCAATCTTGAATCGATGGGATCTTGATTGGGACGGCTGGATTGAGGGCTGCTTCACCTCAGTACAGAAGATCTTTTCAACATCTGTACTGGCGTCGAATGCCTCAAAAATCCAAAATACCCAAGTGCTTCATTGAGGCCATAACAGGCCACCGGTGGTCTGTGCAGGCAGAACCGCCGCCGATTGAAGAATTTTGTGAAAATAGCAATACCGCACATGGCACTTGGCAGACCAGAGTTTGTGCGGCTGTATGGGCTGCAAAAACAGAAATTGCTACGCTGATGAGGGGCCATGGTGAATTACTCATTCTACATTTATTAATGATGCATATGTTGTGCTGGCCTGTGCAGGTGCAACCACCGTGTTGAAAGACTACGACTGGCGCCGATTTGACCGGTACATTGACATCGGGGGAGCATATGGGTCATTCCTTGCGAGCCTCTTGGGCCGCCACCCTGCGGCCAAGGGAGTGCTCTTTGACCAGCTGCAGGTATGCCAATCTCTACGGACAGCGTCTAACAAAAAAATAACAGGAAAAAAATAGTCTAATAAAAAAAAAAACTTTATTGAGCCGTGGGCGTTTTGTGGTAACGTGACAGTTTGCAATGCTGGCATAGTGCTGCAGTTGCCACAAAGAAGCTTGTATGAAAATAGGTGTAACATCGTGGTTTAGACAAGCAAAGGCACCTTGTATTCGCTGGTGCAGTGTCATTGTCATCTCATGTACGATTATATCTGTAGCTGGCATGTGTATGGCACAGGTGGTTGAGAGAGCAGAGGGCGACTGGCTGCGTCACCCAGAGCGGAAGCTGCTGGCAGACAGGACAGCCTTCACCAGCGGGGACTTCTTCAAGCCAGGTCCGCTGCAGACCCTTCTCCTCAACACACTTTTCAAGGGCATGTTAGCCCTTGGCTAATGGCCTGGCTTGTCTAAAACTTGAGAGCCCCAACAGTACACTTGGGGCTTGCTCTGCGGCAAGCCCCCGAGCAATGGGTAGATTTTCAAGGGCGTGGGAGTTTTTCCTTTCTTGAAATTAATTGTGAGCCTTCCCTGCTGATGTTTTGCATATCAGCGCAGCGGATTGGTGTCTGCACTTTGCAGACGTGACTTTGAGCGCGAAGCAGGCCTGTGCTGAGCGGCTCAAAAGACAAGTGGAGGGACGCTGCATGGAATGTGCTGCATAAATCTGTCTGAGAAGCTGCACTAGAGCGCCCAGCTTCTCCGTCTGCGTTTTCAATTGTGGCAGAGCCTGCACGGCTCAAAAACTGCTCCTTGCAATCTCAACTCACTGGTCTCTTATCATGCTCTGAGGGTGCGCCAGCAAAGCAATGAACGTCCAGCCTTGACGGGTGTTTCAATTTGAACGCAGAGACGCTGCCGCGTGCGGAGGGCCCTGGGGATGTGTACGTGCTGCGCCAAGTCTGCCACGACTGGAGCGACGATGACACGCTGGCGATTCTGCGGAGCGTGCGAAGCGCGATGGGATCACACCAGTGCACGCTGGCACTCGTCGAGGTGAGATTCAAATTATCAATTAAATTCGGAAAAAATGAATGCAGGTGGCAGACATGGGTCTCTTGGGGTCCTCAGCGGTGCTTCTGGCGATGCATGCTTGGGGTCATCACATCAAGAACATGTCTCAATGCAGCTGTCAAAATGGTGCGTGCATGCTGAGACGCAGGCCTGTCGCATACTCCCCCCCTTTGTCCTCTGTGTGCGCATGCAACGCTGCTCAAGTGGCCTCCCATCAATGAGCAACCCATCAACTAGACACTCACCAGTCATTGCAGCGTGCTTTCCACACAGACCTTGCCAATGCGAGCTGCCCAGGGGCCTGAACCTTCAACGACAAATTTTCCTTCCCAGAAAGAAGAAAGGAAGGAAGACAATAGCACATCAATTCCAGCCAAATTGGTGGAATCAAGGGTTGTCCATGGGGCGTATCTCACGTGAAATTCCAGGATATTGCACAAAATGTACGGCAGAGATGTACAATGCATGATTTCTCCCTCGGCAGTTGATGATCAAGCCGACCCGGCAGGCCACCGTCTGGATATTTTGTAAGTCGACTATATAACTCCTGTGCAGCTGAGATCTCACGTCATCAGTATGTGTGCCGAGCAGGCGACCCTGCAGGCTACCTCCTGGACATTTCATAACTCGCCTGCAATAATTCCCCCTACACACTGGTGCTGACATACATCATCGCCATATGTGCTGCGCAGGCGGTGATCAAGCCGACGCAGCAGGCGACGGCGGACCCGTACAATCGCGCGCGGGCAGCCAGCGACCTGCACATGATGCTCATGTTCGGCTCCCGCGAGCGCGACGCCGAGCAGTGGCGTTCCCTGCTGGCCGCCGCCGGCTTCTCTCTCGGCCGCATTGTCCCGACCCGCTCCATGTTCTCGATTGTCGAGGCCACCCCCGTGCCAGTGACTGTGTAGAAAAAATTGAGCAAAAAAGATGCAGACTGCAAGCTGGCATTGAACCGGTGACGCGTGCATGCCGGGCGCTGGATTTGTGCTTGACCGCGTCATGCCAAACCTTTCTGTGCTTTCCATAGTGGAAGCCACCCCGGTGCCTGCCGAAAATTAGGGAAAATGGATCAGAAAAGAAATATCTGCAAGCTGGGATTGAACCGGTGATCCGCAATCGCCGCTGCAGGGTTCGCGCTCGGGCGCACATTGCCCATGTTCTCCATCGTAGGAGCCACGCCGGTGCCGGCCGCTGTATAAACAAGCATTTTACCCTTTGGTGCTTTTAAATCCCCCTTAATGTGCAATTGATGGACTAAGTTGGGCAACTTTTACCATAGCATTTGATCCCCCGCTTAGAATGCTGCTGCCCTGACCGATGCCTCAAACTGAGGTGAACATTGAGGGCATGGCTGAAGGATTTCATCAGTGCAAATTGTGATTTTTGCATTCTGGTATTAAACTCGTGGTTTAAATGAAAAATTCATTCCCAGGCGGGAGTTTCCAGCACATTCCTAAGGAAATGATTTCTGGGCTGCTGCTATGTAGAATTAAATGGTAGGGTGGGGGTTTGGGGTTTAGGGTTTCTGGACTAGGGTTTAGGGGTTCCCGCGTAGCGGCAGCGAGTTATTCAACATGCATGTGGGTGTTTGTGCTTGGGAAATCACAGGGTGATGTGTCGTACACCCTGGTACACTGTGCATTCTCATCCCGGTTGGATTCTGCTGATCATTAATTTTCTATGGGACTGAGATTTGCGGTCAATCAACTTGCAGTTGGCTGACCAAATTTGCTGCAGAAACCCAGCTTGTGTTCTCGTTTGAACTTGTGCATAGTTTAATTGCTTTACCGCAGCATGCTTTCGCAAGATTATTAGGGCAGCTTACAAGGGCTGCAGCTGCCGCGCTGTGCCCACTGGCATCAGCGCATATATTATATAATATTCCTTTTGAAATTTGAACGCGGACTTTATATCTAGCTGGGAATTATTTTGGGGAGTCGGCCGAGCACCATGCAATCGGGTGTAGCTGCTGCATGGTTGCAGGAAATCAGATGGCTTTTGGTGTCGCAAACCAAGCTTTAAAATGGACTTCAAACGCGTTAGTTGTTGACTTATTGGGCACAGCACGATGGCTGGTACTGGTCTATTCATGGGTGTACTTTGATACTGAAGCCGTGATTGAAAGCAACCTTAGTGACTGCACATGCAGCATTGCAGTCTATGTAGTACTCTATGTATATAGCATGTGGGGCGCGGTGCAGGAACATTTGTAAGACTTGATATTATTACAACGCACTACAAAAGTGGAGTCTGGCAGTCCACACAACAAGGTGGAGGCATGTCAGAATTACCAACCTAGAGATGCAGTGTGCAACACGTCAACAAACTGCAAGATACATTTCCCATCACTCCATCAGTCAAAGTACCCGCATTTCAACCTCCGCTTTGTCGACAATTACGGATACCATATGTGACATCAGCCCTGAGAGCAACAACTCAAAGCCTACCAGCCGAGTGTGGCCTGAAGGCAGACCTTCTCACAACACATATACCAATAAACCAACAACGCATGCCTTACTACAAATTGCTTGGGACTTGCAATGAACCGCACAGTCACAACCCTCTTCAGTGATTGTGCTGTACCGGCATTTCCTTTGATGGCATGTCATCCTGAAAATCATGAAGGCAGTCCAATCTCAACGCTCACAGCCTCAGTCAATGTGGTCCAAATTGGACCGTCCAATGGTACAGATTATCCAACCTGGCACAAGGAAGTGCAGCACACACAGAGCCCATCCGTCAATGAACAGAGCACGAGCTGTCTTGGCAGACATGCGTTCTGTGAAGGGCTCATCCGGTAATCGAGCACAGCAGTTCGATACATGTGCGCAGTTGCAGCATGTGCGCAATTGCAGCGTAACCAACTCCCACAGAGCAAGCCTTCTGCCGGTGATATTTGGCAGACTCACATTTGCAGCGCCCAGAGGTTTTCAGCTGAGCCTTGTCATATATTATGTGGTCCTGTGTCCAGGAACTGCGGCAGATGCATGGAAGCTGCGCGCCTGCCCGCTGCGGGTAGGTTCGGGCAGCTTCTTACAGCTCCAGAGTTCCAACCACGCCGCCATACTGCGAAGTCACATCGTCCTGCTTGAACCCCGCCTGCAACCAATCCTTTAAATGTCAGTCCCCAATCAGTAGATGAACAAAATCTGAAATCATCAGACTGTCATTGCACGGCTGGCAGCACAAGAGCAGGAAAGCATGGACTTGCCCCACGGATGATCCTATGTGCCCCCAGCAACATGCACTTGTGGGACACACGCCAACAAACTCGCACAGGTTTGCGTCCTGCCAGTGCATACCAGGTGTTGATGACTCACGATGAGTCACCAGGTGAGTCAGCGGGTGACTCACCTCCTCATCGCTGTTGTAGGCGCCAGTGCTCTGCTCGTTGGCGCTGGAATTGGCGGCCGCACGCGATCGGCCGCGGCAGGCAAAGTAGAGGATGCGCTTGAGCTTGCGGTTGTAGAAGAAGAAGTTGAACGACCACACGTTGCCCACCTCGCCTGCGCCGCGCCAGAAAGAAAAGCAACCTCAGCACTCTGACTGACCACAGGCGCGGCTCTGCCACACTCTGCAATTCTTTGGCTCCCATTGGCCTCAAGAAACACTATGGGGCCGAAGAGTGCCTCATAAGAGGCTCCAGCAACACTCAAGAAGCCTCCCTCAGCCCCAGACTTTTCAATGGGCCTGGTGGGAGCCAAGCAATGGCAAGCAGGACCTGCGCAATAAGGTGGTGCACTTGCAAAATGGGGGGGCTCGTCTACTTGTCTGCATGCAATTCCTAGCACATGCAGCACCTGATACTGCCCGTGATATTCCCTTCACACTGCTGCCCATGCGCAGCAAATCCGGGAATTGAGCCAAGAGAAGGTGCGTATGGTAGGGGTCTGTCTCAGAGTCTCCTGCCTCTTTGCAGGACCTTACACAGTGCCCGAGTTCCCTGCCTCCCTACAGCGTCCAAAGCACAATCCGAGTCCCCTGTTCGGGACCCCACAGTCTTTCCGGCACGTGACTCCGAAGTGCTAGTCTAAGCAACGTGGCTCAACAGTGGGGGGCGCGCACCGATGGGGTCGGTCCCCTCCTCGCTCTTGTAGGACTACCATTGTTCTACACTAGCCCTGGATGAGATTTGAAAGGGGTGTCGACTTAATACTCAGTCCCCTTGAAAGAAGGCCCAAAGGGTGCGCGCACCGAATGGGTCGGTTTCGCCGTCGCTCTTGTAGGAGTAGACGTCGCAGTCCTGCAGCGCCAGTGCCTCGTCTATGGCCGTCCACACGCTGTCCAAAAAAGGCGCCTCCCCACACCCGGGAGTGTTCTCCCACACCTGCAGCCATGCAGCAGCCGTGCGTGAGCTGAGAACGCACAAGTCAGTCAGCTGAACGCTTTCTTGGCCGAGAGTCTTGTCAGCCATGCAGCTTCTCAGCTGATAGTGCTGATGACGGACGGGCAGCTTGTGAGTTGACAGTGTTCGAGTTCAGCCATATGAGTAACTTGTGGGCTGAACAATGTACAAGTCCAGGTGGTGGCTCATGATGTACAAAGTGCAGGTTGTGGGCTAACGCTGCACAGAGTCAAGTCAGCCAGGCAGCTTGTGGGCTGACAGTACAGAAGTCCAACCCTCTGAGGAATCTAAATTTGCTCATCTTTATCCCTCTATGCACTGTGTCGTCTCATAAGCCCTTCAGGCACTCCATGTGACTGCTGCAAATAAGCTACCTGCCCCGCATGTCCAGTGCAGATCAGGGTAGCGGTGGCCCTTAGCGCGCGCCTTGCATGTAGCTTGCATATGCTAGTCCAAGGTCTCAAGGCAGCAAGCCAAAGCACAGCCTCATGAAGCTGGAATGTCTCTAAAAGTTTGCATCAAAACCAGGTGATGATCAGCTGATGAAGGTGAGCACAGTGATGAAAGCTGCAGAGGGTAACGCACCCGCGAGACTTCTAGTAGGTGGGAATCCACTGCTTCTTCCACGGCGCCGACGCCGGGCTCCTTTTTGAAGTGGTGTGCGCGCAGCAGGCTGAAATCATAGTCCGGGTAGCAGTGGTTTAATGTCAGGATCAGGTAGATCAGGGTCTTGCGGCTGCACGCACATGGGCACACCATGTCAGACCCAGGACACCCTCTGCCGCTTGACCAAGAGGGGCAGGCTCCACGTCCTCTGATGTGCTTTTTTGAATTCATTGTCCCGTCCTCATCTGCTCATGCTGTTCACCCTACACGCTCTGTGTGAGGAAGTCCAGGGAAAGGACACGATGATGACCCTCAGAGACTGACTAGAGCAGTTGTGGGCCTGACAAGCCTCCTGCAGGCTTGCCACATGCCTTAGGAGGGATGCATGCAGGCAGAAGTGGTTTCACTTCTGTGCGCTATATTGCATGCTTCTTGCTGCATCTCATCACTTGTGCCTTCCCATTTGTGGAGCTGATGGGACTTCTGGGCCGCATGCCTCACCTGGATGACTCAGCTAGGGGTCCCACAGGCGATTTTGACAGCTCCAAAGGTGAGCTGCCCAGCTGAACCTCCTGGTCCAAGTTCCTCGACAATTTCTTGTCCAATCCAGCTAATTTACCTGCATGGCAATGCAACTTGCTTAACTCACAAGTCAATGGCCCCCAAGGTGCAAAGCAAAGCATGCACTCGACTCTCAAGTTTTGAGTCAAGCATCAAGACGTCAAAAGCACGCCATCACACAGCATGTTCCCCTATACGAGTCTGCTGCTCTTTTGACCCCTGATTGAAGGATTCAGGTGTTGCGAGAGCATGTAATGGACGTGCCAAAGTCTGACAAAACATGACATCCTCCAGTAGTGGGGGAATGTGCTCACAAGAATATGCCTCTATGTCTCCCTGCACGATGTAGTCTCCAACGTCCACATTATCGAGGAAGGCACTCAATCTGGAGGGGAAGGAAACTTCAGGGCAGCCTTTGCAATGTTTTGACCAAAAACCCAACGACATCTTGTACTTCAGAAAGCGATTTCTTTCGCTCATCTCAGTCCGATGATGACTTGCAAAGAATCTATATCTACCATGTTGTGACCTGACAGAGCAATTTGTGAATAAAGCCAAGCCTGAGGACCAGTGGCAGGTTATGGGGATGGCTCACCGAGCAAGGCTGGGGTACTCAAGGAACTTCATTACGTCTACACTGCCATGGACTTACAAGATCCATGTCTTCGTATGTGGAACTCATCGGATCTGCCGTTGTACATCTTAGCATGCACCTATCTGCTACCGAGCTAGTGGGGATTTTATGTCCCAGGTTTGAGGATGTCTCTTCACAACACCCGGCTCAAGGCTCCAAACAGCTTGCTTTCCACCAACAATACTCTCAGACAGACGAAACTGTGAGACACTTTGGGCGCGCCTTGTCCAATATTCACGGTTGAGGATTCAAAGGACAATCTCAACCAAGTGCTTACTCACCGCATCTTCCTTGGCAGGGTCGATGCCATTGATGGAAATGCTGCATGCAAATCTTTGGCAACGATTGAACAGCTCAGTCTGAGCTTTTGTTCTTGTTCACATTTACCGAATCTAAGGCTGCGAGATTGCTGAAAGTTGTGAATTCCAGATCGCCCGACAAAGAGACTCGCGGCAGCACACTCTGATGGCAAGGTTGGCATGAGGCTTGTGGTCGCTTGTGATATTGATTTACAAGGGAACCAGAGAGTCACTTAGATGTATACGCTACCGAGAAATCGATGCGCGCTTTGATCCATATGATGGGCAACCCGAACGTCCTGCAGGGCATGCCAATGCCTCTTCCATCGACTATTCACCCAACATCTTTGAGGCCATTGTGCAGTCGGCATCCCTGTGGAAATACATGTAGGGGTGAGGCGGAATGTTGTTGATGTGTCTGGATATGCTCGACTTTGATTTGCGTAGCCTCCATTGCGCTCCATCCTGGTCTATGCTATTGCTAACACGTAATGGTGCAATGCACACCTGATGCAGGAAGAGCAAGAGATAGGCTCTTAATTGCCGCAAGCAGCGAGACAAAGGGGAAGGCGTGGCTGATTGGCTGCGGCCCAGGAGATGTGGAGCTGCTCACAGTAAGCACTAAGTTGCACAGCTTGACTGTACGACGTTCGTGTCAACACTGCAATTGACGAGACTCTTGATCTCCATTCCATGTTCTCACATAGCCATAGAGCAAGCCTGATGTCAGGGGTAGCACGTTCAGCTGATGACAAGACGTTTGTGGCTCGCTGTGCAGCTGAAGGCAGTCAGGCTCATCAAGGCCGCAGAGGTCATCCTCTATGACGACCTCGGGGCGCAGGTACTTCTTCCAGGGTAGCTGGCATCCCAACATCTGTTTCCCACACAATGCATCCTTCTCATTTCTGCTCTGCGCCCAATCCTGACAGCAACCACAACATGTACCCTCGAAGGATGGCCACTTCAGCCACGACTGCGCATGATATGCACACAGTAAGAACACTGATATATGCTTGCATGCAGGCAGCTGTGGATGAATTTGCGTCTGCCAGCAGCGTGAAGGAGTATGTGGGGAAGCGCGGTGGGCAGAAGTCGATGCAGCAGGCAGAGATAGATGCTCTCCTCGTCAGGTACTGCCTTCAGGTCCGCTGCATGAGACCTTCATTACTCCTCCTGAAGCAGCAGGCACATTTCGGTTCTGCGAGAGCATGCCCTGTGCTGCTCAGAGGCTGGAGGCATGCATGACAGTATTCAACTCCGCTCTTTTGTCCGCTGTACCAGCTAGTAGAGCTCCCAGGTTTGAAAGTGTATTGCCTGCTGCAGGGGAAGGAAGTGGTGCGGCTGAAAGGCGGCTGCCCATCAGTATTTTCTCGTTGCAGCTCTGAGATTGGGGCGCTCACTGAGGCTGGCATCCCCCATGAGCTGGTCCCTGGAGTGTCCTCTGCTCTTGCTGCACCGCTGCTAGCAGGTGGATATCCTTACCCACGGTAATTTAGCAAAGCAAACTTACATATGACTGCATTGTGCATGCGGAATTGTGTTAAGCTTCCAACTACACTTCAACAAGTGCCAGCATGGCGACATGCATGTTGCTCACACATGAGTGATGAGCCTGTCAGGACTTTGCCTAATGTGATGCAAGACACCAGCAAAGTATATTGCTTGACTGCAGCGCAACAGGATTGATTCTCACATCTGCAGCAATTAAAGTCTTCCTTGCTGCTGAATGAGGCCCTAGTAATGCCGTAGTAATGCCGTGGCCTTCAAGGGTTGAGGAAATGGAGGATCCTGATCTGGCGCCATGTGTTTGCATGCAGGGTTCCCCCTCACAGACACACATGTAGGGCGCAGCTTTGCGGTGATGAGCGCGCATGACCCGGGGTCAATTGAGTGGGCGGCGTTCAGGGGGATTGACACGCTGGTGCTGCTTATGTCGGGGCGTTCCCTTTCTGCAGCAGTGCAGGCGCTGCTTGCCGCTGGCTGGTCCCCTGACACCCCGGTGCGCTGTTATCTCAGCATGACTCATGATTTTGACTCATCGTGAGTCAGTTTATCATGCATGCATCATCCTGTCAAGACAGTCATGCTCTAGCCTGATGATACGTTCTTTGACACGCTGTCCTCCTTGAGCTTTTGTGACAGTAAGGTATAGCATTCCGTACAGTGCAAGAATCTGCCATCTGACTTGTAGTGAGCCAGCCAGCTTGTGCGTTTGTGAGTGCTATGAGGGGGTGGTTAGGTTTATATTGTGTCCTGCATGTGAGAGAAGAAAACATGTCATGCATGCGGTGTGACAGGTGGCCATTGTACGGTCAGCTGGGCTGCCAGATCAGGCAACGTGGCTGGCTCATCTGGACACCATTATAGATGCCACTAAGGATGCAGGCAGCCTGTCACCATGCGTCACAGTTATTGGGAGAGTAGTCAGCAAGGCGCCTGGCTTCGAGCAGGGGTAGCCTAAGTGGGGATGCAGCGCCCTGAAGAGTCAGCAGATGGGCGATACCGGGATTTTGTCTCCGAAGCTTGATTGAGGGTACCACAATTGATTACATTGACAATATTGATTGCACAGCTTGACGCTGAGTTCTGAGGATGAGGGGAAGAGATGGGATTCCCGTACAGAGGCTGACTCACTAACTGCGGTAGCTCTGGAGCAGATCTATCATCCATCTGCCTCCAAGAATTTATTTATGGACAACGTTGTGTTGAGTTGAAGACTCTCACTGAGCCTGCTGAGCACAGCAAAGCAGCCAGCTAAGCTCTTTGAAGCTACCTGTAATTTGTACTTGCAAGCGCCACCAGTGCCACACATGCGCTATCGACTTATTAACCCAGGATATTGCATCCAATTATCAGACCAACGAGATGAATGTCTTGGTGGCTACCTGCTCGTGCAAATCACATGCATTCTATTTGGAGTGGAACCTGGAAGAAACACACGAGTTGGATGTCTGGAGACCTCCAGCGTGAGGCGTTCCTGTCCCTGCATCATTCGAGCTTCTATAAAACAGCTTGTCTCCTTCCGTTCGAACACTTCAAGCCCGATGTTTGCAGCTACAAAAATTCTGAGTGATCCAGTGAAGATGTGAAGACACGAAGGCGATTATTAAGCCTGCATAGCTACCGCAAGTACAGGTAGCTGCACGGTTGGGATCCCATCTGAATATTCCAAGTAGACACGTTCAGCATGCAGGAAAACCTTGAGGCGCAGAGTTTCGCAGAAGAATAGACAAAATGTCAATGAAGAAATTGATCAGTCGGTCTGTACCGAGAGGGATGCTGTTTAGCTCAGAGCCATGTCCGGTGGCCCATCACTGACGGTTTTTTTTGCCTTCGCGGCCAGGATGGCCGAGACGGAGTGCAGACGTGTTGTTGCAGGATTGTTACAGCAATATAACGGAGCCATACAACAACCCGAGGAAAATTCAGGAAGCGACGTTTTGGAGTTCTCGCCTTCGCTCGCAGGGGTGTGGTTCGAGAAACGCCCAAATAAAGCAACTTCATGGTTTGAATTGAGAGGACGAAGCCATGCGAACATCACAAGAAAGATTTAACCTCTGAGCCTACTTTTCTAGTGCAGGGTGCTAAGGTGGAGTTTACAGCAGACGCCAATACCGTAGAACCAGATTTCGCACAGGTACAACAATCTTTACTCTTCACGTTTGGCCACATTTGCTCATTACATAGCCATCACAAACAAGTCTGCTGCATGGAGATGGCCATTCAGTGCTGAAACTATATATTACAGGACACCGCTCCTTGCGCAATGTTCAATTGACAGATTATTTGCTGCTGACTCCCAGGAAAACCAGGAGCCACCTCAGAACATGTCCCACCAACAGCAACTGCGGCGGCAAGCTGTTGCTATGCAGCCACGCCACAGACGCTACTCCCCAGAGCTTGAAATGCAGCAGCACATGCCGCCGGAGCTGCTGCTGTGTCCTGAAAAGGTGCGGCGGAAAGCAAAGCGGCAGCTCTTGCGGCAGCTGTGCGCAGCCCAAGCAGAGGCTGCATTGCCGAACGGTGCAGCGCAGCGGCAGAATGACTTTCGGCAGGGGCTCCCCGCCAAAACGGAGGCTGCCGTGCAGCACGCCGCAGCACAGAAGGAGGAGCATTACCGTCAGCTGCTAGCTGCACAAGCAGAGGCCGCCCTGCAGAACGGTGCAGTGAAGAGGCAGCAGCTGCAGCGGCAGAGAGCTGCTGCATCCGCTGCCCTCCAGCGAGGTGCAGCACTGCAGCACGGGAGGATGCAGCTGGACCTGCTTCCAGACCCCATAAAGGCTGTGGAGATGCAGCAGCTGGCCTCGCTCCTTCAGAGAACTGATGAGCAGGAAAGGACGATCGCTGCAGCCATGGAGGTTCTGCAGCATGCTCACAGCAACACTGGCCACCTTGGCCAGGGCACACCGGCTGGCGCGGTGTTACTGCCTGAAGATCAGCCACCAGAGCTCACTGTCCTTGTCAGCAACATCAACGGCTCTGCAACGCGCCGGCAGGTGATAACCTCCACATGCCTTGCACCCGAATGCAGCGCAGGTTTGACTTCCATGCTCCCAGAGACTGCCTGAGACCTCCTTGTTATTGTTATTTGTAATATTATTAAACGTTTTCACGACCTTTCACGACCAAGGACTAGGTACGTCAAGCAACACCTGAATTATTGCTCTCCAGTCTTCTCGGTTCTTGCTCTTCCTCCACCAGTCATATGGATGCCCAATAGCATCAAGGTCATCTCTCCTGTTAGTACGCCCAATACTACAGAGGTGCTCGCCAAAGTGTGTCAGTGGTTTGTAGCCTGCCCAAATCCAAATCTAAATAAAGAAACTGCTGCTAGAAGATTTGCAGCACCCGCAAGGTCACGTAGCGATGAGTACTTTAAGATTAAAGACTTTTTCAACGGGATATAAGATCCATGTGCGTACCACTCTAGTTTGGGCTGCACGCTGCTTGAACGATCTTGCAGAATAGTCATGACAGGCACTGGGATTGCACCAAAGACAACCAGCACCAAGCTGAGCTTATTGAAAGCATCTTAAAAGCATGCATGCCTCAGCAGATAGGCATGCATGCATTGTACGCCACTGCAGGCGGTCCCTGATATCTCCTGGCCAAGCCTTCATGCCGCAGCTTGGGGTCTGAGGTGTAATTCTCAGCAATGGCATGTTATGCATGAGCCTCACCTGGATGTTGTGGTGCACGGACAGGTGAGGGAGGCCTTTGAATTCTGGGGCCCAGTTGCCAATGTTGAGGGCCCCTTCCCTGCTGTGGAGATCCGCACTGTGCAAGGGCAGAGAACTTACATCAACACCATCTGGGCCTTTGTCAAATTTGGGAAGCCAGCAAACTTCAACCATGTCTGCCATGCGTTTAACACGTACCCCTCTGACTGGATGGTGTCGGTGAGTCATGCTTGCAATCTTGTCGGATAACATAGTAATGACAGATGCCTACATGTCTGTCGGTTCAAATTGCCACCAGCTGACCAAGGGAGGGATGCTCTGGGTTCTTTGATAAAAGCAGATCCCCTCGAAGAAAAGTAAACATGCCGTCATGCCCCTTCCAGATGAAATTTCCATCTCTGTTATGGTCATGCATGACGCAGTGGCACTCACCTGGCCACAACAAGGCCAGAAGTCTCATGATGCATACAGTAATTCTTATGTGGGATTTGGCTTCTGACTCCACGTCCGTTCCTGTGCAGCTTACCAACCTGCTGCCGCTGTTGTTCGGGGCTGGGCCACTGGTCGTGAGGAAACTTCCCCTGCAAGCAGAGAAGCCCAATTCCTAGAAGGCACTGCAATGACAGAGGAGCCTGGCCGCAGTTATCACAAGTACAGTGCTGGGAAACCCGCTCAGCACTTGTGTCATGCTGCAGCAAGTTACTTGTATTGGCTGCCAAGGAGACCTGCAATCTGAAAGGGAACTGCAGTGCAATGTACAGCATTGTGCAGTTGGATACTGTAAGCCAAAAAACAGCAATGAATGGTCCACGTGGCCTTGTATAAAGCTGCCAGAACTTCTGAGATTCAAAGCTTCGCAAGCTTGCTGAGTGCTTTAGGTTAAGGTATACAGCCAGGCTTGCTGTAGATGGCTGTGTTGGCATATGGGAGGATGCTGCATAGACGAACAGCGCAGAAGCGCAGAAGCTATTGGGATGCAGACAGCTTGATGAATGCTGCACCGGATCTACACTTGTGTGGCAGCAGCTGCTGCCTTGCATTAATGCCCACAGCTATTGATCATGACAGCTCATGCACATGGTGATCTTTGTTCAGGCCTGTCAACTCTGTGTCTTAGTACCATTCTTTGTAACCAATGAGGCCACTGAGTCACCGAATGCAGCTGCATCATGCTGCTGACAGGTATGCTGCTGATAGAATCATGTGCATATTCCAGAGATGTACCTCACATCCTACCGAACAAGGACGCTGAGTTTGAGAGAAGGTGTGTGATTCTCTAGTATTCTGACAGCTCCATCGAGTGGACCCTAACCTTGGGCTCTGTCAGCACCTCACCTTATAATCTTGTTGAGCAGCTTCATCTTTTAGAAGCCAAACGAGGGAAGAATAGTCCCTTCCAGTGCTGCAGGCTTCATGCATCGCTCAAAAGCACTTCAGGCACACTGCTAGGCTAAGACCAGTTGCAGCTTGTGCCCAGCCTCTCTTTTCCATGAACTCATCAATTAGATGACAAAGATCACAACAAGCAAGCGATAAATTAATCCAGGACGGAGTTGTGAAGAGAGAATACAGAGAACATGAGGAAGGAGGATGTGCAGTGACGGGCGTTCCTATCACCCGTTTCGAGCAGCGGAGGGCAACAGCTGCAAGCTTTCATTCCAGCCTCGCGATTCAGCAAACAGAGATAAGATACACTATACAGATCGTTCTCCGTGAACAGCAATTTCGTGAAAGCACGCAGCCGAAGCTTGTCTCACTCTTGATGCTTGGAGCTGCAACGACTGCTACCTGCCGAGCCCTAAAATTCGAGTATTTGCGCATTTCTACCTTTTAAATGCTCATACGGATTCAAGCAAAGTTGGAGTAAGCTCTAAGATGCTGTCACTCGTGAGCCTGTTTCCAAGCTCATCTGCCAACGATTGCCTTCTCATCCTGACGGTGCCCGCAGGTTCAAGGCATCTGATGTCCGATTCAGACTCTTCAGAAACCACCCACATAAATACAATGAACATGAGGTGGAATGTTCCGGACGCGGCGCCGGAATCGCCTTCTCGGGGGTTGGTACCGATGTCTGGGGTGAGAATCCGCAAGGCGAGAGGAAGTGACGGTCAGCAGTAGAAGCGAAGTACATGGATCTATTTTCGATTTCTTTAAAAGTCAATTTTAATTTTCGAGGGGAATTCGAGTGCACAACATCGCAAGTTTTCTCAGTGGCTCACCCATCTTGTTCTGCTGCGATGTGCTTGCAGGATGGCAGCGGGGGCTCTGGCTCGGAGCCTTCCCAAGAGGTATGCGATGCCATTAGAGACCTTGAATCACAAACCTTGCAATTAAACTCTTCCTTTCCACCACCATCCTTATTTCTTGCCTTCGTCAAGCCCACCACCTGAGCAAGCCAGGCAAGCGCAGGCCTTCTCCTGCAAGTGACCAGCGTCAAGGCTGGTCTCGGACCTGCTGAACTCCCTGAAAGTGCGCCTGAGTGCCTCACAGAACGCTCAGGAGCACCAGCAAAGGCCTGAAGGCCAACATCACCAGCGGCAACCTGCAGCCCCACCCTCCCGGCCTCCCCTGCAGGAGCTGGTTGCCTGGCACCCCCCTCCCTTGGCTGCTGACAGGGCCAGGCTGCCAGTCGAGGAACAGCTAGAAATTGCTGCCAGGCACCTGATGAATGACTACACATCACAGCTGGTCAGACAACAGCTGAGCAGACACAGCAGGGATCCACTGCATGCCTCCCGCATCATATTGGTCAGCGACCTCAGTCCAGTCTGCACAAAACAGCAGGTGCGCGGCCCCTGAAAGATGGTAATTAGTTGTCTAATTACCCCACCTGAAGCATCTGTACATGCAGTCCACCGCCTCCGCAGCAGGAAACACTCATGAGTAACCCCTGTAATCATCAGTGCCCCCTGTCTGCAGACCACCAAGCTTCTCTTGGTTGATGTGCTGCGCTTCTTTGAATAAACATGCCGCAAAAATACCTGCTGCAGCAACTGATGATCTCTTGGGAGGTGCTTGCACACTGTGCAGGCATCTCGAGGCTGCAACAACAGTTTGCCACCAATAGCATTCCAGACTCTGGTGCAGCACTTCCGATTTATACTGAAGCAGCCTACAGAGGAGGCTCCCTGCCCCAACATCTGCATCAACAACCTCAACCACACCGCCACCAGGAGCCAGGTATGCTTGTGCTCTATCTTTTCCCAAGTGGAATGGTCTGCACATAGGCAATTTCTTGCCGAAGTCCTTGTCTTTATTCTTCATCTCTCTGTAAACTGGTTTACAATGTTGTTTGAGCTCCCCAGTCCCTGTTTTTGCAGCTTGATTTGCATTTGGGCAGGCCTTAAGAATGATGGCCCCAAATTCTCAGGTGCTCCTCTATATTGGGTGGACTAACAAGACATGCCCTTCAAGCACGCAATCATCTGCCGTTCTAGCAAGCAGACAGCGCATTTTGACCGGGCACTTCCCGGCAGTAGCACCGTGGTTCCCGACAACTGCAGCCATGTGGTCGCAGATTGAACAGGTCTTCAGCTGCTTTGGGCATGTTCGCAAAACTAAAGGGCCTGGACTTCTGAGCGTCAACTACGTGCACCTGCAAGACTTGGCCTTTGTGGAGTTTGAGGACATCCAGGCTGCAGCATTTGCCTTCCATGCCTTCCGAGATTCCCAATTCGCAGCTGTGGCCCACACGGTAAGTGATTCTATGTCATGAAATGCACATGTCGGCACTTAAGCCTTTTGCCGACCAGCCCGAGTCACATTCAGTGCTTCTCATGACACACATGGATCACAGGATCACTACTGTTTTGTTGCGAAGTGAAATTCGGCCGCTGATGTGTGCACATGCACGTGCAGCTGCCAGAAATTCAGAGCCTGGCGATTGGGAGCAGCCTGCAAGTAGAGTTTGCAACGTGCATGGAGGCCTCTGAAAACCAATCCTCTGACAACCCCAACAGCGCGGATGCTGAGGTGAGCAACATGCATTCTACACTGGTACCTTGATAACAACCAAAATTGCCTCAACATACTGCGTCAGCTATATTCCAGGCAAGGTTGACAAGCTGTGCTGTACTCAGTTTGCAGCTGTCATACCGAATGTGGTACAACAATTGCTGCAGCTGCTAGCTGATCCTTCAACCCTGATCATGTTTACCTTCTGCGCAGGCTCTTATTCCCTCACCAGCTGAAGATGAAGCCATACAGACGCAGCAGGCAGTCAGCAGGCAGAAATGCAAACACCCATGGGCGCCTCAGGCCATGCAGCAGAGCCAGAAGCTCACCTCCTCTATTTTGGCTTTGGATCCCAGCATGTGGTCCTCACGCTCACTATGGATTGGCAACATCGGCTGGAATGTCACAAGAGCCCAGGTGCAAATTTACATCTCGAAACGAAGTTCTGCAAAATAATTCTTTAGCAACTTGCTCCTGGCAGATTGGACGAGAACATCACATAATAGTGGCCAATGCATTTCCTCTGAGCACCTGTTCAATCAAAGCATGATACGGCAGAAATGATACTTGCCGATCTAACTTGTTTACGTTTATGACATGTGCATGTACAGGTGCTGGAAGTGTTTGGCAAGTTTGGAGAGATCTGCAGCATCACTGGGCCTCGTCGCAGCTTCCTTCCTTGTAGAATGATTTCTCGCCAGTGGGCCATTGTGGACTTTGCACAGCCCCTGTCTGCAGCCACAGCCTGCTGGGCCTTCCAGGATGCGACTGTCTCAGCTGCTGCTCACAGGGTGCGCAGATGCCCTTCAACATTACTTGTATGCATGCATGAACAAATCTCATGTTATGTCAAATCTCATGACAAACACTTTCATGTCACCTTTCAAATTTCCCTCCAGGTACTGCTGTTATTGACAGCAAAATCAAGCCTTGATATTCATCTGCAGGGTCTCGGACGTAGATGTTTCCCGTTTGATTGCAAACGCGCAGCCATGCTTTCGCTTCTTACAGGGAGCACATGAACAGCGGTTGAAGGCATGCATGTCATTCATGATGCAGTGGGCGGATGTCCGCTGGGCTGCGGCTGGCCCCTGGCCCTACTGGTGCCTGAAGGTGAATCTCAGGCAGCCTCGTGCGCACAGGCCAGCTCGCACACCAGTCAGCAGAACAGCCCAGTCCTCTCACAGCAGCAAATCCCAACCAGCGCAAGACACAGCCTACAGCCCTTCAAAGAGCAACAATGTGGCCACAGCAGACTTGCACTGCCAGTCACCACAGCTCAGCCGAGATAGACTCAAACACGAGGGGACGCCCACTGAGGCAGGCAGTGCCGAGCGCAGTGGGCAGTCATCTTCAGGCAGAACACCTCAGAACACTGCACGTGCCTCTGCTGCAGTCAAGTCAGGGGGCAACGACGCAGGCAGCTCAGGGGGCAAAAAAGCAGAGGTGCACCCGCCCACAGCAAACAGCTCAAGCAAGGATGGGGCAGGCCAGAATGCTCACAGGGCTGTCCCCATCATTGCAAAGCGTTTCCAGCGCTCTGCCGTCGCAGGGCCCTTCCGGCCCTCTGCCGTCCACTTCATGCCGGACAGCCAGCCCGTCTGCATCTATGACTGGAAGCACCAGCCTCACCGCCGCCGCTACCGGCCTCCCAGGCAGGCACGATGGCGCCGCAGGCAGCAGTCACACCAGCAGCTCATCATGCAGCAGCAGCACGCGCCCTACTGGCAGCGTGAGCAGACCACAATGTACAGAACCGGCCGCGCATGCGAGCGCAGCAGGAGACCTACGGGCACCCAGAGCAGTTCCCTCTGCCAGCCTGAGCAGCCCACCTTTTCCCAGAACCAGCCGCACATGCAACCAGAGCAGGAGGAATTTTGGCAGCCAAGGCAGTTCCCTCAGCAGGCTGAGCAGGGATTCCTGCCCCAGAACCAGCCGCACATGCAGCCGCAGCAGGAGGCCTACTGGCGGCCAGAGCAATTTCTGCTGCAGCCTGAGCTGATTGCCTTGCTACAGAAACAGCAGTGCATGCAGCCGCAGCAGGAGACCTACTGGCAGCCAGAGCAATTTCCTCAGCATTCTGAGCAGACCACCTTGCCCCAGAACCGCCAGTGCATGCAGCCACAGAAGGTGCACCGGCAACAGCAGAGGAAGGAGTACCGCCCCAAAGGAGTCCAGCACAGCAGGGGAGGATGGTGGTGAATGAACCTGTAGATGATGCCTGTCCGGCTGAGAGGACTTTCAGGAGTTTGAGCTGCTGGCGCATTGCCACAGGCAACAGAGAATTTTGGCGCTTCCTTTTATGAAGCAGAAACGCATGCAGGTGGTTTGTCAGACCTGACAGCCACTGAGGAATGCACGAGCCGGCATCAGTACTGCAATTCAGCTGACTGGCCTGGGAGATGACTGGATGCCAGAGAAACAAATGATGCAGAGAACACCTATAATTGTTGCCTTAATCGTTCGTAATGATGCCGGACGTCAAGCAGGATGTTTGCGCTGCAGCTTCAGAGTACTGCACTGCTTCGATTTTTTCCAGATGAAGACCACTGTCTCTGTGCAGCACTGAGCAATGTTAGGAACTTTTTGTACAGGGTGCATTTTCATTGAATGGTGTGAGGCATTTGAGATGATCATTGTTGAGGGGGTTGGTGAAACCATGTAATCACACTGTGTGGGATCAGCTCGATGATATGCATTACTACATGGTGCTTGGAAATGGTGCGCTTCCTGAAGAATCTCATGCAGCTTGCGCAGTCTGCACAGCAGGTGTATTTGATACTAGAGCAACAACTTGGGTGTAAAGAACAGGATTCTTGGCATGTTGCAGCGGGCAGCTTCCCCACTATTGAAGATGTCGCCAGTCAAAATTTGAGCCATTTGTGCCATTAGGTGTCATTGGAGGTATTTGGATGCATGCCTGTGTGTCCGGCATTTATGAGCCCCTGTGCGCTGAGGCACCCGTGTATTCATCTTCATTGCCCATTCATTCATTGTAACTCCTGCTTTACCTTGTGACCCAATTTCCTGCTGAACACCGTCAGCCACATGCAAACATTAGTATTGTAGCTAGAACAACCTAACATGCAGACACGTTTCGCACGCCCTTGTGGCAATGTCTGAATGAAATGCATATAATCTCAACCTTGCTCCTCCAGCTTACAGCTGCGCCGGTAAATACTGCGGCTGCTGTCCGTGATGGCTGTCAAAACGGGCGGTGATTGGTACCACGCGTGCGCATTCATCCTGCGCTTTCCCTACTGTATGCTGTGTTCCACCAATGCAAGGCAGCAACCCGCCCATCACCTCTACCCTTGAGGATTTTCCACCAGGGCCCCCACTTAATTATCTACTGCTCAGGCGATCCCTGTGTTAGAACCTATGTGGGCGGTCTTAAATGCTGAATATGCTGTCAGCGCCGCGCTTGCAACTGACAGCACCGACCAACTGAGGTGTTGGCCGCGCCGTGCTGTTTTCATTGCCGTCTGCTGCAAGTTGAGTTGCGGCAATCACAGTGCTGCAGCCAACAACATAGCCTGGGAGGCCAAAGGAGCGCTCGGCTGCTCTAGTGTTGCGGGGTACACCTCCATATGACAGATCTCCACTTCTGCACGCAGCCTGGTCCAGTCATATGCTTCCATGAACTCCGGATACAGGTTGCGGACTGTGCGGCCCCTGCACATGTGCAGCAAGCAGACTCAGCAATACCGCTGCTGCTGCTCGGTTGCAGTCTTGTCTAAAGTCCATTGGCCATCTAAAGCCACAGTGCAGTGCAGCAGTATTGTGCAAGGGATCAATGTGGCAAATAGTCTGGTCTACAAATGGTTTTTCACGGCAGTGATAGGTGCCACTGGCATGTGACAAGCAGTAACGAAACAACATAACTTTGGGCAGATGCTTCAGATGCTTGAAGACATTGCATTTTAGTAGAGCAACTTCCAACAGATTGTGATGGTCATGCCACGAAGGCCATTATATTCCCATGAGAGGATTTCGAGACCCTGCAGAGCTTACCCATTCACAGTGGCACGAGCGCCAGCTGGTCGAGGTTTCTTCTTCGGTGCGGGCGGGGCCGCGTACGTTGGTGGGTTCGAAGACCGGGAAGTCTCGCCCAAGCCCCAGTCCCTTATGCAGGGAGTAGCATAGTATCCATAGTGCGTAGGAGATCTGTCGTCCTTGTCTCCCTGCCCCACGTGTCCGGCACAGGAAAATCTTTCAAGGACAAACAATCCTGCAGCTGATGTCGCAGGCCGGGGGCCTTCTTGTCATTGGAACAGGGTACGACTTCTATAAACTATGGAGACATGAAACATCAGTGGCAATCTGCGGATTGGGTCACCACCTGCTGTCGAGGGCTTGGCGTTTTCTCCAATCCTGCCATCTGCGTGGGAATCCAGTATGGCGTGAGGTTCCAGCATGGCAAATACATTCCCCACTTGGTAATCAAACACACATTATATGATTATACAAAAGATCTGAGTATGTATGTACATTTGCAACAAACAATTTGTATGTTTGTGCAGCACTTCATCACACTGAGGCAGGCGAGTGCTCTGCGCTGCAGAAGCGGTGGAGGCCGCCAGACTTCCTACGCTTGATCCGCGAAGAAGATGTTATTTTACAATACAAAAGTGGGATGTACGGCTCACCTCCTGAGTCGAACGCCTGTTCATGGCTGCTGTATCTGGCAGAAGTGGCGATTTGGACCGACCACAAGAAACTACTTGAAGATCGCCGTGACGATTCTAGCTCCGATTATTCTGATGTGATAAACAATCAGCCAGGATCGGCTGGAAGTTGTGTAGCCGGTAAAAGGCGATCGGCGTGAAGAGGTCCAAGGATGGCCCCTGCAGAGATGTTGTGGCCTGCCCAAGCTAGGTTCCCACGGCTTCCAGGGCCGCTGTGGCAAAATCATGGCGGTCCGCAGAATCATGCCATTGGCGGATGTAAAAAACCAAGGAGCTTGTGTTTTACAGTGATCTAAATCTTTTATTCATAAAGAAGAGCATATGAGAAAGGTGGGACAGTCGTTTATTGGCTCGCCAAGATCCAAATCGAGCTGAAAAATGAAGGAAGCTCGAAACAGAAGCAAATTCACAGACGCATGAAGGGTAGAGACTGGATTTAGCAAATAACTACGTGCGGAACACTCTGGTTGGTGTAGATGGACCTACTCCACGCAATTCCTCTTCTTTGGCGTTTGCTGGGTCCCCCCAAACTTCCGGGACCCCCCAGTACTGGGTGTTCAAAATGAGGAACGCGCAGCTACGCAAAATTTGCATTGCAAATTGTTTCCGACACCAGCCTTCCACAGTGCGGATCCCAGTCAGAAGTTGTCCAACAGACCAAACGAGCGAAATTGTAATCATTACAGTTTCTTTGAAGCTCTCTCAAAGGACCTTGAGATGGGCTTATTGCTGAAAAGTACTGCTCTGTATCTGACTTTGACACGAAAAAACCGGGCACAACAGGACAGAGACAGCACCACAGGATTGACATGACATCTCATTTGCTTTGACGCTTGCAATGCAATACACAAGACCCAAAAGCCCGTTGCACATCTTGACACTTCTACACTATGCAGCCATTCAGCTCATGAGCTTCGTGCTGTGCTGCAAGCCTGCTTGCCCGCATTCCTGAGTCCACTTCCCATCACTTTCAAGGCCGACTTTGACTTTGACTTTGACTGCATTCATAGACTTGAAATGATTGGCCGGGCACTCCAAGATCCGGTCCTGGAGAGACTCCGCGCTCATCTCTTGAGCTGTCACCTCCGCCTCCGATTGCCGCTGATGCTCGACTGCACAGCGCAACACATCACATGTCAGCAGAATTGTACTTGAATAGAGCCTTCAAACGCTGATGCTGCAGCCTTGGTCTTAGCAGTGCAGGCAGTGGCGGCTGAACGCTTCAAGGAAAGGCTCCAAAGGGCGCCCACTACATGCCAGCCCACCGTGTGTGCTTGTCTGAGTTCTACACAGCACAGGAGCATGCACAAAATCAGCAAAGGCAAGCTGTTGCCAAACAGAGCACAGCAAGCAGCTGGTGCCTCAATTGCAGCCAAGAGTTGCCAGGGGCGCAGAGATAATCAGGCTGGCCAAGCTGTCCAGGGAAGAGACGGCCCAATATAAAAGTCACTTAGACATGTCCACTTAGCAGCACACCTGTGGTTCCTAACCTCCATGCTCGCAGCAGAGACCTTATCGACTGCTGTACCAATCTGTCTTGAAACTGATCAAACACAATCAATCCTGAATGCAAAATCGTGTGAGGGAAATGAAACGCACGTCGCATGCGGCAGAGGGCGGCAGGCCGAGGTCATCCGGCCCACAGCCGAGCACGATCTCTCCGAGCAGTAGCCCCGCCGGTGAATTTTTGGTGCGCACACGCACTCCCACCAGATAATCCTCAGCCTGCAGACATAACGATCGGAAGAAATCAGGAATAGTAATCCTACCACATGGCCCCGGCTGGCGGTGGACAGAGATGCTGCAGAAAAGGCGGACAAGTATTTGTAGGTCCCACCTCGAGGGCTCGCTAGAGTAGACGTGATGCATTGTTGAAGACGGGATGCTGCTGCAAGGAAACAGAATGCTACTGCGAGGAATTGATGAGAGCAGGACAGCACTGCAAGGAACTGATGAGAACAGGACGGCTCTGCAAGGAACGTCCACTGCTTACAGCTTAATTAACGCACCTGCAGGTCTGCTAGCATGGCTGCAACGAAGCGATCGCGCTGGGAGGTGCCTGTGGGGGGCGGCCACTCTCCGCTGGCCACCATGAACTCCGCTCCATCCTGGGGCGCCTGACATGCAAATAACAGTCATTACATAATAGGTGGCAAATTTTGTTATTCAGCAGTAACCCAAGAAGGCTTTGCTTCCCCACCGACAGCTGCTGAAAATTATGAGATGAATATTAGAAGGCGAAGGGTCCAATGCAAGTTTCCTGAGAGATGGTGGTCGTCAGTGGCAGTGGCAGCAGTCAAGACGGCATAGCTCACGGGAGGCACCAGCAAGTTTGCATCCAAGCTCTTATGTAGGCCCAAAAACAAGGCACCCTCCTCTGGCTGCTCGTGACCAAGGCAAAGTACTAAACCCCGTAGGCCCACATACCCGAGCGCCCCCAACACCTCCTCCACATACTTCTTACACTTTCTCAGGAGAAAGCAGAAGCCGCTCCCAGCATATCCAGTGCTCAAACTCTGATGTTCACACAGTTTTGAAATTAAAATCTTTTCAAGTTTGAAGCGGCCCCACAAAGTGAGCTTTCTTATACACAGACAGCGGCCCCACCTGCACTCCAGAGGGGAAGCTGCTGAAGAAGTTGGGGGCCTGCCCCCCGCAGCAGCCCTTCTGGGTGTACGCAAAATAGCCCTTGGGGAATGCGAGTGCGCTGCCCATCAGGCGCGGATTCAAGCTCTCCATCGTCACCGATGTTATTGAGTCATTGCGCGGCAGCCGCCGCACCACCACCGTGTACGCCAGCCTGCGCGCATATAACTACAATTTCACACAAAAGGTCTTCTCAGGTGACTAACCATGATATATTGTGACAATGACTTGACTACTAATATTACTATGGCTGCAGTACACACAGTTCCTGCCGGAGCCAGGAGCGTCTGCAAGAAAGCTGCAGGCAAAGGCTGCCACATGCCCTGCCCCTTGACGGACTTTTACATCCAAGCAAGCTCAATCAACTGCGGGCATAGTGCTCAGATTATTTACTGCCAGTCGAATAGAGTGGACCAATAGGACAATACTCATTTACAGCCACCGTACACACCTCAGCTTTTGGAAATGTGGACCCCGTGACTCGTAATGTGGATGCAAGATTTCGCTGCATGTCACAACTGTGCAACGGCCATGTCGAAGAGATGCATGGCTACTCAGAAATTGCAATGCATGCATGCCATGCATGGGGCTTGCCAAAGCGAGCTTGTATGTCAGGGTGCATGACTGCACCCACTGCAGGTAATGCATGCGCCGATCATTGCTTCTGCACACGAATCCTCCTTCTTTTGTTTTCTTTGACAAGCTGCCCTTTAAGAGCAACAAATTGGGCCACGCACGCAGAATCGTTGTACATGGCGATTGAAATGGATCCAGCGGCGGTCGAGTCGCTGTCCGGCAGCGGCCACAGGAATGCATGGTACGGCATCGCGGAGTCCAGCCGCATCCCCGTAGCGTACGGCACCGGGTCCTGCGGCAGCGCCGCCGCGTTTGCCGGGACGACCGCGCCCGAGAACACCGATGATGAGCGCTTCTGGCCGGCCGCGATCGGTGTCTGCGCCAGCACCTGCAGCAGGCGCACAGAGGATTTAGCAGCGTGATCTCCCTGAGGGAGAAGCGGCTGCCGCGGACGCTTAGTGTGATTGGCTGGTACACAAGGGATGCCTTTTGCAGCAGAGGATCTGCATGTTTGGCTGATGATGTACAATTGCCCATGCCATTGCCTCCCGCTAGGACGCATGCATGACAGGCAGATGTTGCATTTCTGTCAATTGTCACTGTCAGGCAGGACTTTCTCAATTTTTAGAAAGGAACCAAATACTGGCAACATGGTTGCATTTGCATTTGCGTGGTGGTGTGATCTGCCTCGATCAGATTTCAATGGCAATTCACCCCGACATGAGCAACCTCAACCACAGTCAGCTTGCATGCTGCAACAACAAGTGTCTCAACGCTTTACGGAACGCGGACCTGAATGCCGGGCACCCGCGAGGCCTGGTCCGGCGAAGCCCAGGCGCCGTCACTCCCCTGCCCCTGCTTGGCCGCCCAGCTCTGATAGTAGCCTCCCATCCTGTAATGAGCAGCAGAGCATCAGCTCAGTATCATGTTTCCAGGAAATTTGCACCTTGGAAGTTTCAAGGCTCATGTAGATGTTTGCATGCCCCTGCCACTTTCATTATACCCAGCCTCAACCCTGATGTTTCAACAGGGCCCAGCCTCAACCCTGATGTTTAAACGGGGAATGAGATTCCTGAATTATTACAGGCACATCCAGCAAGTTTGTATGCAGGGCAAGGTTGCATCGTCAGCCAATTGGCAGATGCTAGAGCAAAAGGGAAGAGGAGAAGGGGAAGGCATGAGCAGAACTCACAGTTTGGCAAGGGCTGTGAAGCTGATGGGGCTGCCGTCCACAATGCTCGCCTGCGTGAGCGTCCCGTTCACCAGATCACTGCCTGCCGACCCGTTCCCACAGCTGCACACAAAAATCCGTTGCATCAGTATGAGTGTTTCCAGAAATATTGGCTACACCATGTCCTTCCTCAGCACCCTGTACTTGGAAGAAATATCCAAACATCTGTGCAGGGCTCGGAGAGCCTGTGGGGCAAACCCATGCGTGCTGCTATCCAGACAGCAGGGCGCGATTTGTGGGCAGGTTCAGTGCTGCGAGAGGTTTGAATGCCCACTCCTACTGTCAAGGCAGCAGGAACACATCAAAGAAGTTTGTGAGATGCTGTGCTGCTATGAGTTTGAACCAAGGAGATTACAAAAACACTTACCTGGGGGCGCCAGGGACGGGCCCACACAGCACAGCCACCAGCTTGGCCCCGCTGCCAGATGTGGCATTTGCCAGGCTGTACATGGCCATCAGGTTGGAGGCGTTCCACCCACCGATCCAGTTGCTGCCCATCGTCACTCTGTACCGGACCCTGCAATGCAACAGACACAGGCACTTTTGAGCATGCCTTCTCAAGGACTGCAAACACTTCAAATAGCAGCTCTTGGGACGAAGATGCATGAGAAGGGGCCTTGATCATGTATAACCATCTCTTCCCCACAGTAGCCTATGCCGCTCCGTGGGTGCTTCAAGCCAGGATGCAAGGGGACTGCACAATAGGTGGCATGCACAAATGAAGACACCAATCGCCATGAAGATGTGTGCTTGAAGCGATGAGAAAGGCCAACAGTGCAGCGTGGCCGCCCTTAGCTGTTTTTAGAAAGTTCGGACTGCAAGGCAAGGGTGAAATGAGGCTCACAAGTTCCGAGATGACTGCGTGAAGACTGCCAGAGCCTGCGGCATGAGCTGGCTGCAGTTGGACTGACAAGGCAGGTACAAGTCCGCTCTGAACACTGGCTGATCATTTGTGACCTGCAGAGCATCCTTGTTGATTAGGAAGAAATGCAGCACGCCAATCATATTCACTCCAGATGATGCTGCCCAGCATTACATGATATGCACTCTATTCTTCTAATTTGATTACTTTGACGCTTGGAACACCTACAAATCAAACTATAACGTGCGATGATTGAAGTCGACTGTTGGAATCGTTACGAGTCACTCCAAAGAGGCTCAGCACAAGGGTTACCTTGGGTGTGTAAGACTCGACAGTTGTATTGCCAGAGGAGTTCAATGGATTGCGGCCTGCAGCGCTGGAGCTGGAATTGCTCACAGCGAAGATGAGGGCAGCAGAGGCGGACTCAGTGAATACTAGTGTTGTCAGGATCGAGCTCAGGATGGTGATCATTTGACTGGTGGAGTACTTGACGCAGTCCTCACACTAGCCGATGCTGCATAATTTGATGGATATGAATAAGGGTAGAAGTACCCCTCATGGCTCGTTGGGCCACAAAGGCCTGCAAACCCAGCTAAACAGGCTAACGTAGATGGTGCATTCTGTGATGAGCGAAATCGTGTGGCAGGAAGTCTGGTGAGGCAAAGTCGCAAAGGTCCACCTGAATACTTTAATTGTCAACTAAAGGAAATATTAGTTTCGGTTTCCATGCACGGATGTTAGAGTTCAGCTGCGAGATCAATGCCGAGAAGAAAGAGGGCAGATCATAATCTTTCCTCGGAATCTGTCAGGAAGGGATGCTTCCAAGTGGGCCGAAACAACCAGCTCTGTGTGATTGTACCAATTTATCTCTAATTGTCAAGAAAATTCGTGATCCAGTACAAAACGCCCTGACCTTAACAAGCCAGGAACCTCAAGGCATCCCTTCACTCATGCTTGTCGACTAAGCTGATCAGCCCCTTTAGTCCTTAAACAACCGCACCTTAAAGATCGAAAGTATCAAGATGTTGTCTCGTGCAGCACAATTGCACATTCAGATTCTGTCCTTAGCTTTTGCTGGTGTGCCCCTCTCATGCCCCTGAAGTTCCATCTTATAGGCAAATTTTTCCTTCTTTAGATCGATCGCATTGTATAAAGCGTATCAAGCCCCAAAGCTTTGTATTATGGGAGTTACGTTTGTCTTGCGGAGCTGCTCACCCGGATATGTGTCTAATCCTGCAGCTGGCGCTGTTGGTGGGCTTGTGAACTTTCTCATTGCTCCCCTATTTGGAGCGCTACACATCACCACAGCTCTTGGAGTGCACATAGCTCCTGGCCTGGTAAAGGTGCGAGCTTGTGCATATTTGGCCAGGACATGCCATGCTAGAAGATTCCCACTGTGCTATCCTTCCTGCCAATTCTGCGAGCCCAAGCCTCCATCTTGCCTGCAATATATGAAAATCTCTCTGTTTGACATTTCGTGCTCTCTGCTGCTGCAGGGTGACTTGTACTCCAAAGTTGTCTGGTGAGGGCGCCCTGACCCTGTCTATGTCTACATATTGCATCGTGTTGCGTGATGTGTTGGCTTCCTTGTGCAAGCATGCATTGGCTGGACTGCTGGTTGCGGCATTCAATGCTAAAAATCTGTTGCCTTGCTGCCGCAGGGGAGGCATCTGGGGATTCCTGTTTATGCTACCTCTCAGGAAGTATGTAAAGAACTGGGGCGCGCGGGCGTGCATCTTCGGTGCGTTTCCACACTCCATATCATCCAAGTTGACACTTTGAAGTAGCAGTGCATGAAGTGGAGCCTTCCTTAGGAACATGCCGGGCTGAAGGAACGATGCTGAAATGTTGATCTTGCCCGATAATTCTTGAAGACAAGCCTATCCCCTTCCAGTGGCAGTTGAGATCATCCCAATGCCTGGCAGTTGTTGTCGTTGCACGTATCTCCACTCTGAAAATCAGCAGATCCAATGTCTCGGCGTTCCAACAAGCTCATCACGTATGTGCAGGGCTGTTCCCTTCGGCAGTGCAGATGTTTCTGGTCTTCCCCCATTCGACGCCCTTCGGCATTGGCGGCGTGGGGCTCGGAAAGCTCACTCCCCTCTTTGTCATCATCTTCAACACCATTGGCTGGAGCGTGCCTGGCTACCTCTGGTTCCGCCTGGCAGGTGACTCACCCCTGTTACTCGCGTGCACTGCTGTCCATGGCAATGCAAATATGATATGCTTCCAACGTGCCAAGAGATGCTCTGATGCCGATCACAGAGTCAGGCTTGGAGGACAATGTCAGTGCTCCATGTCAGCAGTTTTACAACAGGCGTTGATGCGCAGTAAAATCAGCTGGGCAGAGTGAGGGGCATGCTCTTACGGGGCTGAGAAAAGCAGCAGGGGATAAGATATCACGGTTCAAAGTTCAAGCATCAGGTGATCTTCGAGGCCTGATGAATGTGCGCGGTGCACGCAGGGTATGAGGATGCAGAGAGCCTGCGCTCTCACAGGCTCACTGGAGACACTGAGGCTTTGCTGGACTGAGAATCGATGTTATAGTATTTACACATCCGTTACATGATCTCTGAGTAGGCCCAAGGCAAGATAGCACTAGAAGAGTGCTCTTCTACAGAGACAGCATATATGACACTATGTAGTCTTGGACACATCCAGAAGTGTCAGAGAGACGTGCAGGTTCTAAGCAAGTACACAGATTGCATGCTAAAAACTTTCCTTTATTGGACACAGCACCTTATTGATTTAGTACCAAAACACGTAAAGTCATGGACGTGGAGAGTCTGAGTTGTGAAGTGCAAATCTGTCAGCAATATCGTGTGCCATTTCACCATTTGTGACGGGTCATGTTTCTCATCGAGCTGCATGCGCACACATCATGCCCCATGGATACCATTGTAAGCAGTAGCAATATGTAAACGCTGCATGCACTGCCAGTGCAGCATGAAACTGCACTGAGAATGCTCACAATGTCAGAACCGAGATTGCTGGTAGTCTTGCGCAGAACAGTGTCAGCCTTGCAAATTCCATGACTGGCATGCCCAAACGGTGCAGGATTAACTTCCACTGCGTCATAAATCGATTAGCTGCGCAGCTTCTCCTGCATGCACAAGCTTCTCCTGATGCTGTAAGCACCAATACCAGATCACGTCGGCATAAAAACAAGTGAACGACAAAATTTCATATCTCCCTGGGCAGCTCCAAAAGGGACAATGATGAAAAGACACTCATTCAAGGAACTGTACGGACGGGTCATTCACTACATTGGATGCCAACCTAACACATGGCATCAATCCTCACAAAGCTTAATTGAACTGATCCAGGTAGAGTAAAGCAGGAGCTGCGCGAATCATGCATGCATGGACTCTAGATGGGGGCCACGCCGGCATGGGGCGTGCCGTCATCCAAGCACTGGCAGCGTTCAAGCTGACTGCAATCTTCCGACTCACAGGGTGTGTTGCAGCCGTACGCAACCTCCACATCAGTGCAGTTGAGCAGAGCATTCCAGCTTCGCTCCATGACATGCCCCCACGTGGGCCACTCATCCGGCAGATTGGACTTGACATGCTTGTACAGCTCTTCATTGGCGCGCAGTGGGTGATTGGCCGGAGTGGCAAACAGACCGAGCAGGTACTCGTACAGCTTCCTGGGCTGCAGGTGCAGGCGCGCGCGTGAAGCTACGAGGAAGCCGTTGTGGAAGCAGGCAAACTCGTGTGGACACAGCGTCCCCTGAGCCAGCGCCCACACCTGCCACACAGCGCTCACTCTTCGTTCACTCGCATACATGAGGATCAGAGATCCCTTCTGTCTCTTTCAACCTCCCTCTTATGCTCCCTCCCTCGCTCCACTTACTCATTACCCAGAGAGCAAACACCTCGTGCGGAGGGATAGGTAATGCTGCAACGAATTCAAGCCCCATTTGCATTTTTCCTCCCAACTCAATTCTCTGGGATTCTGCCACAGAGGAAATACACTCCACTGCAGACTTCCAGACTCCTCTACCGGACAGCCACCTTCTCCAGGATTGGTAGGTCACCGGTCAAAATGACATTCCTGTAGCAAGTAAATACAACAATAGAAAGGAGCACCTCCCGAAGCCGGATGAAGCCGCCAGGGCCGTGCCCCGCCCAGAGATCGCTGTAACCCTCACAAGTGCAAATCGCCACAAGGCCCAGTCCTAGCGCGCCGGTGCGCGGGCTAAACAGAGTCTGCAACCGGCCCAGCAGCAGCTCCTCATAATTCGCCAGCGCCTGTGAGTCAAATGACCACTGAATGCTGCCACATGCCTGGTCCCCCTTGATGACTTGCCAGCATCTAGCAGGATCCGTAAAACTGCCAAGCCCCATCTGGGTTCCCTGGCTTTTCAAGCAAATCGAGCTTGACCCTGCCGTTGTATGCAACTTTGAGATTCATCCGACTCAGTGTGTTTATGCTGGACCCTGAGGCCCCAGATGACCTCCAAGCTAGGTACCCCTTAAAACATAACCATGCAAAGCAGGCATGCACTATCTGGACTGGCCCTCTGAGCCACCTGGCGCAACCGAATGCATGACATACAAAGCTGGCATGCATTATCCACTGCGCCCTGCCCGACCAAGTCTTCAATCATGCCTTTTGCAACAAAGCCACGAGGTGATTGAATGCACCGAGAATGATATTCTTGCCAGGTTTGCACCGGCAAGTTCTGGTATACCATGCCGGAAACCAATACATAAGCTTCATCTTCTTTGTGTGATAAGCCTACCTGTGAGAAGAACACATGCTCCGGCAGGCGATCGTAGTGCGCCACAATGTGCCACAGGTAAGTCTCCTGTTCTCGCCCCACATTCGGCAGCTCTATAACCTCGTGCGCAAATCCGCGGTCCCGGGCTTGCGCGACAAAGACCGGCGTGCCCTTGCAGTATATGAAGATGCGCGGGTGCGTGGCAGCTACCGAGCGGATGCCCAGCAGCTTTTCCACGTACTGCTCCACCTCGTTCACATCCTCCTGGTGCAATTGCCAAGTAGCACAGATAAGCTGCATATTGTGTGATATTACTAATAGTGAGTTCCAATACATTTCCTGCAAGACACTGGTGACTGTGTCCTAAGCTCCTGTCTCATTCAATACAGCAGAAAGGTATGTACAAGCTGATCACTCCATAATTTGCATGAGGGGAGCAGGGAAGACTATTTTTTGCCTTTTCCTTGACGGGGGTAATTTGGCTGTCACCATTACACATTCCACGTGTCTATCCTGATCCAATTCAAGGACTAGGGGCCTTGCTGTTAATTACCACGTGTTCAGTGATGGCAGCAGAGTACAGGCTTCTCACCTGGTGCACAGCGATCACTATGTGCATGCCAGGCGGGTGCGCAGCGGCCGGCCCGGTGGAGCCCGGAGAGTGCTTGTGAGAAATCGCTGTCGACCATGCGGCGGTGGAGGGTGCATGGACCGCGCAGCAGGCAGCTGCCAGGAAGGTGAGCAAGGCCACCTTCCTGGCAGCCATGTGCTGGGCCACAGCTGCAGTTCCAAGCGGCCCAGTTCAGGCCCTGCTGGGTTGATCCTACGGGCTGCAGCCAGCAGGCAAGTTCAGGTGTACAGTGTTAAATCATGGCAGAAAAAGGGCTGAATGTCGACAAGAAAGATCTCAACAGCACGCTGCCCGCTTCTGTTGCAGGGATCTTTGCCATCCTGCCATGTTTGGGAGCACAGGTAAGGGATATGGGAAGCTGGCGATATAAATCGCCAGCTTCCGCTCCAAAGGATTGATGCTCGGTCGAACAACTGATCAGATCATCAGAATCCAGGATCCGAATATTTACTTGCGCGCCTATACCCAACCAGAGGAACATATCCAGTGAGGTGGATGCAAGCCCACCTCAGCAATAACGTAGCGGCCGGCCTTTTCGGCAATGAAATGAGCGCAACCAAATCTTCAGCAAGTCACGACCTTCTCGAAGTTCCTTTCAACGTCTGCAGGCTACAAGGCAACCTTTGGTGCTCTTTACTAGCTAGATTCGTGTCTGTCAGGCGCAGGTTCTGCCTGGACAGGCCTACAATTGCGATCGTGGCCTACTGACCTCTCAACCGTAACGATCCCAGCACTGAAATGCACCTGTATGCGTCTCTTGATGAACGGAAAGGATGTTGATGACACAGCAATTGGAAGGGCCCGAAGAAGAACCTGGGCAGCCCGATTGGCCTCCGCGCTAAGCCATGGGGGACTTCCTGAATTTGACTACATGCTCTGCAGCACCATCATGCACCTACGTAATTCAAGTTCCCTAATACCCCAAGCACCTCGCGACGCTTCAGGCAAGTTTCAATCATGCAAAGCAGCGGTACGCCTCACTGCACTAAAAGCTACACATGTGTAGCTACCCCGTGCATAGTTCCTATGTATAGCACTGGCGACATTAACCATGGCCAGCAGCTGTTATGATCAAAGGATAATACATCGATATTACAACATTGAGGCACACAAAAGACATTCACAGCGCCAGACTTGGTGGCAACGTCTACCAAAGAAAGGACTACGTAGGACTACGTGGTATACCACATGCACAAGCGGTTTGACTATGTATAGACTATTACACATGCACTTGACAATCAGGGTTGCGTTGTGGTCTTCTGGCTGGACCACACTGGGCTATGTACTCTGGCTCTCCTAAACCCCGCGTTGACCTCTGTCCAAGGTTAAACTTTTGGGATCTGACTGGATCTGACTGGGCATCTGACTGGCCTGCACTGGTGCCAGCTGTACTATTCTGACAGCTGTGCATTTCTCTGCAAGAAAAGCAGTAATCTAGATCTGGTCTTTGACAACATCTGAACCCAAAGTATGAGCACATGTCAACAAAAACTGCTGCGCAAACCAAACGACAGAGAGCCCTCCTGAATCAAATACATGAAATATATGATCGTAGCTTAGTATGCCATTTCTGATCTAGATCGTTTGCTGAGCTGTTTCTGGAAGTCTGATCGTGTCGGCCCAAAGATACCTGAGCGACAGATCTGCCTATGTCCTGACCAGAGCTCATGAGCAGAACCAAAGACATGCATTATCGATAGTCAGACGCTCTTGTTAAAACACTCATGCATTCTGAAGGAAGCTGGACCGGGATCATTGGATCAGAGCCATCGCCCTGGTGAAGACACCGGCAGAAATCCACCCCTCTGATCTACACTGCAGACTTGCAGTCAACAAGAGACAAGAGACACTCGAAAGGAAGAGACTCTTCACTTCAAAATAAAGAGGTTGAATTCAATGGTTACTTTGCTTCAGATGGGGGCCACGCCGTCATGGGGCGACCCCTCATCCAAGCACTGGCAGTGTTCAAGCCCGGTGCAATCTTCCTGCTCACAGACAGCGCTGCAGCTGTACGCAATGTTCACATCCGTGCAGTTGAGCAGAGCATTCCAGCTCCGCTCCATGACATGCCCAAACGTGGGCCACTCTTCCGGGATATTCGAGGTGTGATGCTTGTACAGGAACTCATTCACGCGCAGTGGGTGGTCGGCGCTTGTGGTGAACAGGCCGAGCAGGTATTCGTACAGCTTCTTGGTTTGCAGGTGCAGGCGCGCGCGGGAAGCTACGAGGAAGCCGTTGTGGAAGCAGGCGAACTCGTGTGGACACAGCGTCCCCTGAGCCAGCGCCCACACCTGCACGAATGCAAAAATTATCTCAAGGATTATACGCTGTTTCTGCCAGAGGCAGAGTGCGCCTGCACACAAGCGCATTCAAAGACTGCCAAATCTACCCACTGGCCAGAGCCAAGCAAGACCCAGTCGATAGTGGGCACAGTCCTTAGTGGTCCCACCGCCTACTGGCGGCCGGGGCCAAAGCAATGAAGTAATCCAGAACACAAGCAGAGCTCAATGGTTGGATTGACCCACTCCAGGCGGGAAGGTTACCCTTGGTGTGCAACCAACAGTGATACAGACCACTCCACATGGCTGCTGTAGCAAGTGACTAGCAACCACGCAGGTTGCCTACCATCACCACATGTACCAATCAAACCCTGCCTGGCAAGCTTGCCGATCAGACAGCAGGTCTACAGTGCAAATGGAATGGTGACCATTCGATGGTCAGATTAGTCATTAGTGGCAGAGAGTTAAGTAAGCAGTTACATCACCTCGCGCAGCCGGATGAAGCCGCCGGCGCCCCACTCTGGCCACAGCTGGCTGTGTCCCTCGCAGGTGCACACGGCTGTGAGGCCCAATCCCATTGCGCCAGTCCTCGGCCCAAACAGCGTCTGCAGCCGGCTCAGCATGTTCTCCTCATAGTTTGGCAGCGCCTGCTTAGTACAAACATCAAGATTATTGGCATTCTTTTCGTGTGCCCACATCAGCACGCGCCTGATTGACGCTGTACTAATGATGGGCATGTCGTGCATTCTCCATAATATGGTCGTGCAACACGAAAGGATCACTTTGTTTTCAGCTCTCCTGCCAAGATTATCAAATCATCGCTCTTGATCGTTTCAGAGGAGAGCGCTTCCATGCCTGAAAATGGGTACAAGGTCTGCGGTGTACAGTTCACAGAACAAACCACTGCGGGAACCCCCTTAATTTTTTTGCCCCAAATTTGAAGATGTTGGGCTTCAAGATCACCAAAAAATCAGTGTTCATCTGAGGTTTCCCTGAGCCTCAATGCTGTGCTGCCAACAATGTCCAAGCGCAACAGTCCACAGATATTCCAAGATGGCCAATTCTGAGTGAGACAGGGCCAATTTTGGACGGTCATTTGATTTGCTGAGAGAGCTTGCCTGAGAGAACAGCACGTGCTGCGGCAGCCGCTCATAGTGCGCCACAACGTGCCGAAGGTAAGTCTCCTGCTCCCGGCCAATGTTTGGCACTTCATGAATCTCATGCGCGAAACTGAGCTCCCGAGCTCGCGCGAAAAACTCCGGGCCGCCCTTTACGTACAGAAAGATGCGCGGACGAGTGGCTGCCACTGAATGGATGCTCAGCAGCCGCTGCAAGTACTGCTGCACCTGCATTATGTCCTCCTGTTGCATCACTATCATTGTCGGTTATCACATGCATGTCCATTTCCAGATTGAGCACTGTTTGCTCCCTGCAGCATGGTGCATTCTACAGCACTAGTGACGCTCATTATCAGATTACTACTACATGCATGTCCAATTCTAGATTGAGCACTGAGTTCTCTCTGCAGCAAGGCACTCTCTGCAGCCCCTAATGATGGCGCACTTGCATCCCGTCAGTTTCTTGCGCACTTTCACAGATGCTGAAGTGACCTGAGGTTCTTTGCTGACGGACAGGCATGGCCAAAGTTCTTCCCATCCTTATGAGGGGTATCCCCAGATCTCCGCATTCCCTCAATAACCCGGTTCTGTCAGGCACTCCAAGCAGCGGCCTCTGCGACTTAGGGCACATGCACAGCATTCCAGAACAGTAAGAGCTGCCCTCATGGTCTAGCTAGGATCACTGCAGACTGCCCACCTGGTACATAGAGATGACAATGTGCATTCCGGGAGCATGCGACGCAGCTTCCGGCGCAGTGAAAGCCAGGGAGTGCCTGTGCGCAGTCGTAGAAGAGGACCAGGCGGCGGCTGGAGCTGCGCACAGGAGGCAGACAGCCGCAAGGAAGGTTAGAGCTGCCACCTCCCTGGCAGCCATGGAAGGCGCCACTGCTGCTGTCCCTACTTTCTGGTGCAGCCAGGACAGGGGGCGTTAGGCTTGAAATTGCATTTCACATCCATAAATCTCCTGACTGGAACTTCACTTTTGTAAAACACGGGGCCTTGCTGTGTCCCGGTTGTCCAGAGACGTATGTGATGGATGGTTGACCGCAGCATCCTTGTCACTGCCGACTTTGGCATCCATGTAGCACCCCCAAAGACAAACGCAGGCGACAAAGAGCTGAAAATGCACCAGCATCGTTCATCACACAATGCACACCACTCCCTCAAGCCCCACTGAAAAGTTGTGGGAGAAGAGTGCACGTCCGATCTTGTACCTCGATAAGGTGAGCAGGTGTTTTTGCCCGTGATCAGCGCTCACGAGAAGTACAATGGGCTTCTTGTCATGTTATGAAGCGGGCGGGCAACCTCTCATAGGAATCCGTGCGCATTCGAAGGAATTTAATAGATGGCCCGTAGCCGGGATTCAGGCAGCCAGCTGTCAAAGAATGGAAGCTTGGCACGCCCAAGTCGGGACAATGGATGCCAGGCTGTTTATTAACTCCAATCCAGTACAGCAGTATCACTAAGGCGAGATCGAGATCACCCCCACGAATGCACGAAAACGAGTCCGAAAATACAAACGCCGAACGGGGGGTCCTCCACACGTGCAGATGGAACCCCGGAGGCACTTGTTGACACACCCCGTTGCCACCTGGCTCCCATGTGCAGATGTGATCTGAGAGGCATGGCAGTGTCATCGTCACATTCGTTATCTGGCACCCGGCTAGTTGGACTGGAGTTGCAAGTTGCTTGGATCTGGCGGGTCCAACGAGGGGTAGTAACGTGGTAGCCTTTCACCGCAGCTTGTCTGCCTGGCAGGACGAGAATTGCCTCTTGGCAGGAATATAGTAATGACAACCATGCTTTACATGTCAACGCAGCTGTGTCATACAGCCTGTATGCTTATTAATTGACACATGGTAACAGGCCTCCAAGAAGGGGTCTTGATGGCAACATGCATTTCTTGACAGAATGCTAGCCTGAGGCTAGTTTTAGCCTACACTTTGTGGGACATGGGTTTCCAATGATTTCCATCAGTGGCTGCTTTGACGCCTCCTTCAATTGTGAGTGACAGTACACAGATCCCAGCTAGTGGCCCGAGAGGCCAGGATTGTCAGAAATTGCAAATTTACATGATATGGATGCCATACAACTACTGAATCAACTGCAGTTCACGTCATCCAGAAAGGCACTACAGAAGGAATAGCTACACAGGGGCCATCTCTCATGTCTGCAAGTCAGGAACATGGCGCTAACGTGCTTCAGTCCCTGCTGATAGCTAGTTAGTCTGCTGCAAATGCATCCATATGGCTACAGCTTTGTCAACGAAACCGCCAATGCCCAACCTTTATCAACACAGCAACCGGTGTTACATGCGGACAACTGCCGCACATCAGTACAAGCAGCCTCTCGTGCATGAGCAGCACAGCACTTCAAGGCAGTGTGCCTGCATGCTGATGTGATGCCTGCAGACCAGTGCACAACGTACAGTACCTTTGTCCAACCATCCGAACATGCAAGTCTTCGTCTCTGCAAGTGATCTGTAACTTTGGTGCAATGCCACCCTATGTACAATGGCGCGGCAATCATTGCTGGCAATAGTAAGCTGAGAGTCCAACACATTTATTCCTAGCTGGGGTGCCCACTGCATGATAGCTACTCCACTGGGGCCTGAGGCTCCATAATGAAATTGTGGTGCGCATGCGTCTTTACTCAGAATAGCTACCGGTGGATATATGGTATAGCAGGATGCCTACAAGCTACAGCTTTTGCCCTGCTGCAAGGATCTACGTCAAGTGCATCAGCACGGGGCATATATCTTTATTCTCTTACCGTCAGGCCCAATCAGAACTCCCGGGTGCAGGTGATGGTATTTCTACCCATGTCCTGTCTCTCAATGCTCAAGTGTCTGGAATGCCCCTTTGCCCGAGCCAGGCCTGTCTTTTACGCAACCCTGCTATGCATGCTGTAGTAGGGTGCCCCACTTAAAGGTTGTCTGGTTACTAATGACCAGAGGAATGCAACCAGAAGAACCCCCCGCCCTCGTCAAGACCCCTGGGCCAGGGGGATTGCGTGCAGGGCCCCAGACTTGAGCCACACACTGCGGCCTGAAGTCTGCCGGCCCTGCACCGAGAATTTTCTCTGTACAAATCAAATAGCCTTTCTCTCATCACTTCCCTCGGCAGCCAGCGTGCTCTGCCACATCATCATCGCGGCGCCTCATCGGCTGAGTGCCATCACAAAATCCTCTTGTCACAAAATAGAACAATCAATGTTTCCTGCTCCATCACCAGCAGCAGCAGCTTCGTCTGCAAGCCGGAGGACCATCCACAGTGAGACAGGCCACACATAAACGTGCTGAAGCTCTGGGCTGCAGAGCTGGCGCGTTTTGAGTGGCTGGATGTGTAGAAGTCGCGCATGCATGCGCGACCGGTCTGAATTGGTGTCGCTGCATGCGCATGTTGCGGCTGAGTTGCGCCAGATCACGCGTGGTGGTGGCTGCCAGGCCTGCCCGCTGCGGGCAGCGCGTGGTGCCCGGGCGGGCAGAAGCGCTCCTTGGGGGCCGGCGCGAACAGCGCGTGCACGATGCGGCCTGAGTCTGCAGCACAGATACTGACACTCAGTCCGACACTTGCAATTTCTGGCGTGACAGCTGACAATCAATGAAGTGAAATCATATCAATCCCCAGAGTGATTGCTATGCGAAGAAGGGTCCTGCATTGTCCTTAACAGCAAGAGATACATGGCGCGCACATGCAAAGCCAACTCAAAAAATGATAGTTGCAGCCTGTGCGCTTGTGAGTGGGATTACTGGGTGGCAAATATGGACTTGTTTGGCCCGATGAATGAGACCCCTTGCTTAGTAACAGACATAAGATACGTGGTTAAAAATCTTCATCATGAATGCATTAGTGACATCACCAGATAGGAGAGGAAGATAAAGGTCACCTGCGGAGGAGCCCTGGCGCTGGAGGAGGTGGGAGGGGAGGCCCCCCAGCATGCGGCCGCGCGGGGGCGTGGCTGGGTGGACCAGTCCCCCCTCCTCGCTCCACTTGAACGCCGGCACGCTGCCGCCCACCTGCGCGCACCAATCACTCAGCGGTTACTCATCATGCACGATGAGGGAACAAGTTAATGGCGCTCATCGCAGACTACATGCACTAGATCGATGTACCACTGATCCAACCTCCAGCATCGAAGATACAATTTTGCCAAATTTGTAATCTTAGGCATGCAAAGAACATGGGACTACTCATTCAGCGATCGTTAGGAATCATAGAGTCAGGGTGGCTGAGGTTAAGGTTCAGCAATAACATTATTCTCTTGCAACCCCCAATAAACAAGTGACAGGGCCAGTGGGAGGGATGAGACGTCTGAAAACAGTGAGCGTGCCTGGAAGCATTGCAGGGAGGATGCGCGCGCGTCCACGTGGATGGGCACGGTGGTGTGTGCCTTGTGTCCTGCCAGGCCGGCCGGCTTGGTGTTGACGCGGATCTTCACTGGCGACCAGTGATCCCCTGCGATTGTCAGGCGCACGACAGCGTCAAAACGAGTGATAGCTATGTTGTGTTGCCGTGTTAACATGCTCTTAATTTCAAGCTGTAGCTTATAAAATGAGGACAGTAATGAGAATTGAAGCCATGCAATGGAGTTTAGAGAGGGGTGCAACACAGGAGCATGGCGGTGCATGAGAAAGGAGTTCAGACATACAAAGGAGCAAAAATCGCAACCATGCTTGCCAAACTATGTTGAATACCAGTCACTCAGCAAAGGGAAGATGAAGAAAAATGGGAGGGGTGGGAAGAAGAGAAAAGGGAAGAGAAGCCGGGTAAAAAAGACTGACATGGCAAATCAGTCGGGGCTGCTACGCGTGAATTGGGCCTCACATGCGCTGGGCTGGTGCTTGTGACCAAGGTCTTGGTCTGCTGGGGCGTGCGCGTCCCCTGCCCACTGCGGCTGCCCGCTCTGCCTGCCCTGGGCAGATGACAACACAGTCTCCTGTGTGCTCGGCTGCGCATCCTCCGTCTGTACGTTGAAGCATACGATTTTAATTCAGGCGCTCCAACAGGCAGGGAATTTCTAATGTATGTAGCTTGATTTGCTGCGACTGCAAGGGGAGCAAAATGGATCATTATGGAGCAAGTTTCCAGGCCGGGGTAGTCATATTAACTTTCTATGTTGTCCACCATAAGCTGGCAACAGTAAACGGCTTGCAAATGTTTTTGTTACCGGGCACCTTCTGCAGGCACAGCCCTTTCTCTACCCCTCTGTAACGCCCACACCTGCTTTGCTATTGATCTTTGTTTGGCTCCTCAACAAACATTTCACAACTTCAAGAAAGCAAGATTGCATGCAGGAATAGGCGGGTGGGGATTAGTCACCAGGGAGGTGCAGGTGGAGGGCAAGTCGGAGGAGTCGAAGCGGCTGAGGCGCTCCCGGTACGCGGCGTGCCCTGTCCCGGTGCTCTGCGAGGTCGTCAGCGAGTTGCTGCGCCGCTTCTTCAGCGACTTGCTCGCCGTCTGCGCGCACATGCCGGCACATGCTTCAGCCGCCGCTCCCAGCAAGAGTATTCATTGCATGTCATAGCAAAATTCCTACAGGGTATATGTCATGGACAGACACCACATATTGGTACTTGTGTTGCATTGCATGAGGACCTAGGAAAAAACATCATTTTGCCAAAATTTTAGATAAACGCGCTTGCAGGTCTTGCTGGGTGCTTACAGAGGAGAGAAGAAACAGCTCTCTCAGTCTAGACAATTTGTAAATTGATGTCGTGGTGATAAGGGACGTGAGAGGAATTGCACACCCGCTTGAGGGGGAAGCCGGTGCGCGCGCCGAGGCCGGCCTGGCCGTCGACTGGGCGGTTGCGACCGTGCGTCTTGAGGTAGATGCCGCACGCATTGCACATTATCAACCCTGCAGCACACACACAAATCACACACTTACATCATCAATAGTTGTGACGCCAGTATCTGAGACACAACCTCTAGGCAACTGCAGAAGTGCTAGTAGACGCAAGGCACAGAGCAACAAGTCACGTCATAACTTCCTTCCACAGGTGCCTTGCTGCAAGCAGGGGCCGAAAGATCCAACGCATTGCTTCTTGGACATGCATTTGCAGGAAGTTTAAAGGAGATATTTTACTAATATTAGAACTACTATTATTGCCATTTTACGGGAAAAACTTTGAGGGGAGAAAAAGAATGCACACCTGAGGGGCGGTCCTTGCGCCAGAGCGGGGTGGAGGTGGTCTGGCAGTTGGCGCAGATTGTGCCAGTGCCCTTGGCCCCGTTCACCGGGGGCGATCCACGCCGCTGCACCGGCTTGCCTAGATTGGACTTGCGCGCCAAGCCCATTGCACCTGCAGAGAAAATGTGTCAATTTTGTCAGATCCTGGAATTCTCACCTTTGACAGAGTGTGAGCGCACAGAGACGGTCCCAGGTCTGTAGTGCACTCTGGAAGGAAAAGTCCTCCAGAAATGGGTGGCGTCAGCTTCGCATGCGACTGCTGAAAATTGCAGGAGCCATGCATACCACTGGAAGGATTCTGAGTACCGAGCACAGTGTCAAGCTGGTGCGAAGCCCACAAGTTGAAGCGTGCGAAATGGGTCATGAAGAGTTTGTTATGGCGAGGAGTTGTTGTGGCTTGATCTGGCCACAGTCAATTGCGCTGGCCTGGAAGCCTGAACTCGCAGCTGGCAGGCCAGAAGCTGAGACAAGATGAGTCACCTGAGCGGCCAGCGGTGCTGACGTCAGAGGCGGCTGAGGGGGAGGAAACAGGGGAGGCGGCGTGCGGCGCGTCCCGGTAGACGCGCAGAACGCCCCATGACTGGTGCCGGTCCCCCATTCCGCCGCCGAGCATCACCCGCGCCTTCTTCATGTACGCCAGCGTCTGCACAGCACCTTTCTGTATGTTTACAAAGTTGATACAATTTTTGCAGTTAGACAAAGCAAGACAGTCGCAGGAATGTGACGCATAAAAACTCTTCAGAGTTGTGAGGGAGAACCTGCACGCTCACAGCCGACAGCGGCAGTGAGATGCAGCGACTGTTGTGGTGGCTCGATGTGATATTGAAGCATGCGTGGAAGCTTGCATGGATTTGGGTGAGCTTTCACTGGCCTATACGCGTCGAGGGAATAATGATTCTAGAAGCAAAGGCAGTGACAAGAAAAGTTACTCACCTGTACGGCGCCGTCGTAGTCAATGACGGCTGAGTTGGAGAGCAGCCGGGTGATGAGCGTCAGCCGCTGCTCCTCAGCTTCCTCCTCGCCCAAGTCGCTGCCACCTGGCGGGGACACCAAGACAGGCAATCAGCTTTAGACATTTCTTTCATGGGCAGCAGTCTCAATGTTTGGTCTGCACAGGGACAAGAGGTTGAGATCTGTGCTGGCATCCACTGCACCTCAAAAGAAACCGGAGACGCATGCACACACAACAAGGGTCGGGCATGTCTGTTGCAGTCCTGTCACTACAGCATCCTACAGGGCAGCATGAGCCCCACAGGCTCACCTGCAAATTGGTGTCCAGAGAATGAGAAAAGGACAAGTGGGGAGTGTGACTCACCCTCGTCGGAGTAGTCATCGCTCTGGCTGCCCTTGGCACCGCACCAGTCAGCCGCCATGTCATCGCCCCACTCGCGTGCGCGGCGCATCCGGCTGGAGCGCCTCTGCAGCCCCGCCCCGTAGTCATCCTCTCCCATCATCTGCGTGCTGTCCAGGCTCTGATCGGCCTCTGACATTGCCCTGCGCCATTTCACAATATCACCTAAGCAGAGCCTAGATATCATGCAAAATCTATATTGAGCTGCCTGGAAAAAAGTCCAAGATGTACTTCAAGCAGCTGATGTACAGAGAAGCAGCATGCAGGTCTCAAACATGTGATAGCTCCTGTACTGTGCCAAAGGAGACATGGTCAGAGTCCTGCCTTCAGCGCCCTGGAGCACAGAAGCAGCTGTGCCGAACTACAGTGCTGCTGGGCACTGATGAAAGTGGTCTTGGTATGGTGAGGGCCGCGCCTGTTCAGGAGGAAGCTGGGGGTGCTGTTGCTGGCCGTCAGGCGTCGAACCTCCGCCTTGATCGGCGGCAGCGCCGGCGGCGCCGGGCCGGCCTCGTCGCCAGCCGCGCGGCCAAACGCGCCGGAGCCGGAGCTCTCGATCAGCTCGAGCGGCCGGTGGCGGCCGTGGTTCTTGAAGTAGATGCCGCACGCGTTGCACATGACCAGACCGGTTGAGCGGTCCTTGCGCCACAACGGCGTGTAGTTCGTTTGGCAGTTGGCGCACTTTTGCGGGCACTGCAGAAAAAGGAGAGTATTAGTCAATATGATACAATCTGAGGCTAGGAATGCAAGGTTCGCGAGCCCGCCATAAAGATCTAAGAGCTACAGCACTGCACTCATAATGCGACTCACAGAAGCAGCAGGCAGCCTGTTTTGTCATCTATGGTGCGTGTGCTTGCATCATTACCCTGGTTGGCTGGTGCAAGGAGCACTCGGTCACTAATTATGTGCTGTATTACCGGGTGCCTCAACTAGAGCATGCATCATCTTCAAGGAATATTCAAAGGCCGAGCACAGTATATTAAATCGTGCTGGGTCGGCCTCAGTCACCTTGCCGTCGGCGGCCGTGCAAGCGGCAGCTTTAGCGGTGGGAGCGTCCCGGAGGTTGCCGCCGAGTTGGATGTGGGCAACGGCGGTGGGCTCCTGCGGCTGGCTGCTGTGGCAATGCTGCAGCTGCTGCTGCTGCAGCTGCGCGGCGGCTGCCTGGGAGTCGCAGAAGGCCTTCTTGGGCAGCATGGCGCGGGCGCGAGCGTGGTCGGGGCTGACCTGGCGCTGAGCTGGCGCCGGGCTGCCCGGCTGGGCAGGCTTGGGCAGCTGCTCCGGACGCGCGTGCATGTACCGCAGCACGTCCTGCAGATCACATCCTCTGTTTGTCAGTCAGTCAGTGGCATGCATTGGTTTAGCCAGCGCATAATGTAAAAACCCTCCTCCTGCCCAAATCATCTTCATTATTGTTCATCTTGCAAAAACAATCCTGATGCATGCATGCACCTCTATCCACCAAGTTGGATTTGGAATTTGAATTTGATCTATAAAATAGACTGCCTGTGCAGAATGCCAGCAGCTTGAACTCATTATTCTGGCCATACGCATGCAGTCATGACATGCTGCTGCTCCTGTACATTTTAGATATAGGTGAGTCTGGGATAGGAATGCATGACAGCAAGGTGGGAGCACCTGGATGGAGTTAAGCGGGGGCGGCTGGCCGGCCGGGGTTGGAGGGGGAAAGAAGATGCAGCCCGAGGGTTTCAGGGGAACTTGATCGCTGGTCCATCCTGATTTGGCCAGCTGCGGCCACACAGCGTCCCAGAAAATGCCCTTGTTTGACTGTGTGCTGTTCAGCAGGCCCCCTATGTTGGCATGTGTCAGGGGCGCATCTTCCACCTGCAGACATTATAGAACTGGTGTCAGATCGGAGAAGAATGGCAGTTCCGGAGGACAGTTCAGCCGCAGTCATGCCAATACTCATGTCCGGAAACTGTCAGCAATATGCAGCATCATGCAATGTATTGAGGTACACAGGCAATGCCTTCGTGCACCATGCATTCTCCCTTCTAAGAAGACGATGTTGCTGCCTCTCTAAGAGTACTGCGAAGCGCAAGCATTGGCAAAGAGGCCTCAGCACACTGCAAAACGTAAGACATTGCAGGTGCTGTGAGCTGTGAGGGACAGCACCTGAGGGGATGGAGACAGGTCGCAGCTTCGCACAACGATGTCACGGCCGGCAAGGGCGATCAGGCACTGCATGAACGTCTCCAGGCTGATCTTGCTCTGGTTGTATTTCTCTGCGCAGCTGAGTGCCTCCTGATGCCTCTCTAACTCCAGCTCCCTCCCTGCAGTGAGGATGAACACCGTGAGAACAGCCTTGGGTCTGACTACATTGCAAGATGGGAGACTCTTGAGGTCCTTCCTTCTCTTGGATTGTGACAGCTCTTGTGGCGAGAGCTGCCAAAGGGCCTGCAGGTGCCATCAACCAGGTGGGTGGCGCACTGGCCCTTCAGTGTGCGTGACATCATACCAAGGGCGTCTAAATCAGATGAAATGATAAGATTTGTAGTACAGGTTGCGGGTTCTTTAGGGAGAACGACCCTGTAAACGAGGTGTCAACCTTGCAGTCATCACAGGGATGTCACCAAATGTCCTTCAGATTCTACATATAAGTCTGTCCCTACGATGGAAGATGGCACTCTATACCGAACGTGTTTGAGATTCAGCACTGGCCAGTCCTAGGCATCAGAATATGCTGCTCTGTGCATTGTTAACATCAGGTAAGTGAATATTCTGTGCAGCCTGAGACATCCTGGCGCATGCAATCAGCCAGAAACGATGGTAGGAAATGACACTGGGTTCCTATGCTGCTGAAGGCAAGCAGAGTCGTCATCAGCACGTCCCTTGCCCAAGAGGAGTTCAAATCAGGAATTGTCAGCCAAAATATCACGAGCGCTGGGATGGCCTTCTTGACGGCTCGATGTGGTGCCAAGAAGGGCCCCGATATACTGTGAGAGTCCTTCCAGAAGTTGATGAGCGTTTGAGACCTTGGGCCCTCGTGAACCGGGCTTCCCAGACCAACGGTCACGACTGATGGCGGGAGACATCAGACCAAGGTTGGCATATCAAGGCTGAATGGCGGACACCCCGGCCTTCTCAAACGCTACTTCAGCTAGAATTATGCCCGTGGAGAGCTTTACAGGTGAAAGCAGCAAAATCCATCGGGAGCAAAGAGACCCACCCAGTTCCGTGAGCAGCCGGGCCTGCCTCCGGCCTGTAACTATGGCCTCTCCCTTCACGCCTCCATCCAATGCGCCTTCCCGCCACCGACGATGACTGCTGCTAAACTTTATTTCGGCATAGTAGAATAGGACGACTTCCTGAACCTGCGCGACGCCATCACGTCCTGATTCCCAACTGCCCTTGCGTGTCACAGACGAAGCTGGAAAGTCGAGGAGCTGGTCGCCCCGCCTAGCTCAGGATGGCAACAATGCAATCTGAACGGGAGGTGGCCGTATCGGATTTAACGCTGCAGAGAAGGCATCGACTTGCTGACATCCCCTCTTGCCTAAACTATGTCACACGATGGCCAGGGCTCTTACCTGCTTTGTCCCAACTAGGCACTGGATTGCCGGGAAATACTTGCCGAAAAGGCACATCCCAAGATTGAATGCCTCCTTTTCCTCCTGCGTCCATGATCCCTCCTGGTGCTGCCTGCCCGAGTTGTCAACCTCATGCTGGTCCAGCTGCGCTGCTTCCCCTATGCCTGCTGCTGACAGCGGGTCCGGCTGTGCCGTTCCGGCGTCTAGTCTGTCCATACCGATTCCTAGAGGGCTTCGATGCTGGTGTGTGCCCATCTGATGATGGCCCGTTGCTGTCTCGTAGTGCCCAGCCAGAGCACCTGCTCAACACGGGATGCTAGGTAGCGTGATGGCCGAGTTCCTTGGCTACCGTCCGTTCCGCTGGCCCTGATACCGCCCCCGATGCTTTGCTGTCTCGGACTGTGCTGTTGATGGCGGAGTAGCAGAGTTCACAAGTACGAGGCAGACAGATTCCCGAGGAAGGCAGGGAAGCTCAGGGTTCGGTTGCCTCTTTTGGCAAGCCGACACAAAAAAATAAAAAAAGGATCAACCACCTGGGGCACGTCAGCAGCTTTTCAGAGGCTCACATGGTGCGTAACAACGTCCCGTGGAGCAGTGCATGCCGACGATGGTTCAGCAATGTGTGGGCTGGATGCTGCCAGTGTTTCTTTTACCGTCCAGCAAAAGAATGAGCCTGGAAAAGGCACCTTCCTGCCGCAAGTGCACGCCATCAAAGCAAAAGAATGATGAACAGTTAATATCTGGATCTTTTGAAGGCATCAGCAGTCCATGATTAGGCTTGTCCTCAGCATCACAACTCTGAACTGCTGCAATAGACTCACGTAAAACGTTGCTGGTACAGCCATCTTGTTCTGTAGTCCATCAACCACGCGACATTTCACAAATTCTCGCTAATTATCATGTCAAAGCAGCTCTTGTGGTGTTCAAGACTCATCTATGTCGGAATAACGCAGCATCATCAGCTCTCCTCCTCGCTGTCATTGTCATCAATGTAGGGCGTGATGTAGTCATCTGCTGTGAGCTGGTCAGATGCCCTCATCGCCAGCCCCTCCTTCTTCTTCTGCTTCTTGATGCTCGCCACCACCTTCTCCGCAATCGCCTGGCCTACCTTCTCAGGATCTGCCATTCACAAAGACGACTGTGAACACATCTTTCACTACATTGAGTATGGCATGAAGCTCAATGCCATACACAATTCATCAAGCTTCTCCTAGGACTCAATCTCCTTTAGGAGATCATTTCAGTAAAGATGCCCCACAGTGTTCTCTTCTCCCAAGTGACATGTCTGCAACTGTTTCATTGCTGAAGTAGTCTGTCCGGACAATCACGTTTGCAAAGACCTCGACGGGCAGACAGGAAGGCTGTGTCGTATGTATGTTCTTCGCCTTAGGCGCCAGTGTTAAACACCAGAATATTATCAGTATCCTTATCCTTAGGACCGTCTGCCAGCAAATTAAATTCCTGCCCTGTACTTTTCAAGTGAGCCCCCGTACAGGTGCATGAAAAGAGCGCAATGAGAAATGCTGCAGTGTAATCAGCGCGCACCTCCTTCCTCATTGTTGGGCGACCTGCTGGGGTACTCCAGATATTTGCGCGGTCTTTGCCGGGACCCCCCTGTTCTCGTCCAGATCCCCCGCCGCTCTGACGCCTGCTCACAGGCACATACCACCATCTCTCTAAAGCATTGACTTATACCAATGGGGATGTCACATTGTTGCAATTGGTATACTTGACGATTCTAATCAGTCTCTTTGCCAGCCAGTCAGGCGCTGGCTGCTCCTTCCCATCCACAAGCGGACAAACACATGTGCCACTTCCTAGGGACCCGCATGCTGCATGCCCTCTGAGACGAGGTCCTGCAGCAGAGGGTTGAGGCTGTCACCTTGAAGTCAAAGGGCAGCTCCACTTGGGCGAGGCGCGCCCAGTTGGGGGTATGCCGCCGCACTGTGGGGGATCCGCTGCACTCCGGGCACGGCACCGTCCCTGCCCAGATGGGCTGAGGGTGCGGTCTCCGCCTGCACACACCAAATTACTCGTTGCTGAGGCATTGTCGACGATCCAACACAAGCTACTCTGAATTGTACCTCATTGTAGCTGCGCGCATCAGTGCCGGTTCTGCTGGTGCAGCCATCCTGTTGGCGGTGTGCACTTGTGGCAGGCATGCTGCTCTGGCATTCGCAGTGTTTATCTCACCCCTGGTACAGCTAGAGCATGCTTTATACCCATTCTGACGCTTCCCCAAAGGTGGCCTCTACATTATATATTATATAGTAATACACTCCTTCATCCTAATACTAATACATTCCTTTCATCTATCTCATAACCCCTCATGTCCTTGTGAACCCTAGTACGAGCCTGCTTTCCCGACAACAGGATCAATATGCAGAATGCACAGCAGAAGAGATGAGGACGGCATATATGTTCGGTACCGGTACTGCCACAAAAAGTAAGCGAGGCGCTCATCGCAGCAGCAGCAAAGACACACACACATTTTGCTGACTGTATCTTCACAACACCCAACATCTCCAGCATCCTCCACAGCACCCTACATCACATGCTCGGTGCACCCGCCAGCCGTAGTTCTCTGGCAATTATTAAATGAACCGGGAGGCTGCAGAGAGAGCCGCACTTGTTGGCGAGGGCGGCTTTGAAATTGTCCATGAGGTGGTATGCCTCCTCCTCATTGTCCTGCTCCACCTTGTCGAAATCGTACTTGGTGGTGGGCCCGCAGTAAATACAGGGGTACCTGCAGACGCCAAACAAGCATCAAGTCACTGCCTTGAAGCCTGCGTCTGCAGCTTAACTGCTCCTCTTGCCTGTGCAGCCACCCTCCAATACAGCGCTGTGAGTAGAACAGATCTCCCATGTACCCATTTTTCTTTGACTGCGATCCTCAGGCTCCTCCCGCTGCCCAAGGACTGCTCAAGCATGCATGCGAGCGCTGCTCTGTGCCAACAGGCCATGCATGCAGCAGCTAAGCCAACATGAAGCAGCTGCGTGTAGATCAAAAGATGCCAGGATGAAGGAGTATTGGACGGCCTGCTAGCCGAGGAGTAGTGATGAAGCCCCCTTATTGATTCCCCCATCTGGCTGTCCGCAGGTGACTGTGTGTCGAGGTAACCACTGCTTGAGTCAGAGAGTATCTAGGAAGCTCACGTGTCCCAGGCCGAGCGGTCCACCACTTGGGATCGGTTGAAGTGGAACTCTCCCGGCCTCTTGCGCAGCGTTTTGGACCCGTGGCAGTGGCGGCAGATGGTGCGGCCGGTGCCGCGGCAGTAGTCGCACTCGCTGGTGAAGATCTCGTCCATGAGCACCCACATCTGATTGATCACGATGCCGAAGGAGGCCACCTGCAGCAACGCGGCACATGTGCTGAATTAAATCTGCCATGTGCTGTTTGGGAAGGTCTACACTGTTACAGCCGCAAATGGACATTTTCACGACCACACTGTCATTCCTGCAAGGACCACGCCTGCTTCACAGTTTGTCTGAGTTGCAAGGCAGAGGCCTGATGCGCGCAGACTGACTTGTACAGGTTACCCAAGAGCCAGACACCCAGGTGGGCAGAGATGTTTTCTTCTGAAGAATATTATATGACTTAGTAATTTCATACATCAGAGAGCAAAGAGAATTATCCCGTACCGTGCTAAGTCCTCGAACAACATCAAGGATGGGCTCTGGACTCAGCATCTCTGCTGGCCTGCGGCAGCTATGGGGTCGAGGACTTTTCAAATTTGATAGCTGCACATTGGAAATATCCTCTCGCTCTTAAAACGCCTGGCAGCCTTTTAAATGGCAACACCTCAAGTACTTACAAGATTGTCCAAGAGCGTGTTCTAGCACAGTCGATCGTGACAAAGGATCAAACTTCTAGCGAACATTTCCTTATAAATGAATTGAAGTTGAGGATTGTGCACAAATTGCTTGCCTGTCGTCTTCCTTATCTCTCGATAGCTTACTAACAGTTTGTCACCGCCCGCATCGCACAAGCCTTGAACTTCAAGGCTTGAAGGGCTTCCACTCCCTTAAAAGCACAACAACCGATTCTTTGGAAGGGAACTAGATACTAAAAAGAAAAAGATATCAAATTAGCACCACATTCCTTTGAGCCCTTTCAATTTTCATCGTCACCTTTCCGTGGTTACTAGCCTCATAGCAACTTGGCACCGCCTCGATACAACGCGGAATATGGCTGATCCCGAGGTTCTCTATGTTGATGCTCACGAAGGGGAGCCAATGCAGTTCGAGAGCCTCTGTATGGAATGTATGGAGAACGTGAGTTGTGCATTTTCGCCTCTGCCTGTTTTATCCTCGTAAATCCTTCCACTCACCAATTTGCCGATATTAACAAGAGATCATTGTTACAGGGTACAACGACCATGGTGCTTACAAAGATCCCGCACTTTCGAGAAGTCGTGGTCTGCTCCTTCGAGTGCGAACACTGTGGAAACAGGTGCAAGCCAAGGCTGCGTCATGCCTCTCTGATTGCGCAGAATGCACATGTTGTTTCTTTTGCTTCGAACTGTCAGGACAGAGCAATCATGCTGCCTGCCAGCAACGAAGAGCGATTGTGCTGCACAGGAACAATGAGCTCCAGTTTGCTGGCACTTATGGGGAGACTGGGGTGCGATACTCCCTGTCGCTCCCTGCAGGCGACATGGAAGCTCGCAGCAGACAGGTGACCTTATCTCTCTGTACAATGCAGGTCTGAAATTTATCCCTGGCACAGGGTGCACCGGCATTCATCTGCCCGTGCTTCAAAGGCTCCATGCGAAATGGCATACCGCGCCTGCATAAGGGCGGATGTCATGCCAGTGTTTCAATGCTGGGATGTGCCTCACGACATCCACAGATATTTTTCTTCTGGTTGACATATCATAGGTAGAGAGAGGCTTGACAGACTTCTATGCAATGCAGGTGGTGAAGTCGGACGCTGCAACTGCGAGCGTGCGGGAGTTGGAGTTTGAGATCCCGCCAGCGACGCAGAAAGGGACGATAACGACGGTGGAGGGGTTGCTGCGCGAAGCAGGGGACGCGCTGCGAGCGCTGCAGCCGCAGCGCATCCTGCAGTCCCCTGAAACCGGGGCAGCCGTTGCAGCTTTCCTCGGTAGGCTCGCCTTTGCTGCACCCATATCCTGCCTACATTGCAGCAAAGTAGGTAGATTTTACTACTGATATCATGCATGACAATCTTGGCGCCAGCACTGCGGAAGGCAGTAATATTTTGCAAGCCGCCATCAGCCGCATCACTCGTGTCACGCATGCACCAGCCTGTAAGCACAGCATCATAAATATGCCAATACCCGTAGACTTGTGACCTGGAATTGTTTTGGCTTGCAGACAAGCTGGACGCTTGCTTGGACGGCAGCACGGCCTTCACGCTCGTCCTGGACGACCCGGCGGGCAACAGCTACATCGAGAGCACCGCCGGCGCTGATGCAGCGGCCGGCCGCGACCCCCTGCTGAAGCTGGAACGCTACGAGCGCACGCCAGCACAGGTGCCCATTTTATTGACAATCCTTTAATGTTTTGAACACCCTCTCGCTGCGTTTTTTTGCTCCATGCATGCACCACCCTTGCCACTCACTCCAAGACACCGCATGCGACAGGACCTTGTTGCCTGTCCAGTCACATTAAGTCTGAACTCAATAAGTGCGATCCTCAAGCCAGAAATAGCACTGGGTTCAAATTCAGCGAGTCTGCAACGTTCTGTCGGGGCCCTGGGCTGGATAAGGCGCTAGTGCTGTGCTGTCCAAGCGCTGTCATGCCACCCAATCCATAAGTTCAAAACAAAGAGCGGCGGCGGCGCCCACCACAAAGAAGCAGAAGACCAAACAGGCGCCCAGCACCTCCTAGGGCCGCTCAAGCTGGAGAGGTGCATGCATGATCTCAGGATCAACTGTCGCATCTCTAACTTTTCTTAATGGTTTCGGATGTGCAGACGGAGGCGATTGGGCTGCTGCCGAGCCCGGCGACGGGCCCATCGGGCAGGGGGATTGGCGCGAATGGGCTGCCCGAGATCGCGGAGGACGACGTGCACCACGGAGCCGCGCCCGTCGGCGCAGCAGCCGCGCGCCGCGGTCTCGCCAAGTGCGCTGACCAATTGTTTGTTGAATTTTTTGTTCCCGGTACATCCAATCCTGCTTGCAATCGTTTGCAGTGCCGCATAGCACAGCACTGTATGCAGCAGGCTAGCGGGGCGCTTGGCTGCAGCAGTGCACAGCAGGAGCTGTGTGCGACATATGTTACAGGCCGTCGTTCGAGCCTATAGCAGACATATGTTCTGCAGCAAACTATGACACAGGTGGCTGAGTAGCAGCCTAGTGAGCAAATGTTAGTAGCCGAGCAGCAGAGTTCCCCGAGTGGGCGCACAAGCAGACAGGTGGCCCCTCACAGAGCCCAACACAACTCTCTGGGGTTCCTTCTCTGCTGTTGAATACCAAACTTTCTCAGCCCTTGCAGTTGAGGGGCTGGCATGCAGTCAGCTGTGTGCTCTCTGCTGCATATTATATGGGACCATGTCCGCTGCAGGATGGAGGGCGCAGCAGAGAGCTCGCTGATTCATCGCTATGCGGCGCCTGAGGAAGTGGTGGAGCTGCCCAGCCACTGCAGCGCCTGCGGCAGCCCCTCGACTGCGCGCATGTACCAGACCCACATCCCCTTCTTCAAGGTGACCTGCCCTCCATTTTCCTCTGGTCATGAGTTATCAGATGACTTCTAGGTGGGGTCGCCTATTCACAGCATGCATGCATCTCAGACACTTGAGCTTTGAGAGACAGGACATGGGCAGACATACCATCACCTGCACCCGAGCCATTTTGCCGCTCAAGTGACTGAGAGCCTCATGTTTTTAGCAATACCCTGCTGCTGAGTGGCATCCCCGGCTCTGATATGCGCGTTCTTGTAGCTGCGCGCATCAGTGCCAGCTCTGCTGCTGCAATTGTTCATATGGCGGTGTGCGCATGCAGCAGTTGGCGTCTGTGATGGTACTGACAATATAGATTCATCACAGCTGCCGAGCCATTGTTTTGGTACTCATCATGGCTAGATCCTTGGGGAATCTCATTCATACCGGCACTCTTCTGGTCCAGGTGGGGGAGACTGAACGCTTGATGTCTGGTTGGTGCAGGAAGTGATTCTGATGTCGGACTCGTGCGACATGTGCGGCTACAAGAGCTCGGAGGTAAAGGGCGGGGGGGCGATAAGCGAGCGCGGCCGATCAGTCACCCTCCACGTCAGCGAGCAGGATGACCTGCGCCGCGATGTCATCAAGGCTGACACCGCTACGGTGCGTTCTCCCCTGCCCATGTGTCACTCTTTTGAGTGTCCGGTGAACACTACAGAACATAGCTGATTAGGCCCGGGACTCCCCCTGCCCATGTGTCACTTTTCTGAGTGTCCAGTGAACACTACAGAACATAGCTGATTAGGCCCGGGACTCTTAGTGCATGTTTGTTGGGGCGGTACAGAGCATTCTTTCCACATGCGCAAGCAAGGCCCTGGTAAGGATCGGGTGTCTGGGCTTCTGGGCCTTGATGGAATGACTACTGATGGGTTAAAATGACTACTGATGGGTTAGAATGACCACCGATGGGTTGGAATGACAACCGATGGGTTGCACAGGCACATGCGCTGTACGGTGTTTTAGGCTAAGTTGCTTGTCGATCTGCAACAGGTGGAGATTCCTGAGCTGGATCTGGAGGTCAGTACTGGTACAATGGGCGGCCTCATCAGCACAGTGGAAGGACTGCTTGACACCATGTCACAAACCTTGAAGGGCACACAGGTCAGCTACCATTGTGGTCATGCCTGTGTGCCACTGGTGTCAGCCTGTATCACACTGTACTGCCTGCGTGCGTGTCCACGCTTGGTTGGGGGTCTGGCAATTCCAACAAGGGGCTGGATTGTGGCAGCCTTCAACTGCAGCTCGTCTGCAGGACGCACCTTGCCTCTTGGGAGGAAAAGCCTGTAGTATAGTAAAGAGTGTACTGTACAGTTCTGTCTCGCACTATGCAAGACGGGGACGGAGAGCTGTTGGACATAGGATCAGGCAGACTGGATCATAGACAGAATGCAGACACAAGAGGTGTTTGTGATATGATTTTGAGCAGTGACAGACTGCCTACAAGACCAGTGAGCCTCAGGTGGCTCTCAAAAGGTCTTCAAAATGTAGTAATAACAATTAAAAAACTGAGTTGAGTATTTACACTGCAGGGGTTCCATTTGGGGGACAGTGCAGTGGAGGAGCAGAAGAAAACATGGAAGACTTTCTTTGCCGAGCTGGATGCATGCAAGGCCCTGGAGCGCCCCTGGACGCTTGTCATTCGCGACCCCCTGGCGAACTCCTTCATCTCTTCCGTCACAGAAGACCCCATGAAGGACCCGCGAATGGAGGTGTGCATCTCCACAATAAGGCTCAGATCCCAACTCGTGACCTGAACAGAAGGTCACAAAGCTACCTGTGAAAATTCTGGGGTGTGTGTGAATGAGGGAGGGGTTAGTAAGCACAGCTTTTGAATGGATTATCCTCCTGAGCGAGACTGTAAGGGGTAAACCATCTACACAGAGACATTTCATTCATGGAGCCGGGGGAGGTGATCTACTCAAAATTGGGCTGTCTGCTTTAAAAAATGCAGGCCAAGCCTTGTGCTGTTATGCTGATGCGCTGTGTGGTGCAGATTGAGGACTATGAGCGCTCGGCAGAGGACGACGAACACTTTGGCATTGATCACCTGAAGGCCATGGACGCAGCGGAAGCTTCCAGGGCAAGAACGCAGCTGGAGACCGTGGAAGAGGAATCCAAAGAGCATGGGCATTAGCTAGCGCGGAATTACCTTGTGCACATGCATGTGCTTGGGATGTTAGAATGTCATGCTCATGATTTTGCAGTTTGCTGGCCTGGTAGGTAGGCAATCATGGTTTTGGGTGGTTTTGCCACATGTAGGAACGCGCATATACCTTGCAAGATTGATAGTCAGATTTATAGGATGGCATCCTTATGACAGCTGGTTCCGACAAGTCGTGCATCAGACATTTCTGAGAAGTTTCTTATGCAGATTCATGCAAATTTGGCTTAAGCGTATGCATATGCCTTTGGAAATTGCTTTGGTGCAGTTTCTGTCTGCATGCATGCATGGAGCGGTCTGCTTGACAGACTCTGTTGCAAATGAGTTAGCCAAGAAGGCAGCCGGCGCCTCAGCATGTTTGCCTCCCAGAGAGAGAGAGAGAGATTACACTTTTTCCAGCCACACAGGGCTGATTAAGCGTCCCACATATCTCAAACCATCAGTAGCACACACATCATGAATACTCGAAAATATGCATCCCAGCACGCAGACAAGTATCAACTGCTAAAAAGGACTGCAAGGCTGCTTGTGGATGTATGTCGGTCCAAATCAGCGACAAGTCAAGGGCAGGACATGGACGCAAATCACAGGCCAAACAAAGTGTGCGTGCTGCGGGTGGGTCCAGCCATTTGCTGTCATTGTAAAGACTGCCCAGATCCTTGCAATAACAGCGCTTCTCCCAAGGTGGCCTCTGCTGCCACATGAGTGTGCATGTGGGCTGTGACGTCACCATTGAGCCTCTCGAGAGGGGTTCGGAATCTCGAAGCGAAACAGTTACAAATGCATTTCTCCTCACAAGGCTGCATATTATGTATTGCTAGTGAATTGAAGCATCAAAAGGGCACCAATATCGTATTCAGCACCCGTGCATCTGCGCATGAAATATGGGGAATGAAGGCTAGATGCATAGAAGGCAACCAACAAGTATATTGGGCAGCTATTTTGAAAGATTTAAAAAAGTTGGTCTCAAAGATGCCTTCCGTCTGGCAGTCGGGGTTGCAATCTTTGGAGTAGCTACAGCAGTCCTCCTTCACACAGCAGAGCATACACCTGGACCCCAAGCGCAGACTTTCTTGCAATGGAGTCTGGGCTGTCTGGCAAGTTCCAAAGATGCCATCACTTATATCTTACCTTTTTGTCCAACTAAAAATGAACTGGTTTGTGGGCACGTGCTGATCCATCCTGTCGGTGAACACGTCGAGCTGCTCGACTTGTTCTATGCCAGCAGCAGTACAGACTTCTTATCGTTCATAAAAGGCAGATCTGGGGTCGCAGTGGGGAGCCATCACAGTGATAATCATAAACAGTCCAGTGCTGGGGAAGTGCGCTGTGAGCAGCCTGGAGAGGCTGATTGGCACCATCATAGGCGGCTGGATCGGATATGCCTTCTATCTGGCGACCAATATGCAGAATAGGGCCTGGCTGCCCATCATCAGCGTCATCTATGCCTTTGCTGCAGCAGTCATTGGGGCTGCCCTGGACGTGGGGGGAGCAGCAAATCTTTCCACCATCACCCTCCTCTCAGGCAAGCTGCCCCCTTCCTCTCCAATCAATACTCCTGTCAGTTTGGAGCGGCAGCATGTGTTTCTACCCGGGCCCCTTCTTTTGATCTGCATGGTCTGCAGCAAATGTTTCTGCCATCAGCCTGCTCTTAGGCATTTTGCGCTTGTCCCCTCCTCTCCGTGCAATTGTCAGCTCACAGCTGCACCCTGCACTCCCCCTTGCTCCTTTCCTGCAATTTGATCTTTTTGGAGCCTCAGAAGATGGCATGTCCCAAGCTGGCTACTGCCCCTGGCTGGAGGGGGTCGTGTGAGTTTTGAGCCTTAGGCCCGTGAACAAAGATTGCCTAGACGTCAAGATTAAGAACGGTGTAGTTGCAGCTGAACCTTGCCTCTTGGCAGGAGAGGCCGTGCAGTGATAGTGACTTGTGCTAATCAATTGCCATGATTAAGTAGCTAATAATCAGTAATGCTAGCACCGCATGACATCCAGCTGTCTGCGTGCAGTGCTGTGGGCGACGCCGAACTCGTCTGCGCTGCTTCTGGTGGGCGTGCGCATCGGCTGCATCTCTGCAGCAGTCTTCTTGGTTACTTTCTTATCAATCATCATCTACCCGCAAGTGGCCTCAGAGCAGGCACGCTCCCCTTACTAGACCTGGCCAGAATGCATGCACCCGAGATCCCCTGCCTGCCCTCAGAGTCATTTCAAGACAGAAAGTGAGCATATCAGCATGTCTCAAGTTAGGGCTTTCCATGCCACAGTGTGATGGCAGGAAAGATAAATGGTACAACATGGAAATAGTGGAGGTAAGAATGTGCAGGAATTGGAAATGCTGATCTGCTAATTTTAGATAAACAGAGTAGGATTCTGGACGAACAAGTTGAGCTGTCCTTCGAAGGGGTCGATAAAGTTCGATTTTGTGGCACCCTTGCTGGTTCAGCATGCCGCTTGATAGCGTACTATTTCTGAGCCTTTTTATGTCTAGGCCTAATATCTGAAAACACGATAGCGAGCTGCTAAGATTGCATCCGGGAATGCTTTTCCGCGTCCAGCAAGACATGTCTGCGAGTTCTCTTTGTGCAGGCCATTGACACTCTGAGGGCGGCCATGCTGGCGCTGTCCAAGCTGAATCAAGCAGTCTGGGAGGAGGTAGGGGCCATCTGTACCAATCACCAGAGCGTGCTGGTGCAGAAGCACGACCCTTCCTCACAGCATCGTGCTGGCATGCACCGGGTAGAGAAGACAGGTGCAAACGTCTGCCATCTCTCTTCATTGTAAGGTTAATAGGTGATCTGTGGGTTGCTGGGGTCACACCCGGCCTCACAGCACCGTGCTGGCTTGTACCGGGTAGAGAGCACTGGTGCAAACATCTGCCATATCTCTTTTTTGTAAGGTTGATGAGTGATCTGTGAGTTGCTGGGGTCACACATTGCCTCACAGCAGCGTGCTGGCTTGCACCGGGTGGAGGCTACAAGTGCAGACAAATCCCATATCTCTTCATTGTCAGGTTGATGATTGGTCAGTGGGTTGCTGGGGTCAAGCCATTTTGATGGTGAGTAGTGCCTGCCACCGCCGATTGAGGGATTTGCAAGCAGTGGTGTTCAAATAGCAATTCCTTATCGTGTGCAGGCGGCAGTGCAACGAGGCCAAAGACAGGAGCCTTGCTTGTGGAAAGGTGAGCCTCTGCTTCTGGCCTCAGCATACCGAGACGAGCTGGAAATTGTCGTGTGGTAAAACTTTGCATTGTTAAATTAGCATTGCCGCACCTCAGCAGCACGAGCATTCTGAGCTGGAAGATGTGATCTGCCGTTGCATCAGGACACGAATGCCTGGGGGTTTCACCATTAGATCGGTTGATTATTGCTGTTACCACAGTTCTATCAATATCAAGGAGCTCGCGCTGGAGTTATCGGAGCTGGAACCAGAGGGAAAGACAACGACCGGCTGCTCGCCATTTCAGCTGCTCATCAGGCGCCGGAAGGCACGAGTGGCAAAGAAAAAGGTGCTCTTTTGGCAGCATCATATTTCACATGCCTGCTCGTCCCTGCTCTGCCACTGCAAACCACTTGCAGACCACTGCAAACAACTTTTGAAAAATTTCCCAATGCACAATTACAGGCAGGTTCGGCTGCATCAGCAGTGCCTTTTCGCTCGTTTTGAATTCAAGTTCGAAAAGTGAAGTTGTGTCTGGTTGCCAGGAGCTGGAGAGGGAGCTTGGGGTGTTAGAGGAGAATGAGAAGGAGAAGTCCATGTGTGGCATTTTGGCGGAGGTTCGCGCGAGACTTGGGGAAATCCCCGAGCACATGCGCTGGGCACTCAATGAGGTGTGCCCCTTTTTTGTGCACTGCACGTTTGATCTGTACGTTGGATTTATCTGTACTGAGATGTGGGGGCACGTGGTGAGCTACGAATTCACCGAGCTAGCACGTGACATCATGTGATGCCATGGCACATGAGCAGACCGTCTTTCTGGGACGCTCTCTACTGTCCAAATAGAGAAGTTTTGGTTGCTAAGGTGTGATTATGAGGAGATTCCACTGGATTTGGAGCAATGAAGAGATGTGTGAAATCAAGGGTATAGTGCTGCTGGCCTGCGCATTGCTCCATCTTGATGCATGGCCTCTGAATCACCCAAGGAATCACCTGCAAGACACAGCCACACCTGATCTCATATCTAGCCGTTCAGCAAGGACTAGAGCAGGGGCATGTGATTTCTCAGGTGTACTTGGGGAGTTGGCATGGCAAGCGCTGGTACCTGCCCAACACCTCCTGCTACACCAGATTCATCGACAAGCAGGGCTGGCACATGCCTGAAAAGGTACGTACCTTCTTTCCTCTGTATAAAAGCCCACGGCAGGAATCTTTCCAGCTACCACAGTATAAGTACCTTCCCAACCCCGATCATACTTACCGGCATGCACAATGCTAGCGCAGGCTACTCTGTAACTTGAGAAACAAGTTCAGAGTCTTTTAGTTCAAAATTCGCCCTATCAGTGATACACTTGCTGGGGTAGCACACATAAATTTAATGCCTATCATCACCACATTTTAGAGAACTTTTGGGAGCCATCAGAAGCTGAAAGGTCTTGTGGGCAATCTGTCACTGCCTATCTTCATATCACAAACCTCTCATGTTTTTGCATTCCATAAGAAATTTGGCATCATTGATACTGGTGTGCTGAGCAGGCGATCAACATAGTAGTGTGGCGACTGCACCGATGCATGCGCCTGCTCTACACCATCCACTTCACCTTCAAGGAGGGGTTCAGGGTGCGCACTCCTTGTTTCTCCTCTTTGTCCATGGCCATCGATTATTCTTGGAGACCTTCTGGGAGCCACCTGAGGCTCATTGGTCTTGGAGGCAGTCAGTCTGTCACTGCTCATCTTCATATCACATACAGAGGTAATACCTCACAAGCATGCAACACTGCGGGGCTTCTTTGAAGTTGCAAGGTGCCCATGCACTGCAGCTGTAGCCTTCTTGCGCAAGACGACCTTGAAATGCACAAGCTTACATTGTTGCAGATGCTATGTATAAGTTGCTATAAACTTTGGAATTTCTAGGAACTTCTACTAATTTCAAAGTTCGAAAATTCCGAAATCCCAAAATCTGAAAATTTGAAAGTTTTTGTGCATAGGATGAGGTAATGCAAGCTATGGACCACCTTCTCCCTGTCAGAGTTCTTGTGGAGCTAGCAGCTGCAGCATTTCCAGTGCTCGAGGTGAGTCTGTATTTCTGACATGTGAAATGTGAAATCTTCTTGCCCCGGCTGGCGGAGGGGCGGTGTAAATACTGAGCACCGCGCCCATGGTTGATGGGGTTTTGCTTGGATCTATCGAGTCCACCGAGGGGTAGGATAGGCGGCAGCCTTTAAGTGCAGCTTGTCTGACAGGATGTACCATTACATGCAGCTTGTCTGCAGACGCACCCTGTCTCTGGCAGGAAAAGCCTGTATCATTGATACTAATAGTGATTCATTGTGAAATGAAACCAGTGCATTTGCCCACAAAGAGTGGGAAACCTCATCCAGCCTGTTGTGCAGCCCACTATGTCCAAGTCTTCTGCGGATGGCACCGATTGATACTCCAAGAGTGGTTCCCTGCAGCGACGAGCACCTCGTGTGATTTTTTTGCACCCGGGTCGTCCTTGTTTGAAGTCAGTCTAATCACAGCTCCGGGCCAAAGCTCTGGACTCCTCCTTTATCCTCAAGTGAGTTGCTGTGGTGGCAGGATCTGACGAGGTGCCTGCCCGAGCCGGGCAGGTCTGGGCCCTGCCCTGAGGCCAACCCCACAGAGCACCTGGCCAAATTCCAGCTCATCGTGAGGGACCTCGCCGCGCGCTCCAAGTGCTCCTTCAGCCAAAAGGTGCCACAGCCATCATTTGGAATAGATTCAATTTGCTGATATGGCTCTACTCTCCAAGTGCTCCTTCAGCCAAAAGGTGCCACAGCCATTTGAAATACATTCACTTTGCTCATATGGTTGCATTCTCCAAGTGCTCCTTCAGCCAAAAGGTGCGCCTATCAGCATGCCTTCTTGTGTTCAAGTGGCCAGTCACGCTGCTCCTTTTTTTGGACTGACATGACGTGGATCTCGGTGCCTCCCAACATCTAGCATGCGAGTCTGAAACATTTGACATAGAGTCCCCTGCATCTAGTGCTGGCAGGGGTATACGAGTCACGAGAGGTTTGTGAGAGTGCCATGCCATGCTGAGTCCATGGAAGCTGCACAGACAAGGAGCCTTCAGTCCGCAAAGGTCCTTCTGAGCTGAATCTTTGACCTGGTCTATCTGCATTGGGCACGCTCACAGCATATGCAGAATCCACTTAATACTTACTGATTGCCCCATAGACCAAGACAGGACTGTTTTCAAGCAACCCTGCCTTGAATGTCATGTAATAGATTCCCCCACCTAGAGGTCATCTAGTTACTGAACGCCAGAAAATCACAAATAGCATATTGACGCTCTCAAGGTCATTGAAACCCTCCCGCAGGTGCGGCTGACGGCTGTGGGGGTGCGCGCCGATGGAAGCTGCTTCTCCTCTCATTCTATTACCCTTTTTTTTTATCGCATGACCCAAGCGTCAAGTTTGGCAGCTGGTTAATTTATCAAAGACCCTTAGGGATGGGAAACCCTGCGCAGGTGCGGCTGACGGCGCTGGGGGCGCGCGCCGATGGAAGCCGCCGCATCGAGGAGCTGCTCTCGCTCTTCCCAGACAAGGACTGGACCGCGCCGGTGCCGCAGGCAATGTTCTTCGATTCCTTTTGTGGGACTCAAATCACTTATATGATGGCGCTTGGGAATCCGAGTGGCTCTATACTGTGCGTTGCGTTTGTCGCAGCTGCACTGTTTGAATGTTTGGGGTTGCAGCCAAAGAGGAGTGCGCTTGCCGGGCAACGCAATTGTGCTTGCCGTGCAAATGTTCCGTGGAAAGCCACATCCATTACAGTGCTACACTTCAGCTTATCGCAGGAAGACACAGAGATGCCATGTTTTGTTAGTGGCCACCGTATTGGCTTTACTTAGTCACTGGCAGTAGTGTATTCTGCAGGGGCCACCACCTGTGCGCTGGTGCACTTCGTGCCCCAACACTCACGAGCTCTTCCTCTTCCCCGACACCCCTGCCGGCTACCTAGCGCAGGTGTGGCTGACCACGCTGACCACATCACAGAAGAGGCCTTTGAGCACGATATGCTTCAGTGCACTGTGACATGCAGGACTCCCTGTTCACTCACTCAGCGGGGCAGGTTTGTATTTACTGGGTCTGTTGCCGGTGGTTGCATGCGGCCGCCATACGCAGGTTTCTTGGAGTGATAGAGCAAGAGTAATGGAGCAACAAGCGTTTCTGATCATAAGGGGATTGGTTGCGCAGATGCGCTGGTTCAGCTTCCACTTCCTGATCGAGGATCTAGTGGAGACATTTGAGAAGCTGCACCTCTCTCTGGATGTCATGTCACAGCTGCTGCCCGGAGCTCCGCTGCTGGGATCCATAAAAGACGAACGCCCAAAAGCAATTGTCTGATGAGGCCAGAAGGGTGGCATCTTTCTGATGCAGAGCTTCAGAGGCTGGTTGCCTCCATGGCTTGCTATTATGATTGCACATATTCTTTTGACGAAATTACTTTGCAGCGCGTGCTTGCATAAATGGACGCTACTGACCCTTAGGTCTGCCAGTAACTTATAACCATGTCGTTTGGCAGCTCCCGTGCATTACAGAGCGCCAGTACTGTAGACTCCATTGCCTTGGATTCTTTCCTGCCGCTTAGCATACATACTGCGAAGCCAGTGAGAGCTGCTTTATTTTACGGTATGGACTTCATGTGTAGCCAGTTGTCCCTGCAATATCTTTTTGTTTCTACTAGCAGACCTTATCGCACAGAGTAACGACCCAAAGTCTGTCAGAAGTGCAGTCTGGTGTTCACAGTTAGGATAGAGCAGAGTGGGTGGAAAGCTAATGAGGAGTCATTTAGCACTTTATAAAGCAAAAGTGAGTTGCAATGCGTGCGAATCGCTGTTGATGCGGCAATAAATGCATGGAAGGAAGTCCACTCATGTGGGAATGGATGCACGTGCACGTGATTCACGTCACCGTGACGTGAAGATATTCATGATGGTTGCTTAAGGACTCTTCACACAAGCGTGTTCTGTGAGAAATGTCCGATAATAGTGTTGTTGATTTTTCCCAGGTGATTTTTTCTCAATTTGCAAAAAGAAAAAAATGCTCAGTTTCGCACGCGAGTTGAACCGGAGACCTCGCTGTTGGTGTTTCACTTCAAATGTGTCGTTAATCCTCTGACCATTTGGCCATGCATGCTCGCAAAGTTTGGAGAAGGGACAAATCGACACTAAAGAAGCCAGAGCAGAAAGAGCGGATTGGCAAAAGAACAGATCGTCACGTCGGGTTCGCAGGTGGTCACCCAACCCACTACTGGTGACGCCCAAGGTAGCTTTGCTTCCGGGAGCGGACGAGAACGGGCATTTTCAGCCTGGTATGAACGATCCATGACAACATGAAGGGTACACTAAATATATACTACGTTAAAAACAACCAGATGCCTTTACAACCAGGTGCCGTTCCCCGCTTAGTTCATTCCGAGACATACGGGGTGTATGTGTGCATGCAAGGTGCAAGGGCTGCATGCAAGTTGCCTGAGGCGCCAATTGACTGTTATTACGTAATTTTCTTTGGCTCCAGGGCACCATATGGGATGCATCATGGATATGATATGGCTCAAGCAATGCATTTCATTCGGCATTGATGCACTATGCAATCAAGCAGCTGAGGTGTTTCTGTGTGAGGTTTTCTCACAGCTGGGCGATCATGATCTTCTTCTGCTCATCATGCGCATGCAAACGAGGCTCTGATTGTTTTGGAATGTAGGTTTGGACTTGGGACCACAGGCTTTCTAGACACAGAAGGAATTTACAAAGGAAATGTCATATTCAACAATTGACGCCCTCTGGCAGACACACAGTATGATAGGCTTCCAGATGAACTGTTCATTTCAAGGTGTGAATAAAGAGGCAGTAGCCAATTGAAATCTGCTGCTGCACAGGCGTCCCCCGACAATATATTATATTCTTAACAATACCGATATTTACACCTAGCATGCTCGACGCTACTTTCTCAGACTACTAAGGGAACATGGCAGTGAATATAGATGAAGCAGCCACCAGAAAGCACCAACAAAGCCCAGATAAGGAATATGCTTTCTATAGCATGGACATACGGAAGAATGGGATATATATGCTTAAATGCAATATTATGGTCTCGAGAAAAGCTGTGATCAGAAGCTGCACTTGCAGGCACCCTGCGATTGACACTAAAGATTGAGTCTAGACATCTTTTTGAACCCACTTGTAAGAAAAATGAATATCTCTTGTTCATGCCATGCAAGCTGCCATTGGCAGGATTAATCTCCTCAATCAGTGACTTGGCCCTGGGCCGCTAATGGAATAAATAGAGAAGTTGCATAGCCACGTCTTGTACCAATCATATGAGCACACTTCAGCAAAAATCCTCCCTGCATACCGCCGAAAATGAAAAGAGAGCCTTTGACTTCAATCAGGCAGCACACCATCAGAGGACTCTAAAGACAAATAAGCTTAGTCCCCTGACACCTTTCCTGCTGTGAGGTTTGTGCGCAGTGCAAACCCCCGCTGAGACTGTCAGAACATTTTTTGGGCCATTCCCTCTGCACACCTCATCGAGGCAGAACTAAAACATTGGTTTCTGTTTGCTGCTTGCACTGTCTTTCATACCCATTTGCAAGCTCGATAGCCTATAGCGCTGTGAGACTTCTTTGTTGCCACTTGCTCCCTCTATCTCTCGAGGCATCCTGCACCGAGTGAGCAAGATGCAAATTTCAATTGAAGCCATGTAGGAGCAACAGTGCAGAACCCACCAGCAGCTCTGCTTCTGCTTTTTGGCAGATTGGAGAACTCTGCACGCATTTTGCCAGTGACTCGCTTCCTTCTCAAGGCTGCCACTGCTTCTTGAATGCACGCAAGCAGTCTCTGCTTGGTGTGTGTAGCCTGTACAGCTGCATCACCCCAGCACCCCAGTGGCAGTGCAGTGAGCACCGCTGGCAAGGTGCTGTCCTTGCATGCAAAAGAACGTTGACTCTGCGCAGAGACCGAGGTCTCCGAGGGGGATTGATGCCACATCACATCAGGGTGACGCGACATCCAGTCAGCCGTGTCGGCTGGCAGGGATGCGATGTTCCCTCCCTCAGGCGGTGATCTCAAGAGCACCTGCCAGCGGCTTCTTGAATGCGAAGCCCTCACTCCTCAAAAACTCCTCCACGGCCATCGGCAGCCTCATGGGCGTGTGCTTGGCCTGCATCAATGAGCGATTTCGTCATCAGCTGCTGCATGCTGAAGCACAGCTATCAGCCAAAAGAGCTCAGGCGAACAATCCTTGGGCAGTCTCTGGGACACCTTAAGGGAGCCAGAAGGGAAGCAGGGGGAGACCTCAACAGCAGAGGAAATGACAGTGAATGAGCAGAGACCTCAACTATGATGCAAACAAAGCAATGCACCAATGCAGGGCACGGCACTGTTTGGCCTGGTAATAGAGATTCCGCTCCCACAACCGATAGAGCTGTCAAACAAAGCTCAGCAACTTTGATAAGCGCAAAAGAAGACAAATGTGAGAAATCTTGATTGGGCGCACCTTGGAATGGCTGTTGTTGCCGACGAGGATCTGGACGCGGCGGCCGGCTGACTTGGCAGGCTGCCTGTTCTGGCCGCTGCCGGGAAAGCTGCCGCGCAGCCGTGCCAGCTCGCGCTGCAGCAGCTTCAGCGCCTCTGCCACGTGCTGACCGTGCAGGTCGATCACTGCTACCTGCCCCGAGGCATTGCCTGCTTCAAACACAGCACATAAACACACCCTCAGCGGCCTTTTGGATGCTGGATGAAATTGCATGCATGGACAATGAGTTGTCCAAAGGCACGCAATTGGGAACTCATCCCGTGTATACAAGAGGCTCCGACACCATCCACCATCTGGCAAGTGCATAAGATCCCCAGAACCTAGGCCTTCAGACCCTTGCCGCACCCAGCAAGCAACCCCACTATACAAGCCTCCTTCAAAGGTTACAAGACAAATGACCAGGAAGAATATAGGGCAACTTTCAGAGCTGTGCAAGGTACATGCGAGCACCTCGGGTGGGGTTGCGCGCTTGGAAGATGGCGTCGGAGGCGTCGGCATGGGCGGCGGCCATCTGCGCAGCGTGCCAGCGCCCCTTGGATCCCAGTTCCTTGGCCAGCGCCTTGTCTCCGCCCAGGTATGCCTGCGTCGCCTGTAATTGCCACAACACCCTCCAGCATCGGCTCCAGAGAGAGGACAACATCCTACTCCTTCACCATTCAATCGGGATTTTTGAACAATTACACGATTGAAACCTGGAGCATGATCAGATCTCATTGCGTCCAAAATCACCACCTCGAAGTGAAATGAGATCCGACTTTGCAAGGATCCTAGACTCATGCCTGCCTTAATTTATGCCTCTGCAGCCGTGCAAAGACAGATGAATCCTGCACGGAGACAAAGACAAAGGAGACTGCGGCATCGTCAACACACCTGCTGGAAGAATTGGTTCCGCAGCCGCATGTGGTCGCGCGCGACGATGCGCGCCTCGCTGTACTGGGCATCGGCCGCCGCGCCAGTCGCGACCCAGGTGGCGTTCCCTCCGGCGGCGCCGGCCGCGCCGGTCTTGCGGCCGGTCTTGCGCGGGGCAGTCGCGCCCTGCAGGGGCACGCCGCATGTCAATGGCAGGAATATTTAATTGATGACTGGATTTATGGTGCAGTAATATAGAATTACCCCAAGGAAAGATGCAATGATTATTTCTCAAGTGCACAATCCCAACATGGACATAAGCGGCTTCGGCAGCATGATCCAAGCTCTTCAAAGGCAATCAAGCATCACTGCATCTAGATGATTGCTGCTTTCTGCAAACTTCTTTGAATATATCGACAGAGGCCAGCCACAGGCAGACCCATGCAGCAGCTCACCTGTGTGATGGGGACGGCCCTCTTGGGAGCGTCTGCAGGCGGGGCAGGGGCCGCGGCAGTGCCAGATGCGTCCCCACTGCTGGCAGTCAGGAACGCCGGCTTCTCCTTGCTGCCCCAGGCCGCCACCGGCGGCACCGGCACCGGGGCCGGCGCCGGGGCTGCATCCTGCTCCACATCCTTGTCGGACGCTTCGGCTGCCTCGGCTGCCGGTGCGGCCTCCGGCGCAGCACCTGCCGCCACTGGCTTGGCAGCGGCGGCTTCCGCGGAAGCTGCCAGCTCGGCAGCGGCCTCGCCGGCCGCGGTCGGCTCCGCCACGTCCTCCGGGGCTTTCTCGTCCTCAGCGTCAACCTCTGCAGACGGCTCGCCGTTGACGGCGTCCGCAGCGTCGGCGGCGGTAGGGGACGGCGGCTGTGCATACGCATGCGCGGCGGCAGCCGGGGCCGGGGAGGCGGAGCGGGAGGCCTCCGGGGTGGACTCCTCGGCGCGGGCGTGCAGGGGCGTGTCGGGCGAGGCCGGGCGCACGGTGGCGGCGGCCGCGGCGGCGCGCTTGGACAGCGGCTTGGCCGGGGAGCTCGCCGCACTCAGCGAGGGGAAGTTCTCCTCGTCCAGGACCAGCACCTGAGACGCAACCAAACATTTTCAAAGATGTTGTACCCACTTGAGCAGACCTTGGAAATGCAGCATGCAACAGGTCCACAAGCAAATGCGCGTCGTTCAACCCTTGTTTTGAGCTACATTGAACCCACTCCAGCAGCCCATGGAAAGTCTGTAGGAAATTCTTCACTCAAATGCAAACTATGCCCTTCCAACACGGGTACAACATGGCCCAATACTACATGGCGCGGTATTGCTCAAGAGCCAAAATCACAGTCCCAGATTCCAATTAACGTGGAAGAAAAGGACAGGATGCAGAAACTGCGGGCGCACCTCGCCGGTGGCGCCGTCAATGGCTGGCTTGGCCTGCTCAGCCTCGAGGCGGGCGATGACATCGAGGGCGCGCGCGAGGTCGTCCTTGCTGGCGGCCAGCATGTCTGCCAGGCTGGCGGCGGAGTAGACAGGGAACGCCTGCTCCAGAACCGCCAGGCTGGCAGCGCGCACCGCCTCCGCCCCGTGGATGTCCTTCAGGCTCGGAGGCTTGCCCTCCCTGCATTGCAGCAGAACACTGAGTGTCGAATATATATTCATAATGTTGTGTATCAAACCCGCAGGGAAGAACTCACACACTGAGTCAACTGCGTGCAGGCTTTGCACAGGCAACTGCCTCCGTCGAGGCAATGCAGCAGGCAGTGACACCATGTGGCCCAGCACAGGTGAGGATTGGTAGCTAGCCACACCATTAGATGTTTAGGTTGCAATGAGGGGCACTAGACATTCGCATGGGTGTGCAGAAGTTCTTGCAAAGTCCTCATCTGACATGCTTCTTCCGCCTTGCCAGGCAATCACAGCAACATACAGCGAGCAAATGCCTGGGCACACCTGCGCTTGTCCTTGCGCGCCCGCTTGCCGCCGCCGGCCGCCGCCTGCCCGTTCTGGGTCTTGCCGTCGGCCGCCGCCGCCTGACCGTTCGCGGCGTACCCTCCGTTTGCGCGGCCATTGCCGTTGGCGTAGTAACCGTTGCCGTTCCAGTATTGGCCGCCCGCGTATGCGGCATCCCAGTTTGAGGCCTGAAAGCAACAATGAAATACCCAATTGTCAGAATAAGTAACAATGATTCACTACCCACAGCGGTGCTAATGAGGCCGGCAGCAGACATGCAGGTATGAGTCATTCAGAGAAGCTGAAGTGAGGAAGACCACAGCATAGGCATGTAGGCTGACAAAGGAACACCATTCATCATCAGGATGAGCGGCTTGCGTACCCAACAGATTTGAGGAGATCCTGGACCACACCAAAATATTGTGGTGCCAAAGAGGGGCCCGGCTAGCGGGGGGCGGTATAAATACTGAGCACCATGCCCACGGTTGAGTGGGTAATGCTTGGATCTGGGGGGTCCGACAAAAGGTAGAATTGTGGCTGCCTTGAACTGCAGCTTGTCTGCAGGACGCACCTTGCCTCTTGGCAGAAAATACGTGCGATAATTATAATACTAATAAAATAAGGGCAAGGGAATGCAGGCGCACCTGGGAGGAATACCACATATACTGGCCGTCGTTGCCCAGCGTCCATGTGCCATACTCCTGGTACTCGTCGCTCCACACCGTCTGCCCAGCACACAACAAGACTGTCAGTCCTTCACCTCTCTAGCAACATTGCAGGTGGAGCACTTGCGCCACGCGCTTTCCAAGGATCATTCCCCGAAACAACTTTGTCTTCATAAAGCCTCAAGAGTGCCAGAGAACCATGCTGCCCAACTGCCATGGGCGCGTAGACACCGCTGCATGCATTGGCGCACGTGGCAGTATCAGATGCTGATGCAAATATGTGAATATCAGAGTAGCCCCGCTGGCATGCAGAGACATGCTGCATGCATGGGCCCACACACCAAATACAGAGGTTGACGTGAACTAGCCACTTAGCCATAAGAGCCCCATTGACATGCAGAAACATGCTGCTCACTCCATGGTGGGCCCACATGCCAGTTACGCAGTAGGCATGGGAAGCAAATGGGGCAAGCCAGCACTTTGACAAACTGGTGGCCAAAGTGGGGATGGTCACCTGGTCAGAATAGCCCCACTGGGACCAGTCCTGCGAGGAGTCGGTCTCATCTGTGATGCCCACATCGCTCCACATAACGTCCGCCGCACCGCCGTTCTGCGCCCCGGCCGCCGGCGCGCCGTTCTGAGTTGCGGCCACCGGAGCAGCGCCGGGTGTGAATTCGCGTGCATTCACGTTCAGCGTGCCAGAACCGGTCTTCACTGCAGCGCCAGCCTCGAGCGGCCTGCACAAAGAGTCTCATCTTAGTGAACAAGTGGGCCCCAAACAAAGCAGAGATCTTTATAATGATTGTACTCTCCTTGAAAGAAGCAGCAGCCTCAAGCGGCCTGCAACAGGAGTCCATCATGGGACTCACAGCAGACGGGCAATCGTGAAGGAGAAAGAACGTTGCATCAATTGTCCAGGAATGCAAGGTACAGAGAGGCCCGCAGGTGCCACACATGCGACAGCAACTGCTGCAGCAGGTACATCCTGCCATGTGCCAAGGAAAGACCCTTCTAAGGGGGCGAAAAAGCAACTGAGGAGGGGCTGGGTGGGTTGGGAGCGCTCAGAGAGATTCCCATTGTGTTTGGTCCTCACAGGATGACCTCAGATGTCCATATCTACATAGTACAAGTTACATCATCGCGCTCCCAACGCCCCACTCAACCAGCCAGTGGCTACCCACTCTCTAACAATCTCATCCGAGCAACAAAGTTTGAGGATTGCAGGGCATGAAGCCCGTGCCTGACTGTGACAAGCCAAGAAAAGAGCCCAAGAAGACCCATGGATCTGGGAATGGGGAACCTTGTATACCAGGTGTTTTGTACCTGGGCTCAGCGACTGCTTTCTAAGGTCCTTCTGAGCGGCAAAGCTCACATGCTACAGGCCACCAAAGCCATGCTGATCATGACAGACATCAGGAAAACCCATGGATCTGGGAATGGGGAACCTTGCACAGAAAGGGGTGCATACCTCGGCTCAGCAGCGCCGGGCACGAATGGCTTGGCGGAAAACGACTGCGAAGGGACGGGGCTGAGGTTAGTCACAGAGCCGGCGCGGCTGGAGGGTCCGCTGGAAGCCTCGGCAGGCGTCACACTGCCGCTGCTGTGGCCGTTCTCTACTGCCTTCACCCCTACGCGCGCATCACTCACCCTCAAGAAATAAATCACCCATCAGGTATGGCCAAATACTTGTGATCAGCATGATTCAGTCATTGCCACATCAGGTTTTGTGTACCAACATGCAGAACGATTCTGCATGCCAGAGAAGAGGACAAATTGCCGCGACAAATCATCCGCCCTCAAGAAAGAAGCCCATCAAGCAGTCAGGCGCTATCAAGAATGGGCCGGACAATTATTACTAGGATCTTCATCATCTCCACGTTTGTGTTTGACGTGCAAAACATGTTCACCATTGCTCAACAGGTAAAGACCCCATTGCCGGACACATCATTTCTACGGTGGGACATGTCAAACCAACATGGTGATTTGCAGTGTGACAAAATAAGAGGGATGGTGTTGTACCTGTGGGTGCCTCGCCAAGAATGTTGCCTGCCAGGCTTTCATCAAAGGTACCAAACTGCAGGCGTGGCTCCTCGGGCTTGCCCTGCTCCTGCTCCTGACCCTTCTCTTCCTGATCCTTTTCCTCACCGTCAGATGCATTACCCGACTCTTCCTTCCCCCTCACGCCTGCTTTGGCGATCTCTGCCACGGCATGCAGCCCGGTGGACACCAATGCGGCGCCAGCTGCGATGCCATTAGTCACCGCGTCGCTGACTGCACCGCTGACTGTGCTGTGCTCTGTTGCGTCACTGCCGTGCGCTGCCTGCATGTCTGCTTGCTCCAGCATCTTATGCTGGATATATGCTGGATTTACAGGTGCTCTCCTGTTTCTGTCAGAAACAGCTGCTGCAGGATGACCTTGACGGCGGTTTTGGGCTCTTGCCAAGTTTCAAGACTGCGTTGTGATTAGTCTATCAAGCCTCTGCAGAAGTGTCGGACTTGCTATTGCTGCGCGGCGGCTGCTGTGCGCCGAGCACGCGGTTGAGGGCTGACTTGACTGCGGGACGCACGCCAGAGAAGACCGTGCCCTCTCCCCAGTCCTGCAGAAGGAGAGCTGCGAGCGCGGCGCCTGTGACGATTGGTGCAAGAATCTTGATGCGCAGCTGCGAGGGCGACAGGGGCTCCTTTACCATAGACTGGCCAGGTTTCCCTGCGCACATACATAGCATGGATTACCAACCGAACATTGCATAAGTCGTCTACATGCAAGCCATGCACACAAAAGGGCTTAATTGGAGGGCATCTTCACTAACGCTGTATTGTAACAAGCATGGTGCGGATTATAAATGGTGAGCAATGGCACTGCTTAATCATGTTATCCATGTTCAAACATCTAAGCACGCTATGAAAGGCTCAAGGCGTAGTTTCTGCAAGGCAGACAAACCATCAAGCTAGCCTAGACAGACATGTGACAAGCTGTTCTAGAACGCAGGTGTGCTGCAGTGGCTCAGAACCGGCCATTACAACACATATTCTGTTGTCTGCGGCTATTCCGCAGGGTACAGCCGTGGGGGTGCCTAAATATGTTTCGATGGCCGCCAGGTCCCAAAAGGAAGTTCCGGAGGCTACCATGGAAACAGCGTCTAGGCAGCAGAAAACCGTATTACGATGTTCAAAGAATAGGAACTAGCGCTACCTGGATTGATGCCAGCGGTTGGTGACAGGCTGGGTGCTTGATCTCTCCTTCTGAGTCGCTGCCGTTTCGTTCTGTGGGAAGGATAGCGAAAGATCGCCTGTGCACTTGCCCCACTCGCGTTTTACAATGTAGAACGACACTTGTGCGGCACAAAACAGTACAGAAATCAATTTCTCTTTCTCCTTTTCCTGTCATGACAATGAGATGGAGGCCGGCCACTTCCTGAACCGTAGCAGCTACGGCGCGCGATGCCAGGTCCGTTTTGCCCGTAGATGAAAGGAAAGAATGCATGCGCTCATTTGATGTGCCAAGATTCCATCAAGTTATGCATCATCTGGCAACGTTGGACTTTTACATTAAAAGTTCCACTTTTGTGCCACTGCCAGTGTGTGACTGTTCACATTCTTCCAGAACATCAGTCAGTATGGGCTATGGCAGCTCCGGGCCGGAATACCGGAATCCATGCATGCAGCACAATGCTGCAGGATCTAGGGAGGAAGTCTGGCTGCAAGCAGAGCAGCAGTGGTGATTGGGTCCTGCAGTTTGGATCTGGAAGTTTGCAGCCAGAGATTAAATTCAACAGCTGCAACAGCTATCAATTGTAGGCGAGATGTAGAAGCATGACAATACTATTATAATATCATGTTGATGATAGCACAGTTCACCGGGCACTCCTCATGTGACAAAGCACCCCTTGCACCCCTTTTGCTTTTTGTCAAGCATACTTCCGGGTCAGCTGCCGCAATATGCTCTCAGCCGAGCTCCGATAGCCGCCCCCAAAGAGGTTGTAGTGGTTCAGGTAGTGATACAGCATGTAGAGCTGCTTGCGATCCTCAAAGCCTGCGCAAACAAACAACAACTTGCCACGCAAGATCACCAGTCACTGGTCACCATGGTGCTTGGTTTGTCCAGTACAAAAAGGGACTCCTTGGAAGGGAGCATGACAAACAGAGAAAACGGCCATGAAGCCGCCTGGAAACCTATAATTGACATAATCGTGCCTATGTACTACTGCTCAATCGGAGCACTTGGCAGGGTGGCCTCAAAGCTTGAGATTGAAAAGCATGCAGTCTCACCTGGAGACCTTGGGATGACCTCATGATAGGCCTGCCAGAAGTCCCCAGTGAAGCCGGCGCACCACTGCATGCCAAACTCAGCCTCATGATGCCCTGCGCAGTGCAAAGACAACCTTCAGCCAGGTACATTTTTTAACATCTGCGTATATTTCTTTGGCAGTGTTTTAATATCCAAGCACCTTTATCTAGAAGCAACACATTGCCAGCACCAACAGCCTGGCCCTGTCCGGGACAGCCTGGATGTTCCCATGCCTGTGATCTCTCCAGATTGCAGACATGGTTGAGCTAATCTCGTGAACTTAGTCTGGCAGGGGTGCAGCATAACCAAAAAGAATGTCAAGCTCGGAATCCAGACATTGCTTCATGTACCTAGTCATAAGGACTGGAAATGTGCTATGACAGTAGTGACAGGTGCAGCATAAACAAGACAGAAATATTGGGCTTGCCATAGTATGTGGCAGGATCGAGGATGCTCCACTCCCCGCCCTCCACTGCAGAGATGTTCCCAGACCATAGGTCGCCGTGCAGCAGGCTCGGCTTCACCTGCACCAGTTGCTGACCTCAGCCTCTGCTTAAATAAGCATTTGAGCTGCCACCATATGTCAGTATGGCTCACGATGACAGAGGTGATTCACAGGAGCGGGAGAATACTGGGCATCAGCATCTGACCAGCTGCTTAAGATTGTACCTTGAAAAGAGAGATCTCACGATATTTGAGATCAACCAGGGCTGATGAGAACTCTCATGACCACAGCTTCCTGACCATGAGGAGCACTACAATGTGTCATCTCATAGATGCCATTCGAATCCCAACTTGCAGTTGCATGCGCGCATGCAAACATGTAGTGTCTGCTGGAAAGACATTAAGAGAAGTGGCTTATGTCAAAGTGAAGGGTGACTCACCTCCACACCCTCGAACAGCTGCTCCAGGTTGGCCATCAGCTGCTCGCCCATCTCCGACAGCCGCTTGTCATTGGCCAGGCTCAGTTGGTGCCGAAGCCGCCGCTCCCGGAAGAAATTAACCCAGTCCCCCAGCCACCCGTTTGGCTGGGGTGTGCCCCCTATTGTATTGTCCACAGCAAAGCCAAACTTCCCGTCCCGCGCATTCTCGTCCTAATCATAAGCACAACAAGCGCTGAAGATTTCTTTTACAACACAGTGTCTTGCATGGTGCATGCATTGCATATATTTGCGAGGCAGGCCCTCCTCCTTACACAGCGCTCGCACTGAACTGTAAGTCTTGCCTTCACTTTGACTCAGTACTGTTGAGTTGCAGCGCCTTGAACTTGTGAGCACTTCCGAACCTCTGCTACATTGTACACTGATTTGATGTGTGTTCATTGGGTGTGGGTCAGCAGCAAATGGTGTCCAGCAAGCCGCGTATGACATGTTAGAAATGGGCTAACAAAGCCAGAGATGGGTGGGCAGGCTTACGGATGGCTCTGCCAAATGCATGTGCGCGAGCTTTCTCCCAAGGTCGGCCTGGCTGGGCCGTCCGCTGAAATTGAGGTGCTCCATGATGATGAAGGTAGCCTCGCCGCCCCTTAGCCCACTCCCTGGAAGTGCAACAAATCCAGTCAAATGATAACAAGGATTGCTTAGCTCACAACCCCATTAATCCATGGGCTCTCATAAACATCTATGCAGGTAGAAAATGAGGTTCGAGGTTTCATTACAAATCAAAATTCTGGTGAGTAAGAGCACCTCCAGGAACAGAAGATAGCTTTCCATAGTGGTACACTTTTGGTATCCGAAGTGTCTTTGTATCTGCACGCATAGTACTTCACATCACAGCCATCATGCGCAGACATCTCGCCATGCATGTGCTATTAGGAAAGCATGCCTCTGGGCCACACCATACATGGCCTGCAGCCCCAACGCTTCCCCCTTGAACATGCCTTCGCCCCCATTCGAGCTCTGCTTGACGAACAGCTTCTTGCCGCCATCAGTTGTGTACACATATGCGCTGGACCAAGAGGAGGACGACACCATGCTGCGACTCGAAACCTTGCCACTGCCCACATTCTCCTCAATCCAATCATCGATGCTGCGGGAATGGCACTCATCATATAAGCGAAACTTGGGTGAACTATCGTAGCAGGGTATCTCACAGCTAACTCATTACTCAACTTTGCCAGATCAAGATGCCTGATCAAAAGGAAGCTAAAGAAGCTCAGATATCCGTTCTCTGTCTCACAGCCTATCAGCACTAAAATTTAGATTTTTACCTGCACTTTGCTGATTGAGATGACATTTTCCTCGATTTGGGGCGCGAACCCCCAGCTAGATGTGTGCCAGTGAGAAATCTGTACGAGCCTCGTCCGCTGGCTGTTGCGAGGTTACCACAAACACAGACAGCCATTACAATCTACTGAGGGGGTCCTTTCGAAGGCAGGTCGATTGCAGAGCCAAAGAATTGCTGTCGGAGGTCGCATTGAGGCAGAAGCAGCAGGGAAGGCTGCAATTACACAGTGTCGGAGCAACATAGATCACCAAAGTTTGCAATTGCGTATTCACTCATGTGTGTCAAGGTTATAATTCTCGATCCTCCAGGTGGTCCTCTCGATATATAAGTTATAGTGGTGAAGGCAATATTGAATACAACCGACGCGGACAAGTACAAGTACTGCACCTGCACCTAGGGTTGTTTTGGCCGTGCCTGGCCTGCTGCTAGCTACGTCAACATGCATCGAAAGGTAGAAAAGCTAGCACCGGCGCCTAATATACATAATATAACATTGCAACCATCACAAAATACATACAATAGGAATTCACTACAGTGCCTACACCTACAATTCTTGTCTACTGCCAGTTGCACTGCAGAATTCCTTCGAAGGAACATCAACTGACCATGTACCGGTACCAATGCCGATCACCGCACAGTGCAGCACTTGCAGCGCAAATTCATCCCATAAGTTCTTGGCACCCGAAAAATCCTTGAAGAAGGAGTTCTTATGCCCATCAGTCCAGATGCTTCCACGCTCTCTGCTCTGCTGCGTGCCCACAGAAAGCTGTTCTGCACCAATTGTTAGCGGCAGAGCTCATGAGATCAAATGATCACAGTCCTTGCTCCCTGCATTACAACGGACTAGCAGCTTGATCAATTTCACTCGTAGCCGATGATGCGCAGGATTTCATGCACTGTGTCACTCCACAGCTGAAACTCGCTCAGAAGGGTGTCTCGCCAAAGGCCGGACTCAACCAGGAGCACCAGGATCTGCACAGATGCAAGAACAGGAATGATGCCCGCCAATTCCACCAGAGCAAGATTTGACGTCCCTCGGGAAATCCCCCTGGGATTGGACCTATTCTTCTGGATTCTGGAAAGGGACTCTGATCCTCCCCAACTTCTGCCACACTGACCGCCATCTTTACGAGGCTGATCTGAAATCCCTGGATTGCCCAGAGAAAAAAAGAAGCTGCTGTCTTGGCAGAAATATTAAGGCCTTGTCGAAGCCTGAATCACAGGGGCTCATCCACCCATCAGACAAAGCCAATGTCGTGCACCACTTCTCTCACAATACCCCGCCAGAGCTCCCCCTCCGCCTTGACTGTCTGCCGCCACTGCCATGACTCATGCATCAGTATGATGATCTGCAGAGGCACAGCCAGCTGTTGCACCTCTTTGACGGGGACAGACAAGACATTGTTGTTGTGACTTTGCTCGTCAGCCGAGATCTGATGCCTTTTTTCAATGGGCCTTGGCCACTTTGCAAAGCACCAAAATTTTGTTCTGGGATCTGTGATTTGGGTGAGCAAGATTAGTAATTCTAAAGGAGGACTGGTGTCCCACCATTACAATGAGCCCAATGGACAGCACGATGAAGCCGTAGTAGGTTGCATTGGCCCTGGTCCTTGCTGCAGGCAGCATGTTGCTGAGGCCATCCTTGATGTCTTGTGATGCGTTTCGCCAGTCGGGTTCGGCTATTTCATGTTCCTGCAGCTGCCCAGGCTATCTCACTTCAGCGACCATGGCACACTTACACCACGAGAATCAGTCTTATGCTCTAACACAATTAAGTGTCAATGCAAAACATATGGCTGCCCACGCGATAAAATTACTTGCTCGTACTCTGAAAATAACCGATGATCTGTGACGAAAGTGAATGAAAAACATCTGTTTGGAGCGTTTAGGAAATCGATTTAACCAGCATTGCATTGCAAGCTGGAGGAACGCACGTCACTTGAGGCGTTTCGGCGGTTGATCAGGTTCTCTCTGTCTCCCATGGTATGACGCCCCGGCACTTCAGTGTCCACAACGATATACACTCAAATCTGAGACTAAGGGATCTAGAAGCTGTATTTTTCAGCAGTATCGAAAAATATTTTTGATGCTCTTGTGACAAGCGTCTGCCTCGGCACCGTGTCGAAATGCACTCCTTAAACTTTCCAGATAAATGCTGCTGGCCGCCTCGTCCCAACACAGACGAGCATTGGTATTTAACGGTGCATAACAATGTCTATATTGACGGAATGGGAGTGAGCGATCACAAAACCAATGGACATGCGCGCACGAGGTGAAAGCATGACGTGGTGCCAGGTCATCAGAAGCTTCATTGACTCGAACGCATGAACACAGGGGCAGTCTCTCAATCGAGTCCAGCATTTCAATATTGGCTGTTCATACCTTGACCTCTTGCGCACAGCAGCCAAAATGTTTGGGCTTTTCGGAGGCATGGGTGGTGGTAGCTTCCAGGCACATTACAGATGCTACCCCGTCAGCTTCATGGACAAGCCAGAGGCCGAGACTGGCAATAAGATATTCTTGCCTTCCTCAGCATTGGATCGTCTCGGTGAGATCATTGTAGTTCTTCCCTTCCAACCATAGAAGGACGGCAGATGATCAGTCATCCACGTCCAAACCTGAGTTTGCAGCACACTTTAGTTTACATTTCTTGGAGCACAAATTTGATGAACTTGATTGCATTCAGATTCATCCCTATGTATTTGGAACATTTTGTGAAGCATTCTGGGACTAGCTTACAGGAAGCGTTGTCTCGACCATTCCTGATGTGCTTGAACATTCACGCATTGATCATCCGTATTGCTCAAGTTTAAAAGCGCGCTTCTTGAAGCTCCTTGCTCGGGTGTGTCACAGCTTCGCTCCACATCGAGTATCCAATGCTGTTCAAGGTGGAGAGTCGAGGCAATGGACGCTCCACCCACTGTGGGGTGCTCGAATTCAGTGCAGACGAAGGCTTGGTCTACATGCCCTACTGGGTGAGTCCTGCATGCAACTTGCCTGCGCCCCACCAACCTCTGCACGTCTGCTTTAAGCCTTCCCTGTTCAGCATTCGCACCCGGACAGCCTCTAGAGAGACTGGCTGAGTTGGCTTCCTGGTTGCACCTGCAGATGATGCAGAATCTGCTGGTGGAGGAAGGCTCGGTGGTGACCGTCAGCAGTGCAACTCTGCCCAAGGGATCCTATGTGAAGCTGCAGCCACACACCTCAGTGCGCTCCCCAGCAATCTTGTTGCTTTGATCAGCCTTGGCTTTGCAAATGGCTCAACCATGTGCAAACCAACCACTCATTATTTTGCCATGCATCACTCCCTCGAGTCTCTCTTTGAAGTCCTAAAGGTCAATTGCCACACACCCCTTCTTGGATTATAGTTTTTAGCCGGTGATCCCTTGCCGAGTGTGCCGAGCTGTCAGAGTATCTTTGGCAGAACATCACAGCAGGCTAGCTGGGGAAGCAACACATGCTGGCTCCCTTGAGGCGCCATTGATGACTTGGGTCCCCTGATCTTCTGCAGGACTCCTTCAATGAAGGAAAGCATGTCATGGGCTGCAGATGTACAGCTCGCACTGGGGTTGGCAGCTCAGAGTATCACATGAAGATCATCTAAGCAGCTGCAATTTGCTACTACGCAGGATTTCCTGGACATCAGCAATCCCAAGGCTGTGTTGGAGATGACGCTGCGCAACTTCAGCTGCCTGACCAAGGGAGACTGCATCTGCCTGCACTACAACAACAAAAAGTACTACATCGACATCATAGAAGCCAAGCCCGAGGTGCGCGCAACCTCTTTGTACATCTAGCTAGAGAACTTCCTTGCAGGCAGCAAGGACACCTTCTGTGTGGATGCTGTGAAGCGGTGAACTCCCACACTTGTCAGGCCGCCCAATCTGGAGGAGCACTTGAATTCTCCTGGGACAAGGTCCTTATGGCCTGCCCAAATGTAAATCGAGCTGCAAAGACAGAGGCTGGAGAGCTCGAAAAAGCCGGTAAAGTCAACTTCCAGATGAAGATAAGAGACTAGGATTTTTTCAAGCAAGTAGACCACTCTAGTTGTTGTGCAGTTTATTGGTATGCCGGTCACTCTGATCTTACGCCTCAGCCCAGGGGGTGAGCGCTGCCCTCCTGCAACCCCACACAGAAGGCGTGGCTAAATCCACAGTCCACGCACAATTGTTCTGATGATGCTGCGATCACACCAGCAAAATGGGCTGTGAGCTGTGGACCCAGCCACAACTTTGCATGTGCCACCAAGACTTCCGTTGGCCAGCAAATGCTGTACACATGTGTGATACCTCTTGAAGCTCCTTCTTGACATGCATCTTGGTTGTGTGCTGGGTGCTTGCCACGGGGCTGTAGGGGTGACCTGTCATCTCTTAGGTAACGGTTCATGCGGAGGCCAATTTTTTGGGGATGTAGCAGAGTGGGTACTGCTAAAGGGAGGATGTAGCCGAGATGCGCGTCTGCTTCTGCATGTGCAGGATGCCATATCGGTGATAGAGACTGACTGCGAGGTCGACTTTGCGCCGCCGCTGGATTATGTGGAACCCAAGCGAGTAGAGCGCGCCCCGGAACCCGCGCGCACAACAGACGACGCAGGTGTGCGCGGATCCTATTCAGCCCTTAAGCCCTATCCAGAAATTGATGACGCATATATAAAGTCGCCCTGATGCAGTCTTTGTGTCTGCACAATTGGGGCCCGGGCTTGTAGGTCGTTCCTTGCTGGGGGAGTGGTCGGTTGTACCACAAGAGGACTTCAGTAGCAGCCGTCCTGGGGTGTCATGCAAAGCACAGCATGGTGTTGGAAGTGGCATGGTCACATTGATCACATCCCATGAGCAGGCGACTGTACATCACTATGAAGGGCGTGCAGCAGCTGTGTGCTGGCGTTCATCCAACGCTGCTGCACAGCCACTGACGAGCCCAGATGGCTGCTGATGACTAATTTCAATGTGTGAATGACTAGAGATGGTCCGCACGTAGGCAATTGCTTGAAGAAGTGCTATTTCTCTAATTTTCATTTCTCTGCTGGTTTTCTGCTGTACCCCTTTCGCCCGCCTCTGGTCCTGCAGCTCGAATTCAAGTATGACAGGCCATTTTCTGGCCCCGCTCGTCGTCGGCATCACAAGGTACTGGGCGGACTAGACACATGCGTCTATATGCGCAGGGCCCTCGGCCGCGCCTGCGGAGCCGGAGGTTGCGCCGGAGCCAGAGCGGTTTTTGGCGTTTGTCGGTCCCGGGCGGCGGCTGGACGGCCGGCCCGCCGTTGGCGGACCCCCCGTTGCTGTGGTCCCCAGCATTGGCATCCGACGACCGCCGCCACCCGCCCCAGGTGACTCACCCCGACTAACCCCTGCCGTCCATGCTGTGTTTGACGGCACAATTTTGTGTTCAATCATGCCTGCGCTGCCCCCTTGTCCTCAGCAAAATCATCCGCCGACCGCCGCCGCCCGACCCAGGTGATATCCTAGTGCTGCATATGCTTTAGGCAAGCAATTACTTGCTTGTTACTACCCCTGGCTCACCCCTTGCGTCCAGAGTGATCGTGGTGCAGAACAGCAGCTGAAGCCCCCGTGGCTTGCAGCCTCAAAAGGAGCCTGAATCGGCAGCCAGTGGCGGCACTTCTGCCTGCAGAGGTTGGCGCAGGAGTTGCACACCTGGCATTGAATTGTGAGATTGGCACCATTTGTGTGCTGTATGGGAGGAGTAAAGAGAGCCATGCCGACTCTCAGAAATGGAGATTGGTGACTGAGGTAGGAATTGTCGGGTGCACTGCAGAGGGCAGCAGCGAAGGAGCTGCGAAGCCCGCAGAAGGAAACCGGCCGGGGCAGAAGTCCGGCAAGGTGGTGTTTGGCGCCACCGGCAACCGACTGCTGGACAAGAAGCTCGCTGCTGAGAAGCCCAAGGCCCCAAAGCCTGAGGTGCGCCTCATGTTGTCTCGGCTGTATCTGGCCGCTCTTTCATTGTTGATCATTGACTTGATGTGCTGCTGAAGCGCATTCCAATTCTTGGGCTGCTGAACACATGTGCTCAAATGGTGTTTTCCAATCATGCAAGCCTGCACCAGACTTAGTGCATTCCTCAGCATGTTTTTGTCACATAATAACTTACTGGGACTTCCCAATGTGTTGACTCTACCAGCAGGTGGAAGTTCACTTCATTGGTGCTACTGTTGAGTCAGTGGATGGTGTGCAGGAGAAAAAGGATGAGGATTCGAAGTTCAAGGCATTCACGGGGAAGCCTCGTTCACTACGGGATTGACAGCCGCAAATGCATGCATGCAAATTCGAAGATGTCCGGCTACTTTATTGCGCTGAATTGACTCCTCGGGGCATCATTCCCCTAATGCATGCATGCGCATTGTCAATTTTCTTAGTGACTAATAGTGATACATTCATGGTCCATAAAATAAAGGATCGAGGCAGCAAAAGAGTTGTTTGTTACACTGGATGAGAAGCACAGTGCTCTGCTGGCTAAAGTGCAATGCACATTGCAGACACTATGGCAACAACGAGATGGCCATTACTGCGTATGCAGGCCAGAATTCAAACATACGAACCTACAGCAAAACCAAGCTGGTCTGGCATTTGGTGAAGCGGCTGGCAAGGGAAACATCTTTCCCCCCATGGACTGCCCATACAAGCAAGTTCATCAACACGAAAAAGGAACCCAATACTCAAGTGACGCCTTCATGATTCAAGACAACAAGCATGCCCACGCAAATTCTTGGAAGTCTTTGCAAGTGCTTCCTTGCAGTTCAATTACCAATGCTCAATCCCAAACCAGAAAAGGTTTTGAAACACTGTATGGAGAGGTACTCTCCATTCACATCATGCTATTGATATCACCGTAGACCTGCAGCTTAGCAATAATTGCAGCAGTATAGAATTCGTAACCCTATTGGCACCATCGTGACAGCCCCCTAAAAAGGCCTTCCTATCAACCACTTCTGCTCAACAAGCATGCATGTATGGAGGAACATGACTAAGTTAAGTTCAACTGTAAGCCCAGAGGTGGCATCAACACTCGGCCACCCTCTCAGTTGACCCTTGCCAATGACTTCTATGTACCATGTGCGGAGCAAAGCAAAGGCCTCAAACCAGCCCATGTCACCTCTCCTCAGCTCTGCACACTTTCCCTTTTGATCCTGAGAGAAGGCAGGACTGACAAACCCACATCAACTCTCCTGTCAGCTCTGCACACTTGCTCTTTCTCTACTAGATAGCCACTAAATCCTCATGAATCCAGTAGGCTAGCGTGGAAAGAAGGCAGGACTGACGACCCTTCATCAACTCTCTGTCTTCAGAAAATTCACACATACCACTCCCACCTGAGCTACATCATTGCATCCATTGCTTCTATCTCCAGAGATGCACACGGCCTCCTGAGATCTAGCTAGAATGCAACTTGATGGCACAATTGCACTGCTCTCAAACTCCCTGCCAAGAGATGAAATTAGGCAGACTGCTGGATGCATGCAGGGGCTGCATGCCTGCAACACGAAGCAGATGATCAAGCAACAACTTTCTGGAAAGTCTCAACGGTGCATACGCCAACTCTGCTCTCAGACGTGGCAAAGAATAAATAAAATTCTCGTGAATTCCCTTGCCTCTCTCCTCAGAAGATGGATCTGCCAGATGGATTTGCTGTCTGCATTGGTGCTTCTCTGCTCTAGCACTGGTGCTTCTCTGCTCTAGCATTGGTGCTTCTCTGCTCTAGCAAGGAACTAAGAGCTGCAGACTCTCAACTTACTCTCAATTCTTGCGTGCTGTTGTGTCCATTTCCTGCCATCTCAATGTTCAGAACGGCACTTCTTGACATCATTAGGACAACCGCCGGATTATATGCCTGTTGGATGAACTCACCCCGGATTAACATCCCCAAAGCCAATCCCTGCATCGATGAGCAGCTCTTTGACATTTCAGGAGGATCCTATACCCTGAGGCGGATCAGGCTTCTGCTTTTGGGCTCTAGAAGAACAACAGGGTTATGGTCCGCCAGGACTCTTCATGCCACGTGGACTGCTAAAGCTGCTGGGCAGGGTGTGAATTCCTGGGATTGTCCAGAGACGTCCAGAAGTGCTGTCTGGGCAGCGCAGGCAAGGCTACTCTCTGCTGAGACCCTGACAAACCCTGGCCCTCACAGCAGACTCCGTGTTTGTATTTAAACAAAGCGCAGTTTGCCGGAGTTCTGCTTTGGCGGTGGCGGCGGCGGTGGCGGCGGTGGCGGAGGGGGGGACGACCCCTTGCCGGTAGGGGGGGAACCGCTGGGGCTGCCAAAATTGGACGCAGGGGGAGTCTCGCCGCTGGAGGAGGGGGTGGATGATAATGGAGGGGGCGACGATGCGGGCGGCGGCTGCCACCAGTACGGCGGCGGTGGTCCCCCAGATGACCTGAACATCAATCACGCATCATTAGTCATGCATCATTAGTCATACATCAGCAGCATGCTCCCAATACTTTGCGTCTGTTAAGCAAGGCTCCTGCCCTCAAGGGAAGCTGCCAGAAGTGGCTATGCACGCCTCGGCTTGCCAGGTCTTGAATTTCTTGGCCCTTGATCATGTGCATTACAGAGTGAACATAGGAGACGTTCTTTCAACCAAGTGGCAACGCACCATAGTGGTCAAGTATATCCCGGACTCTACAGCAATTGAGATTGTTGCCAAAAAGTGTCTCACCCCTACCACCAAAGCATGTGCGTAGTTGACAATCTGCAATTGAATGTGGCAAGGCTGGTGCAAAAACAGATAATGCGCAAACAATACACTCTTTGCAAGCAAGTGGCAACAAATCTTACAGTTACAGGCCTCACATGCCTGTATGAACAACACATGCCGAGATGACAACCTGCACTTGACAAATTGCAATGGCTGCAGATGGGGGCAAAGTAAAACAAGCGCTTACCCCTTAGGAGGGGCTGCTGCAGAGCTGCCACTGCCTCCATTTGAGCCGCAGTTGCTGCCGCTGGCCTGGCTGCTGCTGCCAGAGTAGGCAGTCACGCAGGGGGAACCGCCACCGCCAGATGAGGGAGTGGGCGCACTGCCGGGGGGACCCTCATAAGCTGAAACCTGCATACGATGGCAATATTTCATGTTGCTCCTGGGCAGCTTGTTTGGCAGGTTCTTGCACTTAATCTGACCTGCAGCAAAAGATAGGTGCATGTGCAGTCAGCGGCCCGATTCTTCTTGCCTAATGGCTGCAGATGCAGTCACCGAGGAGACTGAAACCTGGCGTTAGTCCATCTGGACTTGCCGATTACCATGAGCAGATAGATGGCTGCCAAGGCATGTAATCACCTTGAAAGAGATCTACACCCGTGGTTCTGGAACGCGTCTAGCCTTGCATGGCTGGACTTTCACAGTAATTTTCGCCAAAGTCGATTGCCAAACTTTTGACGGAATGCAGACATCTAAATTTGATAAGTAGATGGGCAGTGACAGACTGCCTACAAGATCAATGAGCCTCAGGTGGCTCCCACAAGTTCTCTAAACTGGAATTATAATAAGTAAAGACTATCAAAGGCTGGGATGCTCAGTAGTGCACCTTAGGGACGCTTGAAGAGAAGTTGCCAGAGCTGCTGCTGCTGCTGCTGCTGCTGCTGCTTGATGAAGATGAAGATGAAGATGAAGATGAAGATGAAGATGAAGAACTTGAGGACGATGGCGATGAGGAAGGAGAGCCGCCGCTGAATTGGAAGTTGATCCCGGTCGGCAGAATACCGGTCTCGCCGTTTGCTGTGACCACTCCAAACGCCGTCACCTAACCAGTGGCCATCAACGTTTGTCAGGGAGATGCACACATCATTCTTAGTCAGGGAGATGCAGAGCTTGGTCCAGCACATGCAAAAAGTTCATGATTGAGTTTAGCATACAGGTGCGTGGGGTGTGCCCACAAAGCAGGGCTTTGCTCTTGAGCATGAGAAATCTGCAGAACATATGCTGCTGGAGCTTGTGACTGGGAAGCGTTTTAGAGCATCTGAAGTCACAGGAGGCGATGTTGCCTCAGGCATGCCTGAACCCAGTAAACAAATAGCCCATTAGCAGCACTTTGCTGGCATATTAGGCTGCACACATCCTCGCGGCAACCGGTTAGGCCGCTTGATTCGGCATGCATGACTTCATCCTAGTGTGGCCATGACTCATCTCCGAATTAGGGAATTTCAGGACTGTGCCAAGTCTGCCGTCCCTATGTCTGAGGAGGGTGACGGATGGATGACTCACCTCCACGCCGGCATCATCTTGGATTCGGAAGTCCAGCGGCGGCTGAGGGATGGAAGTTGACTCCCAGGAAGCGCCCCAGACGTTGTTCATGCTCTGCCAGTCGCTGTTGGAACCCTTGACCTGCACCAGCTTCACCGCCCCTCGCCCGGCAGCATCCTGCGCGCAACACAGGGAGATCTGTTTGGTACAGGTCACAGAGTTGCAGTGCTGCACTGAGCGGTGCAATAATGCATGCAAGCTGACTGAGCAGGCTGTCAGGAAAAATGATGGCGCTTGTCAAAATCAGGCTCAATGAAATAATCCAGATTGCTACAGTGGGTTTGTTGAGACCTCAGAAATCTTTTGATAGCCGGTGCTTGGCTCTGCCAGCGCATGCTTCAGTGCATGGGTTTCAGGCCTTCAGGATGCTTATTGGCAGCATGCATGCATCTGACAGATCGGCACGCCGCTCTACGGGTGCTGCCCAATTCATAGTGGTCAGTCACTGTGATGACACATATTCACATCACCGCTCAAAACTCATGATCTACATCTTTGCAGAGCTATTGTCTGACACAGAGCAGGGTCACTGCAAGTGCGATTCACAAACTGCCTGGCAAGGCAGAGCACCTTGACCAGCAGCCGGATACACATGTGGTGTCTGCAGGATGCCAAGTTCAAGCCATCAGTCTGTGACTGACAACTAGAATGGTCCGCACATAGGCACTTTATTGACTCGTTTCTAATCGCCATCCTTCCTCATTGCGTGAATTTGCTGTTGTTTCGACCTCCCCAGCCTTGATTCTGCAGCTTGATTTGAATGTGGGCAAGGCCATACCTCTTTGGCCCAATTTTCTCAGGTGCTGCTCTAGTGTGGGCGGACTAAAGAATGGCGGCCCACCTTGACCTGCAGCCGTATCCAGCCGCCGGCGCCGCGGTTCTCGTCGATGATGACGTTGAGGTCCTGAGGCACAGTGCACTCCACGCGCCGGTATCGGATGTCGATGCGCCCAAGACTCATCGGCGCCATCTTGTTGAATGTCAGCGCCTGCATGCGCAGGGATTGTTCAAATCAAGTTCAGATCCCACATCAGCATGTCAGCCCATCTGCTTATGGGCTGGCGGGTAGGAGCTGTGCTTGGGAGCCTGGAGAATGTGCAGGAGTTGCCAAGCAATGAATCAACATTACTGTCATCACACGCTTTTCCTGCCACATCGGCAAGGTGCGTCCTGCAGACAACTGCAGTTTGAGGCTGCCACAGTACCCCGCCAGCCCGGGCAAGGAATGCATGCAATTATGACAGGATGCATAAGGTCCAGACAGCTGCAAATGGGTCTTTTGCGGTGCTACCAACAATGTGATGTTCCTCCTTGCAATGTCACGAGCCCTCATGTCACGAGCCCTCGCAGCAATGAAGGGGGGAGCAGGCCTTCGGTGTCTGCATAGGATGAGATAAGAGGAAGCACAGCAGAGAGAGCTGCCCACCTGGATGTCGAGGTGGTCTGCTTCGCACTCTGGGCAGCTGTCAGTGATCATGATGGTCACGCTGCGTGCATTGGAGTCCGAGTTGCAGCGCCCCTGCACCAGCCCACCAGCCCATCAAGATCTTGAGGAATCATCAGAATTTAGCATCAGCGCATCAGCACATCAGGGAATGTGTGGGTTGGAGACACACCGCAAACTGGCCGTTGTTTTGCAAGCACTCCACCTCAAAGCACTGCCTGCACAGAGCAGCACAAGCTGACTGTCATGTACATACTTTTACCCGTCAGAGACTTGTCATACCTTTCAACTCTTTGCAGGGCATGCTGCAGATCATCAAGCATGCAAATCGGGGCAGCTGCGGTGTTGGAATGGCTGGAAGTGATGGCTGGCAAGGGACTCACCCGCAGCCCTTGACTGGGCCCTCCTGATAGAAGTGGTTGGAGGTGGAGAGAGCCCCCACGCTCCAGTAGGGGTACTTGCTCTTGTCCAGCTTCCCATAGCCGCATGATCCCTGCACATACAAGCAGACGCTCACAACTTTATTTAAGCAGCAGAACATGACTATTTGTATTGCATGCATGTCAATGCGGCAGGCACTCTGTGAGACGCCTATTGTCATGACGCCCATTCAAAGGCATTCTGCCCGCCGGGGAGACGTTTGAAATGACAGGAAAATGACAGTCTTGGTGTGGTCCAGAGCGGAAAGGTGTGCAAGGAAGGAAGAGGGAGAAAGGACTCACGATGCTAGTGCCATAGCTGTACTGGTAGGGATCCTGCTGGGCACCAGAGCACACTAGTCAGCACACAGACTGTATGTCTGACTTTGCCCAGATCGTCTGTGCCCTAATTTCGGACCACTAAAAGCTTTGCGTCGAACTCGACACTACGAACCCAGTTCATCCATCCTGCAATCTTTCAACTCTCTGGTGGGAATGCTGGTGCTGTCCGTATGAAAATTTTGCGGACCGTGGGTGTGCAAAGACGGCCGTACAGACAGGAAGGAAGGTGAGCCTTACCATGCCGTCTTGATAGCCTCCATAGTTGGTGGCGATGCCTTGCGTCCAGGAAGAAGGCAAGCTATCGGCAGCCCGAGCTTCCCTGAACTCGTATGCGAATAGGAGGACAGCCGCCAGAAGGCTTGTGCGTCTGTGACCGCTCATTGCTTCGGATAGAAGAGGCAGCGACCTGAAATCCGAAAAGGGGGAGGCCGATTTGAACGCAAATACAACTTGTTACAGTGGGAAGCTCAAGCATGTACTGTGTACAAAGCAATCAGCCAGCAGATTTTGTTCCTGCCGATCCAAGTATCGGTCGTGCCCGCTCAAAAATGTATGGCACACTTCCCTCGACACTGTTCAGCGCACAGTAAAGCCGACCGTGCATGCCATGCAAGCTGCCGAGCAAAAATTATACCTTCCGGCCGACTGGTGAAGGCGTTGGTCGACTGAGAAGGAGGCAGTTCCAGGTGAGTAGCAGCCAGGCAGAACTCCGACAGCTGAGTCTCCTAATCCGACACACTCTTCTGGCGTCCCGGGATCCTCGATGGCCGTGCGGAGATGTAGAAATTATATATCTGTCAAGTGGGCTGGTTGGAAAACCTGACGATGTAGGGAGCCCTTATTCTGACGATGGCAGTCAGACTCTCATGGGCGTGTTTGCATGGGGCCTCCCGTAAAGGCGTCCGACTCGCAAATTTGTATACTGACTTGGACGCAGAGAACCCAGATGCAGCGTCTTTGTGTCGCAAATGCCTCTTTATACGATCAAGAGGGGGTTGGAACAGTCGCGTTGCAGATCATCGTACACCATCGGTTCAGTTGGGGTGTCTGTCTCAGTGCGACATTGTGAGATTATCTGGTCGGTGGTAATGAGGTAGATAGTAAGCACTTGGGTGGACACACTCTTGACCTCTTGTCTTGATCAGAGCATGCAGAATCGACCCAACAAAGGGCCTTCGTGTGTGTATCCTCTCTTGGATTTAAGGGACTCAGAGAGGGAGAGCCCTTGGTAGTCAAATTGAAGGATGGACTGACTGGTGGTGTGAAAAATTACCAAGGGAAGGACTCCGACAGTCGGGCTGTCGGGTGGCAAAGGTACCGGCATCAAGAAGCAGGTCTCGGGCATGCGAGTCCTGTCTTCCTTATTTCAGTCAAGAGTTAATGCAAGACATACAGACAGTGTGAGCGTCGATGAAGGGGAAAAAGGGCTGCCTTGCGGTTCCTGTTTGCATTCTCTCTTGACACTCTGAATGGGCAGCAGGCCGAACATGCCATGGTGAGGGCCAGCTTGTATATCACTTAGCAATTACACGGTTATGCACTCGCATCTGCCAGACTTGCTGGCACACAAAACGCACTGATGTCATTTTCTTTTATACACTTTTTTTGCTAGAGGCGAGGTGCGTCTGCAGACAAGCTGCAAGCACAAGGCGCATGCACATGTACAGCATCAATTTCAATGCATCACAGCGGGTCATGCTCCTACTCCAGCGAACCAGAGCAGCAAACACCTACTCTACTATACTTAATTCCCGCTCAAAGTTTGAATGACGGATCCACGTGAAAACAGGCCAGGGCACATCATGCTACATTGCTGCAAAGATGGTTCGGCCATGCACACCTCATAACCTTCTGAAGCCATACCCCCCAAGGCCCCCTCCCCATCTCATCCTTTGTCATCCTCAGCTCTGTATTGCTCTCTTGGTGCTCACATATCCAAATAATAAATCTAACACACCCCCTGACAAAGGTCAAACGCACCCTCTACAAAATTTTAATCCCAACAGCCCCCGGCTGTAGCAAGCACTACTGCAAAGCCATTTGTTGCAACACAGAGACGGCTAGCCTGCCAATCCAATGCAATCAAAGCACATTTTGGCATGCAGCATTGCAGCTGCATATACCTCATCTCCATCCAATGCAATCAAAGCACAAGCCAAACGTCCAAAACACTCCACAGCGGGGGCTGTGCAAAACCCGATCACCCCAACATGGCTGAGCAAAAAAACTTGAATAGAAGAATTCCACGAAAATGGCAACCGCCAAGTAGAGACACCTTACTATGCTGGCGACCAAAGCTTTCCTATAGAGTTCAGAAAGACACCGTCCACAAAATCGCATGCTCACACTTCCTGCCGAAGCTTCTCTCTATCCCAACCCCCACCCACCCCTCTAATTTCAATAATCTCTGTCTACAGACCAGCTGCAGATACCCTCCATTCTACCACTACCCAGTGCAACCCTCCATTTCGGCATGCAGCATTGCGGCTGCTGCATATACTTCAATCCCACGCACGCCATCATTCTGAGGTCATTATTCAGCAAAGCATTCTTGAACCTTGAAGGACCTCTGTACCCATGCCCCACAGCAAGCTGCAGCCATGGAATCAGGGCCTGGCATAAAATGAAGCTCATGATGAAAATGCGTGGCATTTTTGGAAGCCAGCTAGCCATCATCAAATTGGCTAAAGTAGGGGCCAGCTCAGCTCATTCCCACCCAAAATTGAAAGCAGCTGCACAATACTTCCTTCTGGTGTTTTGCCCCACCCCTGCTCAGGCCAAGCTGAGTGCGGGAAGATCCAAAAAGATGAGAGCTGCAAATCCGGGCTGATTAGCGCGCTGGAATGACCTGAGCCGTCCATGATAATTAATGCATTCTTGAGCAGCCAGCACAGTGACGTGGCCGGGGCACTGACTGCCGAATTGACGCGCATCTGATGCCGATGCGCACATAACTTATTTGGACCCGCCCCTGCATGGAAGCAACGATGATGTCTCAGCTCACTCACTGCACTAAAAGCAAGCCATGCAGATGGCCAGAAACAAGCACTCTCTCAAGTCCTCTGCATACATGGGCCAGATAATTATGTGCAGCGCCCCCGAACACATTCCTTTCACTTCCCTTGAACTCCCTTGCCCTGCCAAGCGCTTGAAATTTTGCTCTTTGACGATACCTCAGCGTGCTCAGGGGCCAGTTGGGATGCCTTTCCGATATTTAAGCTTGATAAAAAAACACAGATGTTGCTTGACATACCTAGTCCTTCAGGCTGGAGAAGATATAAGAAGGATAAGAACATTGCAAGTCACCTTTGTTCGCCTTCTGCCTGGCAGGAAGCTCAGCTGAGCATGCGTCGGCCCCAGCCGGGGGGCGGCGGTGGTGGCGGTGGCGGCGGTGGGGGAGGGCTAGGGGCGCTCCAAGACTGTCCACTGGACTGTTCGCTGGACGATGAGTAGGACGATGACGAAGCGCCTGCCTGCGGCGGTGGCGGCACCTGTGCAGCCATGCCCAAATCCTTGGGCATGGTTGGCTTGAGCCTCAACCTTACTACTATTGTTTTTACATGCTTTTCCTGCCCAAGGGGCAAGGTGCGTCCTGCAGACAAGCTGCAGTGAAAGGCTGCCACAATCCTACCCCTTGTTGGACTCGCCAGATCCAAGCAAGACCCAATCGACCGCAACTTTGGAGGCAGAAATACAAATTCTGTCCTCAGGCCAGTGAGGCACATCCGGAGGAGGTCTAAAAAATGATTCAGCTATTGGTGGCTGCCAACATCTGTGCAGCTTGGTAGACTTTGAAAACGAATCAGGTGCAGATGGCTGCCAAGAATTCTGCAGCTTGGTAGACTCCTACCCAGCCAAAGCACACTCTAAGACTGTCCGCATGGCCACATGACTAACCAGCGCTGTTCCATCACCCGCTGAAGGCAGTGCTGTCCTGCTCAAGGGACTGTCATCTGCCGTCCACCAACGGCTGACGACTATAATTTTCCTACACAAGAGACCGTTCACAAGCAAGCATTGGCATCTGGGACCTGCATCACCTATGCGTTGATGAAGGCCTGCTACACGCTGATCTCATGCAACATGCCCCGCCTTGGAAGACACATCCTAAGCAGTGCATGACCTCTGACATCCCCACAATGCCGGTTGGCGGACGCCCTATTTCCAACCTCCACTCAGCTTTTTTCTATGAGGTATGCTTCCGGAACTAGGTTTCCCGTTTTCGCACAGCTTCTTACGGAGCATGAACGTTGTAAACATATACAAAATTCACTATTTGCATATTTCAGCTCTTGAGCAGGAGTGCTCCGGACCACTGACACCTGCATGCATGCAATTGCTGGGGCAGGTTCAAGGGATCCTACCTGCCAGTAAGGCGGCGGCGGGCTCTGAGAGGACCCGGGGGAGGGCGGCGGCGGCTGCATCCAGTAGGGAGGCGGCGGGCTCTGCATGGGGGGAGGCGCACTCATGGGTGGAGGGGTGCTCGGGCCCTGAGCAGGCGTGCTCTGCTGCCATGTGCTGCCGGAAGCTGGCGGCGGCGGCTGCCACCAGTATGGGGATGGCGGGGTCTGCATCTGTGCCGGCGCGGCCGTGGGTGGCGGCGGGCTCCTGCAGTTGCCACAGCTTATGGTGTCAGAAACGCAAGCTTGTGTTGTTCTTTTATGGTCAGTTCAACTCAGGGGCAGGTAAGGCATGCGGACCCAATGCATGCTGACCTAGGCAGGCCGGCAGTTTTGTACAATAGCAGCCTTCTAGTTAAGCATGATGCCTGTCCCACATGCTCCCTACACAAGTCATTCCAGGTCGTTGCATAGTGCGACTTATAAGGCTGGTGCTGCATCCTGAGTGACCCGCGCAAGCATGCATCTTCCAAGGACTTCTTGCCAGTCTGTTCCGGATATTTCAAAAGGCCTCAACAGTTCCAGGCACCCAAATCCAGAAGTGCCCGGACAGAGTTCCGGATGTCTCTAGACACTCCCAGTGATGTTCATTAGATTTGGCAATAGATGTTGCACAAGAAATTGGGCAGACCAGAGTTCAGTCCTGGAAACACAGGCCCAGTACCCTGGCAAGCATGCATCTGTCTAACCTCTCCTGCAATGCTGCCTCGCAGGAATAGCAGGGGCTTACACAGACGGCGGGGGCGGCTGCCACCAGTAGGGGGATGGTGGGGTGGGCGGCGGGGGAGGCGAGGTAGGGGACCCCGTCGGAGACGGGCTGCCACCGCACGCAGTCGCCCCCCGGCTGCCATCTGTGCCAAAAGAGGTGCTGCATGCGGGGCTGCCTGTAGCTGGCGCCTGCCCAGCCTGGCTCCCTGACGGGCCTGAGAACGCGCTCACCTGCACATGCGCACACATGACATCAACATATACTCCCCCATAAGACAGATGAGTATTGAGGAACATGTGCATGCAGCCAGAGGCTGTGCTGGGGAGATGCTTGGCGCCGCAGCCCCCATATGACAGAAAATTTAGTCCAATGCAGATACCCAATTCAGCTTGCTGATGGCTGAGGCTTGTGGGCCCGAAAATAGCATGCACAAGAGGAAGCTCTACTGGATGCATGCTTTATACTGAAGCTCTGTCATGTAAGAGCTGCGGCCCAGAACATATATCTAACAGAGCCTGTTCAAGATCCATAGTTTCATGGACGGAATGAATCATGCGCTTGCATGTGTGACTGTCACTGGATCCTGCATGCATCATCATCCACAGAAAGACCACACCCTTGTCAGGTGTGAGCCACAATAGGTGGACATGCCACTCACCTTGGGCTCTGAGCTCGAAGAGGAAGAAGCTGAGGCGGATGATGAGCCGCTCTGACTGGATGAGCTCGGAGATCCAGATCCTGCTGAAGCAGATGAGCTGGCGGATGTAGAGCTCTGACCGCTGCCGAATTGGAAGTTGATCCCTGTGGGCATGATCCCAGTCTGACCATTCGCCTTGATGACTCCGAAAGCAGTAATCTGCATGGCAGAAAGGGATATGTCATGCCTTGGTAATATATTACCTGTGACATGCCTGCAAAATGGCTCACTACATTAGATGTATCCAGACCAGCAGTGATAATCATATCTGCTTCTGGATCTCTGGCTTTCGCATGAATGGATGCCGTGGTCAAGAGGAATCTTCATGCAGCAACAACTCAGAAGCAACATTGTCGTGGGGTGGAGTTCGTTGATCCAGAATCAGGAATTGTCTTTTATGTTGCATGCAAAAGATGGGGTTGAGCAGAAGGGGAGGCTGACCTCAGTGCCGGTATCATCCTGGATTCGGAAGTCCAAAGGGGGGTCCGGAATTGATGTGGATTCCCAAGAGGCCCCCCAGACGTTGTTCATGCTCTGCCAATTCGTCTTGGGCCCCTTGATCTGCACCAGCTTCACCGACCCGCGCATGGCAGCATCCTGCAGCATTGCATTGCATCGACCTCAGTATTCCTGCACTGCCCAGGCTGGCGGGGAGGCGGTCTAATACCGAGCACCGTGCCACCGGTTCTTTGGGTCTTACTTGGTTTTGGCGAGTCCAACGAGGGGTAGGATTCAGGCAATCTTCAACCACAGCTTGTCTGCAAGTTGTACCTTGCCTTTTGGCAAGAAAAGCGTGTGATAATACCAATGCTCATCCTGCACAATCAGCTGGAACCCCACATTGCTCTGTCCCTGCCTTGCATGCGCGTCCCCAGCTGCTAATGAACCACATGCATGGACGTCAGCAGGCACGCGCATGATGAGCTGCCATCAACTCGCATGCATGCATGTCAGGAGGCGCAATGCATGTCAATTTTCCTGCGTGCTTGTCCCTATCACATGCATGCAGTGTGCTCTAAGCAAAACACACTGGCAAGACGTGATCCCACCTTCACCTGCATCCAATACTACTTGACATGTGTGACCTGCATGTGCCTGCCATTAGTCTGCCAGGCAGAATCTGTCAGCTCTAGTCCAGAAATATAGTGGGACCCCACCTTGACCTGCAGCCGGATCCAGCCGCCGGAGCCGCGGTTCTGGTCCACGATGACATTCATGTCGGAGGGGGGCTTGCACTCCACTCGACGGTAGCGCATGTTGATGCGGCCCAGCGCCATCGGAGCCACCTTGTTGAACGTCAGCGCCTGCATGCGCAGTAAATTTTGAATGCTCCTTCATCGCATGCATGCATCCTTATTGGCTCATGCGCTGTCCTGCTCACATACCAGGCTGAACTGCTCGGGATCGCCAAGTCGAGCGGTCCAAAACGGTCCGTAATGCAGCACTCTTTCCCCCTATTTTTGCATGCATGCATCGGATTCGACTCATGCCCCATCTTGTTTCAACAGCCATGCAGGCCCATGCTCATTTGTGCTCTCCTGACTGGGGCTGTGCTCTGCTGTCTAGACAAAGGAGATGGAACGAGGAGCAATACAGGGCATGGCACTCACTCTGTGCAGGACAATTTGTCACATGTGGCATCACAAGGTGGTCATGAATGTCGCCTCCTTGAGTCAGCTGATCAGCTAGTGTCAGCCAGTTGCATTGGGGGGCTGTTTTGGGCGCACCTGGAGATCAAGATGGTCTGATGCGCACTCTGGGCAGCTGTCAGTGATCATGATGGTGACTGTGCGAGCATTGGGGTCCTGGTTGCACCGCCCCTGCACAGCACAGAAACATGAGTCACCACCCAGACCAGATATGTTTATTTTCCTGTTGCCTCTGCTGCCGTGCCTTGCCGTAATTTTCATCAACTACAGCCAGCTTGTGGAACATGGACATTGGTTGGCATTTGGACCAAATCACTTGTTAGGCAGGCACGCTGCTGCTGCAGCTTTGATCTGACAGAGATAGGACAACAGGCAGGGAATTAGCAGTCATAAGAAGCCCCAGTTGTTCAGGCGTGCATTGAGGGGAAGTTTGTGAGGAAGAAGTGCACACCGCAAAGCCGCCAGCATTCTGCAGGCACTCGATCTCAAAGCACATCCTGCACACACAGCAGATGATCAGGTTCTGGGCTGTAAAATCCTCAGGAGACTGGGAAATGCATGCCACTTTGCAGCGAGATTGCTGTGCTGCCTCTGCGCTCAGAACTGCAGATAGCGCAATCCTTGCTCAGAGAGACAGAGGCAGAAATGCTGCTTCTGCTGCCTCGGTGCTGAGACAAATTGCTGCTCACACACACAGAAGCAGCAATTGCACTTGTTGGGTTCTGCAGATGTGTTGAAGGCATGCAAGGCATATGTGGGCAGCAGGCATCTCACCCGCAGCCCTGAACTGGACCCTGCTGGTAGAACTGGTTTGCAGTGGCCAGCGCCCCCACACTCCAGAAGGGATAGTTGCTCTTGTCCAGCTTGCCATAGCCGCACGAGCCCTGCACAAGCAAGATCAAACCAAGCAAGCTTAGGGCCCATGCATCACATGAGCTCAGAACCTGAATGCAGCTTGCTCAAGCAAGGCCACCTTGTCTCCACACAGGTGCTCAGCGCTTCAGCTGTAACTGCTGGTGAACTCTTGGATGAATCAAGAGGTGCAAGCCTCCTGGGCAGAGCAGATCAGAGAGGAAGGCACTCACAATGCTGGTTCCATAGCTGAACTGGTAGGGGTCCTGCACACGCACAAGTCAAGATCAGCAAGACATGGACAATGATCAAGACTTGGCAGGCAAGGCTAGATGGAGCTGCAGATCCGAAGAACATCCTCTGGAAGATTCAGGTACGACCTCAATGAGCAGCCTCAAGCTTAGAAACTGACGCCCTTGGAAGGTACAAAACACTTCATCATTGGTCAATAAGTAAGAACAAGGAGTGGAAGAGGACCGATCGCGCACCATGCCGTCTTGTGCGCCTCCGTAGTTGGTGGCGATGCCTGTGTTCCAGTCACCGGGCAAAGCTGTATCTGCAAGAACCTGTGAAAGGCTGGAGGCGAGCAACAGGGCGCCAGCCGCCAAGGCAGCAGCCCATCTGCTGGTGGCGTCCATTGTCGAGACGAGTCGACAGGCACCCGGATCACCGATCGCGAGCGTTTTCCTGCAGCAGCCGGCGCAATCAAATAGGACCCATCAAGCAAACTGCAACTTACTTAGAAAGGATGTTGATTGGGAGGGACGCATGCATTGGCACAGGCAACACTAAAGGGCACCGACGCAGAACGTGTTCAGGATCTCCCGCGAGCTCGATCAATGCATGCAACGCTGGAAACGGACGGAGTGAAGCCTCTCAAGCATACCTGAAGGTTGATCGCTGCTGATCAGTGTTTCAGGAGGCGTGACCAGTTGTTTATGGGCTGGTCCAAGGGACGCGCAGGAAACGCGTGACGCCCGGCAGGTACTAAGGATCGGTCTCCTGTGGGCACCACCAAAATGGTTTTGCAATCTGTGGGCGCCTTCTTAAGTTGGGCAGGAGCAAACATAGGCTAGGATCAAGCCGCACCAGTGACACAGACGGGTGACCTTCTCAGCGAGGGGTACCTCAGCAGCGTGCAGCAGTGCCGGCAGGTTTGGGAGGTGGGCAACACAGAAGGATGGCCCTGACAAGACTGATCAACGTGATCGGTGGATTGAAACAAACAGACTTGTGATTGGTGTGACTGAATGGCGTCCTGAACGAACTCCATGGGAGGCAACGCTCCCGCAGAACACGGCGGGTTTATAGAGAAGGGGGTTGTGAGGGCTGCCTCACGACTGACTGAAGCACTCGATGACATCCGCATGAAATTTGCCAATATAGGAATCCTGAAATCATGACAAGGTGCTCTGCTTTTCCCCGAAGTGGTCTAAGAGGAGGACGAATGCAGACATATGTGGCATGAAGGCATTGCGAGCGCCAAAGCAGAAAAAATGGCTGCCTTGCAGTGTGAACAGAGTGCATCGGACAAAACAATCCTCTCCGCACTTGCATGCAGCTAGCTATCCAACCTTCTTGGAACAGAGTACAGGAGGCTTCCTCCTGGTCAGTTCTGTGAACGCCTCTTCCCGCATTGGCACTGAAGCTATGGATGCCTTGACAGCACAGGACGACGCGCCCAAGCAGTGTGCCTTTCCTCTAGCATGTGATTGTGTGCTTTGAGGAAAGATGAGGCTTCACTGCCTTGTGCTTTGATGATTAATAAGAAAGCTCGTTGAATGCAGTTTAATGTGCCGGCTTTTGCCATTGCACGCCAACACTGTTACACTGGCAGTACCTCATGCACTGCTTCATGTTTATACACTGACCGATCCCGCACCAATTCCCAGTTCAAGCACCCAGTAAGTACTGAAAGGAGATGCATACTTAGCGGACCACATACTTCGGCCATGCATCTCAATTGCACAAAGAGACGCACAGCCATGCATACTTTGAACACTACTAAACTCCCCCAAGCTAAATACTAGCCAAATTCCTACTCTACATCACAACACTGCGCACTGTCTTGCAGCTGCACTCTCCAAACATCCAATCAAACCTGGCCGAGCTGCGAGCTGGCCTCATCAAATCATGCAGATGGCAAAACAGCCATCTGGACAGAATCGTGCCATACTCATTGAGTATAAATATTCTGGCGACCTCTGATGGTCCTGCTCAGGAAAATAACTCCCCTGCTCTCCGTGCCTCAATATACCTTACCCTGAAAGTATTCACAACTTTGTGCCTGTCAAACAGATAACCTGCCTGCATGTCTCAAAGCACACGCCAGTTGCTGCTTCAAATCACTCAGCAAACTCCTTCTTTCAGAAGGAAACTAAATACTGGACCAGCTCAGCCTTGAGATGGCTGCGTGCATATGATGTGCGCTTCTGCTCGATAGCTGCCAAGACCTCGCATCTCTAGAGATGCCAATTCTGGCCATGCCACCACCTGATGCCCTCATTAATTCTGTCAGCACTGAATACGGCACTATCTGCTCCTCTTGAGATCCCATACTGGCTGTGAAACTGCCTGCTATTTCAGCCACACACCGCTCTAAAGATCTAACACTGGGTGTGCCAGTGACTGCTGATTCGCTCACAAGCCCCTCTAGAGATCCCAATACCGGCCATTAACGTGCCTGCTAGTTCCCTCACACACCGCTCCGCCAGCGACTGCTGATGAAACTCGCACCGCTAGACATCTCACTGCCTGTGGCAGTGTGCTTTGATTCACTCACAAGCCGCTCTGGAGATCTGACAGGTGGCTGTGTCGCCGCCTGCTGATGACTAAAAGAGACGCGGCTGTGCTTTCCTCTATTTGTTGTTCCCCCAGCTGCAGCTACTGCTGCGGCGGTGGTGGCGGCGGTGGTGGCGGAGGTGGCGGAGGGGGAGGACTGGAAGAGTCCCCCTGCTGCGGCGGCGGTGGTGGCGGAGGCGGAGAGGTCCCCGTCTGCAGAACACAAAATTCGTGCTGATAAACGCTTCAACGAGTGCACTGTGCTTCAATGGGTACAGTACCCTGCGGTAGCTTGAATTTTGACTCAACATGCAGAGGCTCTGCAGATAGTCATAGGCAGTGGGATTGACATCATGCATTACCCAGTCTGTTGAATATAGTCGCGTGATGCCTTGTGCAAGTGTCCCCATCGGCAAATCACCCACATGCATTAGCAAGCTACTTCCAGGCACAACACTGCGTAGGAACAGGACTGAGGAGGCAAAAACCTGCCACTGTGAAGGTGGTGGCGGGGGCGGCGGCGGGGGGCTCGGGGAAGATGACCACCATTGGGACGGTGGCAGCGGTGGCGGAGGGGGGGGACTCGGAGGGGTCCCCACCGGCGGCGGTGGCGGCGGCGGTGACGGAGAGGAAACATCCTGCATGCACAGGGGGCTGTCTGTTTCTGCAACAGACAACTCTGCAACAGACTTTTAAACTTGACAGGCCACATGTGTGTGTGTGTCAGATCATGCGATTTCCAGTTCCAGGAAGCCTCTGAAGTGACACAGTCTGAAAAGTACATAGGAGCTGCCTAGGAGTGCTAGTGACACACAAGACACCTCCGGCCCAGGAACACACCAAGTGTAAATGCAACTGGCTGTATTTCAGAATATCTGCAAGGAACTCTCGGTCATTAGCAGACTGCTAATAGCAATCCAAGCTGCATGAAATGAATGTCCAATACCAAAGAAGTCCTCAGACTACAGGAGCGCCAGCAAAGGATTGGTGGTGAAGCTCCCGCTTTGACTGCAGCAGTGCCAGCAGGGAAGTGTCATGTAACTGCAGCATGTGATGGACCCCAACAATTACCAGGTAAATGATAGCAAAGGAAGTATCAAAAGATTTTCACCCGGGGTGTGCTGGGAGGCGGGGTGGTCCATGAGGGAGGAGGCGGGCTCATCCAGTAAGGCGGTGGCGGCGAGGAGGCCGGGGATGGGGGAGGGGACCCGGTCGTTGGCGGTGGCGGAGGGGGGGATCCCGGAGGGGTCTGCCACGAGGCCGGCGGTGGCGACACCTGCCATGTGAGCAGCGCTCAGAAGGGTTTGACATGGCCTCGAGAGAAATCCTGGGGTGGCCAGATAGCAGCTTCTATGTCTCCAAGTGATCCCAGGGATTCATCACATGCCTATAAATTTTGGCAGTGAGTTTGGCAAAACATTCTAGGTGAACCAGAACCTCGTCCCAGAATCTAACAGGATTGGCCCGTTCCCAGTGGACCAGTGAAAACCTGGTGCTCAGCCGCCAGCCACCTATTGTTGCTGTATCTGCTTTGCATCAGCATTAAAATACCAAGCTGCTGCTGTTCAATAGCAGAGAGTTCAAGCTGGTTTCTCGATAAGCTGCTGGTCTGAGTATAGGATCTGCAAGTTCAGTATGTTGATGCAGAGGTGAGGCCACACCTGCCAGTACGGCGGCGGAGGCGGCGGGGAGGCAGGACTCGGCGGGGGAGTTGATGCGACCGAGTATCCTTGATTTGAAGGCGGAGGCGACACCTGCAAAGCTTAAGAGGAGATATTAGTCAGATGCACCAGAGGCCACATATATGCATCGCCACAGTGCGTGCTGCAAATCGCCAATTGTGCCTTCCCATGCGCTGTCAACCTAAGCCAACTGTGGCTTAGATGGGCATGTAAATAATGATAATATTAGTAATAATAATGATAATAATAATAATACTAATAATAATGCGCTGTCAGCCAGTGGCACACTCAGGCATGCTCCCACACATTTTCCCTCCTGAGAGCTCAATAAGGAATGCACCTGCATTGTGCAAGGGAGAGAACCGATGTGAACTCACCTGCCAGTATGGAGGCGGAGGCGGTGGAGAGGCAGAGTTTGGAGGGGGACTTGATGCACCTCCTGGGTACGAAGGAGGTGGCGAGGACTGCAGATTGGTCACAGCAACAAATTCTGAGTCAGACATTCCCCTGAGCCCAGTATGCATGCATGACCAAAGTTTCGCCTCAACAGAGGTCTTTGCAAGCGCTGTGCAGTCCGCAAACTTTGCAAAATTGTACTATTTTCCACACTTATAGTCTGGCCCACTTCGTTCTTATGTGGCATTATCATGGCCAATGCAGCGCTGTGCAGTGCAGTCTTATAAACAGCGCCTCAAATATATTTACAAGAACGCAATTTTAAAGCAGTTCAGGCGCACCTGCCAGTAAGGAGGCGGCGGTGATCGGGAGGCAGGGCTCGGAGGGGGAGATGAACCGCCGGATGCTCCTGGGTTTGAAGGTGGCGGCGACACCTACATGGCAAAACTTCATGTAAGTTTTGCCATGTAAAAACCCATACATGGCAAAACTCCAATGTTACAGGCCCCCCACTTCAATACTAATACATGCTTAGCCAGATCGCGCCTCTGTCTGTGTGCTGAGGATGCTTCGTTCTTCACATTGCCTATTGACCACAACCATTGGCCCCGGCTGGCGGGGGCCGGTACAAATACAGGCCACCATGCCCACGGTCGACTGGCTCTTGCTTGGATCTGACGAGTCCGGCAAAGGGTGAATTGATGGCAGCCTTTAAATGCAGCTTGTCTGCAGGACGCACCTTGCCTCTGGCAGGAATAGCGTGTAATAGTAATAATAATAAGTTGCTGCAGGCATATGACACAGATGCAAACCCTTCAAGCACCTGCTGCTGGCAACACCGTTTTTTGTTCCACTTGTTTATCTGAAGCTCATCACTAGTCTCTGGCGTCTCTGATTTTTTTTTGAAAGTGGGAGCACACCTGCCAGTATGGAGGCGGAGGCGGCGGGGGGGCAGAGCTCGGAGGGGGACTCGATGCTCCTCCTGGGTACGAAGGAGGAGGCGAGACCTGAAATTTACCCAAGTGTAAAAATTCTCAGGTCAGAGGCCTCTCACTCAAATCCCAAGCATACCCAATTTTCAGTGACTCTGTGAGCCAACCCTGAAGGTTGCGTTGTCTTGATGGGCTGTTTCAACATCTCAAGCAGCCGCAACCATTATGAGGCTCAGAGAGCCGCTGTATATTCACCCACCAACATGCTCCGGCTGGCGGGGGGCGGTACAATACTGAGCACCGTGCCCACGTTTGATTGGGTCTTGCTCGGATCTGGCGAGTCCAACAAGGGGTATTATTGTGGCAGCCTTTAACTTGTCTGCAGCTTGTCTGCAGGACGCACCTTGCCTCTTGGCAGGAAAAGCGTGTAATAATAATAACATGCTCTGCATGCTGCGCAAGAACCATGCACTCTCTCTCTGGATTTGACTCCAGTAAAAATTGACTCTAGTTAAGATATGCAATATGCTGGCAAGCAAAGGTGCTTTTAGGGTGCAATCCTGTTCCCTGCTGGACTTCTCACAGTCTTTAAGACGACCTCTGCGGTGCCTTCTAGGGCTAATTAAGTGTCAACGATAGAAAAGAGTGGTCCGTTAAACTCCCTTATGAGCCTACCTGCCAGTAAGGAGACGGCGGAGGGCTCTGCGCAGGCGGCCCAGAGAACGCAGCCACTGCAGGCGGCTGCGCGGAAGGGACGACTAATGATGAGGACGGCGTAGTCACCGGAGCGCCGTCGACCGAAGCCGACGGGGATTGCAAAGGCGCCGAAAGGGGCGGCGCGCCGTTGGGGGTGTATCTGCGCAACAAGGTAAAAACTTATCATGCATGTATGTAAAGAAAAATGTGCACCTCCCGATAAAGATGCTGACTTCATGGCAGGCAAATCGGGTCACCTCTTTACATTCAAGACTGATCTTACACAGAAAATATACATAGCAATGCGTGGCTCTTTATTTTGTGACTTGTCTGGATCTGGAGACCAAATAAGGGGTGCATCCCTCGGGAGGCATGCACATGCAGCATGTCACCGGCAGCAATTAAAAGACATTTAGTCATGGTCTCATTGACCTTCAAGTAACAAGGGCTTGGCGCAGGCACTCACCCCTGCTGCGGTGGAGGCGGCTGCATCCAGTAGGTCGGCGGCGGGGGCTGGAACCAGTAAGGGGGCGGCGGCGGCTGCATCCAGTAGGGCGGAGGGGGCGAAGCAGATGACTGACTAACCGTGCTGTCACTATTACTAACGGTGGGAGCTCCTCCAGAGCTGTTAGCGGCCGGGCCAGATGCTGCCGACTGCTGAGTAGGTCCTTGGAACGCTGACACCTGTAAACAGATAAATTCACTGCATGCCGTGCAGATCGGGGTGAATTACCTGAACTTCTGAGCTCTAAACTTGACAGCTGTGAGCTCAATAGAGCTGAACTTATAGCTCAGGGAGTCAGTTTACTCCTTGAACGCACAGTTTTATTGCATGCCATGCATATTGTAGTAACCCAACTCAGTACTATTTTCCTTGAGCAGTCCGACTTGCAGATGCACTTGCATGCTTCACTCTTCTGTTAGAAGCAGGCACCACATGAGACGCAAGACTCATTAGAGGAACAAGAGTTTGGTGCTGCTTTACTTTTGTAGCTTCGAGGCGTGCTGCATTGTCACCTCTGCAACCGCTTTTTTGGCTTTCAATATAGCACCAAGTCTCACATAGATCATCCGCGTGAGACTTACTAGTATTTGATAGGAACAGTTGACTCTTAATGTGTGGCTTGCGGCTTGCAAAGCCATACCTGGGGCACTTTTCCATTTGAAGCAGAAGCAGAAGCGCTGGCAGCTGCTGCAGATGTGGCTGCTGTGATGGGAGAGGCTGAGCCCAGCTTTGACCCGAACTGGAAATTGATCCCCGTTGGCAGTTCACCCGTCTCGCCGTTGGCCTTCACAACTCCAAACGTTGTGATCTGCACAGCACAGAAACTTCTCCTTGGCCAACATTGCATATATTTGTTGGCCCCGGCTGGCGGGGGGCGTTGTAATACTGAGCACCGTGCCCAAAGTTGATTGGGTCTTGCTTGGATCTAGCGAGTCCAACAAGGGGTGGAATAGTGGCAGCCTCAAACTGGAGCTTGTCTGCAGGACGCGCCATGCCTCTTGGCAGAAGAAATTGTAATAACAAAAAAAATGCATGCTCAGATCTTGGCATGGAGAGTAACATGCTTTGCTACAGGCACCCTCTTACTTGCCACGTGAGCGCTGCTAGGATCAAGGCACCTGCCTGAGCGATCGGCTTGCATGCATGCATGCATGCCGTACCCTCCATTAGTAAGGCAGAACCCTATGAGGGCACGCCTGACTAGTCATGGGGTAATAAAACCCTCGTGCGATAAGCAGAGATGCGGCTGGTGCATACTTGATTGCTCGTGCAAATGGAATATGGGAAATTGGAAATGGCACATGATGACTAAGGAGAGTGACATAAGGGTGATGTCACCTCCACGCCAGCGTCGTCCTGGATGCGAAAGTCCAGCGGCGGCTTGGGGACGGCTGTGGATTCCCAGGAGGCTCCCCAGACGTTGTTAAGACTCTGCCAGCCGCTGTCTGCCCCCTTGACCTGCACCAGCTTTATCGAGCCCCTCCCGGCTGCATCCTGCGCATGACACAGAATGTGTGCGCCCATCACATGCCATTCTTATTACTATTATTATTACACGCCTATCCAAGCCACAATTGGCTTAGGTGCGTCGCAGCAGCGTTTTTATGAAAGCCTTCCAGCTCGGCCTATCTTGGCACCTTAGCACCACATGCCATAAAGTCGATATACGGTAGAAGAAAACTGCCATATAAAAAAAGTGAGAATGGATCAGTCAGCTTCTGAGTGCTGAGTGCATTGACAGCAGCTGTCTCTGCTATCTTCTAGTCTGGCAAGCTGATGCGGTCGCCAGCAGGGCTTGGTTGGAACTTACTGGAACTCATCACAAAGCGAACGTGAGAGCCAAGAATTGGTGCGAGTTATTTTCAGAGCACTAAGAGGACTACAAAGGCGCTTCAAGAAGCCAAAATGACCAGAAATAGCCTGAAGAATGCCAATGAATACAGGAAGAAAGGGCACTTCCCAGGGTCTCCCGGCACACTTGAGCTGAATTAACCCCCAATACAGTCCTTATAGCTGGCCAGATCAGGCTCTGCAATGCATGTACACGTGCAGGCCTGCAGCCTGCCAGACAGCAGCCCGCCTGATCACACGATGCGTGTGCAGCATGGGCATGTGCATGCATGCATGTAGCATGCCAGGCGGAAGCCAGCAGCTCTAGTATTATTATTATTATTATTATTACACGATTTCCCTGCCGAGAGGCAAGGTGCGTCCTGCAGACAAGCTGCAGTTAAGGGCTGCCACAATCCTACCCCTTGTTGACTCCAAGCAAGACCCAATCAACCGTGGGCACGGTGCTCAGTATTTGTACCGCCCCCCGCCAGCCGGGGCAGCCGAGTACTGAGACTAAAGGGGCGCCCACCTTGACCTGCAGCCGGATCCAGCCGCCGGCGCCGCGGTTCTGATCCACGATGACACTCAAGTCCGAGGGCGGGTGGCACTCCACTCGCCGGTAGCGCATGTCCACTCGGCCGTTGCCCATCGGGGCCATCTTTTGGAAGGTCAGCGCCTGCATGCATGCGAAAAAGAATTTTCAAATTTGAAATTATCAGAAAGGCTGCTGCAAGTGCCATCTTGTTGACTTTCAAGGCCTGCATGCAGCGTACTACTTTCCCCAACGCTATAATCGGCTAATTGACTGGCAGCTCCCGTTCTGTACCCACATGCACCCATGCAGCCGCCTGCTGGGGGTCGTGTCCGGCTTGCATGCACACCAGGTATGCCAGGGCCTTAAAAGATGCGGCAGGTGCGAGCTCATTCATTGTTATCATTATTAGTAAATGCTTTTCCTGCCCAGAAGCAAGGCGCGTCCTGCAGACAAGCTGCAATTAACTTTTGCCACGTCCTACCCCTTGTTGGACTCGCCAAATCCAAAAAAGACCCAATCAACCGTGGCAAGGTGCTCGTTAATATACAGCTGGAAAACATGGATCATGTGTCAGCCTTGAAAATGCATGCATTGCTCTCTGTGTGGCCGGTAATAATTGGCAATCCGTCCCAGTATCTCTCAAGCAGCCTTCCAATTTTTTCAGCTCTCAAATCACAACAAAGCAAGACTTCATCAAGGGGGCAGCATTGCAGGGTCATGGCCAACACAAGGAAGAGGTGGCTGCTGCATCCCTACCTGGATGTCGATGTGATCTTGGCCACACTCTGGACAGCAGTCAGTGATCATGATCGTGAGCGTGCGCGCATTGGGATCCTGGTTGCACCGCCCCTGCAACCCACAACAGCGTTACCCACCAGCAGCCATGTCTGTTACCAGATTCAGCGGTGTTGCTTTATGTGCTTTGCTGCGCATGAAACGGTGCTTGGTGGTTTGGGCCCTGGGCCCTTTGCAAATTTGTAGATGCCATTGCGTCTATGTCGAAGATCTCAGGAAGATTCAGCAATAAGCTTCTACACAAGGTCTGCTTAAGGAGCACATTGGGGCTGCTTCTAAGGACATGCAGGGTGCAGAAATGTGAACACAAGAAGTGAGGCAAAGAGGGAATGGAACAGAGGCCTCACCGCGTACTGGCCGACATTCTGGAGGCACTCAACCTCAAAGCACTGCCTGCAATCATGCATGCATGCATGTCAGCCCAACTTGCCCCTTTTCAGTTGCTGCATTCCGTCTAATAGGCACACTGCATCATCTGACATGCCATGTAAGAGATTATCATTACTGCTATCACAAGCATTTCCTGCCAAACGGCTAGGTACGTCCTGCGGAAAAGCTGCACTTGAAGGCTGCCACAATTCTCCCCCTCGCTGGATTTGACAGATCCAAGCAAGACCCAATCAATCGTGGTGTAAGAGATCAAGCAGACTACTAGTGTCTCCGCAGGTGTATGCTCCCATCTTTGGGCAGATCACAAGAGCAGGCAGGGGCAGGATGTGTGGAAAGAGTGGCTCAAGGGGGTGGTATTACCCGCATCCCTGCACAGGGCCAGTCTGGTAGTAGAGGCTGGAAGTTGCCAGCGCACCCACGCTCCAGAAGGGGTACTTTGTTTTGTCCAGCTTGCCATAGCCACAGGAGCCCTGCCCACAGCCAAGAGATGTGCTTGGGAGCAGTCAAGTAGGAACGGGTAGAGACCATCCAGAGTCAGAGCTCTGGGGTCTGAAGACTGAGATCTAGCATCGGGCATGCAGCAGCTTTCTCTTGGCTGCTGTTTACTGCAGCAGACATTGAAGAAGGGGTTCAACAAATTATCAAAGGCAAGGGATGTGCTTGGGACTGGTCAGGTAGAATCAGGTGGAGACTTTCAGCGTCACAGGATTCATAGAGGCTGCAATGGCAGGATCATGCACCGGTATCCACTTGCTTCTGTTCGCTGGTGGAACACTGAGGGATTGTTTTTCAGATCCAAGCTTGACAGGCTTGGGAGAAGAAGCAGGGACTCACGACGCTTGTGCCATAGCTGAAGTCGTAGGGATCCTGCAGACAAACGTTTAAATTTCAGGCTTTGCTGCCTGGAACCTGTTGCCAACAGCACGAGTCTGACATCTTGGATGCATCAAGAAATTGTTTGCGAAAATCACCCGACGCGCTTTGGGCCGAAACGCACCATGCGATCCGGTGCACCTCCGTAGAATGTCGCAATGCCCTGCCTCCAGTCTCCTAAGGGAGCTGCAGCGTCTGCATGCTTCCAGACGCAGGCCAGCACAGCCAACAGCGCCCACCCGTTCCACATACCGACTTCCACTCTCCGCCTCAGCAGCCACCAGGGTTGTCCAGATCCTGCTCACAGCGGGTCTGATAAACACTATAAGTCACATACCAAGCGCTCTTTAGCCGCCCCACAACGTGTGCTTGCAGGAGAGTACTTCTGGAAGCAGAAGGCCAGTCCGGACTGGATCCACAGGCTGACAAAGCAACACAAGGCAAGCCCGTAGACTTCTGGCACGATTCGGGACGCCAGTAGCTGCCTTTATGGGCACTGATCACAATATGCATGCAGTCGCACCTTGCACAATCGGGAAGGAGACGCCCCAAGTCCGCAAAGTTTGCCTGCCGAGGACCCTAGTAGTCGGCCAGCACCGTCATCTCCTCCAGTCCAAAGCAATCTGAAGACCCAATCGAAGAAGGGAATACGCAATCCAATGCAGGTGCTAGCTCAGGACTGAAAGCTGAAGTGAACACAGCAGACGCAGAGGACGGGCAATTCGGCAGTGCTATCAATCTGAGCAATACAACAAAGGGACGGCACAGGTGGCCAGCGTCTGTGTGACGCAATTGGTATTGCGTGGATTCTGGTAACAGGTGTTTGAAGCGGGGGACTTCATGGGAATCGGCGTGAGAGCTGTGTCTTGCATGGCAGGGAACGCTGTACGACTGGCTCCAGTGTCAGACTGGGGCTTTGTTGACATCATCTGATGACCTGGCACATGCGCATGCGTGCCACAGCTGGCAAAGACACTGGACTTCCAAGCTCTGAGAAGCTCTGCCGTCTAGACTTGACTGTTATGGCAAAACCGGCTGCTACGCAGGTAGCAAAAGCAGCAGAAGGAAAATTAGGACCACTGAACTCTAAATCATGCCATGTGCATGACATATGGGTACAATGGAGGAGCAACACAATGTTTAGAACACCCTCCTACTCTCATTTCCTAGCTGATTTTCATGCATTCAAGAGCGTGCATTACACAACAGAGATAGACAATAAAAAGGAAATCCAAGCTACGCCACGCGCAGCTGTTCTAGCTCCTTTGCCTTGCGCACAAGCATGTGTTCGTCGCCGAACCCCCTGGCCATCGCATTAATTCCCCCTGCCAGCTCAGCGAGCAGGTCCCCCCGCTTTGTGGGGACCAGGATCCGATCAAAGGGGTCCATCCCAGTCAGCTTGCTCTCCATCACATGCAGCCGCGTCAACGCCAGATAGAACCGCGCCTGCGCATGCATGCGTTCATCCATCCATCATTACACATTCTACAAGCTCTCCCATTCTGCTATTTAGTATCATGCACTATATAGAAACAAGGGTGCCTCCAAAGGTGAAAGGCAGTTTTCCTTCCAGATCATTGTGACCAGCAAGCCAATTTGCAGGAATGCTGAGGGCATTGCAGCTGTTCGGACCACGGCTCCCTCGCTCAACTCAATGCATACAAATTTTGCACATGCTTACTCTCCATCTGAGTATAGACAGGCAGTATCGCACGCAAGATAGGTCTTCAAATAGACAATAAGATGATGCAAACTTCCACAGCAGGTGCTTTAATATAAGACAATGTATTGAGTTCACCTCTCCAGTGATGGGGTTGTCCTGTCCAAGGCGTCGTGAGAAGTGCTGCTGCGACTGGTGAAGCAGCTGCTCGGCAGCTGTCACGTCCTGTGCGGCTGCCGCTATTGTGCCCAGCCGATGCGAGCGCAGCATCGCCTGCACACGCACATATAATATTACATCACCAAACAAAATGCTAGCTCTTGTGCTCAAGCATATGCATGCTGTTTGGCAACCTGTGTCTATTTTCCTTTGCATGTCCCTCTTCTCCAGCGGTATACGCTACACAATCCTAGATCGTCCTTTGGCAGGGGTTTTACTGAGTTCCACGATGGCAGGGCATTAGTCTTTAGTCCGCCCAATCTAGAGGAGCACCAGAGAAAATGTCCTCCATGCTTGTTATGGCCTGCCAAAATGCAAATCGAGCTTCAAAACAAAGGCTGGGGGCTCGAAACAACAGCAAATGCACAGGTAGATGAAGAGCAGAGACTGGAAAGTATTTGAGCAAGTGCCTACGTGCGGACCACTCTAGTTGCAGCCTCGGAAATTTTCTGATAAGAGCTGAAAGCGTTGCCTTGGACAGGAACACACTGCAGTTCAGCTGCGCAGATACCAATATCGAGGCAAACGTGATGCACAGAGCTTATAAAGGGGAAACGGCGCCAGGTAACACAAGATTAACTGCACGGTCCCTCGAAGCCGCGCCATACTGTTCTCTTCAATTCTGGAGTTGTCTGGGGGGACACGAAAGGCGGAGTGTTCAACGCCTGCATGAGGAGTGACATCCTCAAATGTGCTGGCCATGGCAGAAGCCCTCCCTATTGTGCCAAGAGGGAATTCTTGCCGGCAAAGGACTGCAAGCCAATTTTGAACATGCCCATTCACACCCCTAAACAGAAGCCATGCTTCATTGAAGCTTGCACCAAGTCCCTGATCAATGCTTAAGTTCCAGAGCTGCTCATGCCTCCCCTGGCCGCTACCTTGCTACTGGATTTTCCCTGCTATGGCGCTGCCTCCCCTACGGTATATACAATCAGTTCATCATTCCCATGCCTGCCCAGAGCTCACCTGGTCGCTGCCAGGCTTGTGCACCTTCTCAGCGAGGGCGCTGGAGCGCAGGCAGAGCTCGCGCGCGTCATCAAGGCGGCCCAGGATGAACTGCAGGGTGGAGAACTGGTAGAGCAGCAGCGCCAGCGCCTCGCTCTTTGGGTCCAGCGCCTCATGCAGCCGAATCTCCTGCACGCAGAAGCCAGCGCTGATCACATTAGGATAATTCAATCTCGCTCATAAAGCACGGTGTGTTGACGTCCATCTCCTCCTGTGCAAAATAATGTATCACGCATCAGGGCACACAACTGATTTTATGCCCCTACTTTGGGAGCATGATCAAGCAATGCAAATGCTAGAGCCATGCAGATTTATGATGGCATCGCGGCTGATCGGCTTATCGTGGCTTTGAACACGCCATTTGATATGATGTGATGTGAAACAGCAATGCCAGCGATAGCACATTGGCTTCTTACCTTTTGCTGAAAAACAAATCCTTTAGTGCTAAAGTACTACAGAGGACTCGGCCTTGTAGGGGACTGGGCATGTCGAAATGCCCATGTCAAGGTGGTTTTGAAGTTCATTATCCCCAGTGCACGGCCAAGTTCGCTGTACAAAGGCCAACAAAAAAGTTCCTGTGAGGACGGGTGGTTACCTGCAGGAATAGGGCCTCTGCTCTGGTCCAGTCCTCCAGCTGCAGCGCATCCTCCAGAATCCGATGGTGTTCCCTCAGCCCTGCACCAGCCAGCAAGGGGCCGACACCCACATTCGTGCGCATGCGCATCAGCCCCTGAGCACACCCGAAATTTGAATTTGAAATTATACAGACGAGGTCAGAGATCATGAACATCAATCAACTTCTACCCCAAGAATACAGCCAATCTGGTCTGAGCTCTAAAGATTGGCAGATTGCCAACGCAGAGATATGCAGTAACACAGACCCCTGCACATATGCTCCAGGTGCTTGTTATCCTTGATGCATCATGCACTTACAAAGGAAGGAAATTGGCAAATGCAAGGCAACGGCACTCTTCTCTGCCAGTCATTGGGTTGCAGCCAGGCATGCTCGGATGAATTTCTGCGGGCACGACTGAATTTGGGAGAACAGCAAGTGAGTGGCTGCCAGCATAAGTGCGCACCTCAATCAAGTCGCCATCGACTGCCGGCAGGGAGGCTTCTGTGGAGCCGGCCACTTCAGCGAGGGCCAGATAAAAGCGTGCTTCACCCAGAGCCTCATACTCGTCCCCAAAGGCTGCTGTCAGCGCCTCTGCCGCCTCCTGCAGCAGCGGCTGCGCCTCCTCCCAGCGCCCCTGACCTGCAAGGAGATTTTGTCCGATGAGTCATAAGATCAGTGGTAATGCAAAGGGGTCCTTTAGGTGTACCCCTCTTCTCAAAATCACCCCGCGCAATCGTCATGCCATATCTTTTCCACGCATGCAGCGAGTCACAGGTGAATTGTACTGGGAATCTCAGATGTCGCGCTGGTCTTCACTCCTGATCTCACAGGACCTAGAAATTGAAGAACGACTACAGAGGCATGCACGAGGGCTCTGTGTAAACATGCAGGGCAAGCTTTGCTGCGTTCCAGGATCAACGATCATCTCCATCCGAGCGCATTCATTTGCTGCCTACATACGAAGGCACCCTCACTGCACCATATCTTGCCATTTGGAGCATGCCGACTTCCAGCAGAATGGACAGGGCCAGAACATGAGTCCCAGAACATGCCAGGCATGGAGACATGCTTTGGGTCGCAGTTGTTTCCTGCATGAATCACAGCACCTAGATTGCCTTGCCAGCAGTACCAAATAAATCAATTTGCTGGACATGTGCACAGGACATGCGCGCACCTGCCAGCGCAGTGCCCAGCCGCAGGCTGCACATGGCGACGGCGGCCTCCTCGTCAGCAAAGAGTTGCTGAGCGAGCTCCAGCATGCGCGCAGCTGCCGCAGCAGCTTCCGGCAGCTTCCCTGCCAGGAACTGCACTAGCGCCTGCTGGTCCAGTAGCGAGGCTAGTCCTGCGCTGTCTGGCAACGATGCCTCCACGTATTTTACCCCTGCAGGAAAGTGATGGCTGTATCTGAGGATCCAGCAGATGGAAAAAGCCTGAAGCTCTGTGTCAAATATGCAAGGAAGCCCTCGCACATGCTGCTGACATACCAAGCAATTAAGATGACTCCTTCACCCCCGCATCATGCAACATGCATCAGCTGGGCATGCATGATGGAAAACATGAGCATGTTGGGCTTGCAAATGCAGGTAGGCATGGGACATGCCAAGCATGCTTAGCCAGACTTTCAGTACCGTACTCCATGGTGAGGACTTCTTTGAGCATTGTTGCAGATGGTGCATGCATGCCAGTTATGCCCAGCATGCACTTTCTGAGCATGCCTGTACGCTAGGGCAACAACTTCCGACTGCAACATCAGGCTTCACTTGGCCGAGGAACAAGGTGCACCAAATCTACACTTCAGTCAGAAGGCCCCACCTTCAAGCAGTAAATACTCTGCCTGGTCGAGCTTCCCTTCCTGCAACAGCCGCACGCCCTCCAGGATCATGCGCTCACATGCAGCCTCCACAGCAGCCTCGTCCGCCTCACTCTGCTGCCCTCCCTTGCCCACGCTTTGCCCGCTGCCCGACCCTCCCTCCCCTGATCAGAAAACGGCTTTTTTTTCTCAATTAATTGGTAGAAACAAATTCAAGACTCTACAAGTAAGGTGCCGATCACATGCAGTTTCCATGCAAAGGATCTTGGCCTATATGCAGCCGGATGCACAAAGCACAGGCAGACTGATATGAGGGCAATGGCCACTATGCTGTCCCACTACGCCTTGCCATGCACCCAAGCATGAAAGTTGCTGCAATCTATGAGGAGTATAGGTCTCTGCAGAATTGTATGAAGACATAAAGGAGGCAGCATGGCACCCGTTGGCGTGGACGCTGTGCTTTCTGGTTGCTCTGCAGCAGGAGGGTCAGTGGTTCCTGGACTGCCAGAGCCTGCTCTGCTGTCAGTGGCCATGCCAGCTGCTTGTCTCATGCAGGCACTAGTTGGAGACTCTGGCTGTAGCCTCCACAGAAGTCTTTGACGTTGCAGGCCCTGCTGCATGGACCCCTGTGCTGGCCTGCTGAAGCTGGGAGCTGCTGGGCTTGCTCCTCTGCTGAACAGGCTTGGAGCAAAATCCTGGCTGATGCATGCAGCCTGGGCATGGTTGCTTCTCCCTGATGAGCTCCGGGAAAGATCGCAGTCAACGCCATTGCACGGCAAAAGTGGTGCTGCGCACGCACGGGCCTGGACTGAACTGAGGGATCTGAGTTGGTCTGTGCATGTCCTGATGTATGAAACACCTATACAGTGATCTCCCTGCCACTTAAATGCTTGTTGGATTGATTGTAGGAGGTAGTCAGCACGTCTCCACTTGCAAAGATGACAAAATTGCCCAAATTGAGCAAGGCTAGCTTTCGGCATGCTTCGGTACTGATCGGAAATATTTTTCAATCAAATCTGCATAGACGCGATCGATTCTGCTCAAATATTCAAATAAAGAGCCAGATTTGTTGTACTACTGGGGATTTTTCGGCCAGCTACTCCCGATCTTGTGAAGGCATGGCATTGTCATCCGCCTTATGCTTGTGTTGCGTCAGCATATATAATCCTCTGCCCAAAATGGGTGTCCAGAGCTACGTCGAAGAATTATGGTTATGTAAGTGTGTGTATTTGTTGCTTAAATGTGCAAAGACGTGGAAGAATGTGTTCAGAGTTGCAGACCTAGAGGCGACCCTCGAAATATGTTTGCTTGCTAGGGTTACATCATCACAATTCCTTCCTTTGCAGTGGTGTTGTCTTATTGTGTCATCTTGAGCTTCTTGATGGCAAGCTGTCGCCCTGCTTAGTTTCAATGGCTCTGTGAACTCCTAAGAACAGGCCTGTGCCTCGATTTATTCTCAAGTAATGCATCTATGCATTATAAACCTTCCGCAGCATCATCTACGCGTGTTACTTGAATATCTTTCAGCACCACTAGGTTGCAACATCCATGCTTGGGCAGATTTCGTCCGGATATTTTCCCTTAGGCAGCCGGTAACCAAGGCAGACCCAAGCAGGTGTAGTCATTGCTGTCTGGCACAGGCGCGGCAGCTGCGTCCCGGGCGGCAGCCGCCGCAGCAGCCGCTGAGAGCCGAGCAAGCATGAGAGCGCCCGGAAGTAACGCTGTTGCCGACAGCAGGATGAATGCGAAGAACAGGAAGGCAACCTGCTTCCTGACAACCTGCGGCAACAACACACCCATGCAGTCAGTGCCACAGATCTTGCTGGTCTCCTGCTCTCAAGGCGGCCGAGCCAGACACCGCCGTATGTACTACCCAAGTCAAGATGAGCAATGAAATGGACAGGACGCGCAATGAAGGCATAAAGCATGTAGATGAATTGCAGATGAATTAGCTGTACAGTACAAGCCAAACGTCGCGCTTTACCTTCTCAGTGACAGCGTCTGCGATCTGCGCGGCGCTCGGGAAACTGCTGTCTGTGGAGTCCTCAGCCGCCGCCAGCTTCCTCGTGCGCATTCCCCTCCAAGCCACCAACCTCCCCCTCACACATTGCTGCAACGCCAAGCCTGCGGCCGCTGCCATCGCCACGACTGCACTCGCGCCCTCTGTGGCCCGCTGTGCAAGTTTTGCTGGTGTCCCCTCCTGAGAATGTGGTGCAGCAGCAGCTGCCCCGCTGCCCTGCCCAGCAAGGCTGCCCAAGCCGGCCACAGCAGACAGGCCGCCACAACCGCGCAGGCCGTCTGAGAGGCTCTGCCGCAGCGCCTTGCCGGCCGAACCCAGCAGTGCGCGCGCGGCTGCGGCCGCCGCCCCGGGGCTCGCCGGCTGCGCAGTAGCCGCCGGCCTCACCGGCGTTGCCGCCCCGGCCGCATCTGTGCCGCCAGCGCTCGCGAGCTCTGGAACCTGCGCTGGATTCTCTGCCTCCAGCTGAACGGGGTGCGGGGGGCACTGGCTGTCTGATGCCGGAAGGTTGGAGTTTGCGGCAGGTGCGTAAGAGGCCTCAAATTGCTCCCGGAGGCTGCGGCAGGCCGGCCGGGGCTCGGAGGCAGAGCCGACCGCCGGGGTGCGGGGCCGGGGCGCGCTGCGTGGCGCAGGACGGCAGCTGCCGGGCGGCTGCCGAGGGCAGCTGTCGGACAGCTGCGTAGCGTACGCCTCCAGGCCGGCCGACCAGGGGGAGCGCGCAGCGTTCAGCGGGTGGCCGGGGTTGCGAACGAAGTTTCCCGGCTCCGGCGAGAGGGAACGCTCCCTGCTGCGCTCCCTGCCGCCGCCGCTCGCCGCGGGAGACCGGCCCCAGGCTGCGCTTTGCGCGCTGCCCGCAGCGCTGCCGATGCTTTGAGCAGGACTCAGGCTCTGTACTGGCGAGCGTGCCGGGCTGGGAATTTGAGGGAAGCCCCGGTTGTGCAGAGAAGCAGGAGAGGCCTCCGCAGCTGCCCTGGGCAGTGGCGGCGATCCTGTCGCAAAACTCTCCTGCTGCCTGCGCAGCCATGGGCATTTTTGGAAGCTCATTCCGTGACAGGACTGAAGCATGCGCGAGGCTAAATCATTCTCAAAGCATCGAAAACTTTTCTAGAGAAGGAGCACGACATGTTGTAGGCATACCAGATATGGCTTTGAGGGCGATTGCTTCAAAATAATCACCTGTTGTGCAGCCTGGACTGCTCCAGGGGCCCCCCGCCGCATCCGGGGGGTCCGCATTCCCCTTCCTCCCACTCCGGCAGCGGCTTGAGGGGGGCCTCTGCAAATCGCAGCACCTCTCGCGGCAGCACCTCGGGAAATGTAAAAGACTCTCCCGTGTCCGGCAACGCCGCACGGCCGGCAGCGATGCTCCAGGGACTGCAAGGACACACAGCCGCAAAATATCAGCCGAACTCTTACCCACAATTTTCTGCTGCACAAGTTTGCAAGTTCCAATGTGTTGCAAAGAACTCCTCATGTGACACCCCAACATGCATCACGGAGCTGCTCACAAGAGACAGCCATTGGATTTGTTGCTGTCTCCGGAGAGGCTTGCCATTAGCTTGCTCTTGTTGGGCATGGCAGTTTCACTTTCGAATTGAGATTTTAATTTCCAGACTGACAAGAAATGAGCTCGGCAACATTCTGTCCATTCAGGGCACTGACTGTTCAGGGCAGCCTCAAAGGTCAGAGCATCACCCCTCATCCCTGCACTGCGCCCACGGCTCTGCTGCCTCGACACTGTGCTCATCCACCCCTTTTTGCTTCTGAGCCGGCAGCCACTTGAGGCCCATCGTGTCACTGAAGCTCAGCGGCTTCTCCATCAGATCCTGCCTCAGGGAAGCTTTCAAGTCAACCTCCCGCGCCAAATCTGGCTCCCCATCCGAATTTGAATGCGTCGCCAAATCTGGCTCCCGCAGCGGCGACTGCACCTCCGATGCGTCGGACCCGGCACGGCCGAGCGCTCCCGTTATTTCACCGCGCCCCTTTATCTCCCCGGGGCTATCAAAAGTTTTTTGCGCGCTCCCTCGGGGGGTTGGTACGCCATTGGGGCTGCTGCGATCCGGGAAGACATAGCTGTAGGAGCCGTCGAAGCGCGGCTCTGAGTGTTTCGGCGATTTGACCCCGGAGCTTCCGGATACGCGAGACTCGGACGAGGAGCGCCTTCTTAGCAGAGCTGGGTCCTGCCTTGGCGGGCTCTGCTTGATGCCCTGCATGCAACCCGTGAACTCGTACTATTTAGGACAAGAGAATGAAAATATTGTCTGCCCTGCTTAAGGCACAGTTGGCTGTAATTGCTGAAATGCGCGTTCTCATGTCCAAGTAAGAGCATGTATGGCTGGCACTTCCCAGGTATGCATGTGTCTTTCATGCTGCAAGGCCTTGTCTCGCTACCAGCAACTACTAAAGAGGGTAAAACCAAGTCCCTTCTTGCAAGTTTGTCCTCCTGTGTGACTCTGTGTCTCTCTCTACCGGCTGAAAGTGTCAAGCATTCTTCAAGACAGAGTGCATTCAAATCCAAAATATTTGCAGAAGTGGCATGTCAAGGGCAGCGCACCGGTGACGTGGACTTTCTGCCTTCGAGCGCTGCGCTGTGGAAAGTGCCATGGAAGCCTGGCCAGGAGGGAGGCACATGGGAGGGCATCCCTTTGCGGCGAAGGTACCCAGCTTCTGGGCTTGACCCTCTTGCATCCCCTTGTTCCCTTACCTTCGGTAACTTCGTCACATGCTTCGCCTGTGCACGGCAACGTGATGCAGTGTTAGTCAAAAGCACACAATTGAAGGATTGGGCACAACGGAAGGCAAGCGTGGGAGCGCAGTGACGTGTGGATGAAGATTAGTGGAACGTTGTCATACCCTTTAGAACTTTCTATGTGGCAACATTATTCTAGGAGCGAACGTTAATAATGAGCAGGTTTATAAGGCAAGTTAGTAAAATTATTGTACTAGGACGTTCTAGGTGTGGGAGCAGGGCCAAGGACGGTGTTAGCAGGACCATGCGAGACTCATGATGCGTCTTACCTTGATTGCTGTTATCTCAGAGCTGTATTCGTCTTTCAATTTGCGGGTCACCCCGGCATTCTGCCATTGGCCTGCTGTCTTCAGCTTTCCTCCGGAAGACATGGCTTTTGAAGCTGCCTCTCACCTGTACGCTTTTACCTCGCCGACATGTGTTGCAATTTTTCCAGTGCTGAGCTTTTGTAGATTGTCTGAAAGATATGATTCGTCACAGGCTGTCTCCTGGAGATTCATGGAAAGGGTTGACTGGACCCCATAGCAACCGACCCCTCCGGAGCACCGAGACCGCAACTCACTATCCACGGCCGACTTCAGCCTCACTCATCAAGGTATTTGGAGAATGGCACATTTTTCCTGTTGCTTCAGGCCGCGGGCTACCGACGACGACGAGGTCGTCACTGTTTCCAAGGTCGCCAGATCGTCCTCCTCCTAGATCATCTTGTTGTCTAGTTCAGCAACTTATCACCAGACATTCAATAGAAGCCAAATGAGGACGTATTCCACAGGTTACATTGTATTTTTCGGCATAAGGGATCACAATTGGTACCCAGGACTTTTCCAAGTGTCTCTTGCGATTGCCTGGATGTCTTGCCCAGTCTTGTCTTATCAAGTTGGCCTTCAGCCCCGAAGTGAACCAATATCACTGATTTTGCTTGTAATCATCTAAGGGGCATCTGAGTAGTGTTATAAGGGGAAAATTCCCACAATGGCTTTTCTGGCCTTGTCTGCCCACCTTACTTTAAGACCAACTGTATGCTCCTCTGCACAGATTGAGCATGTGAGGGGCAAGCTAGCGGCTGCGTCTTGCGAGGAGACCGTAAAGCTGCCCGTCACATCTCCCAAGGTGCAACACTGATCAGTCTCTTGCCAAGTCGTCGAAGCCAAGTCTCCATCTTGTCCATCTCTACCTTGACACTTTCGGACATACCTGCGGCAGTAGCTTAATAAAAGATTACTGAACCTGCAGGGCACCATCAAGGCGCTTCAGCCGCTGCAGATTCCTCAGGAAGATGACATAATGGAGATGCAGAGCAGCTGGATATCTGTGGCCAACGTCTCCTTTGCAGACATGCTCTGCTCGATCGACAAGCACAGAGACAGCCCCAGGAACCATCGCGACAGCCCCAGGAATCGAAGGATTCCTCCCCCCAGAGCCTCTTCTGAGGCTCCGCGCGAGTCTGCATCCTGTGGTGAACAGAGTGAGTGCCTAATCTCTGGAGCTACAGCGCTTCCTTCTTGAGCTGAAGCTATCTGTGCATCTTCTGGCATTGTTGTAGGCTCCTTCAATATCTCTTTGGAATGTTGGCTTTCCACTTTAGTATGACGGTCGTGTATGTCGGTAGTAGGCATGACACAGAAATGATTCCTTTGCGCAGGTCAAGTGATATTTCCCAGGCTGCGGGGGAGGCTGTCGGACACAGGAGAGCACAGAGAGGTGCCTGCATGCATCTTTGAGCAGAGAGAGCTGCCCACAGTGCGCGAGCAGCCCTCGCCCCCACGCCCCACCTCTCAGGTTTGAGCCTGCACAGCAGTACTTGGCCTCCTGGTTACCGTATTGGTCAGTCTAAACCCTGGACAATACGATTAAGTTTTGAGCTTGCGGGAAGGAAATAATAACAATTTTTTGACGTGCGGGAAAGTGCCAGCGGGATCAGTGAATAACTATGTCGTGCCAGAAAAATTGCAAAACACTAGTAAATGAATATTGGGGTCGCGGGAACGAAAACCAACATATTTTGTTTGGTGCGGGAAAGCCCTGCGGGAAGCTGGTTAATATCTAAATGTGTGCGGGGTCTTAGAGTGAATTCCGCAAACATTTCTTAAGGTTGCCTTCCGAGATCTGGTCGCGCCTTGGCTTGAGTTATTTCATATCTGCATGCTCACAGAGAAATCCGCGATTCATTGCATTTTTGACTTTGGACAGTCTTTGGTGAGTGGAAATTCAGTGCCCACATGCCTTGACAAGACTCATGAGTCTCTAGAAAGGCTAGGATCAAGGAAAAATTCTGTCCATGTCAGGGTGTCCCTGCAAAGCAGGCAAGCATAAAACTGAGGCATCTACCAAAATTAAAGTCACAATGTAGAAAATGAAATTTGAATTGCTGCTGTGTGCAGAGGGATGAGCAGGGAGCACCCCAGGAGACAGTGTCTGGCAGCAGCAGGGCTGCAGGGACCTCTGCTGCCGCCCCTAGCACACACCCTTCCCACACCCAGCACAGGTGACTAATGCTGCCGGCCCTGCAGAATTTACCTGTTGCAGCTCAATATCTTTAAGCTCAGCATTGTCCCATTGCTACAGCTCAAGCTCCCTGTCACTCCCGAGCTGCTTGCAAGGCAAATAAGACTGGCCCGCACACAGGCACTTGCATGAGAGTATTCCTAGTCTCTGGGTTTGGGCAGGACACTGCTGTCCCAATTTCTTAGATGCTCCTCTAGATTGGGCAGATTAAAGAAACATTTCTGCTTTAATGGTGTTTGAAGACTCTGTCTAACAAACAATGCACACAATAGCCAAAAGTGTTGCAGATCCCAAACGCTGATCAGAGGGGTCGATTTAGATCCCCCCACAGATTCATATTCAAGGGGAATGAATGTTGCGCTTGGGTGATAATGACTCCCCTGCAGATCTGTGATCAAGGGGTTTAAATGCCGGGCCTGGTTGATTTGGAGTCCCCTGCAGATATGTGATCAAGGGGAATGACTGCGCGCCTTTTGTGTGTCAGGCCTCGCAGGGTGCACAGAGCCGTCCCGGGCAGCCGGCACACGTTGCCCAGCAAGTCTTACAGAGGTGCAGACACCAAGGCATCATCAGCTGCAGCCGCCAGTCAGGAGGTGAGCTTGTGCCTTCAAGACATATTTGTTATTATACGCATTTCCTGCCAAAAGGCAAGATACGACCGGCAGACGAGCTGCAGTTCAAGGCTGCCACAATCCTAACCCTTTTAGGACTCGCCAGATCCAGGCAAGACCCAATCAACCGGTGGCACGGTGCTCAGTGTTTACACCGCACCCCGCCAGCCGGGGGCATGTATTAGGGGTAATTAATTTGCAACTGCTGCATACATAATTTCCCACATATATCTTCAATGCGGAGGCTCCAGCTGATTTTGCATGCTCAATACAGCGACAGCAGCAGCTTTAACCTTCTTGTATTGGCATTTGGATCCGGGTACGGTATGCATCTGGATTCCGCAAAAGCAACTGCGCGGGCGGCACAAGAGGATTATATATATATCGATATACGCACCTGATCCTCATGGATTGGGAAGACGTGTAATAATAATAATAATAATAATAATAATAATAATAATAATAATAATAATAATAATAATAATAATAATAATAATAATAATAATAATAATAATAATAATAATATAGATATATCGGCGCCGGTGGCCACTCATGCAATGTGTGCTGTGTCGCAGATGCATGCAAGGGGGACGCTGATGCGCATGCACCAGACACTAGAGGACCGGGCCAGAAGGGCAAGGCTGCCAAGCTACAAGTGAAAACACCCTGCAGAATAAAATTATATTGATGGAACATTCAATGATTGACACCCTGGGGTGTGAGCCTGGGGTGTGATTCTTCCAGAAAGACAGAGGTCAGAGGACAGCATGTCAAAGGCCGTGCAAGTGGCGGGCAGTCACTGTGGCTGCGGAACTCGCTTGCTTCTGAAGTCTATGCTTGCGTCACCCAAACAACTCAAGATGCGCTGCACATTATAAATATGTGCTTGTGTTGAGGTGTTGTGCCTAAAGGTGTTAAGCTCACTGTTCCAGAGCTGCAATAAACAGCAGGAAGATATGCATGCATGGTGGGTTAGGATTGCTGAGCACCGTGCCCACAGTTGATTGGGCCTCGCTTGGATTCGGCGAGTCCATCAAGGATCAGGAGATGTTGCGGCCTTCACCTGCGGCTTGTCTGCAGACGCGCCTTGCCTCTCGTCAGGGACGTTCAGTAGTACTGAGAATAAGAATGAAGGAGTCACGGTATTCTGTGCGTTTGTTTGATATGTTGTGCCTTCGAGTCCCATTGATGCAAATGGTATTTTGCAAGAGCACCCATGTAGATGTCAGATGATGGGCTTACAGTGTTCAGATTCGAATTGTTTATTAGTGAACATGAACTTCACTTTCTTTGTAGAGGGTGATTTTGACGCGACGCGTCTGCATGTAACAATTTATGGCAGCTCAATGTACCTTGGTAGTAGCAAGTCTGTCTCGCAAACTCAAGGGTGGGCTTATATGGTAACATCGGCAGAGACACCCAACAGCGGTTCGTTTGCTGTGATCACATGAAGCATGCGCGTGTTTGCTGTCATCTTCAGTACATGCATGACCCAATCTTAAATACCTATGTTGTCCGTTGCAGTAGTGTAACACGAAGCTGCATGTGAGCGGCCAATCTCAAGCCAGGGACAAATTACATGCATGACATCTGTCAACAGCAAAATGGTCCCCTTTGCTTTGTGCAGCAGGTTACATGTACATGCATGTCTATAACCCAATAATACTCCCAGTAGTGAACGTCCCTCATCAAATTCCCCAAAGAAGCGTCTGGCCTAACAAGCACTTCTGCAAACAATTTCAACATTGGGATTGGCGTTGAGATCTCTGCACCGTCTGGCCCCATCAACAATAAACATCTGTAATGGTTGTTTCCTTGTCCCTTGTGAGGCATTCCCATGAAGTGCAGAAGGTGATATATTTTGCAACAGCAAAGGTGAAAGTGTCTGCGCAGCACTAACACCCTGTATACACCATGAATACAAGGGGCATTTCCCGCTTGTTTGATCACAATTCTGGCTGTGAATATGAATTTTCCGGCTTGAATTAGCCCCATCTGTCTCCCATTTGGACACCCAAACAAGCCCCTACTATTCTTGGTGCTAGCTGTACAACCACAGATGTCTTTTCCAAGCCCATTCAAGTTAAAGCTCTTGGAAATGCCAGCAGCGGTGTGCGCACAGGGCAATGCAGCAAAACATGTAAAGAGAGGCACCGGCCTTTCCCCTGCATCTTATTGGTCTCACCTGACCACAGGTGAGTAATCCCCTTAATAAATTTCCTACTCACCTTGAAAGGCACATAATTATTTAAATGCCACTTATTGTGGCCCCACTTATCGTCCCGGCAGCTCAGGAAATATTTCCCAGCATAGTGTTGTCTCTCCTCAACGCCGCCCTCTGTGCCTCAAGCCTTCTTACTTCTTTAATTGCACCAGCTTGACACAAGAACAGCAGCCTCCATGTCAGGCTGTGCTTCATTGCTGCCATGTCCAGTACGGCGCAGTGATTATTAGTCATGCCGATTGAGACCAGCAGCATATCGGCATTGTGGAACTGCCGATATGGGATCGCACAGCCGATTGATTGTTGATTACCAGCCGAAAGAACCCCCTTTATTGATAGTGTGATGAAATGCATCACATCGCGCCACTTCTGCATCAGGCCTCAAAGAGCATGTTGTCCATTGTCAACATGACATTGTCCGGGAAATGCATCGCGTCTGTGGCGGTGGTCCTTGTGTCCATTGCATTGGAGTCTGCGCAGAAAGCGATAACCTTGTCTGATACCATTTAAGTACGATGAGCACTACATGCACAGCATGCTTTGATCCATTTGATAGTGTCTTTGTAATCAACAGTACCTCCGTGTAATCTTCAAGTATCATGTCAATCACCTGATACATGGCGTCAAGAGCCTTCTCCTTATCTCTCCTTAGCTAGATGAAATCAATGTGCTCTCAGTATTCCATCCTCTCTCGACCATTACGCTTGGCTCAAACACTGCATGGAGAGCCCTCAACGGGAGGATTCTGGGTCGGTCCCACCTTCGTTTGACCATTAGCACGGAAAGCACCACTGGGGCCTTACATGCATTGGACAGCACAAGACAGGGGGAAGAAGGACTCACAGAGAGGCCCGTGGCCGGCATGGCTACGCCGCCGGCTGCCGTCGGCTGATGCGCGCATGCGCAGACCGGCAAACTTGGCCGCCGCATTGGCGTGCCGGGCCGCGGCCGCCGCATGCCGCGCGGCTGCTGCCGCATGCCGGCACGCCAGCTCCGGGCTGCGCCGGTGCCGGCCAGCCGCAGCTGCACCTGCGGAGACATCAATGCAAGACTTTTATTATATACAAAACCCTATATAAAGCCCTATAGCTAAAGCCCTATATTAACACTTAACCATAAACCCTAGAAATAGTGACCTTTGATTAGCGCCTGCTTCTTCTTTATGGGTGCACTTTCTCCAAAAGTGAGGTCAAGATACTGTACTTCTGTATTAGGGCAGTGTGCTGCTTGCATTTAACTTTTCCAGCAACGATCAAACGCCGGAGAGTGTTACTGCCATGGTGACACCAGAGCATCTGCCTCTTCTGTCACTAACATCACCACCCAAGTCCCAGAACAGCACATCCATCCCCTTATGTGCAACCCGCCGGCTCAACAAAGCAACCGGAAGGTTTTGATCCAGAACACTGTGCGACGCACCGGCGCCGCCGGCGAACGCGCAGTAGTCAGAGGAGAAGGATGTGTTGACGGGGGACCACAACGCACGCTCTTGCATCTCCTCGTAGACCGGGTTTGTGTCGAAGAGCTCTGCTGACGGCGTGCTGAAAGTGGCCATCTCCGCCGCGCCGCACTTTGGCGGCGTTGCCGGGGGCATTGCCTGTCATCAACACATCCAAAAATTCTCAGGTCTGCATATTCATGCTCCATGAAAATTGTGCCTGAGCTGGAGTGTGGGCAGGTTTCTTTGAAAGTACTCTGATCCAATCACAGTGATCAGATCCTGCCCAAGCGGACAGAAGAGGCTGTGACCGGTGCAGTCAGTCAGCACTCCTGAGCAATGCAAAGGCCTGTGCGCGGCGCAGAAGGCGCTGAAGAGCTGCGCGCGGCTGTGATTGGACAGACCTCGCTGTGGGTGCGCAGCTGCTCGGCAGCTGCCGCGACCGGCGAGGGAACTTCCCCGCTGCCGCCGCGCTGCAGCCAGGTGGACACTGTGTTGGTGGCCGCGTGCACCGCCGACAGGTACCGCGAAGTGTATCCGCGCGGCGTCGCCGCCTGCACAATTTATAATGCCACGTCAGCGATGACTCATTGTGACCATGCCCAGCCAAGTAGTCCGCATCAGTAACAACTCACTTTGCTCATGTGCGCGCATTCACTGCATATTCCTCCCCAATACAGCTGCTTCTTTGACAAGTTCCAGTGAGAAAAGTCATTACCAGGCTCCTTAGCAATGTCTCTAATGGCCTTGCAAGAAAAGTGGCTCTGAACAATTCAATACTCGTCCCTCAGCAGCATGCACTTGTAATGCCGGGAGGGGGATGCAGCTCAAGACATTCAAGAACTCTATAGACTTAAGAACTCTGTAGCAACACACACATTACCCCCCTTGCTGAGGCAATCTTGGTCACAGGCACAATCTCTTAACAGCCAATCAGTGATTTTCACAGCATGCATGCCATTGAATAATCAAGCTGCGCACGCTGGCATTAGACTTCATCCACTTTGTTGTTTATAGTTCATTCGACCCTTCATCGACCCTAAACCCTAAATCCACCATTGCATTCCCCGTCAAAAATTGTTACTATAAGGCCCCTTCCATAAACCCTAAATCCATATTCTTTAAACCCTAAGCTAAAGTGGATGAAGGATAAGGTCGGGGAATAAGGTCTGCGCACCTTGCGGGAGGGTGAGTCAGGGGTCGCGATTGGGTGCTTGGGGATGAGCGGCTCTAGAAACTTCTCAGAAGGCAGCGGCGATTTGCGCGCGCCGATCCGCGGCGATGTGTGGCGCGAGTGAGCCTCCTCCATGCCTGCCAGAACAGTAATCTGATCAGTAACTTTGAAACATAGGTGTACGTCAGTTGAGACAATTCTGCTGAAACAGCAGCGTGTGCCAGGATGGCAGAGATTCCACAACGGCTGGCATGCTTCATCCTGGCTTTCAGCACAGCTCTGCGGGAACTGATGTTCCCCTGCCATACTGGTGTCGACCAATAATGGGCCATTGACCTGTGGCATGCTTAACTCTGGCCTGCCATGTTTGATGGAGGCAAGCATGCACGGTGCAGGAAGGGCCCGAGGCTGGCAGAGAGCTGCATGCCCAGATGCTGATCTTCTGCAGTGCAGCCAACGACGTCAACAGCAATGTGATGCATGGCCTGTAGAGATATCTTAGACAGGCGCACCCTGGTACATCTTGACCATGTTGGCGACTTTGCTGCGCTTGAGATTTGCCACCTCAGATTCTGTGTCCTCCACCATTGTCTCCAGCGCTTTCACATCAGCACTCGGCTCCGCCTGTTCAAACAAAGGAGTCTCACTGTGATTATAATACAGTCCAATCCACTGGCCCCGGCTGGCGGGGGGCAGTTTAAGTACTGAGCACAATGTTGATTGGGTCTTGCTTGGATCTGGCGAGTCCAACAAGGGGTAGTATTCTGGCAGTCTATGACTGCAGCTTGTCTGCAGGACGCACCTTGCCTCTTGGCAGGAAAGGCGTGTAATATTGATATCAATCACCCCTGTCAGTGTTACATCAGGTTACAGGCTTTCCCCTCAAGCAAGGGGCACAGAATTTCAACCCTGCTCTGCCTGTTTAAGACAGGCTCGCTTGATCATGTCATTCTCTTCCGCATGCTTCACCAGTGTGCAAATGGCAGCAGTGCTGCATAATAAGCTTATCGTCTGAGGTGATCAGGCAAGGTGAAGGATGCTGTTTCAGGGAGGATTGCCGCAATGCATGCTAATGCACCCGCAGTATTTCAGGACCGTGTTACTGTGCAAGAGGGGAATAGATCAGGGAGGATGTGGTGTGTTGAGGGGCACCTGTGCAGAGGCGTTGACATTCCTCTCTCCAGTCTCAGTCGACATCGTCTCCAGCAGAGCCCCCAACTGCACACATTCGAAGTCTTTCATGCATCATTATGCATTCCATGCTGCGGGCGTTTGCCTTCCATATATGCTCTATCTATCCAAGCTTTTTTTGTGCAGGTGTCTGCTCATCTTTTGCAAGTGCAGGCATCTTCAGACGTCCGGTCTTCTGGACTACGCATGGGGCTTGCTCTGAAGATGTCATCTTTGGCGCAAATGAGGCCAACAAGGCAGACAAAAGACTACAAGACACTCTTCTCACAGAAACCTGTGCACGCTGCAATTTTGGAACTGTATGACCGACTTATTGCCATGGATGTGGAAAGTAAGGCAGCTGAGCTCCCTACCTCCAGACGTGCAGGGGCGTTCCTGTCTGCCTTGTCAGCGGCAGCCGCCGCATGCGCGGCCGAGACCCGGGCAGCGGCCGATGTGCGGTCGGCCGCCTCGGCCGCGGCTTTTTTGTCGGAGCCCATCATCGGCGTGCCTCCCTTGTTGCGCTGCGCAATTCCCCTGAGACGCGCGCGCGCCTCGTCTGCAATGACAGGCACAGAATGCATTTCAAACTTTTTCCTTTTTTGCCTCCATGGCTTCTTCCTGCCGTGGCTATACCTGGAGACATGCATCCTTCAACCGTCCTACCCAGACACTTTCAAGATAGCAAAGAGAAAGCCGTGCCGCTCATGCTTACTGCTGCGTCAAGAGAACTGCTGCATGCTGACACAAACTGTACTCAGATCTCACAGACAGGGTCAGGCTTACGCCCTTCTGGTACGGATGAAATTCCTTTAAAGTCATTGGAGCATCAGGATTACTCACCCCGGGTCTCTGTAACTGAGTACAAGGCAGCGGTAGGGCCGTTGAGCGAAGAGACGGTGGAGGACGTGGCAGTGATCTTGATGACCGGCTGGCTCATGCCATGGCGCTTGGGAGAGGCACTCCGCTTCATGTCTGCGCGCAGCATCAACGGGATATCATACTCATGCACAAAAATCAAGATCCAGTTATGCTCGTTAAGAATTGTCGAGTGAGGCCCAGATTTGACGCATGCGTGAAACGGAAGCAGATTAAATTCAAACGTCTTGGACCGCGCAAAAGGGTGACCCCGAGCAGCTGGATCTGCCACGTTGACAAGATGGGGCATGGGTCGAATGTGATGCATGCTTGCAATAATAGGTCTGAAGAATGCTGCAGTACGGACCGTCTTGGACCGCTCAACTTGGCAATCCCAAGCAGTTCAGCCTGGTATATATAACCCAAAATATATATGAGCAGGACGGCGCATGAGAAAATAAGGATGCATGCATGCGATGAAGGAGCCAAAGAAAATTACCATCTTGGACCGCGCGAATGGGTGATCCCAGCAGAGCGCGGTAGTCGCTCTCGCTGCACGAGCTGGCGTCATCGCGCGTGGTCTCACGCGGCGATACATACTCCTCCTCCATCTCTGCATCTACTTCCTCCGGCAGCTGTGCCTCCACTTCTTCATCCATCTCTGCAGAGACATGCATTTAGATCTGTCAGTGACTTTCAGGCTGCAAATCCTGACACAGGGCTCTGAGCATTGACTTTAAGCTTCTTCGACCCTTCATTGACCCTAAATCATAAATGCACCATTGCAACCCCCGTAAATATACTTACTATAAAGGCCCCCTTCCCTACATGCATTCCCTCTAAGCTTGAGTAGGTGATGAATAATGTCAGGGGCCTGCGGTATGTTCTGCGCTAGGGAGAATGTCCATCCCAGCTTGTTCACTTTGCAGCCACAGTTCTGATAGTACCACTGCAGTAGATGCTGCTTCTTCGTCCCCAACATGCTTGCACCAGTACGCCCCAGTACGCAGAGCACTTAAGAACTGAAAAGCCCTCAGTACCCGAATTTGCTAGCGCCAGTGTGTCAGTACGTCCTCCCTGTACGAGTACTGAAGAACTAACTTCCTGGAAAACGAGTACTGGTGCAATTATTGGTCCCCACAAAGGGGCTGCCTTGCATCGGCTCAGCATGCACGGGCGGAGCCTGATTCAGGTTCTGTAGACCCGGATCAATTCTACGGCCTGAAATGAGGACCCAGCAAGTGATGCAAGCTTCGGACCCTCTACTGTCTGCTGCTGTGCAGTAAAGGAGCCCATTCTCACCAAGGTGAAGCCCGTCCCGCCAGTGTTGCGGCTCAGACTTTTGCTCCATGGCAGCGGCCAGTGCCTCTCCGCCGAAAGCCTCCTCCAGTCGGCAGGCGGCAGTGCCCACGCTGGACAGGCGAGTCAGCGGCTGAATCACCTCCGATGACTCACCGCTCACCTCATCACCCGCCTCCCCAGACGCGTACGACTCCCCCACAACTTCCTCGGCCTCCTGCGCATGCGGCAGGCAACAAATTTATATTTCTCTTACCTCTTCAGAGCCACCCGCCTTAAAGATAAGGGTGAGCCGGGTACTCTCTGCTATGGTTTGTGCTGTACTGCTGCGTTGCTTTGCGTGTGATGCTCTTGGGCACATATTTTGAGCTGCCCACACCCAGCTTCCCCAGATTCAGATGCACAGCATTTGCCATCCCATTAATTCTCACATGACACGCTGCCATAGGCCCTATCACTCCACTCATGCCTCCCTCTCTGAGTCCCCAAGAAACCAGGGGGGGTCTGATCTGGGCATGATGTGTATCCAAGCCCTGTCCTGGGTCTTTTCCTCATCCCTTTTCCCTTTATAACCCTGTTGTCCCTGTCCTGATTTCCTTGGATCAAGCATAGCAGCGCGCACCTGCTGCTCTGCATTGTCATAGAAGAACTCTTCCTCGTCGTCATAGAAGATGAGGGTCCGGTGGTATTCCAGCAGATCCAGCAGCCGCGGGGGGATCCGGGGGGCTATGAAAGGGTCCCCCACAAGACTGTCATACAGCACCTGCAACCACACAGGCCACTCAAACAACTGATTTATTTTATTGCTTCTTCAGTCTGCCCAGAGGAGCACCTGAGAACGGTGGGACAGTCGTGTTATGGCCTGCCCAAACGCATACCGAGCTGCAAACGACAGGGGCCGGGGAGCTCGAAACAAGAGCAAACTCACAGATAGATGAAAATTAGAGACCAGCAATTGGCCTAGCAAGTGCCCACGTGCGGACCACTCTAGTTGGATCAAGTGTCTCAGCCAGATGCCAAGTGTTCACTTCCATGCAGACATGCAGGCATCAGTATTCGGGACTGCGCTGCTATAATGAATCCAGAAGTTTCTCATGCAGACTTTGCTACTTAGATTAGTCAGCTCAGCAGCAGGCTTTGAAAGCCCCACAGGAGATCAAACGCGCGAGTGTGCTGCTGTGTAGAAAAAATCGGCCTGTGGGTTTCTCTGGCAAGGTCAATCACAGATGTGGCTGGGGCACAGCATTCCAGCAAAGGCTTTCTTTGGGGCTCACCTGCAGCATGACTGCGCGAGGATGTAACCAGTGAACCGGGTGCACAACTTGGATCTGCGCCAGCACAAGCACCATATCTATCAGCCAGAGACATGCAAACAAACTTCCTGATTCGTTTGGCCAGGGTTTACGTATACAATATTAAAGCTAAGAAGGGCAAAAAAAGGGGACCCAGTTCTGTATGTAAGGTGTGGCAGTTTCTAACAAGTGTGCCTTGTGATGTGTGCTGGCTGCAACTTTTGAACAGGGACCCCGGAGAGCGGCCTCACCTGATTCATTTTTCTCGTTCGAGGAGTTGTTAAGAAGGTATGCTCCAAGGTGTTGACAGGTTCGTCGTCCAGTACAGCAGGAGGACCAAAGCACCATGTCACCCCGTTTCTCTGCTGCTGCTTCACTTTCTGCCTTTTCCGACTGTTTCGAGATTTCCTTTGTCCGGCTCCTGGCATATTGCCTGTGCCTTCCTCACTCCGCGTTTATCCACTTGACTTGTTTATTTACTTGACTTTGCTGTGCCTAGGATCTTCTCTCCAAGAGCTTGTTGCTAATTTTCACCAATAGACCCAACCCTGTGCAACTCACAGACTATTTGACACTTGTTTGGAGGTCAAAGCTGCGTATTGAAGGGTGCAGTGGACCTGCTCGCAAGCAGGAAACAACGCTAGCTTGCTAGTATATAGTACCATGCTTGCTGGGGGCACTTGCAGGTTTTTTGGGAGGAAGCCCTTTCAAAACATTTAAAATGTGTGATAGGGACGTATTTGACCTGAAAGAAGTATCTTTAGTCAACAAGCTGTTCTCCTTCGTGAGGGACAGGCCTTGTCACTCTGCATGCCGGAAGAAATTCCGGAACACCACCCTTTTCTAATCTGTCTCTACTGCCCCCGGACACAGCTTTAGAACTCGCAAGGACTAATTTAATAATGCAGCAGGACACACTGTTGCAGTGTGCCTCCTGGGATTTCGGGCTGCCGGAAGGGGGGAATAGGGTTGTATCAGTCACACCTGACTAATGACACCCAACCACATCTCTCAAGCCTCGCGTAAAAGTAAAGAAGTGGGCCTCACTGTACGATACTATTCACTTCCACTGCCATAATTATCCAATCATCGGGATCAGGCTAAAGGCACGCGCTGCTTACAAAGCTGCACGGCCGCGGCTTGCCAAGCTTGTGATCCTCACAGAAACAACACAGCTGCTCTTTGAACATGCATTGCAACTCATTACAACGTGTGAGAGGCATCGCCAGTGCCCACTTATTGATTCAAAACTCTGCAGATGTATCCTACCGGCAGCTATTCGACCCTGCAGGTGGACGAGTCACAAGAAGACCTACGGTACCGAGGTGCCCAAAACATGAATTTCAATGCCACAACGATCTATATCAAATAATCGAAGACATCTCTTGCAATAATCGGATCCTGTGCAGGTAAGTGTAAAAGTTTTCGATCCTACCACACTTATCATCTTGATCTATACAATTGTGGCACATTGCAATATGCCATACAATACATTAATGCACATATGCTACGTACTTCAGGAAGAAGAATATCAGTGTCATGCATCACAGCTGGCTGATAACCCTAATCATGGTCCTTAGGGGAGCACCAGGTATATCCTTTTGAGCCTGCCCGATGTGGGCCACTAGACGCAATATCTTATGAAGTCGTCTAAGTAATTCATCAGGGAAGTGGTTCCACATGTGAGGCAACAGTCATCATAGGTGTAATTCCATACGTCTATAGAGACAGCACCTCAGGGAGTAGACAACTCTGGTAACACAATTCAAGCCACTGCTCACCACACAACCCATTTGACATCGAGCCCAGGATCAAGACCGTGTGCCTCAGATACGTGCCTCAGGCCAACGGATGTTGCTTCACGGAGGCAGCAGCGCAAACGAACCCCTATTGCTCCCCCCAATTGGACACTTTTTCAACGTTCCGCCAAACCTTCTGGCGGACGTGAAGTTGGAACGCTTGGCAGCCAGCCCATGACCGAGACCGGCAATACCCTTGCACATGACTCATCGGATCACATCGTATATGATGTAGCGCCAAGCATCCAGCAGCTCCCAGCTGGGTGCAGCCATGCCTCAGAGGTAGGTGACAAAATACTGTATGACAAAGTCAACCTGCGGTTGCGCAACCGCATGCCACGTCGTCGAAGTGAATTCGGTTGTGGTATTCCCGTCAAGGCGCCGACCCACCCTGTCCCAGGGGTGTTGACGGAGATGCCGGCGGCCTACAATTGCAAGTTGAGAGGAGCAGGCCAGAGGCCGCCAGAGCACAGGAATATGATGTACTGAGATATGGCCAGCAGGTTGACGCAGGCGGTCATTTTGAAAGGCAGGGAGCGATCTGTTGCGCTGGAACTTGGCTCACTGACAAACAGGGGCGCTCCCGTGGGCTTGGACGTTGTCGTGTTCCACGCGTACAGATGCGCGGCGAAAGGAACCTGGTCCCATACCAGCAAGTAGAACCCAAAGGTGTCCACCGTCGCATCAACTGCCTGCGTGAAAACCTGCCCGCTTCCGTTTGCTCTGCCTGGTAGGTGTTTACAGGAATGTAAGCAAAGATGGGCGTCCCGATGCCCGCGCTGATGTCACTGCCGCTCTGGCCTTGAATCCGGCATGGGACTGGCGCTGTGGGTCCGGCCGGGCCGGTGACGCCTTGTGCGCCGGTGTCGCTGCGCTCGCCGTCCTTTGCCCGTGAAGTTGATTGCGTCCGTGCCGCCCACGCATGCACACGAGCGCCCTTTAGTCAGCTGGTGTCCTGCAAGCTTGGAAAGATCTCCCCTCAGGGCTAATGCACCTGGCAGGCAGGATACTTTGCAGCTTGTACCCAAGGCTGTGCAAAGGCTGCTGGCCCATGGGTTTAGCAAACGTCGACATTGGGACGTCCCCTGGGTCGTGCAATAACCAGCATGTGCTGCTTCTTTTCCCCTACACTGTCCCAGGTCGCTAGGTACCAGCCCAGCCTCCCTATTCTGACTCACATTTACCATTTCTGTGACATTTCATTTTGAAATCGGGGATAAATCCTGTATGAGGCGTTCCTACACAGACATCACTAATGAATTACTCAGCATGACGCCAGCTTCCGTTCCGCTGCCATCGCTGAGAGTTGCAGGCATCTTCCTTCAGTAAGCGAAGTCTCTGTGTTTCTTGTATGCAAAGATGCTTGATTTGACCCACCGTCAGCACTGACCGTACGTGCTGAGTCAGCAAGGTCGTGAAGAACAAGGTGAGCGAACGCAAGGAGTACACATCGATCCCGTACACAGATCGCAGCGAGTTGGTCTACTCATGGAACATGAAGTCAAGAAATACAACACCCTGTATCAGGATCCGAAATTTGATTGACGCATAGAAGCCTCCAGCCAATAATATGGACATCGAAACAAGCGCGTCAGAAGCATGCGCTCGAAGCTGCGGCGGGCTGTGGATGGGGATTGGCCTTACAATGCTGTGCACTTATACGCATCGTGCCAAAGTAACGATCTTTTCCCCTTCTGTGCGCAGATCTGTGGGCATCGCGAGGGCTTGCTGGCGAATTCGTGCAGATCCCGCATCCCCAATAAATTTACCGTCAAGCAAAAAGGGCCGGCTAAGGAGAACGGGAGGTTTGTTTCACCAAATACTATGCTTTGTCACTGAAATCTGCCGCCGATGATCGCGATTGTGTACTTGTCTTGTAAAGAACGTCACTGTCATCACAAAGTTGGAGGCGCGGTCCACTTTTTTAATACTTAGTAAGGCTGGGACTGGGACGAACACATTCAATATGTATCACAAGATTCCTTTGTAGCTCATCCTAGAGCCTCATGTTCGGTATTGTCCAACGCTGTGTGTCCACAACACCATGTGTGTCACAGGAAGCACTTGATGGCACGGCATCTGGGAGTGGCGATCCTTTTTCTCATCATCACAAGCCTTGCAGGTGCTCCCAGGACCTCCTGCGTGCTTCCTTCATGATCGCGTGACCTGAGTCGGCCCCAAATACAGACAGATCCTTTACTTTAAGCATATTTCCCTCCGCAACACAATGTGCGCCGGGGCTGGGTTAGTAATTCCAGTGCTCTGCTGCGCAGGCATCGCCTCTGCAGACTGGCGCTGCCAGGCACCTGCCCCCGGGCTGCAGCCCATCTGCCCTGCTGGCGACTGCAATGTGGCACATGCAAACTACCAGGTGCCCGGAATTTCATTACACCTGCGCAGCCCACAATCATGACCCTTTTCTGCTTGTCACTATCAATACCAGGGGCACTTCCGGCTTGTTTTGATCACAATTCCGGCCGCGAATGTGGGTCTTTTGGCTTGAACGGGCCTATCTGGGCCCCATATGGACAACCAAACAAGTCCCTAGTGTTCATAGTGTGTTGGGGGACAGCGCTGTCTCAAGCATCTAGCAGTATGCTGACCTTGGAATGGTCTCCTGCGCAGTGGAGAAGGGTGTTGACAGCAGCAACCCAAAGACGTCCAGTGTCTGTGTTGGGATGTACATGCCAGACAGGATTGATGGGGCTGCTGAGGGCATGTGTGTTTGAATTCGAATGTAAATTCATGGTGCAGGGTGATATTGTGGAGCTGGATGTCAACAGCCGGCAGAACGGGGGCCCCACAGTGGTCACAGCGGATGACTGCTGCAACGAATGCAGGAAAAATTCCAAGGCGAGTCATTGCCCTTGCACCCTTGCTCTGACCCCCTGCCTGGCAGCGATATAAGTCATATCATATGACAGTGAGCAGCATCAGTATTGACACCGTCTGGCAGACGGTGCAGGCAGAGCCCTTGATAGTGCAGCCAAGGGAGTCTCCTGCAGATTGACAGTCTCCTGTGTCAAAGAAGCACGTTCAGCTCAATGTGCATGTTGCACCGGGCAAATTGACTGCTGTTGCAGCTCACATGTCCGTGATACGCAGAGAATTCTATTGATACTCTTGAAGAGTTAATTGCAGAATGACAGAAGCATTGTTCATCAAAGCCTGCTTGAACATGCCGTGCGTGCTGTACCGAGCAAGTTGACAGCAGCGGCTATATATCCTTGACACACAGAGAAGCGCCCCTTCAGATCAATGGGGTCTATTGATATGTCCGACTGTGTCTTGCAGTGCAATGTGTGGATCTCAGAATCACATTACAACAAGTTGATAGCAGCAGCTCACAATGTCATGGAAGAACGAATAGTCCATCGCTGCTGAAACGAATGGGGTTGACTGATATTTGCAATTGCTTGCGCAGTGCAATGTGTGGACGTTCTGCAACCCAGAGACTGGGGACGGCTGCGATGACACTTGCGACCCTGCCCAATACAATTTCAACCCCTCCAACCCTACAGACCCCAACAAATTCGGCCGTAACGGGGGCTGCGCCGCAAACAACCAGTGGCCCAAGTAAGTTTTAAAATTGCTTGCCTGATTAGGCACCACGGAAGGTGCCATTTTCTTGCTTTTCTTTGCCTTTAGCATCGCCTATCAAGGACCGCTTCAGCTGGGTGCACTTGCAACTGCCACTGCATTGCACTCCTGTGGCCTGTTCTTCTCAGGTTGAGGGGCACCCTGTACCAGAATGCATTTAGGAAGTACCTGCATCATGCATGGAAATACCTGCGTCCTGGTCATGATGTCTTTGTAAGGCACAACAGTCTCAAGAGTGGCTTTGTGGTGGCAGGTTCACATGCGCGCTGAAGCGTGTGAAGAGCCCCAACCGGCCGGAGGTGTTCCCTCCGGTCGGCCCACAAGAAGTCTGGACCTCCGGTGCCATCACCGCCACGTCATCGCGCACAGTCCCCACCCGGCCGCCGCCCGTGCCAGGTCAGTCTCTGGCACTTTTACCATCACCACAGTAAACCTCTGGCTTGATCTTCATTCTATACAGGGAGTGACGCAGATAATTTGGAGGCTGCTGGAGTTCAGATGGGGACAGCAACGACTGCTTCCTGGTAATAACGTGGTGATCCGCGGCAACCCGTACAACAGGGCTGATACCTGCTCCCATTGACATAATAAGACTGATCACACAAAGGCGGAAATGGGAGCCACTGAGGAGCTTGAATGCTGTGTGCTGCAGTGAATGCGCCGTCGCCCACTCCGACCCCCACACCGACCGCGACCCCAAGCCCCGCCCCGGTGCAATCGCCTGCACCGGCTCCAACCCCTGCGCCAACAGAGACTCCCACTCCCACTCCAACCCCTGCAGCTGCCGCCGCCGTGGCCGCCGCAACCACGCCGAGCCCGGCACCCGCGCAGACCCCCACGCCCACGCCGGCTCCGCCGGCGCAGGCGCCGTCGGGGCCAGTGGCCGGCGCGATCCCGCTCCCGGTCGGCGGCGGCAGCCGCGCGGCCGCCGCGCCGGTGCCGGCCCCGGCCGCCGCTGCAGCCGCGGCCGTCCCCGTCCCGGCGCCCACAGCCGTGGAGCCGCCGAGCGCTGCTGGCGGCGCGGTGTCGTCCTTCAGCCTGCCTCCCGCTCAACCGCCGGTGGAGCCGCCTCAGCCAGCGACCTTGGCGCCAGTCCCAGCTCCGGTGAGGCTCCCTGCAACCTCAGTCTTATTGACTTTGCCACCTCCCTCTACAAATGGATGCAATACTCGCCGCGATACTGCCGAGCGCCCAACATCTGCAAAGCCACGCATCATGCAGTAAAAACAGCATAAATAACAAGAGTTTTACTTGTAGATTTGGCCTGTGCAGGTAGAGCTTCCGGCTGCTGCTATTGTCCCGCCACCCGTAGCAGCACCGGCCCCGGCTCCGCTGGCCGCGCCCCCTACAATGCTTGCTCCCGCCCCGGCCCCGGAGAGCGCAGTGGCGGCGCTACCAGTCACCTCCACGCAAACAGCACCAGCTCCCGCACCGGTCGTGGCCGCAGCGCCGGTGGCTGCCCCGGCACAAGCCCCGGCAGCAGCGGTTCTCCCAGTCGCTGCATCCGTCCAGCCGCCTGCACCGGCGCCGGTCGTGGCGCTATCCCCACCCGTTCCCGCGCCGGCCCCCGCGCCGATCGTGGCGCTGTCCCCGCCCGTTCCCGCGCCGGCCCCCGCGCCGGCCACTGGCTTCCCGGGCGCGGCAGCGGCAGGTGCCGCTGCAGCCGCCGTGCTGCCAGCCGCCGCGCTCGCGGCGCGGTCAGGCGTGGCAGCTCCGGCGCCGGCTCCAGCCGCAGTCGCCCTGCCGAGCGTGTCTGCGCCCGCGCCGGTCCCGGCGGCTTCGGTGACGAGCGCGCCGGCGGCGGCACCGGCCGCTGCGCAGCCCCGGCCGCTTCTGACCGGCCCGGTCGCAACTAACATCGTGCGGGCGCCCGCAGCAGCGCCTGCGGTGGCCCCGGCTCTGCCCCCGGCCGCGGCCGCCATCTCGGCCGGCGAGGCACCCATGGCGCGCGCCCCGGCACCCGCGCCGGTGCAGGCCATGCGCCCTGCAGTGCTGCCTGTGCCTGTGACGCTGCCCGCACGCCTCGCCCCTGCGCCAGCACCCGCCGTGAGCGCAGGTCTGCATATCAGCGCATCTTCTTCAACAAGCGCCAGAATCACCACAAGATCATATCTTAAGCACGCAACCCTGTATCAGCAGACTAGGAAAGCTGGAAAAGCAAAAATTTGAAGTCGCTCTTGTACTGATGCACCATGTTCTGTCTGCGCAGCGCTTGCGCCCTCCCTGCCTCTGGCCAGTGTATCTGCGGCACCTGCGCCTGCGCCGATTGTAGCGTTACCCCCGGTGGTAGCAACGGCCCCTGCAGCGAGCTTGATCGGCCCCGTCGGTGCGCCTGTTTTGGCCGCAGCCGCTCCCAGCAGCTTCCCGCCGGCCGCCGCGCCGGCTGTTGCGCCGGCTGCCGCGCCGGCCCCGGCAGCTTCCCTGCCGGTGTCCAGCTACTCGCTGGCTCCCGGCAGCGCGCCGGCTCCGGAGGCGTTCCCTGCCTCGGCCTCTGAGGTCAGTTTGCCGGTCTTGCCGCGCCACTTAGGCACTCGGCCCCAATATCCCAAGGGGCCTGCAGGGGTGCGCATGCATGCCAACTTTCACGTCCTGATTTTCTACTTTCCTGAGTTGAACGTGCATCTCTGCCATTTGGGTGTCCAAACGGAACCTAGGTGATCCTAGATATCTGCTGGGCAGAATTCTGTTTTCCTTTGATGCGCCGAGAGGCTGTGTCTCCGCATGTTGCACGCATGCATGCATGGCGCAGGCAGCCTGAACAGGACCTCAAATTTTCCTGGTGTTGCTTTATAATGGTGTTAAAAACTTTTAAAAACCAATGCAGCTCACTTGGCCTGCAAAATCTGGATATCTGGACATGAAAGTCGTGTTGCAGGCTCCGAGGAGGTCTTATGGCAGTGCCTACCAGGGAGCGTCTGCCCCTACTGCCGCGCCGGTGCTCGCCCCGTCGCTCTTGCCGAGCCGATCGGCAGCAAACTTTGCAAACAGGTTCGGGGCGCCTGCAGTGCCCGTTCTTCAGGCGACAGCTCCAGTCTCAAACGGCCTGCAGAACCAGCCCTGAGCTGAAACTGGCAAATGCAAGGGAGACAGAAGGATGAGAAGGGTTCAGAGAAGCGGGCATCACCGCTCCTTCCAAAATTGTGATTGTGAAGACCTAAGGCGTCTTAATAAGTTAGATGAAGCAGATTGCTTTTGGGGCTGCCAAGAATTTATCATTTAGTGACCGTGGGTCTCAGACAGATTTAAGCAGAGGACTTCTGGTCTTTTTCCCAATATAAGCATGTTCATAGTCAGGTCTGTCGTTCGTTCGTTCGTCAGCGCCATGTCCGGTGAAGCATCTCCTGGTCAGAAATAACCTTGTAGGTAGCTCCTTTTCTGTTGACAGTAATGAGGCAGTCAACGTTGGACCTCCGTATAGCAGCATTGTGCATCGAGGACTCTCGAACAGTTACTAGGTGCGTCGCTTGTTGTGCAAGATATAACTCGAAGTGTTGTCTAAAATAGAATTGCTAAGTGTAGGGGCTTGCAGTAGAGAGCTCTTGAAAACCAGGTCATCGTATTAATCGATGTATGGTAATAATTTGACACCCCAGAGTAGAGATGCAGGTCTTCAGGCACTTGTATTCTGGGCGCACTGAATAGGAATACTAGTTGAGTACCAGTTGATTACATTGCTGTGAGTGAGCATGCTTGTGGCAGACTCTCCAATTTGCAATGCATCTTCGCTATATTTATAGACTGTGCAACTTATTTCCCTTTCTTCTTTCAAGCACCTCGCAGTGGTTCTGTTTGGGTGCATGCGAGTTCTGAGCAGAGTCATTCTTCTGTAACATTAGTCAGGACATTGACAAATCGTACTCCATACAAAACGACATTGAACAGCTCGCAACAGCATCTGCACTGCGTCTCTCTGTCCTCAAATGCAGCATCGACATCCGCAGCGTCGCTGTCGAAATCCGTCCTGAAGTTTTGAGTGGTTTGCTAGGGATGGCCCCTCAGCATTCGTGTATGAAGGGGGTGTAGACCTGTAGGCGGCAAGGGTGCATTTGCGAGTTGACAAGGCTGCAAGCCTGTGCATATCGGCCCCAGGTTCCGGCTGCAGACGGACCTGTGTATGCCCCTATGGCCCTCTACGCTCTGGGTTCGCCACTCATAAAGATAATTGCTAATACTCTTATTGACATCAGGCGGCCTCCGCCAGCTGCGGCTGTTGCTGCTGCTGCTGCTTGCGCAACCTTAGCTCTGCCAGGCGGTCAGCCAGGTCAGCCCTAGCACCTGCCTCTTCTCCTGCTTCTTTTTCCCTCTGCGCCTGCAGTGCCTCCTGCAAAAGAAAAGTAACACAGTCGTGAGGGTCCCCTGCAAAGCCACCATGCCCCTGACCACCAAGCACTAGCATTTTAATACCAGAACATGATGTGACGAACTGAACAGCAGGCAGTGGGATTCCAAGCTATGCGCCCTCTAATAGACAGCTCAGACAGTGGACACTGCACCCAGTAATAACAGGCAACTCAGGAGCATTCTGCCACACAAAATGGAAATGCACAAGAGACGATACCCCCAAGAAAAATTATGCTATGACGTGGAAATTTTCTGAAGCCCTTTGGCTCGACGCCGCTCAAGAAGCTTATGCAATCGCCAAGAGGGGCCAGGTTCCAGTGCAGGACAGCTGCAGGCACAGCACATCTCTGCCTGCACTCACGCAAGGACCGGCGCATTCGCAGAGGCCGCAAATTGCACCTGTACTAGGCGCCGCCGTTCATTGTGCGCGGCGCGCTCGGCAGCCGTGCGTTGCGCCATTCGCTCTTTCCGCGCTAGCCGCCTGCGCGCGCGGCCGTCGCCGCGGCCCTCGGCTATGCGCCGCGCCAGCGCAGCCTGCCTCCTCCGCAGCTCCTCCTGCACGCGACACATACACTAGTTTCACAAAACAGCAGCTGAAGGCCGGATAATGACCAGTGGAAGGAAAGTTCACAATACAGACAGCTCCGTCTGCAAGGACGAGGAGAGAAGGAAAGAGGCACACATTCAGAAGAAATTTGAGCATGACCTCTAAACCATTTTATAATTGTCGAGCAAAGAGATCGCAAGCCACTGGTGTCACTGGGAATTTAGAAAACCACCGCGCGTTACCAAATCCAGGGAACCAAGCTGTCGCACGAGACTGTCAACGCAAGCACCACGCGTGTCTCACATCAGCCATTGTCCCAAACATACAAGTCGCTTTTTTATGAGATCACAAGGTGACCCGCACACCTGGCGGGCAGGCTCGTTGGGGGGTTCGCCCCCCTCCTGGTCCCCCCGTTGCAGCCCCTCGGTTGCAGCGTCCAGCCATCGCGCATAATTGCCGCCGCTGTTCGGCAGGCGGATTAGTCGCGAGGTGCGCGTGCATTGTTCGCAGCAGCACCCGCCGTGCTTCGTCTGCACCAGAATCATGGAATGCGATGAGGCATGAGAACGCGAGTGTTTCATAGCATTGCAATTTTTGCCAATCATCACACGCATCTCTTCGCCGAAACGCAAGGTACGTCCTGCAGACAAGCTGCAGTCAAAGGCTGCCACAGTCCTACCCCTTGTTGGACTTGCCAGATCCAAGCAAGGCCACATCAACCGTGAGCATGGTGCTCAGTATTTCTACCGCCCCGCGCCAGCCGGGGCCAGATGTGCATGGGACTAATTGCTGCAACCCAACCAATAGCTTGTCGTTAGCGGCTGCAGGCAAGCGATTATGACGCAATCTTATGCTATGATGTGCTGATATGGGCTGTGGGCGCTCACCTTGCAGACGGGGCAGGCGAGAAAGAGCTTGTTACAGTCAATGTTGGCGCAGTTGGCATGCGGCAGCTCCGCAGTCCCCCCGCACATCTGGCACGGCGCGGCTGCCGGCAGCTGCCGCGCAGCCGCCCCCTGCTGCCCTGCCGCGCCAACAAGCACACCCTCAGACACGACAGAAAACGGTTATTCAGAACCGGCGTCCGTGAGGGTGACACTGTATCTAAAGGCAGGGCAAGGGACCAGAATGCCATATTGCATGCTGTTCCGAATCACAGCCCCCGGTCAATAGAACATTGATCCCCGCCATCTTGTGATGTCAGGAATGAGTGCACGTGCCTCTTAACATGTATCTACTACATTCTCATCAGTACACGGGAAGGTATGTGCTTTGTCTTTTGGTCTGAATATTGCGCATGGAAACTCTTCAGCACTGGGATTATGTTAGTGCAGCCTGTGGATTCCTGCAGATCCCTCTTCCATGACTCATAGGGTACCACTTGTCCTGTGCAGCAGTTGTCAAGGAGTGTCTCGGGCTGCGCAAGAGGACATCACGTATTTGACAATGGCGGGATCACCTGGGCCGACTGCCATGCGTGCATCGAAGACAAAGAGGCTGCCGTTCCACAGATCATCGCCCTTTTCACTCATGTAGTTCTGGATGCCCTTCTCCAGCGTGTACAGGTTCCTGAAGCCCTGCGCTGACACAGCAACGCTCACATCCCTACCAAGCCTCTCAGCACCTGACCTGTGCATGTCAGGTCCCCTCAGGAAAGATGCATGGCTCACAGAGAGGTAAGTGCAGCAAAGACAGCTTCAACACTCGGCGCTGACACATGCATGTGGTCCGACTGGTGGTCTTGTGCTGCTGCTAGATGCGAGCGTGAGACCAGGCAACATTCAACACAACAGTCCCAAAATTCAAGCACGCCGAGCATGTCCTACAGCCTTTCAGCCCAGCAGTGCAGTACAGGATTGTCACTAGACGGATTCTTGCACCCCCCGCAGAGCCGGGCAATTATATCTTGACATATTCACCTTGAAGCAACCAGTTGCTTTATCCTACATGTGAGAACAGAAGCACAGGAGGTAAGAGAGGGGTGCTGCATGCATGCAAGCAGTGTTTCATGGTCATATAGGATTACCAAAGTTGGTTGTTCACCAATCGCTTGTCAAGGCATTGTGAGCTTGTATGCCTAGCATAGAAAATGTAATTGCAGCCTGGAGGTAGACGTGGGCTGCGTGCCTTGCGGCGCAAGTAGGTTGAGTAGATATCGCAGCGGATACCCCCGGTGCAGTACATCATGACGGGGGCGTCCGGCGACACGCCCTGAAGATACGCCGGCAGCGCCGCATCCCCTGACGCGTCCGTGGGTGTCTCGTTGAAGTGGTCCTGCGTTTTTGCATACACGCATGTTCGTCAGATGCAGCGGAGAGGAAACATGCATGCCAGTCGCACCATGCTGAGTAGCACAGCGTGTAGTGCTTGCTTTTGTGAGGAGCGCTACGCGCAAGCCTTTTTTGGTGGTGAACTTTGGGGGCCGAGAGCTCCTCCTGGCTGCTGCATCAGCTAAATGTAGGTACGGATATTGTGCTATTTAGATAACCATGCAGTGGATCGCTTCCAAATGCAACACACACTCGAAATGTGACCCCCAACCTGCATGCATGCCGAGTGCAAGGCTTGAAACAAAGTCATACCCGACTGGATAGCCTAAAAAAACACGGGATCGCACCTCTAGCGGTCGCTGCGCGCCGACAAAGTGCCCGGCATCCCATTCGTACGCGTTGCGGACGTCCAGGACCACGACCTCCTGAGCGTTCCCTCCAGCACTGGGGCCCCCCAGATTCCCCCCGCTTGCGCCCCCTGAGATCCCCCCGGGTGCCCCACCGCCGGCCCCGAGGGTGGCGGGCGCCATGGCGCTGCGCAGCATCTCCTGCCACTCGCTGGGAGTCAGCGGTGTGGCCCTGGCCTGGCAGCACATAGGAGCACTTTTAAATTGCAGTGGAAACTCCTGGCACAACAGACTCTTACATGCCGGGTTGACCGCTAGCATTCAATGTACCTGATGGCTGACACAATTGACACATTGGGTGCAGAACACATCCTGTAGTTCCACGCGCTCGAGCCGCTCTTGCTTCCCATCAAGCCATTTGCTGTGAGTGCCGTAGTGACCCTGTTAAGAAATTACGAGGCAAGGCTCGCTTGCAAGCTTGCATGATTGCAAGGCTTGCGATCATGCAATATTCCTGCAGGGGATTTTACCTGGGGGTCGGTGATGGGCAGGTCGCGTGTGCCTCCGGACAGCTGCACCAGGTTGGGGCGTATCTTCAGGCGCAGCTTCGGAAACAGGTGCCCCTCACACTCCTCTGCCATCCACCTCAGGCCCTGCATGGGGAGCACAATACAACGTCAAAATCAAGGCACAGGAAGGCCCATGCACTGAGCACAATATGAAACGCCCTTGAAGGCCTGCACCAAGAGCGGATGAACCTGGAGAGCAGCACCAGATGGAACTTAGGTCTGTCCATTCCTGGAACTTGGGGATCAAAGGACATGCAAGCACAAGAGACGGAGCGCAAGAGACTGCACGAGTGGCTGCACCAGAGATATCCAGCACAAGTCAGCTATAGAGTCCAAATTTCCAATGGACAGAAATTGACAGAAGCATGCCTCAAAGCCAGGTCGCTGGCTGACCCAGTGAGCGTATTCAAGCGCGTCCCTTTGGAGGCCGCTGTACTGCGCATTAATTCCCTGAGCGCTGATGTATATGCGCCCCTGGATGTCCCGCCCCAGCATCCACTTCTGGTGCTCCCGCAGCGTCTGCAATTTAAAAGCAAATTTCAAATGCAAGAGCAAATTGATATTTGAGCATTAAATGGATGAGAGCACCTGCTGGACTGCAAAGTTGCACTTATTGCATCTGGTGACTCAGAGTTGATGAAGACATTCCGGGAGAGAACCTCTCTGCGAGTCTCAGTGAGATGTTGCAGAACAAAGAGCAAAATGCGCTCTTTCACATGCATGCAATGAAGGAGGAAGGGATAGACAGCAGGCGCCACCTTGAAAGGGTGGTCAACGTCAGTGAGGTGGTAGAAATTCACAATGCAGTACTGTGCCTCCTGGCCGCTTGTTGTTGCAGGAGAGCCGTTGGATGTGCTGTCTGCAGTTTCACTGTCAGTGCCAGTGGCTGGAGCCGCCTGGCTCAGGTGGAGATGATGTGTTTGCTGTGAGCTGGCACCATGTGTCTGCTGCCCCTCGGTTGTCAGAGCGTCTAGTGCAGCTCTTGTCGCTGACAGGGGGTGCAATAGATGCTTGCGTCCACGCCAGTATCTCTTAGCTGCTGAGCTAGCCAGTCGCCCAGGACCTGCTGGCGAGGGAAAGTATACATTCAATAATTTTCTAAAAATTAGGTGTTACGATGATATGAAACGCGGAACATTTTGGCTGAAGACAGGCACAAGTGCTCACTATGACCAGCCCACCTGGAAGGCAGCACTGCCTTGCTAGTACATGCCGGGGGACTTGCACGACGGGTATGCAGGGAAGACTGCCTCTGCTTATATTTGCTTTTACAATATCCAGCATAGCTGCTGGTCCACGTGCGGCATTAGTGCTTGCACTGAGCATCTGCGCCAGCAATGGAGACAGCAGGTTTCAGCAACACTACATCTTGGACTGGGCAACATGAGCCACTGCAGCACTCGAAAAGTAGGGAAAGAGTGACAGAGTACAGACATGTCGTGCAGATAAAAGGCACTTGAGAGGGTACTAGCAATCGCTAACCTTCTGCGTGTGAAGGCTAATTGCAAACGCAAAGAGGCGCCCTTTCGGTGCCAGCACCACGAGCAATTGTATTGTCTCTGCTAAAGAAGCCTGACAAGCATAAGCGGGACGCAGACAAGCGTAGCTAGAAACTGTCCAGTAAAAGGCTAGCCGCAGTGATATGAAGGTCGCAGCAAGGCACCTTACTATAATCCTGACCAGCTAAATAGTGCCTCAGCGGATACCCATCCCTACAAAGATGCTCTGCACGCTCCAATCACAAGGAGAAATCCCTCTTCGCTCAAATTTTCCAAGAGGACTTTGGCCTTCCATTCGCCAGGGTGTCTTTTTCGAATACATTTTTGCCGTGATTTTCCCTGTCAAAACTCTTCATGCATGCAAATTCCTCAATTTGCATTGACCCACCAAACCTGCAGCTGCTTGATCCTCACTGTACAGTTGGCATTCCTGGTGATCAGAACCAACGAAGCCAAGCTCAAAACAAGGTGGCCATATGGCGCCATTGCTGCCGCAATCGGCGCCGAGCCCGGTACCGGTCGGCCGCTTGTACAACACATGTGGCCCTCTAGACGCACGCTAGTGGGCCACTGGCACGCTCATCATGCTCATCTTGACAATTTTTATTACTCACTTTCATTGTTCCAGATCCTGATGTTATCGCCAGTGTGGCGGTGGTCACAATCTATTCTAGATCTTGCAGCTTGCTCTAGCTAGATCTACTCTATAGATCTATTCTAGATATAGCAACAAAGCCAGCGACAATACACATTTTAGCCAGCAGCACATGGCCGAAGTGTCTCAGTAATTGACATTCTAAGCACCTCCTGTGAAGACGTCGTCAGATGCACAATCTGCATGGTAGACTCGTGTACGCTGATGACCTACTGTGCATTGCAAGTTTAACGCCTTGCAAGGCCGGCAATGCATATAAATCAGCTGAACACAAGAGATGCTACTGATGGGTGCTGGGTTTCTTTTTTTATTCACTGCAAGTCTGCCGGTCACTGCAAAAACTGCCGCTTCAGCACAAATGCCCAAGAGCAGTGTTGCAGGGCTATCTGCCAAGCGGATCCGATGTTTTTCTGCAGCTTTTGAGATATATTTTGTCCAGGTCTTGATTGGTCCCTCGGATGCTCTACATGAGCAAATGACGGCCGCCCACACTTGCAGATGCTTTTGCATCTGCAATGGCTGTCCCGCTGCCGCCAAAGCTTGAGACCTGCATGTCAATTGTACACCTCAGCACTGCTGACTCAGCAGGTGACGAGGACACCAAGATTGCCTCTCCTCAGACCATGTGCCAAGTAAACTTGACAGCGTGAGAGCCAAGAAAGCATGCGCAGATTTCAAATCGACCACATGAAAGGTCAAAGACACTAACACCTTCCTGCAGCTCTGCATGCTGTCACCTGATCTTGCAACTAGAGAAGCAATGTAAAGAGAAGTCCGCTACAACTTTGACAAAAGCACAGGCCAAGGAGGGGCATCTGACATGGATGAGACAGCGCTCCTTCTCACTTGCAAGGAAGTCCCCCAAATCAGCATTTTATTTCAAATTCACATTCCAAATTTATATTTAGGAACGCCAGCTAGGATGCTTTGGAGTGTGCGGAAGCGCACGCTGGCTTTGGCGGTGGCCGTTGCACGGGCGACGTCCCCTGTGAAGCAGATCTGCAGCGCCGGGATCTGAGTGATGAACACCACAAACAGGCCCCCGTTGCCGATCTTCACAGCCACTGCCTGCACACCTGCACAGACAAACACTCGTGATCACGTGATATACTATATAGACTGACGTGATAGACTGACGTGACCAATATAGACCTCAGATCCCAGTGATTGGTCACGATGTTTACAGTAACGGTTAGCACACCTGAACAGAGACACACCCTCGGAGCACTGTGACCGGACAGACGTCTATTCTCAGTCATTGACATCATGACCAGTCATGCAGATTATGTGCTGCAGATGCCCTTTGGCCACAGTCATTATTGCTTGAAAAGCTCTATACCGCTGGTGAGAACGTGACAATCCTTGTAAGGGATCATGCAAAACATCCTGCACAAGTGTTATCCCTATCCCCACTGCACAGGCTGCCAGCCAGATTCAATGCAGCTCCTCTGCCGCCGCCGACATGCCGTGCGTGGCAGCCCGGTGATCCCTTCCTCAGCCTTAATTTTGCTGTGACGGCAAGAATCACTGAGCAATGTCTGCCAAAGGATGAATAAGGGGTGACTCACGCAATGCCAGCAAAAAAGTGAGTAAGGGGTGACTAATGCAAAGCCTGCAAAAGGTGAGTAAGTGGTGACTCACGGAGCAGGACCGGGCGGACGACATCGCATCCGTAGGCGGCCACCGCGACTGCCCACGCGCGGGCAAAGTGCAGCTGTGTGTTGCCTCCCAGAATAAATGCCTGCAAAGAGGCGGCCCCACAGCTCAATTTACCAATATTGAGGTGCGTTACCTCATACTAGCAAGCAAGGCAACCCACACATGTAACTCGCGTGATCCCAAGGCGCCAGCTTGACCTGCTGAAGATAACAGCACATGGCAGAAAAGGCAGATGCAGCACACATTATTATTATTATTATTATCACACGCTTTTCCTGCCAGGCAGTGCCAAAGGCAAGGTGCGTCTGCAGACAAGCTGCATGTAAAGGCTGCCAAATTCCTACCCCTTGTTGGACTCGCGGCACAAATGCACAGCAAGATTAGCATGCGGGGATCTAGAGGTACCATCGAGCAAGGGGCTGGGCTTTGATTCTGCTCGTAGCGGAAAATCCTCAAGGGGAAGGCATGTTTTGTGCCCACCTGTACAGTGGCTTCCGCCAGCAAGTCAGTCGGCAATCCTCCAACTGCAGGCCAGGAACACTTCGTTACTGAACAAATGGCAAATCTCAGGTGCTCATGGATAGCCCTGAAGCCACGTGGCTGTGACTCAGGGGCATCCCCTGGACTTCTTAGGCAGGTTGAACCAAATAGAGATTCAAGGGATATTCAGCCTGTCCCTGTTCAAAATCCTCGGGTGTCTCAGGGATGCCCCGAAATTTCAGTTACTACCTTGCCAGCCGGCCGGGGGGAGGTTTTAGGGGATGGCCTGAGATTTTCTAGGAACCTTGACAACCCCTGTTCTGGCATGACTTTACAGCTGACAAGAATCCATTTTTAGCATGCAACCGGCCTCCACAATGTTTAGGATGACAAACGTTCCAACACTGTTTAACACTGGACCACCGTCTGCCAGCTGGATAATTTTAAATTTAACAAATTTGGTGCGGATCTGCGCACCGACTGCGATGCGCGCAATTGTGAAGGCTGCCGAGTTGACGTCCTTCTGCGCGGCTTGGGCAAACGCTTGCGCGTAGAGCTTTGTGAAAGCTGTGCCCACGCCGTGCGGAGATCCTACGTTGCATGTGACACAAAGTCCAGTCTATTTGCACGGCTGCAAGTTTGCAAGTTCGCAAGTTCTAGCCTCCAGGCCAGATAACATGGCTGGCACAATCACAAATGACAGCTAGAAAATGCAAACTGCCAGATTATTTCGCACAGCATCTGAAGGAGTCTTGCTTGTCTGTGCGCGACATGCCAAAACCCGTCCTCTCAATAGATTGAAAGAGACTGCTGCACACCATAGTTGCACCATTCGGTCGGAACATTTTTTGGGGACCGAATATACGGCCCTATATTCGGTCATACGGTCTATAAACATACGGAATTCGGTCAAAAACGGCCTATTATGGCCCAAAACACCGAATATACGATCGAATATACACCGTATGCCGAATGGCCGAATCCGTATGGTGCAACTATGCTGCACACGCTAGCAGTCAAGTCAATGACCGAGTACCTTCCTGTCACATGGCTTGCACTTGGTCAGGGTCGAGCAGTATTTCTCCTGAGGCACAGGTACTACAAACACAGAGGGATGAGGTCCTCATTGAGGACGCACCTGAGTTGACAACATACACAATGGCTTGCACGAACGCGTCGCACTCCTTTACACTCTTGATGATTACCACTGTGTTGACGAACACGTTCACGTTGTTGGTCTTGAACGCGGTTGTGACTGGAGTGTAGACCTTCTGGACCACGACTGGATCCGCGGGCTTTATGTTGATGTTCAGATTGACGGTTGCCCCTGCATCGCAGATGACACTCTCTCAGACCCCCGAGCAGTATGATTGACACAGCGCTATCGTATCAATGAAGATTGAGGCGAGAAGAAAGATCATGCAGCCTGCGCCGCTTGATTTGATAGGGAGCGATTCTCTTTAATACCCTTCTCCTGCCAGAGGCAAGGTGCGTCTGCAGACAAGCTGCATGTAAAGGCTGCCACATTTCCTGCCCCTGTTAAGACTTGCCAGATCCTCGCAAGACCTCAATTCACATCGAAATTTATGGGCACAGTGCTTGGCAGCTGTATCATTCCGCGCTGAAGACTGCATCAGATCCTAATACAGCGGTCTGTTTATGCATTTTCTTACGAGGGTGCATAAGAAGGTACAACCGAAGTTCACATGCGAGCGTGCATGCCCTGGAAATGGGCCAGGCCGCTTAAAAGAGACCTAGAAAGCTTTACAAGAGCTCAAAGAACAATCCAGGTACCCCACAAGGGGTCTGAGCAGGGGAGCACATTCATGAGCATTTGAGGGGGCACAGCATACAGATTTCAATTCTCTGCTCACAGTGTTGACTCAGCTCAAAGTCTTGAGCAGAAACTGAGGGAGATTGGGGATCAACTCACCTGCTGTAGCAGAACCGGTGCCTGTGCCTGTGCCTGTGCCTGTGCCTGTGCCTGTGCCTGTGCCTGTGCCTGTGCCTGTGCCTGTGCCTGTGCCTGTGCCTGTGCCTGTGCCTCCCTGCATGACACACCAGAAGTTCTCTGAGAATTGGCCAAGCAATGTTTGAACAGACAGGCTCACTAGGAGGCTGGTGACAGGCACAGAGATGACAAGCCTGCTGTATCAAAAAATAAGCATGCAACTTGCAGGGCCATCTCTGCAGCCTCATCCTGTTGTGTGACTGTGCACCACATGGCATGTACCTTGAAGTATCAAAAACAGTGGCGCTCCTCACAGATCAGTGCAGGGCAGTGCCTGATTGTGCTGAGCTTTTGTGGCTTTGTGTAATTCATTCGAGACATTATCAAAGCCACATTGTCCCTCAGAGAAATTTCTCACAGGAACGCTGATCGTGCAAGTGTGCCTCGCCTGTGTGCCAGAGCCGGGTGGGGGCGGTGGGGCAGGGTCTGTTGCAGCGCCCGGCGGCGGCGGCGGGGAAGCTGCCAAGGAGCTGCCGGGCGGCGGCGGCGGCGGCGGCGAGGAAGCTGCCGGGTCGGCTGCGGCAGGTGGCGGCGGCGGCAAGGAAGCTGCCGGGTCGGCGACGGAAGGTGGTGGCGGCGGGGGGGAATCTGGCGGTGGCGGGGGAGGAGAATCGGTGGCGGCAGCGGCGTCTGGCGGCGGCGGCGAAGGAATGCCTGGTTCAGAATGGCACCCATTCTTTCAGGTCATGTAACTTAAGTTCTGACAGGGCCATAATAGAAGCCCAGGACTGACCATGCAGCATTTCTGGGGGGCTTTAGCGAGAAACCCTGCGCGGTGGATTTGGCAGCCAATGTGGCAAACACTTCTGGGCGGATCAGAAATAGGTTCCAGAACCCAGAGGCATGAGCCCTCATCTGATCCGGACGCTGCATGGACTGACTCTATGGTCAGTACCACAGTCACATCACAACCCGCAGATCACACATCTCCTCTTCCTCGAAATAGACACCTCAGTACTGCGCTGGACACGCTTCAGGAAAGGGTGGGACGACTGCATGTTACTTGTGCTTGAGCTTTGCCCAAATGGCTGCAAAAGCTCCACACAGCACACAGCGTCAGGCCAAGAGATTATGCAGATATGGCGACACAGCGAGCACCAAGGAACGGAGGAAGGCCTGCCTCGCATGTAAAATAGAGTGCATCAACAATAGGAATATCTCTCGGCCTGCAACCATTTGTATATAAATGACGCGCTTTTCCAGGGCAAGGTACGTCCTGCAGACAAGCTGCAATTAAAGGCTACCACAATCCTACCCCTCGTTGGACTCGCCAGATCCAAGCAAGGCCCAATCAACCGTGGGCACGGTGCTCAGCATTTCTACCGCCCCGCCAGCTGGGGCTGCTTATAAGTAATTTTATATTATAATGAGACTACTGCTGTGAGTAATAGGTGACTCATACCTGCTGGGTCTGGCTGTGCAGGCTGCGGCTGTGTCCCCTGCATGCAGCATCTTGGTGAGTAATCCAAAGGTAGGAAACAATCACCTCTGCCAGGTGGCTCGGGACAAATAGCCCCAATGCTCAGCAAACAACACGCATCAGCTTTTCTGTGATCATACTGATCAAGAAAGAGAGTCAGCGAAGCCAGATTAAGGGAGCCACTGAAAAGCGCTGCACTCAGAAAATTACAGGCTGATGATGTTGATCAGCAGCAGAACTTTCAGATGGCAACTTGTGGCTGAAGGGACTCTTGAGTCCTAAATTTGATGGTGTCAAGTTGCAGAAGTTAGGTTCTGTAGAGTGCATTCAGTGCCCTTCAGGCGCCTTTGCAGCCTGCAAGGGCGAAGGCTAGGCAGGGTCCCTTAGACCAGTGGCGCTAACTGTAGCCAAGAATGGGCTGTACCTGTGATGGGTCGTTTCCCTGAACACCCTGAGTTCCTCGTGTGTCCTGTGGCGTCTGAGTTGTATCCTGAGGCACTTGAGTTGTATCCTGCGGGGTTTGAGTCGTTGTGTCTTGTGGCGTCTGAGTCGTTGTGTCCTGCGGCGTCTGAGTCGTCGTATCCTGGGGCGTTTGCGTCGTTGTGTCCTGCGCTCCGTTGGTTGGGTCCTGCAGCAGGCTTCTAGGACGCCCGTGCAGCGCACCTGATCAGCAAACAAAACAATGACACGTCGTGGCTCTTGGATGGACCAAAACCTTCTGCGTTCTTATTTGCGTCCAATTTCATTGTTCTCTTCTTCATCTAGCGAAAACTAGACGCTCTCATACAAGCGGTGTGATCATTGGACTTCAAGGAAGGTATCTCTTGAGACCAACGTCAGCTTCCTGCTGTTTCTCCTGCACAGACCCGACTTTAAAGAAACCCCTGCATCGTCGAGCACGCAGGCTTGCACTCCTGATCATTGTTGGAGCTTGGGAATCGACTGATTGCTGGACGTACCGTCCGAGGGAGTGAACACGGCAGCAAGGATGATGCAAGAAGCCGCCAACGTCAGCAGTACCGAACGGTGCCCCATTCCAGTCAGACTTTGAGATGGCCCGCAGCAGCACAGATCTGAGGGAAGAGAAACTGAAGCTTTCCTCTTATGTCAAGGTGTGAATGAGATGAGCTCATCTTGGTTCTGGGCAAAGTCAGTGGTCGGATTGCACGTGTCACAGGAGGACGCTTTTTGCACGTGGACATCAAGGTTTACCTCAGCATCTGCATGCATGACACCTCAGGAGGAGGTCCTCAGGAGGAAAGAAACTTCCTTGTCACCTCCCCAATGGCGTTACGGACATTGGGATATGGATTGAGGCTGAGCAGATCGATCTGCAAACAATGCAAAAAAACAACCCTAAACCCTAAATATAGGCTTCCTCCAATCTCAAGCTACAGCTGCTGCCAGCAACCTGCTTTGAATCTTTACAACTTTGATGTGGTTCCAGGCTAAGGCATGTGATAGTACAGTAATGGAGCTTAGTGGTAGTCGCGCATGCAAGCTGTCCCAAAGACAATATGCCGGTAGAATGCAGTGTTTTGTTTTTCACGCTAGCTCTGCCAGCACAGTGGGCTTTTATCACAAATCTTCAAAGCGCCACCGATAATAGAGAGCTGGCACAGGTCTCTTGTCCTTGACATGTCCATATTCATTATAATGGAGGCGTGGAACTGAGCACTACCAGCAGCTATACTTACACATGCTCTCAAGGCTGTAGCACGGGTGAGACTATCGTTCACAATTATCAAAACATGTGCACCCATTTGCTCTCAATGACCCGACCAACCGCCGGCAGTCTGCAGCCGCTGCGGCAGGTTGCTGCCGGCTGCTCACGAGACTCTTGCGTGAGGCGCACATTCTTTACTCCGTCTCTGATGGCAAAACCACACCCAGAGATAATATGTAAGCGTTCGCAAGAAATACTATGTAGCGTGCTTCAAGAACAATGCCGAATTTTTTTGAGAAGCAGAACAAACAAAAAAAAAGCAAAAAAAGAAAAAGAATGTTGCTCTCGATACTGGGCTCGAACCAGTGACCTCACGGTTAACAGCCGTGCGCTCTAGCCAACTGAGCTAATCGAGAATGTTCCTCGAGAGCTTTGTATCGTATGCTTGTTGATGGAGAGAGATTTGAGGGTACCTATATACCAACAAGCTCCCGATTGACTGGGACAACCTCGGAAACACGTCTCAAGCGAAGGTCTTCGGGTGGGACGAATATTGCACCCGTGCCTGTGCAGCAAAAGTCAATTGATTCAACATTCCATCTCTCAGAGTGGAGTGCACAAGCCACGGCTCTCCGAATCTGCGACTGTGGCCACGATGGGTCTGCCAGCGCATGCTGGTTCTCACGGCCTTCTCCGGTGGGGTTTGTCAAGAAAGTTGATTGATTGATCTATTTTTGCACTGCAGATGAATATTTGCGATTGGCAGCGATTTGCACATCTTTACGAGCCCACACAACACAAGGAAGGTGACGCGGAAGCTGTGCAGCACAGGATGGGAGTGCAAAATGCCACTGCGCGCATTCCCTTTGAGCCGAAGATTCGTGAGAACAATATAGACCTGTATTGACATATATCGGCTTCATTGTTGTCTCTGGTGAGAGTTTCTTAACCCACAAGCGGTCCCATCGACAGGACAGCTGGCTGTCGATTCCGTCTGAGAAGACACATAAACAGGGAAACTTGAACAAATATGTCCTGAACACACCAAGATCAGCGACAAGCTAATGCTTTTGATTTCAACTCTGCGGCCAACGTTATAAGTCAAGGTGAGCCTCGTCAGATCTCCTGTCCTCAGTTTGGGCAGTGGCACTGGCTGTCTTCTGCAATTGCCATTGTATCTGCATGATCATGTTCCGCAATGCTCGCTTACGCTGTATCCGAAATCTCACAATTTGCCGATCCCTGTCGTCCAGTCCAGAGTTGCCTGCACCATGCCAAGGGTGGGACCCTCAGTGATGAGGCCCAGGCTTCAGGATCTGTCAAGGCAGAGGAGGCTTGTGTATATCACAGAAAAGGCGCAGCAACTGCACCATTCCGAAGGACCCAGGCGCAAGCTTCTAAGAAGCAGGAGTTGAGGTGCCTCCCGTGTCCGCAGCCCAAAGCCAACAGAAAATGCAGCCCAACCATTGATGATCAAGCCAAGGGAGAATGCAGACATGAAGACAGACAGAGCGTGCGCCAATGAAGGTAGAGAGGGCTGCCTCGCAGGTTCAACTGAGTGCAGCAGCAGCAAAACCAACTCCTGGCGCAAGAGCACTACAGATCCAACTGCAGCATACCTTGCAGCAGCTGCAGATCTTCCGCCTCTGTTGTGGGGAACGATGCCAGAATGCCACTGAGCCGTTGTGCCTCCTCATGTGACATCAGGCTCTGGTGCTGCACTACGCAGACAGGCACACCCGTTTTCTCTCTGATGCAGTGGGACAAGCAAGACTGTGATTCGGTTCGCAGGTGGGACATGCAAGAATACAGTATGCTGGACGGCAAATGGGCCATAAATATAATCTGTTGACCTTTGATATTCTCTATCGAGCGCAGCTGCACGGCAACAGCAGGTCTGCAACTCCTTTCCTGCCTCAGCACTGCTGTCCTGATCAGCTGGGTCAAAAAGCTGCACGTCGTAAAATATATCAATATATCACACGCTTTTCCTGCCAAGAGGCAAGGGGCGTCCTGCAGAGAAGCTGCAGGTAAAGGCTGCCACAATCCTACCCCTTGTTTGGACTCCCCAGATCGAAAGCAAGACCCAATCAACCGTGGGCACGGTGCTCTGTATTTGTACCGCCCCGCGCCAGCCGGGGCCGAAATGACGTCATAAAAGAGTGCCCAAAAAATTGTACATGCAGGCACATAGGGTCTTCCTATCTCCTGGTGGCTTGCAACATCCTTGGCCGGATATTTTATCCAGATTCCCAGCATACTAAAGGTGCTGCTATAAAGAGCAGCTTTGGGGCGCATGTGTCATCACCTTATGTAAGCATCTAAGTGAGCGAGGTGACTCACGGTATAAGTCATCGTTGTCGTGCTCGAAGCGCGCCATGTGATCCAGGCCTGCCAGCAGCGGCCGCTCGGAATCCAGGACGAAGCCGTAGTGCAGCAGTGAGTAATCGCTCCTCAGCGCCGCTGCTGAGTACGTCTGCGTGACCTGCACTTGTGCCACATCACATTGCAGCTTACCAAGGAGCGGCAAAATAATGGTTGCGAGTGCTCTGTACTCTAAAATTAAGTATCCAACACTGCTGCACGCTGCCAATTTCAGTGGCGGGAATCAGCAGGAGAATTTAAGAATAAAATGCAAATCGGCATGGTATTTTTTGCGTGCTTCAAGCCTCCGGTAAGAACATGTGGAGGGTCAGATACTTCTCTGCGATTCAAGGCGCACTGATTTGGAGCACAGCAACTTATGAGTGCCCAGGGGAAAGCTGGCCCGCTGCCTTGTGATCAGGCAATGGCGAGTGGATTTGATTTCAAAATTGAGATGCCTGAATTCAAAATCAATCTGCTGTAGCCTGTTCTGGCGCACCTCCTCGCCGGCCCGTATCGCGCGCGTGGCGGTGCACCCGTAAGAGCCGTTCCCTTCATCCTGGTGCACAATCACATTCGCCAGGTCCGGAGCAGCATGATTCATTAGGTCCAGCAATGGCACCAAGCACACCTGTTGCATGCATACATCACATGCTGAGGTTTGGACATCGGTCATGTCCATCTGTTCTAGACTAGGACAGATTGCAAGGACATGCGTAAGGGTGTTGGCAGGGATCACGGAAACAATTCTCGGTATCAGTGCCACGGACTGCGTTGTGAGCACAACCTGCCTTTGCATGTTTAACTGGTGCAGCGGCCCGATCAGTGAAGGCAGGTGCTTGATGATGAGGTGACCAGGTTGTGCGAATTGGCACAGCAGTTACTGCAAATATTTGAATGATGAGCTGGTGTTTGTTTGTGGTTCTTTTCACGCACCCGCCGCCCGCCCCACGCGCCCCGGCAGCCAAACCCATATGCGCCCACCTGCAGTTGCCACACGGGCTCAGCCTATTGTCACGTGCAGGGAACTTGCATGTGTTGTTCGCAAGTGTCCAAGAAATGGCGCGATATTTGCCGGTACACATCTCAGAGCAGGGGAGCGAATGCGCACGTTGATGCGCAAGGACTGCTATATTTCAATGTTTTCGTGTTCTAGCTCAGCACGGGAAGGTTGTCTTCTTTCTCTCCTGGTGTCAAGGTCGTGGGCCCCATTGTGCAACTGGCATGCAAGCACCAACAATCTGCAAATTGCAAGGGCCAAGCCCTTCATATTGGAACGCAGAGCAGTTCGCACGTGGCAGGTTGTGTGGGCAAACTCTTGCCAGGAGATTTTATGCGCGGCTCCTTCTGGCAGCAGACCTTGCAGGCTGACAGGTGGCGCCTGCCCCAGCCATCGCTGCCACCAGCTGCTGCTGCCGTTGTAGACCTGCCTCGCCACCCCTGTCTCCTCAACCACCACCGCCGCCTGCGAGGGAATATAGGACGTCTAATTGTAGCATGAGGAGCCTATTTTGGTGGCTGGCCTGCATGTGAAGGCAAGCTGGAGGCCTAGGCCTCAACATTGATCATGGCTTTGCCGCCCCTGTTTCCTCTACCACCTCCACTGCCCGCAAAGGGTTGGAGGACTTAGGGGTGAGCAGCATAAGGGAGCCCGCAGAAAGAGGTGGTCCTCAACAATGATCATGGCTTTGCCACTGTCTCTTCCACCACCACTGCTGCCTGGCAAGCATGAAAGGATATTTCATCCAGCATTGGCCCTGGCTGGCGGGGGGCACTACAAATACTGAGCACCATTCCAACGATTGAACAGGTCTTGCTTGGATCTGGTGAGTCCGACAAGAGTTGGGGTTTTGGCCTGCAGCACTGAGCCTGACGTGTGATTCGCCTATCATTTTGCACAGTGGACGGCTTTGAAGATTTGTGCATCAACAATGACAACAGCAAACTGCGGGTGTGGAAGCGGCGTGTGCTGGCATCGGATGTAAATGTGGTTCCTGGTGTCCTGCTTTGATTTTTTTCCCTGGCACAGTCTGCAGCACACACAAGGCAGCTGCATGTACAGTCAAGCAGAGCTGATGCCCAAGTGCAGTGAGAAGGTGATGTGCGCCAGATGAGTCGGTCTTGCAAATATTTTGCTCTGGGGCCTCGAGCCAGGTCAGCATCAAACAGCACCCATCTGAATGCCCCCCGGCAGCAGACATATACTTGTGTACTTCAGCTCCGTCTTTCTAAGGCATGTCACGGAGTATGAGGAGGATACGAAGTACCATCTCGGCGTCCTGCAGCAGGTCTCTGTGGCGCTGCGTGAACATCTCCTTGCAGAATATTGCCCGGCTGGCGGGGGCGGGCAGACTGCGCCAGTAGGGCAGGAACGCCGCGTGCCAGGCTGGGTCCCTCCGCTGCCGCGCCAGCAGCCGCGCGGCGTTCTCCTGCACGCCACATCAGCACGCGCCTGACTTGGCGTTGCAGTCATGCGCGTCACGTTCAAAAGAAAGGGGAATGACTGGTCCCTGATTCCTAACACGTTACGAAATGTATTACTTTGGCAAATGTGTCCGCTTGTCAAAGCTGCGTGGAGGCTGCAAGCCAGCCTAAGAGGCTGTGTTATTTCAAGAAATGCATGTCAGCCTCAGAGGTTGGGCTATTCCAACAAACGGGCTCAGCAGCTGCCCAGCTGGTGCATTCCAGGCCCAGAGACGCTGCTGTTGTGTCTCATTGATTGAGGCATGCACTGATCCATGTCTGTGGACGTGCAAATGATTGCTGGGATGCCTTGCTCCTACTTGTTTGGTCATATCAAGCGCTTGATCAGACTGCTAATATGTACAAAAAGACGGACAGGTTGGCCAATGGCATGAAAACAACGCTCTGCATCACGCTGTGCATTTGATCGAAGCTAAGCTGTGATCAGCAGAGATTTTAGTGAAGGCAAAGACCTAGCCGGACAGGTTGGCCAATGGCATGAAAACAACGCTCTGCATCACGCTGTGCATTTGATCGAAGCTAAGCTGTGATCAGCAGAGAATATAGTGAAGGCAAAGACCTAGCCGAGCAAGGCATTATGCATGTGAGCAAGCGCAACTTACTGGTGGCTTATCATGCGCTGGCGCCCCAAATTCGACAATGAGCTCCCTTGGAATGTATGCCAAGGTCTCTCCTTCGGCTATGTCTCGCGTTGCGAGGGTGCCTCTCAGCCCTGCATCATTGACTGTGCCCACAGACAGATGAGCCTGCAGATGTGAACATACCATGTAAGATTGATAACCTGAATACGAACATGATCATCTTATTGGTGAGATGATGAGTGCTATTTAGATCGCCCTTGCATTGCCATGAACATACCAGCAGTACTCGAGCATCTAAAGACACTATAATTGCCATACGCTCCTTAATAAGGTTGAATATTCTATTTACAAGTACAAGCATTGCGTAGATAATGTTTTGCGGAAGATGACGCGTACATATCCGCCCTTGCTGTCAACCCAATCCAGCACTTCGATCTGTTCTGTAGACGGCAAGCAGGCGGGGACAAACAACAGCAGGAAGCAATGTGTTCTTACAATCATACTACTGCATCGAAGACTCTTGTCTGTTGACATCAGCATCTACTTCGAGTCGATGGCCAACGCATCGCTACATCATAGCAAAATATTGATTTCAGCAGACTTGTACTCAATGTAAGTACGCTTTATATTACTTCCCATGTCATCTTTGCCCGATATACCTTCCTGTGTTGAATATCGACAACTCTCAACTTCTGGAGTCCCTGTCACAGTGTGTGTGCACTGTGGGCAGCCCAGATTGGGCACATGCATTCTCATGCTGCATGCTTGTTATGATTTCACCTTCGAAGATAGGCTTGACTTTTGTTCGGGCCAGTACCTGACTGATGGTGAGGTAGTCCACTGCCGAAACAATGTTCGTTGCACATTAAGATACCGACCTTTCAACACGCCTAACTTGACGTTAAATTTAACACCCCGGCCAGTGGCTACAGCTAGCGAGCGCGCTAGAGTATCACAGTGATCAGCAGGCTGTCTCTTTGACCATCTCTGACAACAGCCCTGGCTTTACATCAGACCTGCCTCACCCGTTTTCCCAGCAAAAACAGTGCTGCTTGAATCACAACACACCCAACCCAAAGATCTAGAGTCATGCATACATTGCACCAATGGCATAATGTGTGCAGATTGTCCAACAGCCACAGACTCCTTACAATCTTCCAATACCTGTCTGATGAGTCAAGAGCCAGCACCCACCGTCATCCTAGCAGATGTCACCCCACCACACAGCAGATGTCTGCATATGCCTAGTCTTGTCAAGTGCCTTATATACTTCCTCCAGAGAGCAGCAAACTGCACTCAGCAAATTTGCTGCCTGCGCGTCCACTGCTCCTGAAGATTTGGCACACTATGCTGCGCCAAGCACTTGTCTCAACAAGGTGTCCAGTGAGAAAACAGAAGCTAAGCGCAACCCGAGGCAACTACTCCAGCAAGATGACAGCAGACAGAGGACAGTGTCTTGAGAATGGTAGCATTATGCAATAACGGTCCCTTGCGCTGCTGACTACCTACAACAACACCCTGAAGGGGGCTCGTTCCCAATAAGTGTCCTGAGATAGCATTCATCACTGCTGCTCCAGACCGGTGCTGACTGAGATGCTCAGCGCAGGATGGTTGTAGGCTTGGAGCCGAGGCCCATCTTCTCTTTCCCTGCACAGCGCAGCAGTCCATGTCAGCATGCTTCAACACCAACTTATGGTTGCACATCTACACCAAGACGAAATTGTTCAATGCGTGCGCAGCACGCCCCAAAGGCACACACGAAGGCAGCATACCTGCATAGGGTCACAGACACTTCGTGTTTGGGCAGAAGTGCATGTTCTGTGGCCTCCGGCTTTGCATCTGCCAGTATTTTTTGCAATTCTATTTAAAAGCGTGAGGCGCGGGCCGACGTGGAAGGCCACTGTCGAAGCCCCAACAGCTGCTGTGTACTACTCCTGCCAGCCTACTTACTTTCATGCCCCTGTCAAATCATGGGAGGCCTGTCAAACCCTGAGGGGCTGGGAAACTCACTCTGCGCGAGGCGGGAGGCGACGTAGAAGGACATTTCGAGGGCCTGTTCGGCGTTGAGGCGGGGGTCGCAGTGGGTGTGGTAGCGGCTGTTGAGGTCGGTCTCCAGGATGGAGGACCCCCCGCCCAGGCACTCGGTCACGTTATCGCCTGTCATCTCCAGGTGGATGCCACCTGGCACCGTGCCCAACTCCTCGTGCACGTCGAAGAACGCCTCCACCTGTGCACAAGGCACAATACTCACTGCCTGCTCTGGCATCAAGATGGGCAGTTCCTCCTTTCAAGGTACAAAACTTACATCCTTTGGATCAAGCAAAAATGTCGGTTTGCATCTTATGATGCAATGCAACAAAGTGAGCACAAGGCACAAGAAGCAACAGCTCCTCCCAATACCAATGGTGTGGAAACATGGCGCCAGACAGCCTGTGTGCCATGATAATGCAGCCATCAGGATTGGCAGTGCCCCTGCAGGCATCATTGCCCGAAACACATAGCACTAAAGGGCCAAGGCAGTTGACTCGGTGGGCGGAGCGCACACCTCTGCGCGGATGCGTTCGTAGCGACGGGTCTTGTAGCCGGCAACGCACTCGGTGTTGCCGTGCATGGGGTCGCACACCCACGTCACCACCTGCAATCAGTCACCTTTAGTAACCATATGACCCCCACGCAGGGCGCCCTATAAATTCTACTGCTGTAGAATTGGCACACCCAAAACCCGAGGGCCAGGAGGGCAGACATGCAGGGCATCTGCAATCACATCTAGGGAGCGTACAATAGTCCGCAGCCTGGTGCAGGACGCACAGAAGACAAGCCTGGCACTGCAGTCATATGAAAACCAATACCGGTACTGGGAGATAGGGATTGGGGCAGAAAGGTTATCACCTGCCCGCTGTTCCTCACCGCCTCCACCAGCCGCGGCAGGTTCGCGCGCACCTGCGCAGCACATGCCGGCTGCATGCTCAAACCCCTCGATTTGACAGCACTGGCAAGATCTACTTCTTCTCTAGACTTCTGGTGCTGCTTGAAGGGCATGCATCAGGATAGGAAGCATACAACAACCCAATACAAGCTGATTTTTAAGGCGCCCTGGAGAAAAAAGCTGCAGCTGATTGCGTATCCCGTATGTACTTGCTTACTTGTACAGTAAGTCCCTCTGAAGGGCTATTTGTGCATCAGACTCCTTGGACAAGCTGCGCTCCTGTTCAACATTAGCACATGGCAGCCTGGACCAACACAGCCACATGTTCTAATTGCCTCAGGAATGTTCAGAGCCCAGGGTGGTGCACACACCTTGTCGGCGCCCATGCGGATGATGACTGTCAGGCGGCCGGGGGTGTTCTGTGGGTTGAGCGCTGCGATCAGCGACACCAGCTGCCCAGGGTCCATCTTGTCCGACACCTGCGCCGCAGTATTGGGCATCTGATCAGACACAACTACCTTGTGGCATGCCAACTCGCTACGAACCTCAGCCTGACAACGGATACAAACCTCATAGCGCCTCGCTGCCTGGCTGCAAGCATGGCACAAAGAGCGGTAGCAAATTGTCTGGCTGCAAGCATGGCACAGAGAGCGGTAGCAGAAGAAGTGCGCGTGAGAACTGCTGAATGATGAAGACATGATGGCACAGACAAAGTGTTTCCCCAGCACCTCCCAGCCACCCGGCTTCAGGAAACTCTCTTCAATTGCACAGATGCACAGGTGGTAGGACGTGGAAGCGGTGGATTGAGGTGGCATAGCACTATCTTGCTTCCCCTCAAAGCGTCCCGGTTGCCTGACTGCAGAACTTCTCTGACTGCATAAATGCAAGGGTCAAATATGGTGCGCACCTTGACACCGATGGGGTTCGCAATTCCGCGCATGAACTCGACGTGTGCGCCGTCCAGCTGCCTCGTGCGCTCACCACACCACAGCATGTGCCCCGAGCAGTCGTACCTGACGCAGGGATGCAAAACAAATTCAGCTTCATTTGACAGCTTGCACAAGGCGGACATCCAAGCAGATCCCAGCCTCAAGAGGGGTTTGAGCGAGCTGGAACCGCAAGACCTGCTGACATACTGCCAACTACGTGCTGACATCCAAGCATGCCCAAGCCTTGAAAGGGATTTAGGCTCACTGAGGGGACCCCAAGAACCTGCTGGCAAGCTGCCAAGCATGCGCTGGCATGCTCATAACTCAACAGAGGCTTGATCCCTAGTGTTCTACAATGGAGGGGCCCAGACGTGCCGCCTAAATGGTGAATTCACGATTAAAAAATTGAAACTCCACAATCAATAATTGAAAATTCAAAAGAAGTGAAACATTGCCAGAAATTGTATGGAGATCTCTGCCAGGGGTGCTCGAGCGCTGGAAAAGAGAGCAGAATCACCAGAGGCCGGTGGTGGAGTCCTCGCGGGTGAGAGCCTGCTCGTAGTCGAGCAGCAGGCACTCGTGGCTCACATAGTACTCGGTCTCAGTCATGATGGCGGTGTGGGAATCGAGCCCGCATGCCACCATGAACTGGATCGCCTCATCCACCCTCTTGGCCACGTCTAGATATGCACGCCCCTCGTCGCTCTTGCCCATGAAGTCCAGGTTCCACTCCATCACTCGCTGCAGCCCAGCGTAGCCACCTGCCAGCATTAGTAAAGTTAGTCAGTGACCGGAAATTCTTACTCTTTGTGGACAAAATTTTCCTGAACAGGCAAGATGAACCTGCAGAAAACATGCAGGCACTGCAGACCAGCGTAGCCACCTGGCGGCGGTAGTAAGATTAGTCAGTGACTTGGCGTCATCATGTCATCATTGTATTTTATTATTGCACGTTCTCCAGTCCTGACTATCAGGTACGTCAAGCTACACCTGTATTAATGCTTTCCACTCTCCTCGGTTCTTGCATTTTCTCCACCAGTCATAGGCATGACCAACGGCATCCAGATCTTCTCAGACAGGGAGTGCAGTAAATTGCCTTGTGGCCAACCAGCTCCCTGAGTGCGAGTGTGAACCAGCAATACAGCGCCAGTGCATCACGTTTGCAGCAAAGGCACAAAGTCTACAGTGGGGTCGCAGACTTGCCATTAGATGCATGCTCTAATCTGGTTGTTCCGCACCAAAAAGGTGCAATGAAGAAGGCACAGCCTGCGCGCAAGTTATGCTGCACAGAGGGCGCAGACTACGGGTGGCCAGATTGTGCTGGTCCCAAATGTCACGCAGCATGGTGTGAGCCATAAGCGCACCGGTGGCAAAGCCTCGGAGCAGGTTGAGCGTGGCGGCTGCCTGGTTGTAGGCCTGCACCAGCCTCATCGGGTCGGGCACGCGCGCATCCAAGGTGAACTCTTGCCCGTTGATGATGTCACCCCTGTTTTGGGCACACAGTCGCATCTGTCAGCTGCAAGGTCATCAGGGGGCAGACCTGATCAGGCCAGCCTTTTTTTTCTAGGATGTGACCTTGGCGGACATAGATCCGGTCATGCATGCCTAAAGATTGGCATTCAGTACCTCTCCCTGCAAGTAGCCGTGAGCGTGTGATGTCGGATTGGTAAAGGTCGAACTCTTGCCTGTAGGATGGCAGTTCCCTGCCATCGAGGATCTCTGTGTCCGCCGACCTGGGCTTTGCGAACTGCCCAGCCATGCGGCCCACCTTCACCACTGGCACACCACCTCCAAACATGGCCACAACAGCCATTTGGAGCTGTACCCTGAAAGAATCCCTGATCCTGTTGGCACTGAACTGCGAGAAGCTCTCCGCGCAATCCCCACCTGCACGAGGACAGAAAATGTCCGTAAGGGGCAGCGCCTCTCTAGAGGATTGGCACATTACGTGACAGGAAGGGATATCCCATTCACCAGAAAGTTGATTGTTTTGCAACAGGGGCGCGATCGGATGAACTATTACGACAAAAGACACTCAGACACAGACTTTAGGTCGCCTCCAGGTGTGTCCAGTGATACAAAGAGAATAGTACAGACAGTGGACTACTCAAATCTTACCTTGCACGAGGAACGCTTCCCCAGTCGCACACTTTGCTAGCCTGGCTTGAAGGTTCCTGCACTCGCCCGCAAAGACGAGCGGAGGCATCCGTGAAATTGTCTCCACAGCTTCCCTGAGCTTCTTCTCATCCTGGTAGTTTGGCTGCTGTTGAGCCTTGAGCTGCCGCCAGCTCTCGGGAGCCCAGGCAGACAAGTGCTCCGCATCCTTCTCGAAGGGCAGAAGGAGGGGCTCAGCTATCGCCCTCACGGACTGCTGGCGCAGGAAACCGCGTGTCTGCTGCCGCCTGCTGCGACTGCGCCTGCACGCCGACTTGCACACGAGCCGGGTGGCGCCCTGGGGCAGCACAGACCCTGCGAGTGGCGTCTCCGCAACCAACATCGTGAATATTGCTCGCACACGGCCTGATCTCCTATGCAAAGCGCCCTGCCTGAGCCCAGGCGTGACTGGCCAATATCTTATGTCACCGTGACTGATATTTGGTTGTTTGCCACCCTCAAACCCTCGTGACAACCACCCCCTGCTCTTCAACCCTAGTATGAAGGAGATTTAAAGGCGCGCCTAATCTGGAGGAACATGCTGTGCATGGCGCGCTGCTCGATAAGAGATCTGCGTCTCGGCCAACCAGCGCCCAAAAGGTACCATCTTTGCCCACCTCACAAATCGGGCAATCAAGATCTGGGGGAAGCATCTTCGCGGTTGATCATTTCCCGGTAGAGTTTCGTCAAGATGCAGACCATGACTTCCACCTTCCTGGGCTCTGCTCTTGAGGTCAAGGCCGCGCGCACCCAGCGCAAGGTGAGGGCCCCGCAGGGCGTTGAACGGGCCAGAGAAAATTACATTTGGTGCAACGAGGCATCAATTACACTACTACGATCAGGTTATGGAGTCTGAGTGGTAGACGCGGAGCTTTCCTCCTGCTTTTGCAACCCCGAACCGACTGGGATACAGTGAACTTCCTGATAAGTCTCCCGATTTGGGGGGTTGACAGCTGAAAAGGGGGACCCCAAGCTCTTTCCAAGAATGGACAGAAGACGATCCGCATGAGGTGGCGTGAGAAGATTTTGACAGCACTGTGTTGATCGGCGCAGGCCAGCCATGTCGTTGAGGCAGCGAAGAAGGCCCCGGTGAAGACCGTGAAGAAGGCGGCTGCCAAGGCCACCAAGGCCGTCAAGAAGACCGCCTCGAAGGCAAAGTCTGCCTCCGGCGCATCCTTCTGGTATGGAGCCGACCGCCCGGGCTACCTCGGTGAGCGCACCATGCCAACCCAGAAAGCACCACCCCTGTGACCAGCACTACGGCGTTCAATATTTACTAGGTCAACTTATGCAGCATTTCTAACACGACCTTGCTACTGGTTAGTCAGACACTCCCCCGAAATGGCTCTGATGCAGAAGACAGATTGTCTGTGTGGTTGGTACTTGAATTACTAGGTACCTTCCACAGACTCAACATCTTGCTGTGCCTGATGCAGGTGCCTTCACCAGGTCCCCCTCATACCTCAACGGAGAGTTCCCCGGTACGCAACTAGGCCCCCTTCTGTCAAATTGTGGCGCCTCTAGACAGCCTGTACTATTTCCGCAAACCCCACTTGTTCCAGAACAGCCTTAAGCTTGTGCAGTCAATGTGTCAAGAGTAGCCTGTGGAGCTCAGCTTGCACAGCCAGCAAGCCAGCGCTTGCTATTTGGCTTCACACCTTTTTCGTCTCAGCACATTGAACGACCGTGGCAGCCTTTATCTGCAGCTTGTCTGCCGACCCACCTTGCCTCTTGGCAGGAACAGCCTGAGTTTCAAAGTTAACTACTAACGGATGTGACTGTTGTATGACTACAGGTGACTACGGCTGGGACACAGCGGGTCTGTCCGCGGACCCGGAGACCTTCTCCCGCTACCGCGAGATCGAGGTTATTCACGCTCGCTGGGCCATGCTCGGTGCCCTTGGTACGCGCCCCTTTATGAGTTGCGCTGGGTTTTGGGAGATAAAGCAAGCGCTCGTCTTTGCTGAGTTTGTTTGAAACAAGATGCTGCCGTTGCACGCTGCGGGAGCAATGAAGGCTGATGTCCATGCCCCCAAACAAAAGCTGGCATCCGTGTTTTGTTCAGGAACAAGCCCATACTGTCAAACTTTCCAAGGGCTGACAATGTCTGCATACGTCCTTGCTGTTCATAAGATTAGGAAGACTGGCACGGGACGGCCTTGCTGGAAATCTTCCCTGTTGCAGAGCGCACGCTCAGAGCAAGATCAGAGCAGTTTCAGCAGGAGATCGATTGCGCAATTGCGTAACAATGAGTCAGCGGGGTTCACTAAATCTTACATAACGCTGCGCAGGCATTGTGGTTCCGGAGCTGCTGGACCAGACCAACCACGTGGCCTGGTTTGACGCGGGCGCGACCATCTTTGGCCCCAAGGGCATCCAGTACCTGGGAGTGCCAGGCCTCATCAACGCCAAGAACATCATCGCAACCGTCGCCGTGCAGGCAAGCTCTTTGCACTGCAAAGTCCAATGGCTGCTGTGAAATGAAAATCATATCCCCAGACATCTCTGCCAAGTGGAAGGGCTCTTCTGCTCTGCCTATTTCTTGGAATATTCAATAGAGTCCCACAACGTGTCAGCGAAGTGCACTGGCTGCTCTTGATGTGCAGAAGAACACAAAATTAGCTGGATGGCGCAAGTATAAAGGGCCGGCAGCATATGCCTGTCCATCCTGCGCTTGCATTGGGTATCTTTTCTGTCTTGGGATGCCTTTTCCATTCTGTCTGGAAAAGCCTGCTCTGTTCTGCTGTGGAGAGCGTCTGTGCTAATTGTTAAGCGTCACCCAGAGCTTGACAAGGGATTAATGCTCAAGTATTGTCATCAGACCCCATTTTGCCCTGCTGCAGGTCATCCTGATGGGCGCCATCGAGGGCTACCGTGTGAACGGCGGCCCGGCCGGCGAGGGTCTGGACAAGGTGTACCCGGGTGAGTCATTCGACCCCCTCGGCCTCGCCGACGACCCCGACACCTTCGCAGAGCTCAAGGTGCGCCCCCAGCGTTCCCCCCGGTGTTACTAAGATCACTAATTGCATAGCTCATGGTGCGCGCGGCGTTTCCTGCTGCGGTTACTAACGGTCGTAAGATCATTAGTTGCATAACCATGGTTCATGTAAAGGCTCCAGACATGCAGCTGCATTAACATGTCCATAATTTTGCGTACATGCCGACTGGCCACCGATAGTGCACTGCAACGCGACCTGTTGTGTTGTTCTGGCAGTGCAGCAGTGGATAACATTTCTTGCATTCTCTCTTTACTTAAGACCAGAGGAAAGGCCACTTCTTAAATTTTTTTTTGCTGCTGCAGGTGAAGGAGATCAAGAACGGGCGTCTTGCCATGTTCTCCAACTTCGGCTTCTTCGTGCAGGCCATCGTCACCGGCAAGGTGCGCGCCAGCACTTTCCCTAATTCTGAATACAATTCAATTGAAGAAAATAGTCCTAGAAGCCTTTAATTCAGTGATTTTTTCGGCTCCTGGGATTCCCCAGGCATCGGCATGCTGAGGGCAAGAGTTCTGAGCCGTCCCAACTTGACAGTGTGATAAGAGGTCCAGGTGCAGATACAAGCGTCAGCTGCTCACATGCAAGTCGCAAATTGTGGATTGAAAATGAAGCATGCTGCTGTGTTCAAGGTCTGCACTTCTAATTACACGTGCCCGCAGAAGGGCAATTAAAACCAGGGAGAATGCACAGACGTAGATATACAGTAGAAGGCAGTGCGAGCGTCAAAAAATGACGTCAGGATGGGAGGAATCTGAATAACACGAAGGAAACAGCGTTTCTGACGAGGATCCTGATGCATGCAGGGCCCCATTGCCAACCTCAACGACCACTTGGCCAACCCCACAGTGAACAACGGCTTCGCCGCCGCCACCAAGTTCACCCCCTGAGCGTTTCTCATGCATGACTCATCGCTTGTTTGGCAGAGGCAGTGCGCCAGTCTACATCAGCTTGTCTATTGGCGGGCTTCTCTAGGGTAGACGTTGTGCTGTAGCGAATACAGTGGTAGGGACGGGTTCTGACGGTGTCTTGAGTGAATCGAGTTGAGAAGATGTAACACTGGTGGCGTGTTTAGCCGCCTGCCTTGCCTATTGCGCATGGCTGTGAGATTCGTACTGACCTGTAACCATTCACCCACACAGCAACGCTGCTGCTCTCTGATAGATTTGGCTTTGATGAGGCTGCCAGAAAGTTTCTAAACCCCGGGGGCCCCTGACATCTAACGCAAGGGATTTGGAAAGGTTTACTGCGAAATTGCAATGTGAAAGCTTTCACACTTCGGCATAAAAACGGACATGGCAATTGGTTCAGGTTATTCAACTGTTCAATTCAACGTACAGCCGTCCGTTAACAAGCTCCTGCGTCACCTCAAGAAGGAGGAAAGCGGCCTGTACAATTGCATCAACTCGGTGATAGAAGACGTGATCTTCGTGAAGGAGATTGCAAGCATCTACCCTAGCTTGTCATTGATTGCCAACCTTCGCTGTGGGCTATGGTACGCGCCGGATTGCGCCGGGACTTGCTACTTCAAATCCACTGATGGCCATTATGGCAACTGGGGGTTCAGCATCACCAGACTCAACCTACACGTCGCGCACCTAGCGGCTTGTGAAGGTGGATGCTTGATTGTGGATGCTACCCGACGGGGAAAGACCTTTCCAGTGAGCGCCCGCACCCCCTCTAGGCTTGAAAGCGATGTCTAGTACTGCAGGGGACTAGATGGTCCTTCCATCATTTTGAAGCACCTGCGTAGGACTAAAAGACATCTGATTTTTGATAAAAATGGACGAGACAGTTGCGCTCATCATGCAATCCGAGCCATATGTGTCTACCAGAGTGTGGCTTGAAGGGATTACTCTGTTCACGGTGCAGGATGCCTTCACAAAGACCATCCCAATATGGGCAGCAGTCATCAACCACGCCGTCAGCCTCGTGCGCAAGCAGCGTACTGATACAGGTGCCGCATGTGGTATACCCCCACAACCTGACATGCATGAAGGCCGGGCAGGTGATGTTGCGCATATCAAGTTCTCTCCACAAAGAGTACGTTATGCTGGGGGCAGGTGCCACAGATGATGGGAGATCATCCCCTGAGGCGCCAGAATGGGACACTGAGCTGCATGTACCGCCCTGGATCTCGGCAAATGAGGCAAATCAGATCAGCATGCGGCTGGACGGCTGGGCACAGGAGCTCTTGGCGGTGAGTGCAATGGCCGGCTGATGGCTCGCCTGCATCCTGCTGTGAGCAGCAAGAAGTCCCTTGCCCCATGTGGCTACAAGGGCCACAAGGCACACACTGCCGTCAGCATCTGAGCAAGATGCAGTCGCATGACAAATAGCTGACAGTAGCATACTTAATCCAAAGTATCGGGGAAGATGGGTACTAGGTACCATTGGGTCGAGCAGGTTTGGACAAACGCACTGGCATGTTCAGCAGATCAGTGCACTCGCATGAGCAAGCCATTGTCTCCGGATGCCAGAAGCTTCCAAGTGATAGCTGAAGGCAACTGAACGCCATGTGCGCTGCCAGGTGGGCGCTGACGTGGCGGGGCTGGCATTGGCGCTGACTAAGCCGCTGAGGCCGCTGTGGGTGTCGCAGCGCAGCCAGATCTGGCTCAATGAGGTCACCCAGCCGGCGGATCTACCCTTCACACCCCTCATCCTCGTCTCCGCCTCCCTGCCAAACGCTCGGCAGCGGCGTAGTGTCAGTGAGTCACTGAACAAAGCCTGAACTGCTGGCTCAGCAAGATAATTATGCATAACCTCCTGACAATGGTAATAAGGCGTGAACGTGACTTGCTACAGAGATCAGCTCGAGCTTGTCAGGCACTAAAAGGGGCTTCTGATGAGCTTTATGAGAGCAATTTGATCGGGCAAAAAGGGACTGACTTTCTCTTAAAGGTCTGTCCTCAGGAAAAGCTGCAGCGCAACGTGGCTTGAAAGTGATCATTGCTACTGCTCTGCAAGAACAACTACAGTATGTGCAGCTGGACAGGCTGTCTCAGGGACAAGCAGGCAATCACTGTGACTAGACTGTTACCCTGACGAGAACTTGTGCAGCAGAAAGGAGGTTAGCGTTAAAACTTACTGTCACACAAATATGCATGTGTCTGGGACAGGGGCTGGCAGCAGAGAGGGAGGCGGCGGGACGTATGAGTATGTGCCAGGGGCGGGCGACGATGAGGAGAGCTGGGCCAGGGGGCTCACGCCGCAGCTGCTGTGGGCGCACAAGGAGGTGTGCCTGCATATCCTAGCTACCTTGCAGACATATTAACTCCTGAAAACTTTGAGTTGCCAGTCAAAATGGTTGGGTGCTGTCTGTGCCACCCAATGAGCGCCAAGGAAGCTGACTGCCCAGGGCAAAGGGCTGCTCTTCCATGCACCTCTCCGGTCCTCTTGTGCTGCGCAAAGTTCCCACTGCTGATCATTTTCCTTGGCTCAGCTGCTTTGGCAGCATTTCTGCAGGCTTGTCAAGGACACATGGCAGCTATTTCTCTCTTGCGTTGAAGAAAAGCGGTGATACCACACTAAGCAAAGCCTTATCGATCGCTGTGGCACGTGCTGGTGTGCTGACATGGACAAGTCACTCATCCAGGAGCTCGTCAGCGCCGGGCCGGACGGCGTGCACGAGGTGGTCAGGCGGATCCTGCGCCACGGCGCCGCACCTTCCGCGCAGGAGGAAGCTGGGACTCCGCAGGTACCCTGCAGCTTCCCGGCACATGCCCATGCGTGGCCGGCAGATGACGGCCTGCACAATCTGGCGCCTGTGGGCGCCAGGAGCTGCCAGTCTTCATCAATTCGTTGCACAGGTATGTCTGCAGTCTTATCTTCGACTCACATTACTTGCATGCATCACTAGGGCCACTCCCTGATTTTGCACGCTGAAGAGACCATCAATGGTCCTTTTGCCATACATCACAAGCTTGTTCAAGCATGCACGCTGTCCTGAGCGCTCCTGTCGCCTCTTTTGGTGATGATACTTCAGCTCCTGGACAAAGCTGGTGCCACAATGTAGATAATGTTCTACTGATTGACGCTGTGCAGGCAACGGGCTGTACTGGATTGGGGAGACGGGGATTGCTCTTGGAGCATTGGCAGCTGGCAAGGCGCCGGAGGTCTGGAGCCACGTCGACGCGGTCCTCACTCTGGGCACAAAAGAGCACCCCAGGTACAGAGTCAATACTGAACTTCTTCTGACTCGTCTTGACGTTCCAGGGACTCATTGCATCCCCTCCACAAGTCGACATGCAATTGAGGGAGAACCAGCCATGGCTGACGAAACCAAGCTGCTGATTTCTGCTTATTAAGATTTTTAGGTTCCCGCAAAAGCTGCCCTTGACTTCCCCAGAATGAAGCACACCCCTAGGCTGAGATTCTGCTCTTTTCTGAGGCAGAATTACACCTGACTGATCCCTCTCTGTGTTCCAATGGCAGCATGGCGGAGGAACTCAAAACCGGCTTCGAGCTGCGGCGGCCGCGCGTCGGCGCGACGGCCGCGCCGGCCCGGCCCGGTGACATAATCGATGCTTATGAGTTTGTGAGAGGCCCCACGGCAGCAGCAGTGACCCGCTACCTCCATCTGCCCTCCCAGGACTCCAAGCACAGCCGCAGGCAGGGGGTCTTTCAAAATGACAAAAATGCAGGGCTCTTTTAGTGGGTTCTGCGGATATTCACCTGCCGGCATCTCTGTACTTTGTGTTGCACTACCTGTGCAGTGGACTCACTTGCCTTGCCTCGACAAGCTTGTAGCCCTCTGAGCATAGACCTGCATTGACTGATGCAAGCAAGTCGGCTAATTGCAAAATATTCTAGTGATGAAAATCCTCCAGTGAAGCCCGTCAAAACAATTTCTCAGGCGACCTTGGCTTCCAGCTTAGGTTCTCAACCGAAACACTGTCCGCAGGGACCTCCAAGCGCACCTGCCGGCAGCTCTGCAATTCCTGTCACACCACCTGTGCTCTGGGCGGCGGGTGCTGGTGCACGATACAGACGGTGAGCACCTGTGACATTCGCTTGCATGTGTAACGAGTGGAGGGGAGATCGGTATATCTAAGCTGATATAGACTATAGACTAAAATTGACAAATATGTCAATTACGTGGGGGCTTGAGAGTGGTGGGCTCTGTGAGCATCAGCAGTGCCATGCCGAGACACATTTGTGCACTCCTCTTTGCTTTCAGGTTTCGTATACCATTCGAGTAAATGATGCAGCCGAGGCTGTGTTATTAGTGGAGGAGATGCACACGGCCATGTGAAGTATGCATGCCCATGTACTGCCCTATATCCTGTATCATGCACCCCACAACATGCATAATCCCGAAATCGCCCTGGTTTCCACCCACAAGACAGTCATCCATGACAGATATTCCTAGGAGCATGTGGCCTGATCAAGCTATATGCACATGCAGGGCTGGACCTGTGCGTGTGCGTGGCAGTGGCGTTGCTCATCGCATGCTTTGGCACCAGATCACCTAACCTCTTACATGCATACCAGCCGCCACCCAGCGACCCTGTGACCCAGGTGCACAAGCTCAAACACCCTCTCTTCTTTTGCTGATGTAAGGGGTATCGGATTTAGAGGGGTGTATATCCGGTACAGGGAGTGCATGAGGGTTTGGTACATCAGGTTTGATGAGTTGTTATACAAGACCAGGCTGCAGACTTTTGTAGGTCCCCCAGACGTGGCTACAGACGCCCTACATGTATGCCGTGTGGCCTTCAGCTTTGCCGACCTGTAATAATATTAATCATCATAATAATAAAAGTAATGAGGACTGGTGTGCGAGCTTTGCTTGCTGAGACCATGCATGGAGTCGGCAAGCAGAGGTGTAGTGAGAGGAGCTTCTGGGATTTGTGCAAGGCCTGAGCATGCTTGTGCACAGGCACACAAGATTGGGCGCCAGCCGACCAGACACGAAGAGGGCTCCTGTTCAGCTCAGGATACGGACCCACACGGAAAGCGTGATAGTGAACTGCGATCAGAGGCTGCTGCTGCCACAAAACCAAGGACGGCAGCCGGGGCTGCAGTAGGTTCAAAGGATGCTGCTGAGTCATGTCAGTCAGCAGGCGTGTCATCTGGCGCCGATGAGGGGAGGGGAGGCCAGAATGAAACGGGAGAGCGATGGGTGACTAAGGGTGACGTGAGGCAGCGGCTGGCTTTAGTCAGCGGTTGCTACCCCAACGCAAGGCCCACGCGCGGCTCCCTGAAGCAGGTCTTTAATTTCTTTCAGAGCGTACATGCAGATGGTATGATGAAGCCGTCTGCCATTTGAAGCCACTATATTAAAGTTGGGCCCCGGCTGGCGGGTTGCGGTATAAATACTGGGCACCGTGCCCACGGTTGATTGGGTCTTATTTGGATCTGGCGATGCCATGAAGGCGCAGGATTTTGGTAGCCTTCACATGCAGCTTGTCTGCAGACGCACCTTGCCTCTGGCAGGAAAATTGTGTAATAACAAAAATAACAATTTGAAGTGTTCAGCAAAGGGCCTTGTTGCCCTTGCACAGTCCAAGGCTGATGGGTTGTGGCAGGGTCTTGCCTTTCCTGGGCTCTTGCAAATGTTTGAAGACCACAGTCTGCATTGTAAGTCCGTAGCCAGAAGGATGCACTCAACAGCAAGAGGATAATTCCTAGCGCTTCGCGTTGATAGTACCTTGAGGTGACCATGATTCTTTCCTCAGACTGATTCAAGTGCAGATCAGGAGAGGCTGCAGGCCAGAGCTGCAGACTCTGCAGTGCACTGCTAGTAGCTATTCGGTGCGGTTTTGGAAGCCACACGAGGCCTGTCTTGGCTTTGACTTCTGCCAACTCATTAGGCCGATTCCATTGGCATTTATTGCATGCATTTTACTTATATTATGAAACGGCCAGAAGCTGATTTCATGCCAGGATAGCTTACAGAGGTTTGCAGCACAATAACTTACAGGTTCAGTCACAATGAAGACCTTGAGGTTCACCTGAATCTAGAGGTCAAGATTGCTCCACGAGCAAGATTGTAAGCCAATTACATCTGGTGAGTCACTGCGCAGTCTTAGGTTGACGTCATCTGCTTGGGCATGGAGCCTGGTGCATCTGAGCCCGCGCTGATTGCAGCTGAAAATCCATTTCGTGATAAGGGTGTTACACGAGTCTAATTAGTCACATTGACACCAACTGCCAGCCTGACCTGAGACTGGAGGCTAGAGAACTTGGTGCCACTCATTCATCGCGATGCTTGTCACATGTCTTCTCTCCTAGTCAGCAAAAAACAGCATCCTGAGAATCACAGGACAAAAAGTAGCTCGGGGAAGGCCAGAGGGCCAGACAAATTTCCATGCACCTATCTAAGAATGTCTGTGAGCGCTGCAAAGAAGTATAGTAGGAGGGATGCTCAGGGTTTCGACAATAATACCCCTCCAATTTTATGACTGGGGGTGCAAGACGCGGATGTATAGCTCCGGAAACTGGCCCCTCGACTCCGTCGTGCCGTTAGGAGACTCCCACTGCGTGCAACAAATTTTGACATGACATTTGATTCTTTTTTGCATCTGTCAGCCCAGTGACTCATCAGCTGTCGCAAACAAGCCACCATTGTGCCTCACTGCAGCTATTCTAAGGGAAAGCAAGCGGGCCTAGTAACACAGACCGGTCCAGGCAAAGTGTGTCACAACAGCCAGCATTGCTGGTGCAGCAATTCTGACACCACCCGCTCCTGTTACAGTGATTGGGCATGCCGCTGGCTGCCAAAGAAGTGTCATCTGATGGCGTTTCAGGGATGCACTCTGTCATCGGAAGTGTCATCGAAAAGGAGCAAAGGGGGTGAGTGTTCACCGGATGGAAAGTGACGCACACACCGGAGGCCACCACAGTACTCAGGCATTCCTCGCAGCAGGAAGACTGAGACCCCTGCATTTCAGACAGTCACACATGCTCTGGCTTATGGCTTGAGGCCCTGCGCTTCTGTGCATGGAGAAAAGACATCCTGAGTTTTCAGCTTTGGCTTGGAGCGCTGCCAGCAGACATCCTCAGAACAGTAACAGAGCACCAAAGCAGGCTAGGTGTACTCCCTTGCATCTGCTAGAGTCTCTCAGATTAAACAGTGCGCTGCTGCGAAGGGCGCACAGTGAGTTCCTCCACTTTGAGTTCAAGCTGGAGTCTCAGGGTCAGTGAGTTTCACAGGAAGAAAACATGCTTGAAAGGGGCGCGCCTTGATGATGGCGGAGATCATGTAGAAGGCGCCGGGGTGCAGGGCGATGGGTTTGGGCAGCAGCAGGCGGTGGCTATCCGCCTTGCTGAAAGACTGCGACACCGCCCCCAACCGCCGCTCATCCCACGAGAAATCGTGCGGGTCCACCTGAACAGCATTATCCCACCTTTCATTTGTTCCCTTAATGAAGGGTGGAAGGCCATCAACCTACTCCACTCTGCTTTTCATGACCCTGAACCCCTCCGAAAGTGCGGAGAGCCGCCGCTTGTCCCAGGAGAAGCGTCCACCTGATACACCAACCTCTCTAAATTCCTCCGAGAGACTTGATCCTGAACCCCACAACAAGCGCGCAACCGCTGCTTATCCCAGGAGAAGTCGTGCGGGTCCACCTGTCACACCATCCTCTTCGAACATCTCCACATTAGGGTCGAGTAGATTACACAACTGGATATGACCCTGGACCCTTAAACATGTGCTCACCGCCGCTAATTCCAGGAGATATTGTGCGGGTTCACCTGAACAACGTACTGTCACCCTCTGTTGAGGCTGTTGACCGATGGGGTGAACCCTAGAAGACTCCTCATTACAGCTGTCGCTGAGTCCATTTGGCGGGTATAGGACAATCATATCCAACGGAACATCACTTCTAGATGCTAAGGTAAGGGCCAGGAAGTTTGAAGCAAGTCTGCATGCACAGAACAAGCATGCGGCAACATCTGATAGCCGCATCCCGGCAAGAGTATAGGGTCGAGCAGGACAGGAAGCTGCTGACATCAGCGGACGTACCTGTGCCACCTCAGCGTCGACGGTGAAAGCGCCGACTGTGCCACAGAGGCCGAGGCCCATGAGCTGACAGGGCGCTGACACGCTGATGACCACCTCGTCCGACAGCGCGCGTTCCTCGTACACCCACCCCTCCTCGCTGTTCAAGCTCACCGCCCGCTGCACCCGCGTCAGCCCAAACTGCGCGCGCAACAAAAACTACTCGCTACTGTTAGCATTATCATTATTGTTACATGCCAATGGCATTCCTGCCAGAGGCAAGGTACCTCCTGCAGACAAGCTGACAATCTTACCCCTTGTTAGACTCGCCAGATACAAGCAAGAGGTTCGTATTGTTACTAATAGTATTATTGCACGCTCTTCCTGCCAGGGGCAAGGTGCGTCTGCATGCAAGCTATGAGCCATGCTCAGCCCAAACCCAGCCAGGGAAATTTCAGGGAACTATAAGCAAGAGAACGAGACATGGTGCACTCCGGGGCCTCCACCAATGCTCAACCTGCCAAGGTATGAGCTCAGTATGAAGCCATAGCATCCATGCAGTCATAAGGACCTAAATATCAATTGTACAACCGCATATTATTATTATTATTCTTACACACTCTTCCTGCCAGAAGCAAGGTGCGTCCGCAGACAAGCGTATATGCTGCTCACAAATATACTTAAACGATGGCTACAGCGTCTGTGTGAGTGCAGTGCAGTGGTCACGATAAAGCCTCTGCATGGAAACATGGCTGATCTTGACAGGATAAAGTAGTTATGCAGTAGGTTAGATGAGAGTGTGTCAGTCAGGAAAACGGTGTTCCCTACTTCCCCCAAATGCCAAACACAAACAAAGCAGTATGCAATACATCATATGGATGAGAGCGCAGAAGCTCACAGGGAAGCGGTCGATCTGCTCCACCAGCGATGACAGGCAGTAGTACTCGGCCTCTGCTCGCAGCTCCAACAGGTACTTGAAATCTGCGCCATCCTCTGGGTACGAAAATGTCCCATCCTGCACGTGCGGACACATCACATTCACACCGCTGATGATGCATGCAATTTATCCCCAGATGCAAAGCTTGCTCACAGAGGATACTATGGGAAACGGCCTCCCGTGAGGGTAAATCGTATTTGATTGGGCGGCACGTGGGACCGTACATGTAAAAATGCATGCTGTTTTTAATAACCGTCCTCTCACACAAGAATTGGCAAGGGTGCAATATTTGATGAAAGAGGCATGGGGCTTAGATCGTGGGTGGATGCAGAAGAGGCAGTGTGTGACTGCAGCATGTGAGATGCTCACCCTCAAGAAATTCAGGATGTCGTGGAAATGCCTCCCGTCCCGATCCACGAAATAGCAGCCATTCTGCAAAAGCACAGCAGTGAACACACTGTACGATTTTTGAGGAAACAAGTATATCCTCAATTTCAACGTCGCAGGAAACAGAGCTCTGCAGTTTAGCAGAGCATATATTCTCCTCGCATCTCCTGGATTGGTCTGCTAAGTGTGTTGGGCACAGTAAGCCCAGCAGCTTAGCACGCACAATCCTCAGTGCAGCTCTATAGGAGGCAATATGGGCAGCAAGCTGTGGGTTGGCACCTCGTCCGGTGTCAGCACATGGCGCCCACTGAACATGGCATTGAAGAGGGACGGCGCAGGTGCATTCCTGAGCGTGGTGGCTGTGGTAGTGTACTTTGAGCCCCCCACATTTAGAGTGACCTGCTCTGATGCGTTCGCCGTCAACTGCAGGCAACACAACCGCATTTGTGCCGCAATCAGAAGCTTTCCAGTGGGAATTGGTCACCAACAAGCAGTGTCTCCTGACCAGCAGCGCTCACAACCAGCCATGCACAGGTCTTGCAAGCCCCCTGCAGAGTGGCAGAAGGGAGGCAGTGGCTGTGGCCAATTGATTTGCATAGAACAGCATTTAAATCTGGAAGCAGTGGAGTCAAAGAGTTGGACAGACCTGGGCAACCCTAAACTGCTCTTCCTCAAACTCTTGCCTGGTCCTTTCCAACTGTTCTCTCTCCTGCCGCAGGGTCTCGCGCTCCTCGATGATATTGGCGAGCACGCTATCGAGATTGCTTTTGAATGTGACGAGACCTTCGTTGAAGTCGTTGACTGAGGCGTCAAGATTGCCCTCCATTGGCCATGAGAATACTTATATTTTGCCAATGGGTATGTTTGACCAAAAAGACACAATTCTTTGAATTATGCTTAATAATTGTGATACCAAATAAATTAAAGAACCTCAAGACCACAAAATACAGACGGGCACATCGGGTGCATAACAGGGATAGCGACCGCTTTCCGCCGAAACTGGACAAGGAACCAGAAGGGGCCCTTCTTCACTGATACTTACAATACAATATTGCTGACATAGTTTCTGATTTCCTGCCAAGCCTCAATTCTCACTTCATACACCTCCATCATGAAGGCTCCATGTGACGACATGATGATGTCATCAATACGAGCAATACGAAAGGCAAGAAGAAGAGGATTAGAAAAGCATTTCCAGTCGAGAAATTTGATAATCAGCGCCTCTGACTTCCTAGATGGCATGTGGACCGAGGCCCTTGCTGTTGTCATTATTGTGTTGGCAAATGCCATTTGCTACATCGCTCACGAAAAGAGCCTTCTTCACGGATACCTCAAACTTCCAAAGATTCTTTTTGTGAGCAATAGGTGCGTCTTTTGCCATGACCGACCTGCCTGAGGTCGCCCGGATTATTTTTCCTGTTTGGCACACGGATTTCTAGTATAGCTAGTTATGAAGTTCCGGTTCTAGCTTATTTACCATAAAATGATTGGACTGACTTAAATGAAATTCTTTCACACATGCGCAGATCAAGTGCAGTACAGTCGAGATCACGCACATACTGGGCATTTGACATACTTGAACCTGAGCATCTGGTGGGAAGCTGGTCCCTTTCCTGAGTGTTCGATGGGTAATGGATCGCAAGAAGCGTTGGCAATGTCTTGCATCTCACTTCATTGCAAAGTATGGAAGCCTATTTTCACTGGCACTATTGCAAAGCTGACAGGCTTTTCTTGACTGCAGGTCACTTCCTACTGGCTCAGTGATACTGGCCTGTTGCTCCTCAGATGTATCGAACTGCTATTCTTTGGAGTCACATTGACACTCGAGGCAACCACAGGTGGGCACGCTGCCACCAATTCACTCCTGTAGCTTGATGTCCCATCAATCCTGGACTGGCACAAGCTGCCAAAGCTAGCCTCACAAGCAAGACTGCCTTCAGCTGGGCCCTGTTTTTATTCTTTGGCCTGTTCAGCGCTTGTAGGGGTCCCATGATGGTGTGTCACTGATGGCATGCTTGCATATCAATGAGAGTGGTCCGCGCGAAGGGCTTGCTTGAAGACTATTTGATCTCTTCTCTGCTTCTATCTGCAAAATTTGCTGTTGTTTTGAGCTTTGCAGCCCCTGATTTTGCAGCTCGATTTGGACTTGGGGCAGGCCATAACAATGGAGGCCCCACTTCTCTGGCGCTCCTCTAGATTGGGCAGACTGATCAGTGCCAAAGGACGCTACTGTGCGAGGATGGCTAATGTGCATTGGTCTTGCATGTGGCAGGTGATGGCTTTGGCTCGCGGCCCAAGACCTGGTGGACATACTTCACCAATTGGACCTTCATACTCTTTGCGGCCTGGTGCCTGCTGGGCATCTACATCTCTGCTGCAAATGTCCAGGTGGGAAGGCAGGGGTTTCATTGTGCGATGCAATGGCAAAGGCGTCATGCATGCAGCCTATTTTGCATCGTGCACATGTGTTGAAGGATTCCAAGCAGCAACATGTCTATGATGCTTGCTGCGCCAACAAGCAGCACGTCAAATTGATTGAATTTAAGCTAAAATGTGTTACCCTTCTGAGTGTACAGACTCATCTACCGTAAACAAAGTTGAAACACTTAAGAGGCACGGCTGGCTATAGTAATTTAGCAAAGTGCCACATATGAGCAAGATGTCACAAATATTTGACATAAGTAGGATTATCAAATTCTGCAGGCCAAGGTGAGGGCGTGTGACCGGCATCAGGCGCTGGAGGCGTACTCAGGCAGGGAACAGGACGAGCGCGGCAATGACAGGCGGGTGAGTCATGCGTAGTCATCTTTTGCGCACTGCAGCCCTGTAGTACCCTGCTGCCAGATCTATTCACCCAGACTGCACTGTCGGATAAGGGAAGCTTGTGCTTCCATGACTTGTGCTTCCGTGATGCTGCGTTACCTGACCAACAACGCTGTTTGAAACTCTTGCAAAGTTGCCACAACGGCTGCCATTCCTCAAAGAGCTGCAGTGCACACTGTTCAATTGACCAAACGTCGTCTATAAAGAGCTGCTGTTAACTTGTCAAGGGTGCAATCACACACCTACTTATCCCAAGAGCAGACATACAATATTGCCCCCCGCATGCATGCACATGCTAACTGCATGGCGGCGAGCTGATGACGTGCTGCGGGCATGTGCGCAGTGGTCGGTGGTGCTCAAGCTGTACTGCCTGGTCAGCGAGACCAACGCTGCTGCCACCCTCTTCCTCAGCGCATTCTTCTGGGGCTTCGTTGCGAAAAAGGTTGGTTTCTAAATAACCCTTTTCTATATGTATGCCAGGGGGCGCTGATATATGAAACAGTGTTTGGTACCACCTGTCAGTGCAATGTGCAGCTCTCAGGCAAATGGGTTGGGCCTCTTTCTGGCCCCATTTTCTGTCTACGCAATGTGCAATCCCACTGGGCCTGAAGGTGCCACCTTAACCTGCCAAAAATACAAGCACCTGGTAGGAAATGCAGAATGCAGCTCTCAGTGGAATGCTATGGTTCACATGTGCAGCGCTTGCCCTGAGAGGACTCTGATTTACCTCTGCCCTGTGTGTTCCTGCATGACATTGCCGGTATAGCAAAGGCTCTTGCAGGATTGAGTCGGGTGCGATTGGCTGAGGGAGCGCGTTGTTGGTGCAGTACAATTGCTGCCATAGAAAAGACTTGCAGGATGAAATTGGGGTCTGCAAATGATTGAGGAAATGTTTCGGCTGCTGCAGAGTGACATAGCGATTGACAACCTGCTGAAGCACGGCATCAACAATGGCTTTATCCTGATGGATGTTCTTTTCTCTCGCGTGCCCTTTGTGTCATACCACTACCAGGTATGCTTTCTCCCGCCAAATTGCGAAGGCCCATCCTGCTGTACATGAATTTTTGTGCACCTCTCTGTGCTTGTGCATTCTGCAGTTAGGCAAAAGGACTCAGTTACTCTCAAGAGCTACTTTTGCATCTTGAAGTGGGCCCTTTCCCTGCAGTCCTGCTTTCAGTATCCCAAGTTCTACGCTTGCTGCGTTTAGGATAGATGCAATGGGAACAAGTGCATGGCATGATGGCGCTACTTGCAGCACAGGCTGATTCCTGCACAGCGGCGCTTGAGAGAGGCATCAGAGTTGAACGTGTGCATCGCTACAGGTGCTGCTGATCTATGGCACAGTCTACCTGGTCTTCATGTTCATATACTACGGGGCCTCCACAGAGTGGGTCTACGTTGTCCTGGACTGGGACAAGCCGGCATCCCTGGGCCTCTATGTGTTCCTGCCCTTTGCACTCTTCATCTCCTTTGTCATCTGGTGCGCTTGCTTGCCCAAACATGCAGAATTGCTGGAGTCCAATTTTCTCATGCTTGTTTTGATGGGGGGTAATGTGTTTAGTTTACACATATACCTGTGAATCCCCCGGCTGGCGAGGGGTGCTATAATTCCTGAGCACCGTGCCCACGGCCGGTTGGGTCTTGCTTGGACTGGCAAATTTATCAAGGTGCAGGATTGTGGCAGCCCTTACTTGCAGCTAAACTGGAAACGCACCTTGCCTCTGGCAGGAAAAGCGTGTAACACTAATGATCATCAGTGCTGCAGAACATAAAGTCACAATCCAGCAGGGTGAGTAACAGCAGATCAGGATGTGAGGGACACGTGAATACAAGCCAGGGGGGGCTCTGATAAATCAGAAGATCAGCCACTAATAATTAGTGATAATTGTGTGTTGCCAGGTACTGGATTGCACTGTTGAGAGAACTGGCATGCAAGCGCTGCCAGCCGCCCAGGAACGCCCTCTTCTTCCTGGCAGGCCCCCAAGATGCAGACGGCGCTGCCGCCACTGACCGTAATCATGACTGGCCGCCCAGTCACCCAGAGGATGACTCATTCGACACGCAGATGCTCAGGAGCTCGCCACACCCGTGAGACCCTACCTCCCTCGAATTACTATATTTTGCTTTGCACTTCAACTGATAGTGGAAACCAGTGGGCACGCTGAGTATGCACAGCCCTTGAATTGCACAGAAGGTCACTCAGTTCTGCAGAGCTCTCGAGTGTCTGTGAGAAATCGATCAGGTTAGGCGTATCCTTTGTTGGTAGCCGTGCTCAACCTTTGGATGCTGTCCTTGATGCAAAGGACAGGGGTTTTGCAGAGCAATGAAAGGTCATGGAAATCGCATTCAGGAATGATGATATTAGCGTCCTACTGTCCCTCTTTCAGTGCATTGACTGTGGCAGCTGTTATCTGCATGCAGGAATAGACTGGATCGGCAAGGGGGGAGCATTGCTATGGGCAGAGCGCACAGCTCCATTGTGTGAGCTCTTTGGGGAAAATCCAAGTTTACTTGTGGTGCCACGTCTCCATGCTCATCTGATGGGCTTGTTGCATCACAGAGCATTTCAAAGGGGGTCTTTGAGCCATCAGTGGCATATATGACATTTGAGCTTTACATCCCTGATCAAGTCAAATAGGTATCTAGCCTCTTGCACTAGATGCCTCTTATAGTGAGGGCAATAGATATTCACTCAGGCCCTCAAGTTTACAGCCACTGACGCCTTCAAATGACACAAGCTCAAGCATGCAGACAAACACAAATCAAAGTAAAACAAATGCCCGAAAGATTGGAAACGGTGTCAATCAATCTCGACCCTTATTCCCTGCAATCGTCTGCAAAGCATGCCATCCTTTCAAGAATACCAGCAAATTTTCAAAATGCTTTCCATGCACACAGGAAAACCCGAAAGCAAAATACCTCTGGATCTTCTTTCTCTCTAAAATGCAATGCCCCACAAAAGTGGTATTGCTGGAATGCCTATATACTGTATACTAGATCAAGCGCTCTCATGCACAATCTCAGATACCCTTTGTGCCGGGCAATAAACTTCATGCAGTTTTTTCAATGCTTCATGCACTTGTTTCAATGCTCCATGCGGCAGTTTATTATGCTTATGCAGCATGACAGATATCGCCGACAGACCTCGGCTGACTCCTACTCTACTTAAAACCCCCATAATCCTGTGGAATGAACGTTTTTCCACCAGCTTCAAATCGTGCAGCCAAGGAATAAAGAGCACACAGTCCCAGATGGCTCACAGCTGCTGCTGCCATAAAGGCCCCCATGGTCTCAAGTTTGACTCTACTTCACCTCCTCAGAGGCGGCTGCAGCTGCTTTGCCGTTCTCAGCTGCTCCATCTGCAATCAGCACCCGGTTGTCAACATTGAGTGCAAACAAACTTGTAAAGCCCAGCGCTCGGTCTCGTCAGCACAGACCTGCAAAGGTAGCTCAGGTCTGTTCCATGCGAATTATGCACAGCCTTCAGGTGGTCTGAAACCTAGCACTGCACAGCCTGCTTCTTGTCTACATCATGGTGCTTCCATCCGTGCATGCAGCTCAACAACCCCATATGCATGGGATCCTAAAAGAAAAAGCCGTTGCAGAGAAAGATCGCATGTTCACGCACCGGCAGAAACATCTGACGCCGCTGCAGCGTTGGCCGGAGTGGCGGCTGCGTTGGAGGAGGTACGCCTGCGCCGCGACATGCGGAAGGCCGACACCTCCTCTGGCCGGGCTACCGAGGCGCTGCGGGCGGCAAGCTCGGCCGTCTCCGACGGCGTTGCCTCCGCCGTTGCCGCCGCGCTGCTGTTAGCGGTGCTCGGCAGACCTGCGCTCAATCCAAGGAATCATAAGATTACACATGCGCCATGAGCAGATCGTGTGCTTCACTGCAGGTCGATTTCTCAGGAAGAATAGGCCCGGTATGGGCCCGAGCACAATCCGCTGTATGTCATGCCATGTACATATTGTGTTGTCAACTATCAGGGCAAGTGAGGTATGACCCAGAATAGAAGCTATGTGCGGCAGAGCCACTGTGGCCAACAACCCATGGCTCTGCGTTTGCATGACAGCAGGGCAAATGGGAAGTGTGCTCTTAGGCTGGACTGACAGGACATCCATTTTGCCCTGCTGAAACAAAAGGCCGACTTCTGCACACCTTACTCGTAGAAAGGCCAGAATGCATACCCGCGCCTGGCGTGAAGGCGTCCAAGGCGCGCGCCGGCTTCACAGCGGGAGTGGCCGCATCAGTCACAGCCGCCGGTGCCTCTTCCTCTTTCGGCGCTGCTTCCAATTTTGGTGTTTCCGAGGGCTCCTCTTTTGGCCCTGCTGCTGTTGCCCCTGGTGCTTCCTGTTTCGGCGCTTCTGCCAATTTCTGCTTCGGCGTCGCTGACTCAGCGGGCTCGGCAGGCTTCGGCGACACTGGCGCGCCTGTTTTGGCGGCAGGTGCCTTTGCCGGGCTGGCCTCCCCGTTGGCGCTGGCTGGCCGCTCTCCCTTCGGTGCTTTCTCAGGAGACTTCTTTGCTGCAGGAGTGGAAACCGGCAACGCATCTGCACAGCATGGATAGTTGTCATGAACTCACTTACGTCTCCTGTCTATTTCAAACAGGTGACGGCTCCTTCAGATGAGATATATAATAACCCCATCAGTACCGCTGCAGTACATTGCGCGAACCATACACACCACCGGCAAAACAATACCACCTCCTACCGGCAAGTGATCTGCATGGTGCCTTTTATCAAGGTGCAGCCGAGCATGGCAGGAGCGCAGGGCGCACCTGCTGTAACAACATCAGCGTGCGAGTTGTCAGACACAAAAGTTGGGGCAGCGTCGGCCGCGCTCTCAGCAGCCTTGCTGACAGCTGGCTCCGGCGCTGATGCAGCCTTGGTGGTTGCTGCTGCAGCCTTTCCTGGACTGACCACATTCGCAGGGCTCTTTGCAGGCGTCTCTGCCTTAGCATTTGCCTTTGCAGGTGACCTGTCAGGCTTGCTGCTCGCTGCTTTCTCATCCGGTGCTGTCACGGCCTTGCTGGTGGCACTCTCAGCAGGGACAGCTGCGCTGGAGGCTCTGCTGGCTTCAGGGGCCTTCTCGAATGCTGCAGCAGCAATGGCGGAAGCTGCCTTGCTGGCGGAAGGCGCCTGCTCGGAATACGGAGCCAGCCTGACAGCTGGCTCCGGCGCTGATGCAGCCTTGGTGCTTGCTGCTGCAGCCTTTCCTGGACTGACAACATTCACAGGGCTCTTTGCAGGCGTCTCTGCCTTAGCATTTGCCTTTGCAGGTGACCTGTCAGGCTTGCTGCTCGCTGCTCCCTCATCCGGTGCTGTCACGGCCTTGCTGATGGCACTCTCAGCAGGGACAGCTGCGCTGGAGGCTTTGCTGGCTTCAGGGGCCTTCTCGGGTGCTGCAGCAGCAATGGCGGAAGCTGCCTTGCTGGCGGAAGGCGCCTGCTCGGAAGCTTCTGCAGCGGCCAGTGACTCGCGGCGACTCAGCACCCAGCTCGGCAGCGTCGTCCCCCCGTCAGCAGACTCCCTCCTGCATGACCATCACAGACGCTCAACGTGCCATCGCCCACAAAAAGATCATTGACTGTAGGCCCGGTCAAGGCACTCACACCATTTGCTGCAGATTGTCCCAGCCTGCAGCATAGAAATTAGCACGCTGGAGTCTGACCAGATTAAGTAGTGCAATAGAATACATCTGCAGATATTGCCATGTCTCAAACAAGTGCCAATCCTATGCAAGACTGATGGCACATGCAATAAATTGAGAGGTCCGCATGTAGGCACTTGAAGTATTCATAGTCTCGCCTCTTCATCCATCTGTGCATGTGCTGTTAACAACGTTGTTTCGAGCTCCACAGTCCCTAGTTTTGCGGCTCGGTTTGCATTTGGGCAGCCCATAACAATGATGGCCCCAAACTCTCGTTTACATGGTGAACTGAAAATTTATTTGTCACGACAGGTAATACCTGCTGCCGGCTGCAGAGCTGCCGGTCCTCTTGAGCACAGGCAGCGTATCCTTTCCGGAAAACGCTGCGCGGAAGCTGGCAGCATCTGGCGTGTAGCTGTGCCTCGCGTGCGCCTTGGCGCTGCTCGGTGTAGTCACCTTTGATCCTGCATGTGAATTAGTCAAATCTTAAAATTCAATGTAAGCCTGATTTAGCCAACATTTGTGGGAAACTTCTCTCCTGTACTGGCATGCAGCACCCCAATATGCTTGCGTAGGCAGCAATTCAAGCAGCAATCTAAACTAATGAGGCAATCATTGGCGCTGCTCGGTGTAGTCACCTTTGATCCTGCATGTGAATTAGTCAAATCTTACAATTTAATGTAAGCCTGATTTAGCCTATATTTGTGGGAAACTTCTCTTTTGTACTGGCATGCAGCACCCCAATATGCTTGTGTAGGCAGCAATTCAAGCAGCAATCCAAACTAATGAGGCAGTCATGCATGCATGCATACATGCATTATACAAGACTTACATCAAGGACATTGCACTTCTGGACAGCTGTGGATCCTGCCTCGCATAAATGTTCTAGCAACAGTCTTGTCTGGATCATGGATCAAGCGCAAAAGAGCTTGAGTAAGCGCACCCGCAGAGGAGACCCGCTGGGTGGCGATGGGTTTGGGCCTGGGCTTGGGAGCCTGGGGGTATTTTTCCAGCAGCTTGGACAGCGCAGGAGCCTCATCAGAGTCTGCGCCGTCCGCAGAGTGCAGCACCACTGCCAGCAGACACGCGGCGTTCCTCCTCAGCCGCCCAATCTTTCCCAGCTGCGCAGGATGCACCAGCGCTTCAGCCTCAGCGCATCAGCAAGTTTCAAGCATATGACAAGGCTTTGGCACATACATGCCTGCCCTTGCATGCTGCAGATAATGTTGAACACTGTGCATTAGCAGAGGGTAGCGTTCTGGCCCTAATGCCTTGCTCTGCAATGCTGGAGATCTTAGGCACCAGCAAGCAACAATGCATGGACAAAGGATGTAGTGCAAGCGCCTGCTTTGCACTGTAGACAGAGGCTGGGCACCCATGCAGGGTTGATTGGAGGAGTGCGCACCCCGACCCATTCAGCAAGTTGCTTTTTGCTGTGCACTGGCACGAGGGGCACGCTGTTGCTGGCAGTGGCCTCCTTGACTGCTGCCAGTCGTTCCTGCTCCACCTCATTGAGGCCCTCCAAGCAGTCCTTAGCCCACAGCAGCGCTGCTGCCTGCGCACAGGCAAATTAAAGAAATTGGGAAGAGCTTGGCAATGGATGCGAGGACTCCCAGGGCGTACAGTCTGGGTGATTGTAGGGATCAGATCACAGCACTTGCGGCCTGCTTCAGGGCGCAATTAAAGTCCCAATGCGAAGAAGTAATCCAACTGATGGCATACAGAGAGCCTTCTAGGTGGTACGGTGCATCCATGGATGTGATCGATAAAATCATGTCGTTTCTGGTGGCGAGGCGAATTCCATGCCTGTCTTGATGCCCTCTGATCCACAACAACAGAAGCAACTTCATATGCAACAACAGTTGTGATACAGTTCCCATTCGTTAATAAAGCACTCACCCTTCCAGAGTCTAGCAACTCCTTTGCTTCCTTCAGAAATATGCTCGATGAAACTCTCAGCAAACGCGCGTTCTGCAGGGCCTCCTCCAGTGCTGCCGCCACCGTCTCGTCCGAAGGTGTAGCTGCCGCAGTCTCTTCAGCAACAGCATTTGATGATGCTTCTTCGCTTGCCATTAGTAGGTCTGCTATTCGATGATCACTCTACAAAGTGCCAACTGCACGTATCCGAGCTAAGGCCTCCGGCGACCAGTGAACTCAAATACGTCTAGAAAAGATTGAATGTATGGATTTGGGAAGGGATATGATGATGCATTTGAAGCCTCTGCTCCTGAGAGCAGGACAGGTGGCTGACTGGATCCCTCACCCAAGCCCTCTCAACTGCTGCATGGAGCCTGATCAGGACGTAGGATTCCAATTTGAATGAAGACAGAGGGACCATGATGTACATGTAGTACCATTAGGTGCACCCACTGTGCCTAACCCCATGCACAGGGAACACTGACAGTGCTGTTTGACGTCTCTCTCATTCAATTGCTTCATCAGAAACACATTTAAATCGACTAATTACTTAGACGTCTTAGTAAGACGTCCTCGATCATTACACGAAAACCATTCTCAGATCTGATTCTCAGATTTTCAGATATCTTTCCTGAAGCCAAGCTAAATTCAGCAAGCATAGAGCAAACTCAGAGTGGGACTCAAACCCCGCCATATCCATTTCTGGCATGCGCAGTGGGCACACTAGACACACACCGTGACATGCGAAGTGCCAATTTTGAAAATGATTACGAGCTCGAGCTAGCATGCATATGCCAAAATTGTTCAGTGTTAAAATAATGCCTCGAAGCCTTATAGCTTGATGACTTCAGGTTCCTGGCAATTGCCGGCAGATCCATGGATCCAGCAATATATGCGGTGAAAGCATGATGCTCACTGCTGCTCTTCCGGAGAGACTCAGGCCCCAAAGGCCAATGAAAATGCCTTGTCACAAGTATACGATATACATCGCTGAAGGCCTGAAACACAGAAGTACCCATTATCAAATTGCGTCCTTGCAGATCATGTTTGTGCCACTCAATGGGGCTCGTTTGTTGTAGTCGTGTAGTACCGTGTAGTACCGTAGTACCGGGTAGCAAAACGGGCAAGAAAAGACCATCATTCGAATGCACTACTTTCCAGCAATTCTCTGCAAACAGGAACTGTCAAATCACATGCATGCCTTGCCAGAGGCAATAGGCAATGCAAAGTCTTGTCGCAAGCGTGAGGCTCACACTGTGACAGGTCATGGTTCCGGTAATTTATCAGCACTCTTTTGATTGACATTTAAATTCACATTAGCCAAATTCAAATTCAAATAAGCGCGCATGCGCACCGCAGTGGCCGCTGCCGTCGCAGAACATCTGATGCCGCCAATTGTGCGCCCGTTCTGGGGGAAGCAGGTGCTCATGGCAGGGCTGAAGGGCAATTTGCAGGAGCCATCGTAGTTCCTGCACATAAAATACAAGCATGCGTTAGTCACAGCCTGCCTGCCGACATAAAACATCTGACGTCAAAGGCATGCTGGCCTTGAGACAGTGGGCAAGATTCCCCAACACACACCATTGTGTCCTGGGCAGCTATGATTTCTTTCAGCTCTGCAATGTCCGCACTGTTTACAGCAATCTGTTGCCGCAGCGCTGCGTCCTGCATGGCGTCCTCTGCCTTGCTGATTGGGAACATCCCTGTGTTGGCGCGCACGAAATCCGCCAATGACGTGATGTTTGGCAGAGTGCTGAGTCGTACTGCAGCGTTTGCAACACAGGGCAAACCGCTTTGTTGATGACCAGCCAACTTGGAGCAGGCGCATATATGGGGAGAGGATCAATGACAAGACATATCTTCAGGATTTCAATGAAGGCACATCAAATGGAGCCGATGTGTAGAATGCAGGGGAAGGCCATGTCGCCGTCCAAGTCTGCTGCAATGCTTGCCTTACATGTATGCATATAGCTTATGGGACCTGCTGAGACCAAGTGTATGGGACCTGCTGAGACCAGTGTCTGTCTGGTAGTGATTAAATTTTCGGTGCAGCAAAAATTCGGATGTGCAGGACAAGGCGCACCAACGCCTGTTGTGCTGTGTAGAAGGGAAATTGCAGCGATCAGGACTGCTGGTGGGCCCTTGGACACAGGGGCCTGCTCCAACTAGGGCTTGAAGCTGGGCTGTCTCCTGGAGACGTCCTTCTGCCCAGGCAGATGCAGCCTGTGAAACCACAGTCTTGGTATCATCCCTACCTGCAACCCTCTTTCCGAACACTCAAACTCGCTTCGATGACCTAGAAAATTACCCACAACTCGTGACGTACTAGCGTCAGTTTTCCTTGCGGTGCTTACCAGAGGCTTGTTTTGACACAGAAGCATAGGATGTTGAGAGTACCAGTCGGCGTGCTTGTCGCTTCATAACTTCAGTCACAAATGAAGGGCATTGTAGGAGCATGTCATAGGCAGACTGAACCAGGCACAACTCGGGAAACTCCCGGGGACAGCATGGCGACCATGCGTCTCAGACGCATATGACTACCCCACACACAAATAGAAGCGTTTAGCCTGATGCCCGTAGTCTCTATGACGTCAGTAAGTATTCTTTGGTAGCAGTCTGGCACAGGGACAAAGTCGATCAGTTCGAAATTTTGGCTCTAGCTGGCAACGAGTAAGGGATGGCACCTTTTCGCCTCAATTCGTCAGCGGCCTGGGTCCGTAAGCATATTTGTGATAAGCGCGCACACTTCGGTTCTCAAAGCATGCGACAAGCCATTTGCCTTAACTGTCGTGCAAGTTGCACGGTGCAACTGTAGTGCAACATTTTGAACTTGGGAGGACCCTTGACCAATAATCACAGGGGAACAATTGGCGGACCCTGGCCGAGAAGGGAAGGAAGGCCCATCATTGGCATGCCAACAAGCGAGCCACTGAATCGTCGTTAGAGCAGAAGAGTTTCTCTGAAGGATAAACGCAGATTTGTATGAAGTAGGGAAAACAGGAGTACTTTCGTTTTAGGAGACTTGGGAATCAGCTTGAGTAGCACAGATGCTAGCCAGAGGCATCCAGGCCGGGCGCCTCATCCTTAGGAATGTTGCTGTATCTGGAAGATCGGCTGTAAATAGAGGTTTCAGGTGGGTGTCTTCATCCAGCATGCCTGCCGTTGCTCTTTCCACATATTCCATGCCTTCAACAAGAGACCGAAAGTCAACCTGCGAATATAGCTGCACCACCTTTCAAGGATCAAGAGATCCACAGTTTGTAACATGATATATGCGTTGATGCCAGTATAGTACGGGCTAATCCCAATAACCAGGGGCAGCTGTATGCGTTGAAGTGTTCGAGCTCATTCCGCTTGTGTCTGCAGCGATGGCGCAAAGAATGGGCCGTCTACCAGCAGTAGTGGACTGGGGCCGACGACTCGCAGCACGCCAACCAGCAATGCTAGCCCTGGGGCAGCTTCCACATCTGAGGCAGCCACCAGCAGCAGTGCAGCATCCACCAGCGGCACAGCAGCCAGCACGAGCACCACCACTGCAGAAGGCTCCAGCAGGCTCCTCAAGTCCATGCAGGCTCCTATAGAAGCCGCGCAGGCAGAAGCCGCTGCGGCCCAAGCCAAGGCGCATGCGCAGGTGGGCATCCCCCTGTGCACCTTTGTCTCTCTGCCTTGCATGTGCCAAGTTGGCATGTGTCCTTCCGTGATGGGAGGCACGTACATTGACACACGCAATTTGCAGACAATGAATGGCACGTTCACTGGTGGTGATGTGGCTTTCATGCAGCTGATGTAACTCCTGCACATGTGATGAGATCATCACCGGCATGATGGCTGCTCTATTGACATTGCGCAGCAAGCTTGACTATCATGTCATGCCATTCTCTGGCGCAGTATCCCACAAATATAATAGTGCGCAAACCCTTTCTTGTCATTGTTGTCCAGGGGGAGATACCAGGGGAGGGAGGGCTGACGAGCGCGCTGTCGGCGGCGGGCAATGCGCTGTTCTTTGCTGCGCTGGGGGGCACGGCCTATTTTGGCTACTACACACTGCGCTACACCACGCCAGAGATGGAGCAGCTCATCAAGGAGCGGAAACAGCCCGAGCACGAGTTCCCAGGCAGATCGGTGCGCTCCCATGATTTTGTCTTGCGCCCAACGAAAGACAGTGAAACAGTTTTAAGTGAAGAAAGATGCAAGGCATACATTTAAGTGCGAGCGCCAAGTAGGCAGAAAGTGCTGCCTCGCGGTGATATGCAGTGCTAGTGACATACAGAATTTCTCCAGGTTGTAAATCCGCTCATTTAGCTGTGTCCCTCCTGCAAGGACAGCCTTTCTGAACAATGCAGGAGCAGCGGGCTGCTATCAATAGGATATGCGCTTGGTGTGGTATCTGCTGTAGAAAAGCAATCTGGTGGTGGTGAACGGTACTTTAAATGACCCTCGATTTTTATGCATGCGCGCAGCTGTGGATTCCGCTGATGTCATGGTATGTGGAGAATCGGCGCAGTTTGGAGGAGCAGGTCAAGAAGTACTCAGATCCGCCCTCGGAGCACCTGCTGCCAGACCTGCCGGCCCACGCCAGGTGAAACTCCCTGGCAGCTGCATGCCAAGCACATTTCCTTTTTTAACACTTCTGGCAAGTCTGGCAGCTCCAACAAGGCATGCACTGCGCTGAGGATTCCCATTCTTACCAGAAACTCATTCGTCCTCTGTGGTCGTTACTGACCTGGTTCACAACAGAGCAACAGAGCACTGAGGATGATTGTCAGAATTTGCTGTGTGAATTTCACCTTGAGGATTCACCAGCCCTGATGGATCTGCTGCTAAGGTGTCCCTTCACTGTATGGTGAAGCGTCACACAGGGGAGCTCATTTACCTGCTCCAAGCTCAATGATGACCTTGCTTTAGATTGCTTCGAACAAGTTTTGCACCGGAGCAATGCACAGCAGCAGTCAAGGCTCATGTTGGCGTTGTTCTTGATGCGGCAAATGAAAAGGCACACGCTGACTCAGCGGTGTGTGGTCATCTGCAGGCATGTGCGGACGCTGGTGCTGGACCTGGACGACACGCTGATACACAGCGACTGGACGCGCGGCCGCGGCTGGCGCACCTTCAAGCGCCCTGGAGCCGAAGATTTCCTGCGCCAGGCACGGGCCCCTGCTGCTCCGCGCTTGTTTATTTTGGCGCACACAGTCCCTGCCACCGCACTCGTCGCTGTGCTCTGCTTCAAGTCAACAGTCAGATCATCTCTGCACACTCTGCAGCTGCCATACCTGTTACTCCCCAAGATTGCATGGGAGCAATGGGCAAAAGCACATTGCTTGGCTGGAAGTACATTGGGTATGCGGGAGATGATCGGATGCCCTGTTGGCAACGAGTGATTTGGCAAAGCATGACTGTGCGCGCAGCAGTACAGAGCACTGGTCTACACGCAATGCGCATGGCCTAATCACCCCGCAATTTCACTAGAGCAGCAAGCCGTGCTGATGTTGGGGGCTGACGTGGCGCGGCTGTGCTGTACGGCCGGCAGATCGCGCGGAACCGTGAGCTGGTGTGGGTGACCTGGGGGTTTGGCCAGTCCTGCAGGGGCATCATATTGTGTTTATGGGGTCAGATGGAGAGGGCTGCAGAAAACAACATGCCCTGGCCTTTAATAGGCAGATGACCTGTAGAAGGAGTGAACATGCTGACGTGGCGCGGCTGTGTGCTGTGGTGCAGATGGCGCAGTACTATGAGCTGGTGGTGTACACGGACCAGCTGCCCACCTACGCAGACCCCATCCTGGACAGGCTCGACCCGCAGCGCTTCATCCAGTACCGCCTTTACCGCGACTCAACGCAGTACATCAACGGCAAGCACGTGAGAACTTGGCTTTTCCCTTCTGCGGCCCTGCACCCTATTTGATCAGATTTGCTCTGTCCCCTGGAGATGCTTGTCTTCTTGCTACTATCTGCCCTGGAAAAGACAGTGTTCCAGAATGATGTTGGGCTTGCGGCGTTGGTGGTCTCATCCAATGTCACACCACTGGCATAGGAGCGTTAAAATTGAGCTAGGGATGCACGGAAGTCTGACATAGCGTGTGCTAAAGGTCACCGCACAACAATGACAAGCAGTTCACGTATTCAACATGTGCGCACATGTGCACGCAGGTGCGCAACCTGAACTACCTGAACCGGGACCTGGACAAGGTTCTGCTCATCACTGCAAATGAGGACGCATACTCGCTCCAGGCAGACAACGCCATCAAGGTGTGCTCCTTATCCCTGCTTTTCTGTCTGCTCTGGACCTGCGCTAGCTCACGCTAATCTGCCTTGTCATAGGTCCTAAGGAAGTTCTGTTCCACCACTTGTTGGCACCACAATTGGCACCACAATACGCTTGTGGCCCTGTTAGAAAGGCATGCAAAAATATCTGCTGCTTGGGCTATGTCATCTCTCCATTGCGCTGATGTTCCGCATCCCTGATTAGCGGCTTCCTGCAAGGGTGCTGAAATCATGCTTCAGTGGTGTTTGACATTAGCCCTGGAGGCTGATGTCGTTTCTCGGTCGTCCTACTGTTACGCCACCCTTCCCAGCGGCATGCTGACATCTTTGTTGAGTGGCGCTGACATCACGGCCCGCTGACACGCGCGCAGCTGAAGCCGTGGAAGCTGGAGTCGGAGGACACGGCGCTGCTGGACCTGCTGCCGCTGCTGGAGCAGGTCTTCCGCACCAACGTCCCCGACGTGCGCGCGGTCGTGCGCAGCTTTGAGGGCGAGGACATTCCAAGCGCTTTCCGCGAGCGCATGCGCGCCCTGGCCGCCAAGAAGCAGTCCCAGCGCCCGGGCCTCTTCGCCGGCCTACGCCGCTAAAACGGCTGGGCCGGGCCTGTGCGCGCCGCCGAGATGGCCGGGCCAGGCCGGTCCGGGGTGCAAGTCTCTTCAAGAAGAGATGTTCTGGCGTGCGCGCGGCTGAGCAGGTGGGCCGGGGTTGTCGAGATCCGCGTGGGCTCTGGGTGTGGCAGGGCTCTTCAGCCGCCTGCGCCGCTGAGACGGCCGCGCCGCGGATCGGCCCGGCCACTGACTGGCTCGGTTGGCGCGCGCCGCGTGTTCGCGTCTCTTCTGCTCAGCGGGTGGCTCTTTGGTGGCCTTTGCGGCTGGGATAGCCGGGTTGGCGCGCATTGCTTTTCCGCAATTCCTGTGTTTGAACGGGAAATCTTCGGGTTTGTGTGCTGCCAATTGGCCGGTGTGCGTCAGAGACCTGGATCCCTGTTGCTCGCAGCAGAGACCTATCTTAAGATCTTCCCACACAGGATGTGTGAAGAGGAGCGTCCTGCGCTGCAGGGATTGCAGGGCGGCTGGGCGGGCAAATTTTGCACTTCTGTGTCTCTTTCAGGTATCAGCAGACTTTGCTAGGTCTTGCACTCTGTGCGCCAAGTCATGGTGGCCTTGGTAGCTGTTGCAAACTAGGAGCTGTAAAGTACTAGAATCATTATCGATACGTGATGTGAGGACTACTTCAAGGTTGCCTTGATGCAGTTATGGTGAGGACATGAGAGTGCAGATCGTTGCATATGCTCCTCAATCCGGTTCCTTCTGCGTAAGTGAGACAGCGTGGGCCATTTTTAGCATTTCCACGGGCAGGACATCAGCTATCTCGGTTGGACAAAACTGTGTCCATTTATAGTGTGCCAAGTTTGGTGCTTGTAAGGATACCTTACATAAACTGGTTACTAAACCTGACACCCCTCTCGAAATTTTCAGCAATCGCACAATTCGTGGTCAGCTCAGTTCATGCAAGATCGTCTGGTGCCAGCAGAACTTCTTATGCATGCGTGATTGGTTTTATCAAAAGTGTCGCTCATCTTGAAGCACTAGCGTCAACAGTAGGGCAGAGGTGTTTCTCACCCATCTGGTCCACAGAAGACAAAGCGATCCATTCAGAAACACATATATCGATGCAGAGTGGAAGACTACTCTTGCAAAGAGCGCTCCGTAACACAGGGTTGAGGCGCCAGCTAGTTGCAGTATGCAGAGTTGAGGAAGGCATTGCCCCTGCTTTCGTTGCTGGTTTTGATGCTTCAGCTTCGCATCAATGGAGTGGGAAGGAAGGGAGATGGAACGCATATCAGACCAGAACCTTCAGAGTCAATCCTTACTTGTCGAGCACGGTAAACGTGGAAGTAGGGTCCTTCGGGGAGAGCATCACAGGCACGCACTTCCTCCTTTGCAGGCGTTGTATCAGATAGAGAATGTTGATTATTCATCCCTATATCCATCAACTGCAGCCGAGGGGGGGTCATCATTGTACGAGCTTCACGAAAGGTTGAGCTGAGCCTCTGCGGACACAGAGGGTTCCATCGCCACCATTTCCAAGCAGGCAGGCGATGCCGTGGCGGAGGATGACGTCCTGTTTCAGATCGAGACTGACAAAGTGACCATCGATGTGCGAGCGCCACAGAGCGGCACTCTGGAAAGCGTCCTGGTAAGGCCTTTGGCTCACGCATGTCCTCCTGAGTGTCAGGACTTTCAATAGCTATTCCAGTCGCTGGACGTCCAAAGCCTTGAAACTGCAGGTTATCCAGCGCAGCACAGCGCAGCGCACTGTTGCACTCCTATACCTGTCAGAGCTGGGGTTTCACAAGCTGGGGTTTCAGCTGGCAATGCTTCACGGCGCAGGTCAAGGAGGAAGACACAGTGACAGTGGGACAGGTAGTTGCCAAGATTACTGTGGGGAGCGCAGAAGCAGGGGACACAGGGGCTAAGGATGAGTCTGCCACTGGCCCCTCCAGCGACCAGGCCGAAGCACTCGAAAAGGAGTCCCCTGTCAGCACAGGTATGCGCTTGCGCAGATTCTGATTTAGGAATTATGCATCTTTGCAAAGGTTGCGGATCAGCAGCTTTAGGAACGCTGGAAGGCTCTTCAATGTCAATATCAAGTGGAACTCATCAGGCCGTGCAGACATTCTTGGGTCCACCAGCTCCTCCTCGGTCCTTGGCTGTCTTGGGACTGTATGACTACAAATTCAGAAGAAAGAGGGCCGCACGCAAGTGTGCTGGACAAGCCTGAATAGGCAGAACATTACACGCAAGGTTGTGCTGGGAATGCGACCATGTCTAAAGTATCATTGTTGCTCTGCAGACAAGGCAGCAGAGGCCGCGAAGGAGGCGTCGAGCGTCAGCGGTGATGATGTCAGCACTGACACAAGCGCTGAGACGCAGCCGCCGCCGCACCGCCGGCCGAGCATAAAGTTCCCCACGCGGCGCACGCCAGAGGGCGTTGCCATCAGCAGCCTGTCGGCGGAAGAGCAGAAAAAGTGCGCCAGTTTTCTTGCTCGACCCCTAAAGTGTAGATGATTACAAATACCATCAGGTGGTATCTATTCTTTAGATGCTGTATAGATGCTCGATGACAAGGGCTGCAAGACCCTTTCAATGCTGGCGAACTTGCGCAAGAAAATGCCATCCTTGAAACCAAGGTGAAAGCAGGTCCAGAACCTATCATTGGGAGCCTCTCCCTGCCCTCCTCTAGCATTTGCCTGACTGTGCCTTCAATTCACATGCTGCTTCGGCATCCTGAGTATGCTGTGATCTGCTTTTCAGGTTCTTGGAAGCGCCCGAGGCGACAACTGCGCCGCAGCCGCAGGTGAAGCAGGCGCCGCAGAAGCAGGCGGCGACGTTCAGCACCGGGCCGTGGTACTCTGGGCGCGAGCGCGGCACAAAGCTGTCCCAGAGCCGCGTGCTGACAGAGCGGGAGATGGAAATGATTGAGCTGGGCGGCGCCTGAATGTTTTTCATATTATGGTCCATTGTGTCAGATTCTAATGCCGTAGATAACAGTTTACTAGCATTCCCTTAGATCGTCTGGGTACCAACAAACCCAGGCAAGATTTGGCAGTCATGGTTACAGCCCACAGGATACAGCCGGAGGAGCACTGCAGGAGTTAATTACCTGCACAACAAGGTCAATGGGGGACAGACTTCTTGTGGAAACAAAATACCGTACTGCACAAATTGCTTTTCTCTGCAGCTTGTCACACTCGATGGCAGGGTGTGTTGCTATGAAAGCAATGTTATTACTCTTGCAGAGGATGCACTGCCCAATGCAGCACCAATGTTCCTCTCTGCCCTTCCCACGCATACTGTCATATGACCCCATACTGCCAGTACTGTGCGCATTAAAGGCACTAGTGCGCATGGAAAGGCTCCATCAATTTTAGCAGCTCCATCCATTTCCTCTGCAATTGGGGAGACCTCCGAGAGCAACCTTGAGCTCAGGGCAGACTCCCTGATATGGATTCGTCCAAGAAAAGTGAGCAGGTGCCTCCGCTTTTGAAAATATGGCAAGTTGCCTGGTGAACAGACCCTCTTGGTGGCACCCGCCTGCGGACGTGCTTCTGGATGACCACGGCAGCGGCCGGCCGCCAGTGCCTTGGAGCATGTGAAGCCTTTCTGAGATCACCGCAACGCAGCAAGTATGTTCAATCACTCGCCAAACAATGCTTACAACAGTCAATGATGAACACAGGTATGCGCGAGCATGTGCCGATCCTATCAGCTGCATCACAAGCGCAGAGCCTCTGGCACTATGCAGTAAGTACCATATACGGTACTTACGATGGGCTGATGTGCCTGCCAGCAATGTACCATCCGTCAACAAGTATATATCACCAAGCACTTGATTGCCCTCTAGGCACCAGACTTGAAACTCTTCTCAAAGATAAACATATGCTGGCTTATCCAGAACAATCCTGGGAAAACACACAGCGTGGAACAGCAACTTGCTTGAAGCATGAGATCAGCAAACCGAGAGCGGCTGGTGCTCTGCACAATGGCGTTGATGTTCTGATCTGCCCATGGCACATTACATGCCTCTCCTCAGGACACATCAGCAATAGCAAACGTGATGGCTCTTCTTAGATCACAATGCGCATGAATGATCAACAGCCCAACACAACTGCGAGGGACAACAATCATGTAAAGCCCCCCTGGGTTATTCAAAACCCACGCTCGATATTCCAGCAGTTACCAGGGAGATCTGGCAGTGCTGCTCGTACAGGAATGCTATGTATACTGAGCGTCTGCAACCGCCGCAGTGAAGACCTGCGCGCCGCTGGAATGACCCCGTATTAGCTAGCAATAGTCATTACCCGCAGCCCATACTGTCGGATTTCATCTGCCTCAGACCAAGGCAACACCTGAGGAGTGTGCAGCAGGCTGTGCACCTGCCATCCTTACTCCATTGCTCCGCATCAAGCCCCACGCCAGCATGATCCACTCCAAGCGCTGCGCACACCGGCTGTTGCTGCGGCAGACCCTCCAGCGCCTAGTGAGTATCAGCGCTTGACGCAGCGTCCAGCGATGCCACCTCAGTTCAGGCAGCACCAGCTAGCCTCCTCTGCAGCGCCACCTCACCGCCACCTCAGCGTTGGGAGGTGCCAGCTCAGCTCCGGCAGCGCATGAGCGCGACGAGTGCAAGCGTAGCGCAGCCGAGCGTGCTGAGGCCCAGCGCGGCTGACGTGGCCTTCCATACCAACACCTGCTCCTCCGCATGCTCCCGCCTGCCCTTCTCTGCCCGCAGGTCCCCCTGCAGTCGGAACGATCACCCATAAGGAAGGGTACAGACCATGGCAAGCGCCCTGAGACAGACTGTGAAACCGTGCTGGCGTCATTTGTGCTGAATCCAGTTTTAATGCAACCGAGACAGCACTGGGAGCATGACGCACGAAGGTCCAAGCATGATGCACCAAATGGATGATTGGCCGGTACGGAGGCATGTGCAGTCAGGAAGGCCATGTCACCAGGACAACAAGCAAATACCGCAATTCAAGCTCATTTCCGATTGCAATTTCATACTGTATCAGCTGATGTTACATCAGTATGGACTAGCTGAGCTACCCGCAAGTTCTCGACAGTGTCCTCCAGTGCCTTGCGTGCGTCCTGGGCAGCATGCTCCCCGGTCTGCGGCTGCGCTGGCTTTGGCTTTTCCGGCTCGGCAGGCTTGCCGTTGGGCTTGGTCGCTTCCTTGTCAGCGGAGCCATCCTTGTCTGTAGAGCCGTCAGTCCTGGGAGAGGTCTGTGGGCTGGTGTCTTCCGATATGTTGTGCCCATTTGCTTCTTCTGCGTAAGACAGCAGACATTAACATGTCATTTAGCGCAAAACAGTGACGCTATCTGCACAGCTGTTTTTTTGTCTGTCCATACCTGGCACCCTAGGTCTCCGCTGCAGAGAACAAGTTGTGTCCTTCTGACGACCACATCTTGTCACATGACCTAGAATTCGTTATATAAACATCCATAATCTAATCTGTATTCGATATAACGACGTCAAATGCGATGAGTGCCCACGATGGCAAGCCTAGTATCTAGGACGTTTTGTCCCTTATGTATGTTGTCAGTGTTCCGGTCAGGAATGTAAAATTGCCACGGTTAGGTTTATTTCAAAAATGATTGCTCTCCACTCTATGAGCGACATCATCGTTCTTTCGCTCAGGATGAGCTTGTTCAATCCTTTTGCCGGTTGGACTGTGGGCAAGAGACCATCAATGTCACGGAGCATGCCTGTGGCGTTGATGTCTAGATTGGTTGTGACAGCTTCCTTGTACGAATGCGGTTCTCCGTTGGTTTGTGCCGCAGCAGTCTGTGGTCTGCTTGGCCCATTCGCTGCAGAACTGCCCTTCTTGGATCCCTTCTTTTTATGCGCCATGCCCCTCTATTAATTCGGCAATCGATGCAGAAAGGCAATGCTCTGTGCAAACAAGGTTTTCAAACAGGTTTAGCGCTGAGGGAAGCAGCGTTGAAGTGGAGGAAGTTGGAAGCTGGGCAGGCAACAACCACGGGCGGGGGGAACCCATTACAGCGGGGGGCCCCTGAGCAGAGTTCATTGCGAGGCCGCCGCCCTTGTTTTCTCAATTGCAAGTGCAGCAGGAGGCAGGACCAGCCCAGACAGCCAGTCGAGGGCCAGATCGTAATCATGGCGGTCGAGCTTGTCCAGGAGGTCAAGCTGTTTGGCAAGTGGTCCTTCGACGATGTGGAGGTGAGCACATTGCCATATTGAAGCAGCATGTTACAGATCGAGATGGAACAGCGTATTTGCGATAGGATATGCTAGTTTACACGAAATGCATATTGCCAGAAGTGTAGTAGGCGTCTGAAATGCTTGCAAGCCCAGTTGAGCAGGATAGCTCTTTTCGCTTTGGTGGGATTTGCAAACCGGATGCAGGCGTATATTGTTATGTCATTTTGGGCAATAAATCTCAGATAGCATGTCAACTTCGGATCCAGTGCATTTGCTACACGATTTCTGGGGTTGGCCAACCAAGATCGTGGAGAAAAGGATGCTGTAGGGGAGGCGTGCTCTTTGAGCTGCCTGTGCCTCTCCCATCATATTTGGTTAGCATCGCAGATATGATATAGTTCGGGGGACGTACTGATGTGCTGGATCTTCAATCAACGATGTTTGTGCGAGTTGTTCAGCACATCGTTGCTGCCTGCAGGTCAGCGACATGGCACTGGAAGATTACATCGCAGTCAAGCCCAAGACTGCGCGGTATGTGCCGCACACAGCCGGGCGGTACCAGAAGAAGCGCTTCAGAAAGGCGCAGTGCCCCATTGTAGAGCGGTGCGCAGCAGCCTTCCCCTGACAGATCGCATATGGTGCCCAGCAGGGGAAAACAGATGTAGTACTGTGGCTGCAGCATGCACCAGCCTGCTGACAGGACGGATCAAGCAACTGGGCCTCTAATTCTGCAGGATGATGCAAACCCGATACACTGAGGATTCTGGGGATATCAGAGTTGCTTCAGATCAGCCAGATGCATCCCTGATATGTGTACCCATGGCGGACACTTGCTTCATTGAGGAAATATTAGATCGGCATTAGAACAGTCAGACCATCCCTGATAAGTGAAAACACCGCAACATGCGCAACACCGCAACACGCTACACGATACTCCCTACACGCAACACGATATTGACTATGCTGACTGTGACGTGGTGCGACTGCAGGATCACCGACTCGCTGATGATGCACGGGCGCAACAACGGCAAGAAGCTGATGGCGGTGCGCATCATCAAGCACGCGTTTGAGATCGTCCACCTGCTCACCGACCAGAACCCCATCCAGGTCCTCGTCGATGCGGTCATCAACAGGCGTGCCCCTTTTCTCTCTTGCGCTGGATGTCTTCTGTTTGTCTCGCCTGCGTGCTTACTTCCTGGTAACTTTTATATATGGCAGCCTCATGCATCATGCCAGGCGGGTGGATTGCCATTGCATGCGGGCCATGATCACTTGTCCTTGCCGTCTGTGGGTGTACTTATGGCTTCCTTGCCACGTGTGTGGGACTATTAATCAGCAGCAGCCTTGCACCCCCAAGCCAGTTGCAGCAGGGCTTGACGAATTGACAGAGGACAGTTGCCCAGAACCGCATGCGATCTGACAATTCATGCATGGCCCATGAATACACTTTCACCCTCACGGAACCCTCTTTCAAATACCCGTCCTCTGACAGTCAAGGTTGTGTGGCTGCAGCGGCCCGCGTGAGGACGCAACCCGGATCGGCAGCGCGGGAGTGATCAGGCGGCAGGCGGTGGATATCTCCCCCCTGCGCCGCGTGAACCAGGCCATCTACCTGCTGACTACCGGCGCGCGCGAGAGCGCATTCCGCAACATCAAGACCATCTCCGAGTGCCTCGCCGACGAGCTCATCAACGCCGCCAAGGGCTCCTCCAACTCGTGCGCACCTCTTTTCCAACTCCCTCAACCCTCAAAGGATGCCCAAGGCGTCTTGGAATTTTGCTGTCTTGGAATTGCCTCTCATGTTTTACTTGCACAATCTCTCTCCTATTTCACCAGCCTGTGCGTGTTACAGCTCCTGCTCTGTGCCCTCCATGCCACTCTGGTGTCAGGAGGACCTCCGTGTGACCCTTGCATCGTTGGTACACCTCCGGAGCAGAACATGCTGCACTTCTAAAGTGCTGCTGCTAAAGAGCATGCAAGGATGATTTGGATGTTTCTGAAAGGAAGCAGCAGGGAAGTCATTTCATTGGTTCCAGAACTTCACTGTGTGCTTTCTTAAACTTTTGGGTTTGAGATCTACCTGAGCTGTTTCTGCGCTGCAGGTATGCCATCAAGAAGAAGGATGAGCTGGAGCGTGTGGCCAAGGCCAACCGCTGAGCAAAATGCACAGTGCTCATGCTGGCGTTTGCTGTACTAGAGTTGTGTGTGCTTTTTCTGCTGTGCACAGACCAGTGTTTGGCTGTGCTTGCTGCATGTTTCAATCACTCTCAAATAATTGCAGCAGAATTGAAGTGCATTTGATCATGTAGGTGTGAGACACCGTTCACTGTAATTCTGTGATATTTTCAGGGTGGTTTTATTATTGCATATGCAGATGCATGCGCACACGGCTCTTTACACCTAGAAAGCTTTGGGCCTCAACAGCACCAGCACATGGTACTCAGGAACTCTCTTCAGCTAATTGACAATGATTGCGTTTATAGATTTCGAGAACATCACGAATCAGTAAGATTATTCGCGTTTGCGTGGGAGTTGCGATCAAGTTCACTGCTCTTACAAGTTGTGTATACAACAAAAACTTATGCTCTCAAAAATGCAGCATTGCTCGTCAGCCCTCTATATTGCTGACACCATTTGGCAAAGCCTCAGCTATCAATGACCTCGCCAGTCTTCACCAGATACCTGACCTTCTTGCCGTCCTCCAAAATCCTGCATAGACAACCGGGACTCAGATCATTGGTAATAGGACAGCTAAAAATCTACATGCTGTGCAATCCCAGGCTCACGAGCGATCTTCATATGTGTAGTTTCCTGCACAACGCTGCGGCGCAGCCTGTATTTAGGCTTCCGGCGCAGCATAGAGGAGGCATTTGCTCATAAAGGAAACATTTCTCCGACCCCTTTAACAACTGAAGCAATGAAAGAAGCTTACTTGTGTCCCACGCGACTCCTGATCTGCTTCTCCTTGGAGTAGAGCATGACATTGGAGTGGTGGATGGGCGACTCTGTCTGCACAATCTGCCCCTTCTCATCCGCACCAGGCTTTGGCTGCACGGTTTTTTTCTGCAGGCAACACATAGAAGGTCACACATCCACAGATATGCAAAGCCAAGTCTAGTCCTCACATTGTTTGCAATAAAGTAATCTTGCGCAGTCTCAAGTCCCCAAACACATGTAGAGACAGGTGAGTTCAACTGCAGCTGGCTAGCTTCAGACATGTCTGTTTCTCTGCCATGTGCCAAAGTCCATGGCAGCTGCGTACCTTTACATTGGCACCCTCAACCACAATCTTCCCCTGCTTGGTCAAAACCTGCATGGCACCAAGATAGTCCCATCAGAATCAGACACAAGCACATCACCCACTGCCCCTGAAACTCTTCTGCAGCAGCCTCCCACAACCATGTTCTTGGCCATCGTGAGACTGAACAATGATGCCGACCCTCTCGTCATGATGATGACGTCGCTCGATAGCACGTCATCATCAGAATCATTTCCATTGCATCCACGGCGAGACAGAGGGATTGCACCTTTGTGACCTCTCCAATCGTCCCTTTGTCCCTGCCTGCAATGACCTGCACGGTGTCCCCCTTCTTCACATGCATGGGGATCCGCACAGGCTTCCCATTCTTGTTCAAGTCATAGTGCTCCCACTTCTTTCCAGGCCCCTGCATGAGACATATCCACATTAGCCCAGATTTGTACCAGAATTCCCTGATATTGACATGATCTGCAGAGTTGAACAAAGAACATCAGCCCTCTTGAAACACAGAGCAAGCAGGGTTGCATGGTAGGTGTAGGCAAGGAACTCACGAAGAGGCTTGCTGACGTTGGTAATCTACAGAGCGGCTGCACCTGTGCACAGCATTTAAGATGTGAAACTCATCAAGATACCATGCGCAATGGTGCTTGGAGAAAGATCCAACCGAACAGGCCTCCTTGTTTCCAGTGAGGAGTGCAGCGTCTATTCAGCAGCCTAACATGTCATACTGCAACCAGACCTCCACAAGAAAGCTTGGTTTCTGGAAGAAAGTCGATATTACTCATCAACATGGCCTCCAAACTAAAAACTCACCCTAGATGTCTGTGTGTGAGGGCATAGCCGGGTTCCTGCAAGGCTGCCTCGCGAGCCCAAAGTCTGCGTTCCCATGAAAGACGCCATGGTGTTTTCTGCTCGTCCAGAAAGCTGATCTAGGGCCTCTGCTTCTCCCTGCTTCGCTTCAAAGAAGACAGCGGCTGAGATAAGCCCACAAGAGGTTCACGGATTCCGGTGGCGTTCCATTCCCGCTTACTAACGCCAGGACGGCTCTCCATGCAGATCCAGGAGAAGCATTAGAGAAGGGCACTGATACATCTGAGAAATAGTCGTGAATATGTGTTTGTCGCAAGTACCGTAAAAGAGTGCAATCAAGTTGATGTTGTGAGATTAGAAAGCATAGGTTATGATCGATCACTCACCTCTTTGATCTATCTACTCGAGCAAAATCTTTTGCAGTTTGTCTTTGAATTACGGGAGAAGAATCAAAGAGTACATACACCATGGCAGAGAACGGCACAGCCGGCGTGGAACCCAAAGGGTTGCACATGAGCTTGGATGCCTTAATAAAGGAGAAGGGACCGGAAAAGAAAGGGAACCAAGGAAGGCATCGCAATGACGGATTTCAGAATGGTGCGCATCGAGGCAGGGGAGGCAGGGGAAGAGGGCCCTCCGATCAGGGAGGCAGAGGGCGTGGACGATTCCATGGCGTGCATCAACAGAACTGGCAGGTATGAGACTCGTCGATGCAGCTGCAGTTTTACACCGTTCCTTGGAACCAGCAGCTGACAGCATGACGAGCACTGGAGCTGATACCATTGCACAATTAGTATTGGGCTAGTGGGAACCAGAAGATCTCTGTTTGCGCAGGGACCACAGCCTGGAACACTCCCTTTTCCTCCCAATGCACAGCGCCTCGTGCGAGTGGACACCGGAGCAGAGATGGGCAACCCTGGGTCGGGGCCAGTGCTTCTACTCCCACCTGAATTCCTGGTGCGCCTACAACAGATTTTGAGTTCTGCTCTATTCTTTCCCACGTCCGCTTTGCAACACTTCAGACACCCCTTGGAAGGTTGCAAGCTAGCACGGTCCGTAGTGCCCAGTGACGTGACACCCCACACATGTGAATTCACCTCAGTTCCCAAGCATGTCAGCAAAGCCAAATGGGGGCTTTGGATTGTGTGCAGGCACAGGGAGGAGGCGCGGCGTTTGGGCAGCCAATGGGTTTTGGGCCAGGGCCCTCATTTGGGCAGGGCATGTTCCCAGGGCCGGCCAGGCGCGGACCCATGGGGCAACCCGCGGCGCCAGAGAGGCCGAAAGAGGTATATTTACAGCTCACTTAACGTGTCGAGGACTGCATTGCTCTCCATATTTATTTTAGGTAGATGGAAGCAGCTTTGCTGCAGTGGTCCATCCGCAGATCAGCCATTTGGTGCCATTGTAACCTCACATTTGCTGAGGGAAGCTCTTGCCCTGTACGGTGACCTGTGCCATGTGCAAGAAGACGTACTGCACAACATGAGCGCGTATGGCTGCTCAGCTTTATACTGCAGCGCAAAGTGGCCTTCGTTCCCTTAGATAGCTGAGAAGGGGTGAATGATATGCGCGCAGACGTGCTTCACGCGCGTGGAGTCGGGCGAGGTGGTGGTGAAGCTCAAGGGGGTGGAGATTGTGCGCGTGTCGGCCGCTGGTGACATCACCCTCGACACAGGCGGCAGCAAACGGGTGCGGTCTTCTACTGTGCGGTCTCTTGTGTTTGACTGTGTTTATTCTCTGATGCATCTTAGCTGCTGTGTACGGAATGGGTACAATTCGCTGGCCTGCACCAAGACTTACGAGACACTCATCCTTCCTCCATGGGAAAGAATAGAAAGAGCATCTTGAGCTCTCAGTTGTATGCGTGTTAGAAGCGATCAGTGAAAAATTTGTGTTCAAATCCAAGTTTGAATTTGTGTTTGAATTCAAGAGTGCGCGCGTGCAGCCGGAGGTGTTCAGGGCGCTGCAGGGGGCGCTGGGTGCGCTGGGCGTGCGGCTGACCGACCTGGGGAATGACCAGTGGAGCCTCTCAGACGGCCGCTCCCTTACACGTTTCCAAGACGGCGTTGTGCGTTTGCTCCCCTTCTGCAGTGTTAGTTTTACTTCCGATCATTGGCTTCTTTTGTTGTGCACCCCAGTAGACGATGTCAATACCAGTGAGGGGGCATGATTAAGCATCTCTTCTTGTGCTTTGTATTCAATGCGGCGGGTCAGCATCATTGGACACTTTTGTTTGCAGCCGTAGGTGAGGTGCTTATGCCGGTTAGAGAACATGTAAGAGGTGTGGGTGAGAGACTTAGTGGCTGGTGGTGCGCAGGTGCTGCCGGGCAAGGGAGCTGTGTCGGCGGCGCGCGCCAAGCTGCTGCAGGCGCACTACAAGACGCCCGGTGCTGCCTCCGCCGCTGCAGCCGCCACCGCAGCATCCAACGCCGCAGGTGAGACCATTTGCACCAGGAATCGCTCTTGCGCAGACGTAAATGTTATAACTCAGCACATGCACACCACAAACCTCACACTTGTGCATGGTCAGGCAGCAGATGCAGGTGCTGGACATCTTGTGCTATCTTGCCGGCTTTGCTATGCGCGTGCAGTGTGTTCCAAGGGAGGCATGCTGAAGTGTACTCCTTGCTTGTGTGCAGCGGCGGCAGCAGGCTTGATACCATCAGGACCGCCCGGCGTGCCGCCAGGTGCTCTCCCCTCCCAATGCCATCTTGCGCACTCCCTAGGATGAGAGCGCAAAAACTCCTCCCTACTCGCAGACTGAAGAGGTTGTTTGCATACATGCGCTGTGTCAATGTGTGATGAACCGCTGATGTCAGGCATCGACCTTTCCTTTCTTCTAGCTGCTTCTAAGACATGCATTGTGTTGCGTGGCACAGGGTTCAACAGCGCACCAAATAGATACGGCATGGGAACTTCAGAATACCAGGGGGATTGGCAGCAGGGTGATTACGCCAATGGCGGCCGGCCCGGCTCCGGCAAAACGCCGCCAAATGTGCGACGGCTACAGGCGCAGGGGCGATACAATCCTTACTGAATCAGTAATTCATCCCTGCCAGGGTGGCGACGTGAATATCTTTTCAGGGGCCATTTGCAGTAAAAAAGCAGAAAGCCCAAATTTCGTGTTCATGTGTGTGCCACAATGAACCATAGACTGGAATATCGCTCGATGGTGGTGTTGCTTATGATCTGCCATGAGAAGGGTCTGGCAGAGCAGGTTTAATGTCTTCTCACTAATCCAGACAGGATGTGTATTAACATGGCGCCACGTGCCGAAGGATCTGGGAGACAATTGTGGTCTACTGTGTCGACGGGAGGGTGAGGAGTATTAGCTAAAATTTGTTAGCTTATCAGAAATATTGGGTCCTTCAACGATTGGTGGAATGGCATGCCATTGTAAAATCGAAGAGTACTACAATAGTATCGTGATAAAAGTCACAACTGTCACACTGCAGTGCACTAGTGTTGCCTGAGCAGCATCATGGCTGGCTATCAAAGTCTTATCTAATCTGCTTGTGTAAGCTTCAAAGAAATGTGTGCTTTATGCAATGTGTGCAATGTGCCACACCATCCTGGAGAGCTCTGTTCTTGGCTTCCGATTGGTCATGACTCTTTTTAGCAAGCAAACTACACAACTGAATCGCATGCATCCGTTGATGCTGGAGTCTTCCAGCAAGGCTCTTTAAATCTAACGCTGCCTGCAGCCGCCCACTGAATCCTGGACTCGCTTCCAACTTCTGGCTGTGGACATCTTCATCCCTCATCAGTAATTCAAAGCACTGCTCACAGAGATACTGCCGCCGGCTGCGGTGCCTGTGACCTGCGGCAGTTTGCGTGCATTGTCTGGCTGCCCCATGACAACCTTCTCCCTTACCACTGTCACCGTGATGGTGGTAAGGTGACCTGCATGCCATACACCCACTCCTTCAGTATATTAGGAAACAGTACTCAAGAGCTATTTGGTACTGCGTCACCAGATTGCATGCATTAAGCCAGAACACTACTAGGATTGCCAGATTATTGACGGAGTGCAGGGACATGAGAAGTTTGCCACATGAAGATGGGCAGTGACAGACTGCCTGTAAGACCAATGAGCCTTAGGTGGCTCCCAACAGGCTCTTAAATATAAATATAATAAGTATGATCATCACAGGGGAGAGACGCACCTGTACCACCACAGGTGCCATAGTCTGGAACCAGTCTGTTGGCGGGGCTTGGCCCGTGTGCCGGCGCGGGTGCTGCAGCGGCATGGCGGACGGCTTCATCACGCCCTTGGCCACCGGTTCCTCCTGCAGTGCATGATGAACTATGTTGAATCCTCGTACTGACCCACTTTGTTCTTCTCCGGCCACTGTACCTCTAACAAAATAATGAAGCTGCAGAGGAGCAAAGTCTTTGCATCAGAATGCTAAGGGTGGAACAGCTCTACAAATCCCGTACCGCTACTGCATGCATGCCATGAGAGCTGGTATAGGAGCACACGCACCGGAAGCAATCACCATAGCTGAGGTACATGGAGCAGCGCGCCCAATGCATTCACCTCTCTCCGTCGAAGAGCCTCCGGGTCATTTTGTTCGCCGGGGATGAAGTGTGCATTGTCAGGAGACATACCATCTTCGTGCCCCAGGTAGCGCCAGAGCAACGACCTCACAATGTCCCTGTTTAGACCTTGGAGAGCTGCTCTTGTGGGTGGGAAAATCTCGATGTCTGCTGCTTGCAAAGGCCCAAAGGGTGTCAGTCTTCTCATGAGCTGGTCTTGCGGCTCGTTGGCGTACCGATTGTTCAGGCAAATCCTGCAGACCCAACCCGCTTCAGGATTGATTGCCTCTTCTCCAGCTGTAAAAAGGTGTGCATGTGAACAGGTTCTTAGAAGGGGGTCAAGTTTTGAAGACTGTACGTTCGGTCGTCGATGTCGGCGGTGATCTCGGTGAGAACATTTATGCCAGCGGTTGCATTATTCAGTGCTTGCGGTACGCTTCCCTGCTGCTGCTGAATCGCCAAAAGAACTCTCCTCGCTGGTCAGCACAACCACATAGTCAGAGCCCGTGGACTCCAAATAATGCGTAAGAGCGTTCGATGCGAACAAATATATGCATTTGCAATTATGCTGATTGCTTGTAAGGCACATGTCTCACCTTGATGATACTCCAAGAAGGTAACCCAAGATATCATTCTGTGCGGTGCAATAAGGCTGTGGTCCGCTGCACGAAATGGCAGCACATCAGTACCATCTGTGGTGAACAGCAGGCCCAACAAGCCGCTATGTTGTTCTTCAACAGGCCCATGAGTATGCATAGAGCAGGATACACATCATCGGCAAACAACAAATGGCGCTTACGAGGTACAAACTTCCATCTAGGAAAACTTCAGGTGCGGGAAGTCACCGCACTGAAAGATGTTCAGCAGGCGCCTGACATATCTGACCACCATCAAGTAGTGTTCGTCGTTCACAGACGGTTGAAGTCCCGGTTGCGGTGGATCGGCCACATCTGGGACCGCTTGGGGTTGGGGCGGAGGTTGTTGACCTAGAGCCTGCATAACCGCATCCATCGCTTGCGCTGCTGTGCCTGTATGTTGAAAGCGTTGCACTCTGAGAGGCTTGCGAAAGGAAGATCATTGGAGAACCTGGTGCAGATTGTCGAAGCCGCCACGTGGAAGTGGTGTACATCATGCAGGAAACGTTGGGCCTTTCTCGCTGCGAGTCTCGGACTAGCCACCTGCAGGACGAGGACGTGCACGTGGACGTGAAGCTTCTAGGGGTATTTAAAGAACAACTGTCCTTTACATAGCTTAAATCACCGTTAAAATTAATTAAAAGCATTCCTGCAGCTTTCTCAGCTGAGGAGGTACGCAGGTATTCGGAATACCTTGAAGGTTGACCATCGCCGTGCAGAGTCAAATGATTGGTATCTTATCAGCTTAGGGTATATAAATTGATCCCAATAATATGACAGCTGTATATCACTCCAGTGGTTCATGCAAAAAGCATCATTAGTGCTTTCAAACTCCTTAGACCATTGGAGAATTCTTCGAAGGTCCTAGAGAAATCATGCCGCCATCAACTTTGCCCGGCGATGGGATCCCACCAAGAGTCTCACTGCCTGCAGCTGCCTAAGTTAGGTGCAGCTGCTTGCTCCTCCCACCTCAAATAATGCAGCTGTACTAGTATGCTATCCTGCCTAGCGGGTCAAATGAGTCCATTGCACCCCAAGCACATGATGGTCCCACACAGCCGTTGCCAGCAGCAGCGTACGCTTTTCAATGGCAGTGTGCGCCCATTTGTCTGGCTGCCACATCACAAGCTACAAAGGGACATCTCCATCCCTTATCGGTAATTCAAAACACTGCTCACAGAGATATTGCCGCCGGCTGCGGTTTCTGCGACCTGCGGCAGTTTGCGCGCATTGTCTGGCTGCCCCATCACAACCTTCTCCTTTACCACCATCACCTGCATGCCACACACTCACTCCTTCAGTATATCTATCAGACCACCCTCAGTCCCTCTCCCCTTCCTATTGAGCAGGAAGTCCACGGGAATCAGACCAGATGGCACATGCATATGGCCAGATCTGACACATAGTAACACATTGACGGATGAGTGGCAGGAAACAAGGAGAGCAAAGAGGATACACCACTAGCGCAACAGCAAGGTACTTTGCGCCATGTAGCTGCCATACGATGACAAGCAATGAGTCAGCGCTGACCTTGCCGGGGGCTGCACCGGGGATTTTCTTCAGGTTGGCAACCCTTGTCTTGACGACCTGTACTTTTCCTTCCTCCCGCGCCTTGGAATAGAAGGCCGCCAGGTCAGCTGCAAAGCTGATGTCCTCATCCGTGGCGGAGCTGCGAATACGCCGCACAGCCCAAATCTGAGGTTGCTCCACATCTTTGCATCTTTGCAAGGTCCTTCTCATGGAGTCTTTTCATTGCTGAGCACGTGTAGTTGAGCAATGGAGGCAATACTGTGACATCTGACAGCAGTCTTCAGAATTAAAGGCACCACGTAGATTGCCTCTTGCTGTTTTGTGCTCTTTGAATTGTCTTGTAGCATTGCAGGAGCAGTTTGCCACCGACATGGTCCATGTTGGTGGCAAATACCTCAGTAAGAGCCAAACACCGTGAAATGGACAAATCAGCAGGAAGAAAATGGCATGCAGTGCGCACCTGCCGGCAGGCACTCGCAGGACGGTGTGCGAGCCGGGGAAGCCGCGCGCATGGAACCAAAGGTCTGATTTGGCCGCCACCTCGTGGCTTAGCCGATCGTTCTCCTTGTTGTTGCGCCCCACCAGCACCTGGCGCACCCAGTCAACAACTCAGCCTCCAACAGCTGGGCACAGCAGGACGCGCTATTGCCTTGTCATCACACAAGCCCCTTGATTGAAGAGCTGTATAAGAAAAGAGATTGCATTAAAGGGTGTGATGTCGGCAGGTATAAAGTAGACGGGCAGCAACCGCACCGGAAGGGCAAGGACGCCGCTGTCCCGGATCGGCACGTGCATTTCAGTTCAGGACCAAGAGGACCCTCTGTCAGCGAGATGTGCTTCCTCAGAGTGTTGAGCAAAGGTAAGACTGTCAATAAGGCTAAGACTGCCGTCAGTTGTGACAGCGGCGCACCTGCAGTCCCCCCGGAGTGGTGAAGCGCCGGAACTCTCTCCGCTCCTGCGCATCTCTCAGCCGCCGCGCCGCCTTGGCCGCCCGTGCGGCGCTGCGAGCCGCCAACGCCGCGTCGGCCGACGGCTTCATCACACCCATGGCCACCAGCTCCTCCTGCACCGCATCAGGACCCTTGAGTGCAGCACACAACCGCAATATTTGTACCGGGTCGTCTGTGAGTGAAGAGACACCGATCCACCACATGCAAAGTATGTAATTTTTTATTGTAAGGAATGACGGATTCGTTATTCTGCAGCGTGTTGCAAGATTGGCATCCATGAGCACTTGATCATGTCCTGATGATTGCCCGGTCGCCGCACAAATATTCCACTTCGCCAGATGATTATAAGGGGTCTGGCGTCGTATGCGTCAGGGACGAGTCACCTGGATGCCTTTGAGGACGTCCAGAGCTCCGGCCTCATGAGGGTCCACCATGTCCAGCTGCGCGTCGATATCATGCAGGTGCTCCAGCTGCGCATTCGCCTCCTGCTCGCAAGCATCACACATCAAATCAGCACCAGCAAATACCCCGAATTTGTCCAAAACCAGACATGCAGATCGGCGTGTCCTGTCATTAGATGATATGTCAAAAGCTGTGAGGGTGCTTCACAGATGTGTGTTGCCGGCGCCGTTTTGTCATGCCCTGCGCATGTTCCTGAGGGCAAAATAACAAGATTTCCGACAGACTCAGTGACCTGGTGATTTCAGGAGGGTTTAGGTACTAGTGATGCACGACATCCTCCGTCAGAACACCATGATTGGTCAAAGGAAAGGGTGGCCCACCTCGAGGATGGGAGCGATGGCTTGGCCGGTGCGCCCCTGCTTGCGCGCAACCCGGTACAGAGCCGCCGCGGTCTCCGCCGGGGGGACCGCCCGATCCAACGCTATCGTCACCCTCTCACCAGTCTCCCAGTCATCCACCTGCCAAGGTATTTGAGACGCTTGAGAGCTTGGTCGGAAATTGTGACACATCAAGGCATCATCCCAAGTTATCATTATGCCCTTCAAGCTATCATCATGAAGAAAAGGCAGCTCTTCCAGGCAGCAGCCAGTATCTCCCTCAAGTGGCACTGCCCTTGCACAAATAGCACATGCTGCTGTACTTCTATCCCTTGATCAAAGCCCTGCTGCTTGGGTGCACGTAATGGTACTTCTGCCCACGGCCTGTCTCTCAAGAGGTTGGGTGCCTCCACAACAAAGCCAGGCCGGTCCTTCCATTCCTGCCTTTCATAACAGGCGCCTTCATGGTCAGCAGGTCAAGCACACCTGGCTGTGCAGTCATTATTACATAATCCTAGTTTTGATTCCACGACCCCTGAAAACCCTGAGGGGCCCCCCACCTCCACGCTGGTGTCCCCTTGGCGGCAGAGGTGCAGGTTGGCGGTGAGCAGGTCGGCCGTTCGGCGCGTTGCCTCCGCGTCGGCCTCCGCCGCCTGCTGCCGCTGCAGGTTGGCCAGCTTGGCGCTGAGCCGCTTTATGCCGGATAGGACCGCGCGTGACAGCCGCCCCGACCGCTGCTCAAACGAGCTCTGGTCCTGCAAGAGATTGCACCACTTGAAGGTATTCAATCACTGCCGGGCTCAGTGCACCGCTGCCGCCGGGCACTGACAGCCGCACCGACTGCTGCTCAAACAACCTCTGGTCATGCAAGAAAGTCAAGGTATCTCAGTCGGTGCCAGGCTCAGTGCATCGCAGCCGTGGGGCATTGAGAGCTGCCTCACAGCTGCTCATAAGAGCTCTAATCCAACGGCGAGGAAACACTGATGAGGCCGGCAGGTGCTGCCAAGAGGGAAATGGGAAGCAGCAGTTTGTGGTCGTGGTACAGAAGGTCAGGCATCAGAACAAGTCACATCCAAAGACCAAGGGACACTTAGACAAGCCCTGCTTCTTGAAAAACCTGCGCTTGAATGGTGATTCTGGCAGGTCCATAGGGAGCAGTGCCCATACGTGCATTTTAGGGAGAGACTGCCACAACGTGCGACAACGACACAGTTGCCGGGTGTTATCCAAGAGGGTCGTATCGACCAAGCACCTGGCTGCTGCGCAGGGCGCCATTCACAAGCGCGTGCACGCTGTCAAGCGACTGCGATCCAGCGCCCAGCACAGAGATGCGGCCTGATGTCGGGTCCCTGGCAGGCTGGAACCGGCCGAGCGCAAGTGTCTTGAGCCACGCGCACCACTGCTTAAACAGCGCCTCCCATTCAGCGTCCTCCAATTCTCGCGGCAGAAGCTCCCAGTCCACGTCCGCTGCTTCACACAGCTCTGCCGCTAGGCCGGGGCCTATGCCCTGCCGCATGCAAACTAGGCCGTTCACATGCAATATCTTGCATCAAATCCAAATCACAGGCACACATGAGCACGAGCATGAGGGAGTGTTCAGAACTGCAGGAAGGTCTGAGGCATTTGAGTTTGCTTGTGTGAGCAGTATGTTGCAATGTTAACCACAACACATTCGTCCTGCTCTCTGACAGGTGGAAAACAATATGGACTTGAAAATGCTGAGGGTAGCACAAGGGGCACAAGTTCCATGTGCGTGCAGCCAAAGCAAGAGTTTCCCACCTGGTAGGCGCGCACAAGGGCCTGCGCAATCGTGGCGCCATGTGCGCCCTTTCTGGGCGCCGGCGAATCCTCGAGCAGGGTGGCGGCTCCGGTGATGTTGGCGCGCCAGGAGTTCAGCGCCTCTGACACGCTCGGCTGCAGCCCCTGGGTGGTAGGAGGCAGCGTGTAATGGCCCAGCACCTGAACAGGCAACCAGTGATTACATTGTTAACCACATTCTCTTTTCGCGTTCTGAGACTCTGGGCCTCACACGGGGTTCATGAGTTCCATCTTTCTTTCTTAAGCTGCGCCCTGGACAATTTAACCACAGAGCTGCAAGTGAGGCAGTACCACACGCTCTGCTCGACAATCCGCACCCACACTCTGACCTGAGGGCAACCTGGTGTGGATATACTAATGTGCGGATATAGTAATTGTCATTTTTTTCCAAGCTCTTCCTACAAGGTAGAGGCAAGGTGCGTGTACAGACAAGCTGCATGTAAGGGCTGCAAAACTAAGATATCACGTCATGAGAACACATGTCTCACCTGCAGCTGCCGTTCTGATGACTGCAGCGCGCCAACCTGGTGCCCAGCCGCCAGGATCGGCAGGCCTAAGAACTTCTCGGCACGGTCCGCCTTTGTATCTGTCAACACCACGTTGCTGTACCTGGATTAAAGGAAAAAGATATTTCAGCACACAGATATCCTTGCCAGAATTTTCATATTAGCGATTGAAAGCACAGAAGTCTGTAAGCTCAAAAGGTCTCTACTTGCAAATGGCAGACCGGAAACCAAAAGCAGTACTTTTGGCTCTGCAATGCCCCTACAAGGCCTTCCGACATGCATTCAGCTGCAAGCAGGTGGCTGCATGTGCGTGCACCTGCCCTGCACCTCCGCGTAAACGTGGCGAGTCGCGTCCTCAAAGATGCGCGGCCCAAAGGTCAGCTTCACTACGCGCTCCCATGCGCGAGGGATCTCCGCATCCAGCAGAATCAACCCCTTCAGCTCAGCTGCATGACAGCCACATAGCACATGTGAGGCAGCGACTGGTGATCAGCAAGCACTGTGGTCCAGATCAGACAATAGCAGCAGCAAAATGTACGCAATCATGCAAGCACTGTAGTGAAAGTCTCCACGGATACCGCTCATCTCTGTGAATACCATATTTGACAGAGTGGCCTCCGTGGCAGCTATTCAGTGCATGGCTTTTTCAAGGTAGGAATCGAACAGGAAAGGAGAGGGGCACCATATGGGAATCTAGCCTGACAAAGGAGGCATGGCGGACTGCTCACCGGCCATCTGTGCGCCGAAAGAGAACGCCTCTGCAGCCGCCCCGCGCTCGGGAGCCGGCCCCATTGTGATGCGCGCGGCTCCCTGGGGGTCCCAGCACAGCCACAGCCAGCCCTGGGCCATGCCCCCATCCATCACCCCAGACAGCTCACCTGGCAGGCACCACAATACAACTCATGGTCCGCCAGTGAGCCCAGCGGGTGACGAGGAGATAGCTCCAAGCACTTTCCTGGGGCTCTTCATGCATTTTGAAAGAGACCACATCTGCCTGATGTCGTAACAGAAGCTGAAGAGCCATGCAGGGAAGGTCTGGTCTTTGAGACTCCCACTGACTGATCCAGGGCACAGAGGAGCAAATCAACGGGGTGTTTCTGAAGGCATAACAACGAGGAGCAAACTTGCGTTCAATGCACAGGTCAATGCACCTCTGTCGCTGCCGGGAGGTGATCTCATCCAGGGCCAGGGCAGCCTGTCATGCTGCGTATCCGTGAAAGGGTCTATGAAGGGGTCTCCAGGTGTATCAAGTGGCTCATCAGTGCGATCATCCCCCTCTGACTCAGGTGAAGCTGACAGGCTGACCGCCGCCGAAGTTCTCAGCCGCAGACACACCGTGTGCTCATCCGCCTGAACCACCTGAGCAAACACACCAGCTTGAAGACATTGGTGGCTGCCTGAATATCTGAGAGCCCATGCATCATGGTCATATCTGCACTATTGCCTTGTGAGCATGGCCTTGGCAAGGCATGCGCTGCCGTTGCAGCGTTATGCACAGCAATACGCATGTGCATGGTGTCCATGGCATTCCTGTATGTCTCCCTGCCGACATGTGTGATTCTTTGGAACCCGTTGCAAGGCCATCAAGAACGATACTTTCATGCTGACGCATTCTCTTGAGCTTGAAGAAGGATTCAAAAGATCACCTGGTCCACCTTGGCCGGCAGCCAGCGCTGGCGCAGCTCCCAAGTGCAGGCAGCCAAGAGGGTAAAGTCACAGGTGACCGCCACTTTAGGCCGGGACGTGCTTGCAGTACTGCTGCTGCTCGCCCTGTCAGCTGCTGTGCTGTTCTCTGCAGGGAAATCGTGCGCAGAGGCGCCTGAGCCGTTCCCTGCTAGCAAGCCATGAAATTGCTCAGGATTGCTTGGGAACCTGCCTCACATGGAGCACGCATGGCAGGACAGCTCACCAGCAGCCATGCACGGAAGGAAGCTAGCACTGCTGATGAGCTCAGGTCAAGCGGTATCAAGAGGCTTTGTGCCGCCAAAGGCGAGATATCCACACAGGCACCTCGGATTAAATCTGGACTTGCTCGCTTGCGTGGCCATGCAAAATGGTTCCAGCATGTGAGCAATCTTGAATGGTATTGTACCTGAAGAGATGTCATCCCTGTTGTCGAGGTTAGACTCTTCTTCCGTGCTGTCAGATGCGGAAATATGGGCTGGCTGTGCACTGGCACAAAGGCTGCTGCTGGCAAAGCTCCTTTGGAAGCAGCTGTGGGTGGAGGACGGGGCCCACCGCAACTCTGTTGTTCGCAGCGCCTGGATAGGATCAAACTCCTCAGTATCGAGACACAGATAGAGGCGAAGCATACGGCAGTATGCACAAAGAAAACAAAAAAGGTACCTGTGTACACGTTCTGACGCTCCTGCGTCCTCCTGAAACCTCTTGAACTTTTCTTGGTAGAATTACAAAGGATTTCACGTTCCCTTGCGCGTCTTTGCGTGCTCCTCGAGACCTCAAGAGGGCGCACAGCCGCAGCGATCTCCTATAACACATTACATTGCCAGGTGTCTGTAAGTCGAGCATGCCGGGATGTCAGCAAGCTGATCTACAATCTTGCAACTCCTCATCATTGCTTTACTTGGGAAGGAGAGTTAGACTTCTGCAAAAGAGAAACTGAAGTCTCGGGAAGTTGTCTGCAAGCCCCGCCTTTTTTCCGACATTGAAGATACGCACTGAGAAGACTAACGGTCTGCAGCTGTGGAAGTTTCTCTTCTGAATGAAAGTCCACTTACATATACACAGAATGATATAAAAGTAAGCGTCGATGGTGCTGGTCGTCGATATGCGTGATCAAACCAGCGGCTCCTAGCTCGGGCTGCCATGCCGGGGCCCGCGGAGGCATCGCCGGACGGCGGCCTCAGCGGCCCGTATGCATTCCTGAGGGACTATACATGCTCCTCACTTAACGTCAAGCATGAAACCTTTCAGCGTCTCCTCAGCTCTGATGTCAGGTGGGTCAGCGGGGAGCTTCCAGCTGGTCTTCCTCACGTACGGACGGGAACCCTAGCTTTTAAGGCTTCAATCTTATAACGATCTTGATCAAAGCATCAATCTGAGTCGAAAGATCTAGTATTGTTCATCATTCGTGTGTTGTGCCGTGCGCACGGCTGAATCGAACGTCCCCTGATGCAATACAGGGTGTAACGTTCAGCTGCTTTTTGTTGTGTGTGGGTGTGTGTGTGTGTAGGCAGACTAGGCTCTAAGGGCTCTTATTGCGGTATATCCAGTGTAAATTCTTATTTTTGCTGCAATGAGCTGCAGGAGCGTCTTGACGGGCTTTGTCGAGAATGCCGACACCACCAGGCTTTTGGTGTTTCACGATGGGAAGGACATCACAGCGGTGAGACGCCCCCCAAGGGTGTAATAAAATCTTGGACTTTCTTGTGAAGCTGTGGTCTATTTTTCGAAGAAGAATACCACCACTCATACGTGTTCTGCTCCCAACAGGCATCCAAGCCACCATCCAAGCCCAAGAAGAAGATGGTTTACTTCATTAAGATCTCAAACGTCGTTCTGGACAAGGACAACATCAGCCGGATGGTGCGATATTACACTCCCATACTTCCAGTCGGCAATTTTTGTCTGAGACCATGTTATTTATCAGTCCTGCAAAGGCCCAGGCTGCCGCTAATGAAATGCACTGCTCAGACATAAGGTGCATGTTTTCAATATTTTGATGACCACTGCGGGCAGCGCCGGTTAATCAAATCAGCCCTTGATAGACTAGAATCCGACCTTGACTCAGCTCTAGCTGTAAATATGTTCAATCCTCCTCTCCTCAGACAAAACGGATGCCCAGGTGTTGTGCGGAGACCTGGGTGAGTCGCCTCTGGAGGTGCTGAGCGCCTTCAGCTCGGAGGTTGCTCTGCCAATGCTGCGTCAGCAGGTCACCCGCGGCGCATGGCACAGTGCTGCCGCCCTGGAAGTCACCCACAGCCTCCAGGAATTTGCCTCGAGCGGTAAAAATCCCCCTAACTTGAGCATGCAATCTTGCCATCAGATGTTGCTCATGTCATGAGAGGCAAGCTCTCGTACTTCATACAACAGCGACAGAGCAATCTGCTGTGCAATGCAATTCATAAGTCATTCCTTTCTCTGATGGCAGCCTTGCCGACCAGAAAGCCAACACGCCATTCCTGCCATGTAATGTACAGCACTTTCTGTTGCCCAACCAGGCATGTGTTGTCGGGTATTGTACAAGGACCCCAATAAGACTGACACCTTGGAATTGTCCAAATTTCGTATTATCAGAAAGGTAATAAGAGCCGTTCAGCACAACGTCAAAGCCCTATCTGATGGATTTCAACATCCCCGATCAGGCTGTCCCCTGTACATGGCATTTGTGACAAATGGCTGCACACGTCGAAACTTATTCTATGGCACGGAGGTCCTAACCGGACTGTTCTGCTGCAGCGTACATTGCCCTGGGGCACATGAAGGGTCAGAAGCTGCTGCCGATGCCCGCTTCCTGGGTGAAAGCAACGCCACCTGCCAGCGGCGCATCCACCCCGGTCCCTGTGACTAACGAGGAGGTTCACTCCATAGAGGCGGCTGTCAATGGCTGGATGTGCCTCATCAAGGACGTCCTGGGTGCCACCTCTGAGTCTAGCATCCAGGTGACTGCTCTTTCAGAGGTACCCTTATACCTGCAAAAGTCATGCAGCATGACATACTTTTGCAGGACTGAAAGGAATGTGGGGTCTGTGGCCAAAGCACAATGCTGGATGCATCTTGTCTGGACAGCGTTGCAGCCTATTTGGCAAAGTGTGGTACTCCATAGTTCGGTGTCTGCTAGACAGATCATCAACACCCAGATGGGATATCTGTTTCAGACTGCTTCTCCTTCTTCCAGAAAGTCCCTACTATTACTGAAAGACTTTTCAAAGGTGAACCTTGGCATTGTCTGAGTGTGTGAATGTCTGCAACCCACAGCAATACTGATTCTATCTGAACTGCAAGATACAGGAGATGTCAGACGCGGGACCATTGGCTGAGCTGGACTTCTGGGCAGCTCGGGCAGCCGATTTGGTCAGCCTGGCAGCCCAGCTGGGTAGCGAGCGAGTGCAGGGCCTTGCACACAAATTGGAAGTCGCCGGATCCACATATGCGCCCGCGCTGCAAAGGTGCGCCTGCATTACTTGAGCGGAGAGTACTTCGACCGTGCTGCCATCATGATTGGTTGGCCAGAGAGTATCACCTTAGATCTCATTGAGAGTCGGGCTGAGACAAAGGAACTCCCTATGCAGCCCGCATGAAACTACCTCAAACAGAGTCTGCAAGCACAAACCTCAGAATGATAAGCTGCTGCAAATACTGGTTGCCACAGAGCAAAGCTGGACATTTACACAGCATCGTGCTTGCTCTGTCAATCTTTGTGTTTCCTGGGCTGCAGGCTGGTGCAGGAGGTGGAGATTGCTCGTGTGGAGGCGGTCGACAACGCCAAGTACCTGGCGCCACTCCGCAAGCCGCTGCAGCGCTTCACTGAGAGCGATGATTTCAGTGCCCTCCCTGACAAGTTCAAGGTACTGTTCACAGAATCATGATTTTGTGACAATACCTCTCTGTCCTGGTGCCGTGAAGGTGAAAGTGAACATGTTGGTACTAATGCATTGCCTATGTTGGCTTCAGCACATGCTAGGAAATATACAACTGCGGAGCATTGCGCATTGAAGCAGGTAGGACAGCCTGCATGCTGACTGCAGCCATCAGCTGAGTAGTGTTGTTCCATGCGTTATCATGTTATTATTGTGTATGACATGGGCGGGTGTGCGCAGGGGCTGTTCCACATGCTGCTGCTGGTGTGGCAGCACAGTGGCCACTACAACACTGCCGGCCGCATGGTGCCCCTGCTGCGCCTCATCATCGACAGCCTCATCTCCCAGGCCCGCAGGAACACGCCAGGTGCGTCGCTTCTCTTGCATGCAAGTTTTGCGCTCTCAGATCGGCAATTCTTGGCCAGGCCAGATGCTCGTGGTGACATCACTCAGTGTTGCATGCAACAAGCTGCTGCATGCAGATTACTTGCCTGTTGTGTTGCTTGAATTATGCATCTAAGCAGGAGCTAGACAAAAGAACTATTGAGGAAGACATGGATACCGGTTGCTTCTGTAGTGTAGCTGGTTATCACGTGTGCCTAACTCGCACAAGGTCCCCGATTCAAGCCCGGGCGGAAGCAATACTTTTTCTTCACATCTCCAGCCTCAAATAGCCATGGTCTATTTTATTTTGAAAGGGAGACGCAGATTCAGACCACATTGCCCTGTTTCACCTCTTTTGCTTTTCATGTGCGCCAAGACACTGGACCTGTATCGTGCATACCATATAGGAGGGGTGAGTAATACGCCTACAATGCATCTAGCAACACGGCTGAAAGGGTATCTTTCATCTATTTGACTGAGCAAGAATTTGTTGGCCTGCAGGGCCGGAGCTGCTGCAGATGGATCCGGCGGACGCTGCCGAGAGGCTGCAGGTGTCTCTGCGCGTCCTGGCCGCCTTTACTGCCTGCTACAAGGACTACAAGGTCTGACGTGTCACCACTATAGTTGATGCATGCAACGTCACCCCTTGCCATGGAATGCTTTGACAATGCCTGATGTGTTAAAAAATAGCCCGCTCCCTTACATGATGTTATCTGATACCAATAGCAGGCATGCAAAGGCATGCCTGGCCCCTCCTATGGGCATCAACAGTTCGAGCGGTGATACCCAGGCCATCTGCAGAATGAGCTCAATACCTCCACTTGAGCACCATACAGTATATCTGACGACGCCCAGGTGCCTCAGACATCTTGTCGGACCATTGTGCTAAGATATTCAAATCAATTTAAATGCTCACCTGCGCTGTGTGCTGGAATGCAGATCCGCAGCTTGACGGCGACGCCGGAGAACCCGTGGCGCTTTGGCACGGCGGCGGTGTTTGGGCACCTGCATGTGTTCCGGCAGCGTTTGAGCGACCTGGCCGACATCTGCACCACTGCTGTTCAATTTAGCCGCCTCGAACGCATTGAAGTCGGCGGCTCTGACGTGAGTGAACCTCTTTCTTCAGAGTGCACACAGCTTCTGCCCTGACGTATGAACAGATCTTGAACACATGCCACATGCGGAAGCAGTTCAATGTTGATGGCTGAAAGGTTTTGGCCTGAGAAGCGCCCGGTGGTGGCATGAGCACAGCAGAGAGAAGTCATGTCTCTCCCTACACCTGGTGATAATCACCTGGTAGTAAGCATGCATCAGAGGAGAGGAGAGGACTTAGAGTCTCCTGGTGTGTCTTTACCTTGGTTGATGAAATTCGAACATAGACCAGGTTCGAGAAGGTTGCCGTAGAAACGCTGCTGCAATGCACCTGGTCCTCATGGATATGACAGGCATGCACAGAATTATTTAGTACAGTTTTATTATATACAACGGTATTGTGTATAATTGCCATCGAGCACATGTGCTGGTGCAACAGGGCAAGGCGTTGACGCAGAACCTGCGAGTCATCCACGGGGAGGCGGCGGCCGCATTTGCGCGCGTGCAGGCGCTGCCGTACGACCCTCTGGACGCGGCCGAGACGGGCTTCGTGGCCGACAGCGCCGCGTACCGGGCCAGCCTGCAGGAGCTCGAACGCCGACTCGCCACCATCATCTCCCAGGTGGGCATTCATTTATTTTCGCTTGTGCGTGGGTGGTGGTATTTCAGCCCAACACGGTGTCCGTAACCCAAAGGCAAAGGGGCCCCACAGTCTCTTGAGTACTGAGAAAGAGTGCTCTGCATGCTGTAAAAGATAGCCCATGCTTGAGGTCGTTTGGTTGCCTGAGGCCAGAGGATTGCCTTCCTTCCGCAATTTACGAGTCTCAAGCCATCAGGGCTGTTGGAATTTAGTGGCTAATGATCCAGTCTGTGAGGCCAGAGCAGGCAATCTGTATGATGCCACTACACAGCGCAGGATCACAACAGAACACTTTCAAAGCCTCTTGTCTTGCACACTACATCAACCCTTTGCGTGACATAAAAAAAACCAAGGGTCCTGCATGCTCGATGTGAAGAGATGCATGCATGTGGGCAGGCGTATGATCAGAGCGGCTCGTTCGGCAGCGCGTTCAAGGCGCTGGAGGGGTTTGAAGGGTTGCTGGAACGCACGCTCATCGCCTCAGACGTGCGCCGCAGGGCCTCCGCTCTGCTGACCACCCTCACCATCGACCTGGCAAGGGTGACTGCTCTTTACTAAGGCTTTACGGTAGATGATTATATGTAATATTATAGAGGGTTGTAGGTGATAAGGTAGAAAGTACAGGATCGCACATGCAAAGATCATTGGTGTTGTGATTCCAGAGAAGCTGGCATGGGCAAGTGCTGTGTATGGTATTTATCAGAAAGTGATGTCTGGGTTGCAAGCACCAGGTTTGCTTGGTCAAGACCAAGCATGGTGTTGCTTTGTGATGAGTGTGCTGGGCTTGTTTTCAGCCTGGATGGGAGAATGGGTCACCACTGTGTGCAGCCCAGATGCAAATGTTTACCTAAATACCATGATACCATAATCCACTAGCTGCAGCTGGTCTGCAGACGCACCTTGTCTGTGACAGGAACTTGCGTGCAATGATCATAATATTTTGAACAGAAGAGACTAGGTGGGACGGAAGCTGGGCATGCATGTGTAAGGGAAGGAGCTTTTGCATGGCAAGGAAGCAGGATAGTGCTGAGGATCGTCGGGGCAACAATGCAGGTGTCGCACGAGTTCAGGAGCAGGAAGGATGCGCCAGTGCTGGGGAAGAACGCTGCGCCGCACTCTGGGGCTGTGGCGTGGGCACATGGCCTGCGTGACCGCATTACAGGTGGGGCCTCATCTACGGAAGAATATACCTGTAACTGCTTGTTTTCGATCGTGAGGACGCACGGCATACAGCAGTCCATGAAAAGCGGTATATGCAGTCAAGTCACATAGAAACATTCATAAGCATTGTCATGAGCTGGCAGTGAGCGGATTGGTGCGCACAGTGTATTTTGGCTAACTCGCATTTTCAAGTTAAATAATTTTGTGGATGGGACAGAATTTTTGCACTCAAGGAAGGTCTGGACAGCCCTCAAATGCATCTGTATGTGTGCACAGAGCCCATGGAGAAGGCTAAGGCGCTCGGCAAAGCAGCGCTGAACACCGAAGAGGGCCGCAGGGCGAGTGAGAATTACACCAAGCTCATGGCTGAGCTGGCGGCGTACAAGGCTGCCACGGTGGCGGACTGGTGCCAGCTGCTGTCGGACACCTCTGACCAGAAACTGAAGCAGCCGCTTCTCAGGCACGCACTGCCACCCTGCCAAGAGTGGATACTACTCTATTACTTCTGCTCTCTGAGAGTTCCCTAGAAGTTTTGCTCAAGCTTTCCTGCCAGCTCACCTGCCATGTCTGTATTGAGCCCTTCCATGTTGAAATAGTTCCAAACATATTTAAGCCGCTGCCTCGCAAGACTTCTCATTGGCGCCAGCTGCCATTGACTGCGTTTGACAGGGTAGCCATGTCTACATTTCTACAAACATGTCTCCGTATTTCAGTGGATAGCAGGCAGCTGAAAGTGGCGTGTTGCGCTGAGACACAGGATTGAGGCGGCGGATGGGTTGCCGCAGCTGGCGGTGAACTTTGACCCAGCGCTGGTTCGGCTGCTGCGCGAGGTGCGCTACTTCCTGCTCCTGCCGCAACTGCCCGCCGAAATCCCCGCCAACGCCCTAAAGGTGCGCGTCACGCCTGCTGTTTTTAATAAGTATAGAGTACTTTATTTTGGGTATATACTAAATTTACCCTAAAAAATCCCTCAAAAGGGACAAATTTGTAGGAACAAAATGTACAGACGTTTAAACACTTTAATTTCAAGTCCTGCTTATCGTATTACTCTATGCCTTTTCAAGCCATGTGAGGTTCAGTGCAAAGTGTGATATACCAACCACAAGAAAGCAAGAGTAGCTGGACGGTTCTCACATAGTAACAAGTGACGTGTGCGTGAAGTCCTGTACAGCTCTTCACCGCAGGTCCCTACAGAGGCTGACTGTTTTATTGTCACTCAGAACAGTTTCGCTTGTCTGTGTGTGCTGCTGGCACATATTTGCAACATGAAAAGATTGAAGCTTAGCGCATGTGCGCGCAGGTTCACGAGCGGTCCGACAGTTTCCGAGCGCAGATCAGCGCGCTGGAGATGATCTGCCACACCTACAATGACATCCAGCGCACAGTGGCCCCCGTAGAGAAGCCCCTGGTGCAGGCCAAGCTCGACAGCGTCGACGCCGCTCTTCAGAACGGCCTTGCGGTGAGTCATGGATGCACTTGTCAGCTTGTGTACTTGGCATTGGGCATGCATATGACTGGTACAGCAAGTGCATAAACCGAAAAGATAGGAGAGCATTAATGCAGGTGTTGCTTGGATTCTTTGATTTTAAAGGATTGGAAAGCGTCTAAGAACAGCAATACTTGGTATATTGAGGCAGTAACTCTCAGCCCAGGATACTGCCATGCAGTGTAAAATTTTGGCTCCACAGAATGTAGAGGATTGTGCGATACCCGATTAATATCCCTTGAATGCAGGTCCTCAAGCAGCTCACTTGCAGAACAGGTCAGCTGATGTGGCGGCGTGCATGCATGCACAGGTGCTGACATGGAACTCGCACAGCGTGGATGAGCGCATCAGCGAGACAATGTCATCGGTGCGTGAGCTGGACGAGCTGCTGAAGAGGATCAAGGGAGTTGAGAGACGTGCGCACGAGCTAGCGGCTGAGTGGTCCGCGCACAGCCTCTTCGAGCGCCGGGAGGGGCAGGTGCGATCCATGCTCATCAGTACACAACCACACAACCACTCACACAATCCGTTAGTTATGATAGAGGAAAGGGAGAAAAGGTAGACTAGGACACCTGTGCAGCTGTAGACCTGCATCTCTGTATGGTACTGTGTGCACAAGCAGCAGCAGCAGCGGAACACCTGAAACTAGCAACCTGACTAGGACCAGCAGCTCCCCAAAGTAGAGACCTGGCAACCAGCATGAAAGCACCTATTAGAGAAATCTCAGCCATGAAAAAGGTATCTATCATGATCAGGGCATGGCGCAAGACTGAGGGGAGTCCATGACTTCCCTGTGCACCTCGTTTCACGATGGGGGATTCTGCTGGATTAAAGGATTGGATCCTAGGGAGCGATGCAGTGAGTTTTGGTCCTGTGCATTCTTGTTATTGACAATTCGCTGTTCCTGCCAGCGGCAGGGTGGATATGCAGACAAGATGTAGGTAACAGCTGGCACAAAGACTGCCCCCTGATGGACTCGCCAGACCCAAGCACCTTATTGTGCATGTTCATTTCAAAACGCCGAAGCTGGATCGTTTATGCAGGCTGTCATTCGGGGTTTGATCCTTTTGCCACACTAACTGCCTTTTCCAGTAGGGAAGTCACTTATTTTCAGAATTGTCCAGAGACATTCGGAATTGTTGTCACTGCAGGTGCTGTCCTTCAAGGAGTTGCGCGCACAGTTCAGCGTCGGGTTTGGAGCTAAGAGCGCTGGGATCATCGAGGGTGGCCGCGAAATGGCGCGGTTGATGGCCGATACGCTGAGCGCGCTCAGCACGCTGGGTCGCGCGTCGCCAGCCTGGACCTCGTACACCGCCCACATCGCTGACATCATCGTCGCCGGGCTGCGCAGATGCGCGCTCGTCTCTCTGCGCTACCTGCGCTCCCTGGTGAGCAAGCCGATACTGATACCCATGTTTTTATCAGGCAAATAGCATCAATATCATCCAAGTAGATCCAAGAACTGCCGTCGTGTATGAGTGAAGCTGCTTCAGATTTTGTAGCAGTGTGGCAGATGCAGTCTGCCACCCAAGAAGCAAACTCAGCCGCATGTGCTACATACATTCTGCTGGCCTGCATGCGACTTGCACACATCATGGCTGTCCTAAAATAGAACTTCTATTCCAATTGCATACATTATGCAGACGGATCAATACATTGCGAGCATCAGCAACTTTGCAGCTGCTGCTCGCAACATCCTCTATCGTGTCTTGCAGCCACCTCCAGGAAACACCGGAACCAAATCCATGACAGCATGCTCAGACTGCTCTGCAAATCAGTTGCAACTTCAATACTGCAGGTGGAGCCGCAGTTATCTCAGAGGGAGGGGTATGTGCCACTGCTGGAGGTGAAGCTAGAGCTCTTCGAGGCTGAAATTCGATGGGTCCCAGAATTGGATATTAGTGCCAAATCAGGCGTCCATTCCATGCTTAACGACTGGCTGCATGCCTTCTGCGGTGTGGGCGGATTGGTCAGCTGTTTCGACGGAGACGAGGGCAAGTGCACCTGCTTAAGCTTTCCAACAACCATTGACATGCATGGTTTTATCCTGCGGGTGCTATCATGCAATGCTGACAATGGGTGCCAGCACCAATCATATACATGACAGCATGGATAGCCAGCATGTTGCCACTTTCAGTCTTGATGCAGGGCTCTCCACATCAGATGACTGTTAAGCAAACATGAAAAGTTCTCTCTCTTGCCGCAGGCAATTACTCCAAGGGGGTTGAGGAGGACGGCGCAGTGACAGATATTAGTCAGCAAATCCTGAAGGATTTGGCGGCGGCTGAATCAAATGCTGAGCTCTTCCGGACACAATTTGAGCGCTTTTCACATCTTTGGAGTACGCCTATGCAAGCGTCATTGCAGGTGCCCTTCTTTACTTTTCAATCCAAAACTTACTGGGTGCCTATTTAGGATATTTCCAGTTCCACAGCAAGACACAGCATTAATGGAGTTGGCTGCTTTTGCTTTCTACATTCCGCCATCACCTGGCATGCACAGTAGACAGTACTGCGTAGTTCTCATCTGCCTTTGTGACGCCCATTTGAAGGAAGGTTGCATTTGTGCTTGCAGGAACTTTTACAAGTGGACGCAACACCATCTTCTAACGCAACCCATGCGGCGCCGTCACTAGGACAGTTTGAGACCAAGATTGCGCACTTCCGAAAACTGGAGGAAGAGATAAATGCGCAACCCAGCTTGCTCACTGTCGGCTATGTGCGAGCGGACGCACGGCCATTGAAGCAAACGCTTTTTGCTTGGCTGTCCAAATGGATCTACATGTACACGGAGTGCCTACAAGAGAGGGTGCGCTACAGTGTGCAGCTGGGTTTGCATACCGCTGGTACAGATTTTGGGCAGCCTGGGAACTGATTTGATACATTCATATGGGATGTTTTGGGCTTGGAATCATATCAATTCGAACAATGTGATCCGTGGCTTCAAAAGAAAATTGTCAATGAAGTTGGAAATTGAGCAGGTGTTGAAGAGCACACAAGAACTGTACGCCTTCATGGGAGATGCCAGCGCGACACTCGATGTGCATGTAGACCCGCCCGAAAGCGCCGAGTTCAAGGAGCAACAAGAGGTAGGCATAATTGTCAAACTGCGAAGGATCGTCAAACTTCTTTTCCTTATGGCCGAACTTTGCGGTATGCTCTTGTGTGGCACCGAAATAAAATATAAGGTGTCCAAATTTGAGCTTTAAAGAGCTTTAAGGATGCTTTGATGCTATTGTAATCAGTTGTCATTGACGCCAATTTGCATTCCAGATGCCGCGTCATTCGCCTTTGTACATGATTATGGCAGCCATCTGCAACGTGAAGAAGCGCACCGAGCGAACCGAGGCCAGCTTTGGGCCATTGCGAGACACTGTAAGTCTTGCAAACATTGCCCATTATCTCCAACTCAGTTGGCTGTACAGGCTCTAATAATCTCTAATAACACAGAAAGGGGTGTGTCAACGTTTAAAGTTTTTGTAATCAATGTGAACGGAGTGGAGGGGCGGAATCAAGCTTTTTGTAAACAGTCGATTTATGTGTGTGCAGGTGGCATTGCTTGTACGTTACAATATTAGCATGAGCATAGAAGTTGCACGGCAATTGGAAGAGGCGCCCGCCGCTTGGAAGGCCCTCCTCAAGAAAATGTTGCAACGGTGCGCGCCCCATGTGATCCTCCCAAGTTGAGCCGACAATCCCATGATTCTCAATTGGTGCGCATGCGTGAAGTATGAGCCTGTGTAACCATGGCCTTTTAGTCCGCTTGCAAATAGCATAAGCCAGCTGGTTAATGCCAAAATTCAATCACAATTACAACATGACAATGAGGCTCTACATATTTTTGCAGGAAGGAAGAATTGGGATATTTGCAACAAGCAGAAGCTATTAAGATCCGTCGCATTAGCGATGGCTTCCAACAACGTGTGGACACATTCCGCGCCTTCTTCCACAAAACCGCTCCTTTCTCCATAAACGGAAAAGACCTTTCTTTGGATCATGTACGGTCCCTCTGTTTCTAAAACGACAGAAGAACAATGAACTGATATGCGAAGCCCAAGAATGCCAAAATTGATACGAAGATCCTTCCAATCTTTGCATGACATACTTGACATGGCATGCTTTGCAATGCCATGCAATGGAGTTCAAGAAGGTGTTCAGTGAGGTGCCTTTGCCCAAAAGTTGTGACTGAGACATTTGCAAAAGAGATGTTCAATAGCAAAACTACCTTCCCACCTATTCCAGGTGGCGGTAGCATACTCTACCATAGATGCTTTTGAGGAAAAGGGCGTTGAAGACTGGCCAAGCGTGGGTGCCATGCTGGCGGAGGCATCAGTCATGCGTGAGAACCAAGAGCTATTCGAGTTGCATGTCTCCGACTACCTCCCGCTCATTCGATGCCAGGTATCAAAATTTATCCATATTTTCTTGTCGCTAATACTTTGCGACCATATTGATCAAGCAGGCAAGGCGCCTCCAAAAATATTTCCAAGGTTGATCACCTCAGAGTCTAACCGTTCATATGACATGAATGCATTTGGCTTCATCTTTCTCTCGTATGCCTTTTGTACTGGATTCAAAAACCTATCCAAACTGCCCTCATTGCATAATTGACAGGAGGAGCTGAGTAACTTGAAGTCTTTATGGGGGATGGTGGAACGGGTGCTAAGCACCTTTTGCAAGTGGTATGTAACACTTTGGGACAAAATTGATGTGGACCAACTATTAGAGCGTTGCAAAGCCCTTGCCAAGGATGTGAAAACTCTCAACAAAGCTGTGCGCCTCTACGATGTTTTTAGGTGTGCGCTAAATAACATTATCACAATAAGTCACGCAATGAAACTACACTCCTACAGTGCTTTCAAATCAACCAAGCACGATTGAAATTTGCGAACAATTTCTAAAGGTCTCATGCTTTTGCTGACAAAATGATGAAACACGAGATGTGAAAGCCGCCATGTTTAAGACTGATGTACGGATGCATTGCTGTAGGAATCTTGAAGATGCCTTGAAGGCAATGCAGACTTCTTTGCCGCTTGTGAGTGAGCTGCACCACCCTGCCATGAGGCCGCGCCACTGGAAGCAACTCATGAAGGTTAGCATCCTCCCCGCTTCTAAAGATGTTGCTGCACTACGGTATAGAGGCTTGTAACAATATATTGATATTGAACGTACCCCAGATTGCAATTTCGGCCAATGTCCCTTGAGAATTGTTGCATTGAGCCACGGACAGTGTTTAAAAATGTGTAATTGTGTTCTTCAGCCCTAGGACCCTTGCTCATTAAGTACCATGGATCACGTAAGCAAGAAGAAAGTTTCATTCAATAAGACATGTTAATAGATTTTGATCATCATGTTTGTGGACTCAATCCATCAATAAAAAAAGATTGCTTGTTTTCTTTCGCGAGTTGTACTCATTATTGCAAAATAATCCATATGGCAGGCAACGGGCGTGCACTTTGTGATGGACGGATCTTTCAGCCTAGGGGACTTGATGCGTCTGGGTTTGCACCAATATGTGGACGCTTGTAGTGAAACTGTGGATCGTGCCGAGAAGGAGCTCACTATTGAAAATGCCCTCAAGAAAATTGAGGATACATGGGCTAGCCTTGCCCTTGCCTTCACTCCCTATCAGGTCAACTTCTCCCTATTATGTATAGTTCGAAATATGCAATTGGATTAGAATTATTCACAATAGCATGCTTTGAAATGGTGCATACTCAGCGGTGCATTCAATTTTTTGCAGGCTTCGGCAATTCTAGAGCTTGTTGTGGATGAGACCATCACCGAGACGTTGGAGACCGACAATCTTGTTTTACAAAATATGAGTAGCAGCAAATATGTCCAAGTATGTGTTTCAGCCAACCTAATATATTTGACGTCGTTGCATTATTGTAGGCACCATTGCATGTTTACTAATGACACTCAATACAAAAATTTGAAAAAGGAGCCATATGATACAGCATGGTATTCGCTCTATAGTGATGTAAGCGGTATCCAAATCCTACCATAAGCGATTTCCACATCTTTTTAGGTCTACATATGCTCACACCGAGTATGGTACTTGAACTGGATTGGAAGCTTACCCTCATCACCATCTTGATGACAGTAGGCAACATAGGATTCAATGTGCAGGCCAATGAGTTCTTCTTGGAGAAGGTGTCAGTGTGGCAACGACGCCTTGGTGCGGTGGATGCGGTGCTAATGACCTGGATGGACGTTCAAAAGAAGTGGCAAGCGCTTGAATCCATCTTTGTGGGATCCGCAGATATCCGTGTTCAACTACCCGATGATTCCAAGCGCTTTGATATCATCAATGCCAACTTCCAGGTGTGCACCTTTTTTATAAATGTATATTTGTTGAGTTATTTGTCCTCATTTGGTGTCCGGGCTAGAGATCACAAAGCCTAGTGCACATTCGATGGCACATGCATGCTGCATGCTCAATTGTGACAAGATTGTCCATGGTGAATCAAGAAAACGGCAAAGTATACATTGGAATCTGCATCAGGCATTATGAAGTCCTCCCTAGGATAAGAAAATGGGCACGAATGTATCCTTTAGAGACGGTTGAACCGCAGAGGTTGACATTCGCTAATGACATGGCACAGGAGCTTATGAGAGATGCACCCAACATGACAAATGTGGTGGAAGCATGCAGCAAAGAAAATCGACAAGTAACGCTAGATGCATTGTTAGAACAACTAGAAATGTGTGAGAAGGCTTTGCAGGTATGGTAGGATGCATACACAATCTATGTTTGTTTATTTACCAGTATGAGTATGTCGTGGGCAAAGCAGAAAGTAACTCTATAAGATTTAAAGAGATTCATGCGCCATTGAAGGACTACTTGGAAACCAAACGCATTGCATTCCCCCGCTTCTACTTTGTTGCCCCTGCGGATCTTCTTGACATCCTATCTAAAGGCTCAGATCCGCAAGCCATCTTAAGGTGATGAATCTTCATTATTTTGTACTGATTTATTAGTTCTAATAAAACGGGTTTGATCGGCGAAATCGTTTTGCTCACCATTTCAAGCCACTTTCACAACTCACAGGCACTTGCCAAAAAGTTTTGATAACGTGCACAACTTGGAGTTCAAAAAAGACTTGACTGGATTCCCCACCAAGACGGCCATTGGGATGTATTCAGGTGATAACTTATCACATACATTCAGTGCGCAATTCAAAATACGTATGTGTATCCTTCAATTTTATAGGATATAACGTTGTTTACGAAGCAAAGTTGTATTTATCACCATAATTATAGCAGTTGTACTTCCAACTTGAAAATTTAGATGGTGAATATATGCTGCCCTGTAGATTGCTATTAATAAATTGCATTATGGCATTCAAGTTGACGCATATGCGGTCTTTAAATGCAAGTAATTCTTCCGTGTCATCATTGCAGGGGAGGGGGAATATGTTCCTTTCGCAAATGACTGTAGTTGTGAAGGCCCCGTGGAAGTTTGGTTGCAAAATGTGGTTGACGCAATGCAGGTGGGTTGTGGGTGGTGACATTCGAGCATTTGTGAAGCACTTTCCATCATGCCAGTATTGTGTGGCCGTGTTGTACAGTTGTGCCAAAGCCATAATTTGAAGTCCTTTTTTCCAAGTAATAGTGTTCAAATTTGGCCACTAGAATGTGTACATTTGACAAAACCGGCTCAATTGATTGTAATTGCTTCTTGGCACTTGGAGTAACACCCGGTGGGCCTTGCTTTGAAAACAATTTCATGATTTTGCTATTATGTGATATAATTAGCTAGTTGGTAGCAAATGTTCTTTTGTACTAGTTCCGAATACAATATCAAGACGGTTACATTCTAAGGTTGGTGACGGTTACATGTTAATTGCTCAATTGTGTCCTAACATCGCAGTTTGTTCGGTTTTTGTGTCACTCCCTTGCAGATGCCCTAGGCGACTTTTTTTCCTAGCTAAGTTGTCCGATAATTAGATTTTGATCCTTTAGAGTTTTGTCGTCGTGAATACAAGGTGTACCACTTTACATTCCAAGTGTACACAATCACGCCAATAGCCGATTGTCCGCACATGACACATCCCTTAAACCCAATTAATATGAGTTGTGTTGCTGTGCAGGCGGCACTTAGTGCAGAATTCAAATTGGCCGTCCCCACGTACGAGGAAAAACCACGCACAAAATGGATTTTTGAAAACAGTGTACAAAATACGGTGGTCGTGTCTCGCACTTTCTTTACCCAAGAAGTCAATGAAGCCTTTGCCGATATGGAAGATGGCAATGAAGTTGCGCTAAGGGTGCGGCCAAACAAATCACAACATCTCTCCTTTGAAAATCTGAGATCAATGTGCTTTATTCTCCAACTTTTGGCTTAAGTGGCACAAAGTTCACTACTTTGCCACGCTGATTTTTACAAGAAAAGCGTATTATCGCTTTATTGGCGGAAAGGTGTTGACAACATTTTCTTCTCCGCCGCGTATTTCATGCAAAGTCTTGGGTTGCATAATGCTAGGCCTGAAAAATTTATATAAATTACTTAGATGAGTATTTTGCGAATTTGGTGCACAAATAAAACATGATTTGGTGTCATGGCATATAGGAAGTGTATGAGCGGCAAGTGGCACAACTTGCGGATCTAATTGAAATAGTGAATGGGGAGCTGTCAAGGAATGACAGGAAGAAATTGATCACTTTGTGCACCATTGATGTGCATGCACGTGATGTTGTGCAACGGCTCATTGACGAACGTGTGGAAAATGGTGCCGCGTTTCAATGGCAAAGTCAATTGCGGTACACACAACACGACAAGACAAAAGAATGCCAGGTTTGCTCCTCAAATCACCTGATGTACCGCTCGCCTAATCTGGATGTAAATATTGCGAAGAAAAATCTAGTGATTCGAATACAATTTCATCTTGTATTTAGCAGCAATATTTCATGTACACGCATATACCCATCCAATTGTTTTACACCATGCAGGTCAACATATGTGATGCCGACATTTCCTACAATTACGAATACATCGGCAACTGTGGTTGTTTGTGTATCACACCTTTGACTGACCGGTGCTACATAACTCTAACGCAAGCTCAGCGATTGATCCTTGGTGGCGCTCCTGCAGGTCCCGCAGGTGAGGATCCATTTTTATCAAGATCACACTTGTGCAATGGATATTCAAACAAATATTAGATTCCAGTTTGTTCACTGAACACTGGCAGTGTTCCAAACATTTTTCTTGTTTGTGAGTCTGTCTGTGAGTGCAATCTCCTTGAGTGCAATCTGCGTTGCACGGAGATGCATCTGTGATCCACTGGCATATGGCCATATGCATTGTACAGGCACAGGGAAGACAGAGACCACAAAGGATCTTGCGCGAGCCTTGGGTGTGCAATGCTACGTGTTCAATTGCAGTGACCAAATGGATTACAAAGCGATGGGCCAAATATACAAAGGGCTTGCACAAACTGGTGCTTGGGGTTGTTTTGATGAATTCAATCGTATCCCTGTTGCGGTTCTCTCAGTTTGCTCCACACAATATAAGGTGTGATTTGAATTGTACTTCGCAACATGAGCTTATGCATGCTAGGGTACAAAATGCAAAGTTGGGGCCCTCGTACATGCATGACATTAATGCATACTAGGATGGTCTTTTTGTTTGATGCTTTTATTGTATGAAGTTCTCATGCCCGATTAAAGTTCCGGGAGTCCCAAGCTTGATTTGTTTGCATCAAGCATATACTAATTTTGTCATGCAATGATTGCATGAATCTCCTTCGATTACACTACGTGCCTTCATTTCGAAATAATGTGTCAATAGTTGAGGCCATTATCATCAGCTTTTGTTTGGTAATGGAATACACATGTATTTTGCAGACTGTGTTGGATGCATTGCGGGCAAGGAAAGAACGCTTCATGTTTGAAGGCACAGAAATTCGGTTGAAACCCACAGTAATGGCTTTCATCACGATGAATCCGGGCTATCCTGGCCGTGCTGAGCTACCAGAGTCTCTAAAGGTAAATCATCAAGTTATACTTATATGCAGAGTGGCAGCACATATTTTGCACAACACGTAGTCGCCCAAAATGCACTTTTGTTGCAAGAGTCACGTGTACTAATACACGGAACATGTGTTTTAATGTAAAAACATGCGATTGTGAGCTTGTGCGGGGACGTACTTTTGCGTGAATAAATTGAAGAAAAGTCCACTTGTGCAAAGGTTTTCTTTGGGTGACAGGCGTTATTCCGTCCAGTGAGCATGTGTGTTCCCGATTTGAATCTCATTTGTGAGATTATGCTGATGGCGGAAGGATTTCAGCAAAGCAAGATCCTTAGCCGCAAGTTTGTCATCCTCTACAAGCTGTGTGAGGATTTGTTGTCCAAAAGCAAACATTATGATTGGAAATTACGAGCAATAAAGACCACACTCTACGTGGCGGGCGGCATGAAGCGCCAGACACCAGATCTGTCGGAAGATAAGGTAAATAGAACAATGATTCATCATGTTATAATTACCGTATATATTCTAAGAGGCTTTGCCGTGATGTGCATTTCAATTTATCTATATAATATGGGACTATAATTGACTATTCGTTTAGGATGTCTTAAACTAACGTGGCAGATGTGTGCAGGTGTTACTGCGTGCGTTGCGTGATTTTAACTGTGGCAAGCTCACTGCGGATGACACGAGCATCTTTATGGGCCTTCTCAACGACTTGTTCCCCAAGACTTTAGAGCTCGTGCCCCGTGCTGATGACCACTTCTTTAACGCAAAGGTCCACAATAGCAAATCCGTGACCTGTGTTCGCCCTACTGTCAAATGGCAAATACGAAATTACAACATTTATATTTATATTCATTGAATGTAAATAAGGGACTCTTGAGACATGCATGCATGTTTCATGTCATGCACTGCTTGAATTGATCATCATTGCGCGCATGCGCAGGTGAAAGAAGCCGCGCAAGAGCTTGGGTACCAGCCGGATGCAATATTTTGCTTGAAGGTGAACCAATTGCGTGAAATTTTTGCTGTGCGGTGGAGTGTGTTCTTGTTGGGACCCGCTGGTTGTGGCAAGACGGCCATTTGGAAGACCCTCATGCGTGCACAACAATTGGCTGGGGAAAAGACCGTGTATAAACCCATAAATCCAAAGGTGCGTTCGTACTTAGAGTTGCCATATATACCGTATGTACCGGTATATACCGTATGTGTTTTAAACTCATATGGTTTGAGGCCTCGTACGCCATTTCGAGCATATAAAATCATGTTGGAAAGATATTTTTTAGACAATTTGAAAGCACCTTTGCTTTGCAAAAGTTGCGGAGTTTCGTGATAAAGGGATTCTAGGGCCAACCTCATATCCCAACTTCAAGATGGCGTAAATCACCATTTCTAAAAGCGAATAATAACAACGTGACTACAAGTGTATTTTGATTTGAAAATTCATTGAGACAATTTCTCTTGATTGCACGCAGGCTGTAACTCGCAATGAATTATATGGATACTTGCACCCCACGACTCGTGAGTGGAAGGAAGGATTGATAAGCGTCACGTATCGTGACATGGCCAATAATAAAACGAACAAGCACCAGTGGATTTTGTTGGACGGTGACATTGACGCCGAGTGGATTGAGGTATTGCGCTTAACACTTATTTCTTCCAAAGCAAAAGCACCTTTACCTCAACAAAGCACGCAAACTGATAGTTGTCCTTCATTGGTCGTGTTTGTATCTTAATACATAAAACATTGTAAGACTCCCGTGATTTCAATGTGTCTTTCAACGTAGAGCATGAACACCGTGATGGACGACAATAAAATGCTTACTCTCGCAAGCAATGAGCGCATTCCATTATCACCGTCTATGCGGCTGCTCTTGGAGATCAATCATATGAATCATTGCTCGCCTGCCACCGTATCTCGTGGCGGTGTAATTTATGTCAATGCCGAGGACATTGGCTGGCGACCAGTGCGCACTTCCTAAACCACATTGTTCTTGCGCCTGTGATGATACTTTCCTATACAATGTTTGACTTTGCTACTGGTGATATTTCATGGGATTGGCATTCGTTCTTATCCAAATCGGTAAATAAAAAAAAAACTATTAATCGAATGGATGGTGAATAGCAGCATAAATGTGCGATTCTTTTATTTGCAGCCGGTCGAGAGTTGGCTCCAATCGCTGGATGCAACCGAATATCGACCTATCTTATCGGCGTTATTTGACAAATATGTGGAGGCGACAATGGAATATTGCCGACGCAATTTTAAGACCGTTGTTCCTTTGCCCGCCATAAACCAAGCCATGACTGTCTGTAAGATTCTAGAGGGCATCCTTCCAAAGGTGACAATGCATTACATATCAGCACCCTCTTCAACAATGGAATGCTCCCAAACCATATATTTTGGAGTTCGTCAGGGTATATGTGGTCTTCCTTTAAATTCTCATCGGGTGGCACTCTTCAACAATTGTGCATGCTAACGATTGTATTTGGGCATAGGAATCCGTGAGAGGTTTGCAACCAGACAAAATGTTGGTAGAGTCATATTTTGTTTTTGCTTGCATCTGGGCTTTTGGGGGTACAATGATGGTGGACAAGACGTGTGACTACCGCATGCACTTTTCCAAATGGTGGACGGCGGAATGGAAAACAATCGCATTTCCTGATCAGGTGAACGACCGCAATATGACCACCTTGGTTTTATTGAATGAGAGGGTCTAGCATTATTTAAAAGTATGTGAAGGCTCCATGAATTTCGGACACTTTGCATTGATTGTTTTCGTGTGATCGAGCAAGATTTGCTTGTCGCTCATCATATTTCCAAATTGACCACGGATAGCCTTCGGTAAAAATGTGTCTTAATATAATAGGGCCTGGTATATGACTACTTTGTGGATGAAAAGACGGGGGGAATGACACCCTGGGAAAGAATGGTGCCCAAATTCACTTACGCACCGGGCAATTTCTCAAATATATTTGTTCCCAACGTTGAGACGACACGGATGACGTATTTCCTCGACTCCCTTATTGCCAACAAGCATCATGTGATGTTTGTGGGCTCCACGGGTGAGGTTGCATCCTTTTGCTTCCATTAATTCTTCGGTGCAGCATGTGAAGTCCAATAGCCCCTTTTGTGCATGTGAATATTGCGCTTGAGCATGTGCCAATATTTGTTGTGCATGCATAATTTAGCATCCAACAAAATGGTGTTATACTTCATTGGAGTGTTTTGACATCACATGATTGTAGAATGCTCAATAATCATATCATTATGTTTGCTTGTCATAGGCTCGGGGAAAACTGCAATAATGCGTGAAAAGTTGAGGGCTATGGACAGTGGCGCAATGGGCTATACGACCATAAATCTCAATTCCTATTCTGATGCACCATCTTTGCAACCAATCCTAGAGCAGCCGCTTGAAAAAAAGTCGGGTGCGGCATGTGATATTTTGCTGACCATGTTGATTAAGTCAATAGCACAATATGTCAATAGCACAATATGTCAATAGCATACTATGAATGTATCCAATTGCTTGATAGGCCGCCTCATGCTAATGGTACAACCTTGCATACAGATTATACTATACGTATTGCTTAGTAGCCAAACTTTATGTTTACTATTCAACAAATCCAATGCAACCTTAGCATACAATCGTGCACACAAAAATCAACAAATGAGTATTGCAGGTGTGAGATATGGGCCACCAGGGTCAAGACGGCTGGTGTACTTTGTGGATGATATGAACATGCCTTTTGTGGACAAATATGACACACAATCCGCCATTGAACTTTTGCGCCAATCTATCGACTATAAGGGCTGGTTTGACAAGGTAACATATTCCAAATTCTTGAACATACCCTCAAAAATCCAATTCCATTGAAGTTATGGGTACCCTAAATGTTCAGGGGAGGCGTTGAATCAGTGAAGAATGCTAACATTTGATAACGAGATCCTCTTTTTATTGAATTTGAATCGATGCAAACCTTGTTGTTGTAGGTGAAGGTGATGATGAAGGAAGTGACCAACACACAATATGTGGCATGCATGAATCCCACGGCGGGCTCTTTTCAAGTGACACCGCGCATGCAACGGCATTTTGCAACCTTTGCCGTTCAAATGCCCTCTACAGACATTGTCAGGCGCGCATGACCATCGAAATCTCACAATACGTGTGTTTCTTGTAGCTGCAATGCACAAAGCAAGAAATGGGGGCCTAACTCTTCGTTCTTGCAACCGCCATAATGTCCAAGATGAGAACCTTAAAGCCACGCAAATTCAATAGTAAGCTTATAAGTTACATTGTTTGAGGTTTTAAGAGATTTTGACAAATGGCTAATTAGCACGGTTCCATCTCTTAGCTCACCGTGTGATAGTGGGACATAACGTGACAATAAATTTCACCTTGTGACTCGCAAAATTTATAATGTGTCCAACCAAAACCAATCTTGGACGTTTGTTGCGTTTAGGTCCATCTATTCAACAATAATCGAGGGGCATCTTCAACAAGGAAGTTTTACGGCCGAAGTAGTAGCACTAGGACCAAAGCTTGTGGATGCAATGATCGAGTTGCATGCAAATGTTTTGAGTACTTTCTTGCCATCAGCCACCAAATTCCACTACCAATTCAATTTACGGGAGTTGTCTGCCATTACCCAGGTTACATGCTTTTGCTCACTAAAAAAAATTACTATTTTTTCTAAGGAGACAAAAGACCCAATATATCATTGTTTAAATGCCAGACAATTCCATATTCCTTATCATAATTGAAACAACTGCTTCAAAAGCATGCTTATATATTTGAAGCATATTCAGACTTGCGTAACAATGGGTTTGATTGTGAAAGGACGGCATGCTGCCATATTCCTTGTTAAAACAAAGCTAAGTGCAATGGCACCTGACTTGGCATGGCGCCTTCACTTGTAGGGGTTGTGTCAAATGGTTGGAGAGCAGTTCAAGAACAAGGGTAGTGTGGTGAGCTTGTGGATACATGAATGTGAACGAGTTTTAAGCGATCGCCTCATTAATGACAACGATATTGCCAAATTCGATGAGTTACGCATAAATGTTACTCGGAAATTCTTCGATGACATCGCTCAGGTGAGCGTCTTCACCTTGTCATTCTCCATTCTATGGCGGGTGCATGGTTATACTTTCAGTTACGCAATTTACGCAACAAGAAACAAGAACGTCTAGGTACTTGTTCAATGAAATTATTTGAATGTATGCAAAAAGACATTGCTACATGTCTACCATGATATAGTATTACTTCAGCATCAATTTGTTATTCCTATCATGGCAACATGAATAATCCGATGTCCTACCACCTTGTAAATACTCATTCTTGTTTCTACATGTGCAACAAATGGCATGTACGTAGGTTGTTGTCGAGAAACATCCCCGCATGATGGACACATTTACAACCATAGATACGGAAGATCGGCCATTGTACGCAGAGGTGGCAAGCTTTGACATTTTGCGTGCAACACTGGATGCCAAATTGGCGGAATACAACGAGTCAAACCCTAGCATGGATCTTGTTCTCTTCCAACAGGTGAGCGTGGCAAATGTCCAAAATGTCACAACGTTATTTTAGTATGTGTTGTACGGCCTTTGTCTGATTCGGGGATGGGAACAGGCGATGGAGCATGTATGCCGCATCACACGCATCATTGCAATGCCTTGTGGCAATGCTATGCTTGTTGGTGTTGGCGGCTCAGGCAAGCAATCCCTAGCACGGCTGGCCGCCTACTTATGTGGCTACGAGGTGCGGCGAGCATTTGCAATTCATTGTCGTGGTATAAAATGCTAACATGCGTGTAGCATCCCATCCAATCCATAACAAAAAATCTTTAATGCATATATGTGCCAATGATGTCCCATGCACGCGAATAACAACGGACTGCATGCAAAAGCGCAACCCGCAAAATGTGACTTTGCATCGTATTGAGCACGTTGAGTTATTCCAGTAGCACATTCTACTAGATGACTGATAAATTATTGCATGGTGCAAGGTTTTCCAAATTTCGGTTTCCTCAACATATGGGGTGGCCGACTTCAAGGAAAATTTACTCTCATTGTACCACAAAACAGGAGTCAAGGGAACGCAAGTTGCTTTCATATTGACCGACAACCAAATAACGAACGACAAGTTTCTTGTTTACATAAATGACTTCCTCGCAACGGGCAATATCTCAGACCTTTGCAGTCCGGTGCGAATCCCTTTGCATGAGGGATAACCAAAGCACAGTTTTCCAATGACCATTACAAGCATGCCTCAACGGGGGTTTAAGTACACTTCTGCTTTAACCAAAAGAATGAATGTTGCTCAAGATTGCAAAGCACTACTTGAAATGTTCTCAAAACAATAGCCATGTTCTTTCAATTCTTCTTCTTATTATAATTATGTTCAAAATGTTTTTAATATGTAATGTAACTAAGTATATGGTATAGGATGACAAGGACAATTTCAGCAATGCCGTGCGGAATGAAGTGAAGGGAGCTGGGCTTTTGGACACACCTGGAAATTGTTGGGATTATTTCATTGAAAAGGTATACATCACACGGCATTTGAATACTTATTCTAGTTCTATTGGTAATTACCACGGTATCTTAAGTGCACACAAGAAATATAGCGAATGGTCTCGCCTAAGGACATATTTGGCGTAGGTGCGCCGCAATTTACACCTTATTCTATGTTTCAGCCCGGTGGCTGATAAATTCCGCATACGCGCTCGGCAATTTCCAGCCCTCGTCAATTGTGTTGCATTTGATTGGTTCCATACGTGGCCGACAGAGGTAAATTTTTGGAGCACCAATTCCATGTGGGCACATGCGAACATAAGAAATGTCTTGTCTTGCTTGTTCATTCGCATGCAATGTTAATGCACAAATACATGAGACACAAAAGCATATTTGCAGGCTCTTGTAAGCGTCGCCAAAAGGTTCTTGAACGACATTCCGGAAATGGACGATAATGTCAAGGACAATCTTTCACAACACATGGCTTTCGCCCATTTGGCTGTCGCGAAAGAATCCAAAAGGTGATCATGTGCATGAGGAGATGCACACATATTGCTAAACCTGGTTTCACATCACATTCATGAGATATCAACTGCACCTTTTTCACACCATGGCGGGTTCAACCAAATCTCCGCCTAATATGTGCCTGCATCAAGCTATGAATTGGACCTTGCCAGTTCGTATATTTGTGAACATATAACATTAAATAGAAGAATTATGAACTTGAAGCCAATCCAAGGCCTTGTTATGCAACTTACAGATGATAATACACTGCAGGTACATGGAAACCATACAGCGATATAATTACACAACTCCAAAGAGCTATCTAGAATTCATATCACTTTACAAATCAATGCTTGCACGGAAGCGTGTTCAACTGAAAGCCGACAAGGAACGCTTGGAAAATGGTGTTGATAAGATCGTCCAAGCTTCAGCTCAGGTGCTACCAATATAAGTTTGGACCTTCAAAACCGAACCCCTACGTATGCAACACTATAATGTCTTTTGTTTGTATGTGTTGGCGGGATCGCATGAGTTTTGCATACTTCCAATTCTATCCACATAGCATCCTAAGAGTACTTGCCAAGTGTGCGTAGGTCGAGGATCTACAAATGAATTTAAAAGAAGAACTTGTCATTGTGGAAGAAAAGAAAGCAACCACTCAAGCATTGATAGAGAATATTGGATTGGAGAAAGCCATTGTAGATGAAGCAGTTGAGACTAGCAGGGGGGATGAAGAGGCCGCGGCAAAGTTGCAGGTGTCCTAGTCCATGAAATTGTTTTTGCCAACCGGTGCTTTGAGTGCTTATCACTTGTGAATGAACATTGTTTGAGAGTGGAAACAAGGAACTTCTTGTATCATCATTAAATGTGTGTAAATTTGTCATATAGGAAGAAGTCACGACTTTTCAAGATGAATGTAGTAAAGATTTGGAAGCAGCTGAACCTGTGATCAAAGAAGCCGAAGCATCACTGAATAGCTTGGACAAAGCTAGCTTGGGAGAGCTTAAATCCTTTGGCAGCCCAGCAGCAGAAGTTGTCAATGTGGTATCGGCATGCATGGTGCTGACATCTCCAGGAGGAAAGATACCGAAGGTGATTATTTATTACTTTGTAAAACCTTCGTTCTAACATGTACGAGCATGGGTTGAGTAATTCCTCTACATTCACAGCAAATCATGTATGATATCGGTAATTCTCGATCTTGTGCTGAAGATGGCTACTTGATATATTGAGCAGGATATTGGTTGGGCTGCCGGCAAAAAATTCATGGGCAATGTCGATGCTTTCTTGAAAATGCTATTGACTTTCAACAAAGATGCCATTCCGTTACCATGCGTTGAAAAAGTTGAAAAGGACTTCATATCCAATTCAGCCTTCAATGCAGAGAACATTCGCACAAAGTCCGGCGCTGCTGCAGGCCTTTGCGGTTGGGTCATTAACATTTGCAAATACTTCCGTATTTATCAGGTGCGAATCATGTAGTGTATACTTTGAAATGCTGATTCGCTCCCAAGTATATTTGCACACTTCTCGAGTCAAAAAATCCGTAACGTGTATAATTACATGTTGAAAGCTGCCTTCTGCAACTTGAATCCAACACTTATGACACTCAATTTGGTGACATATTAGGTTGTCGCTCCTAAGCGTGCGGCACTTGCTGAAGCCAATAAGAGGTTTGGTGAAGCCAGCAAAAAGCTTTCAATCATCCGTGCCCGAGTAAAAGACTTACAAGATCGGGTTGCCTCACTTGAAGACTCCCTTATGAAGGCATGTCCTAGCACATCGGCCAAGTGCCAGTGGTATCAAATTAATAATATCCCCTTTCTAGCCATGTAGAATTTCACATGTTCTATAAGCTGATGGATTACATTTGAAATTGAATTTTATTCATCAAGGCCAACAACGCTCACCAATATCATGGGAAAATGTGTGCATTGGACTTTTGCAGGCCACAAATGACAAGAACGCCGCCATTGCACAAGCAGAGAAAACGGCAACAAAGGCCCAACTTGCAGAGCGCCTCATAAAAGGCTTATCAAGTGAATTTCAACGTTGGACAAGCACCATCAAACAACTCGCATTGGCCGAAGGTGAATAAGCCATCGCAATAGATTTCAAAAGAAACAAAGACTGGTTGAAAATATCCCAAACAACTCGGTCGAACGCAATTCATCAAGGTTATGTAAACAACTCTAAAAGATCACCTTCTCCCTTAGAAGGCTTCCCAATGAGTGCATACTACTTTTCCATTAAAATTTGCGTTTCTATTGCATGTGTTGATGTGTTTCTTGACTTCATGTTCACATGTTGTAGTAAGTGAATGAAACTTTCATTGAATGTATGGGGTCGCGTTTCGTAGGCAAACTGGTTGGCGATGTTATGCTAGCCGCCGCATTTGTGAGTTATGCGGGGCCGTTCAACGCAAAGTTTCGACAAGACCTAGTGTTGCAACAATGGCTACCGGACTTGCAAGAACGCGCTATTCCTCTAACTCAAGGAATCATGCCCCTCGACATTCTTGCAAATGATACCGAAAAGGTGCTAATAGCAACATCTAAGACTATGTGGGAATCATAGCAGTGTAAATACTTCTATGTTCTGATTTGTGGTGCATAGACTTATTTTTTATTATTTCAATGAGAAAAATGACGACTCATATCGATGTGCATTGGGACAGGCCCAATGGGCTCAAGAGGGTTTACAAAGCGACAATTTGAGCGTTGAGAATGGCGCAATCTTGTCGGCGGCGGCAAGGTGGCCGCTTATGCTTGATCCACAAATCCAAGGCATCAAGTGGATAATTGAGAAAGAATCGGAGAACAATTTACATGTCATTCAATTATCCCAGCCAAAATACATTGAAAAGGTAATGGCACCCCAATTGTTTGAAGCCTTATGAAATTAAATATTTTGCAAAATTTGGTGAATGTTTTCACTTTACTAGAATTTTCCCCCAATTATACATGCCATCACATATTACGTGTTCAGCCAAAGTTACAAACATCCCAAAAAAATTCATTGTAGTTGGACTAACATGCATTTGTCTGCAAAATAGGTGATACAATGCATTCAAGAGGGACTTCCGTTATTGATCGAGAATTTGCCTGAGGACATCGATGCTGTGATGGATCCTGTTTTGGGCAAACAAATTAGTAAGCGTGGCCGCAATCTTATCTTAAAACTGGGTGATGTTGAAATTGAATACAATCCCAAATTCAGGTGATATCATCACAACATTTTGCAATTTTTGTAAAGGCTTTCTACAAGGTTTTCATACTTCATTTAAAATAATCTGAAATGAATTATATCACCAATGACATTGATATAAATTGACAACCAAGGTTTTTCAGATTTCCATGTATTCAACTCAAAAAATCATGTGAACAGGTTGTACTTAGCAACTAAATTGGCCAACCCACATTATCGCCCAGAAATTGCTGCGCAAACTACGCTAGTAAATTTTTGCGTGACGGAAGAGGGATTAGAGGAGCAATTGCTTGCCGCGGTGGTCAAACACGAGCGACCAGATCTACAAGAGGCTGCGGCGGTGCTTGTGCGCCAGTTAGCTGATTATACTATAACACTTACTTCCCTTGAGAACAATCTTCTCGCACGATTGGCGAATAGCAAGGTGCCTTCTCAATACTTCAGTGCATTATAAAGATGTGCACGGTGCCTTTGCATGAACTATTCCTGTTCTTGAAGAAGTTCTGATCAGATTTGTTATGATTAAAGAAAATACATCTTTCATCGTATTCATGTTAGGTGTGGATGTATCTTAGAATGCTGTGTTCTTGTAGGGGGATTTTTTGGAAGATATCACTCTTATTGAAAATCTAGAGGAGACCAAACGCACGGCGTTGGACATTGCCGATAAGGTGACCTTGGCACATGAAACAAGTAACAAGCTTACCCGGGCACGCGAAGTATATCGGCATGTGGCAAAGCGGGGCGCTTCTATGTACTTTTTGGTGGATGCCCTTTCGGCATTGGATCGTGTCTATCATTACTCAATGGCAAATTTTGTGATAATCATGCAAAAAGGTGCGCGGTAATCCTTTCAGTGATGCTATTGACATATGGCGTTGTCTTTGCACTTCACAATCCATGGAGCAACATGTTAAACATACTACGGTGCAATCCTCAAGAATGGCTTTAAATGGTTTACAAGAAAACAGTTTTGCACTCTTGATTTCTAAATATATGAAGTTTGTCATTTTATGCTTAAAGTATTCTTCCGATAGGAATGGATTTTACACCGGGAGGCAAGGATGAAAGCAGAGTGCCATTGTCAAAGCGACTGGATACTGAACTCGACTTGAATGAACGCGTGCTACTCCTAGCCGAGACCATTACTTTTACTCTATATACTTACATTTCTCAGGTGACATTTTGCAAACTACAATCTCGAACACAGACTGCACCATAGAAACAATAATTGAATGTTCTTGGGCACGGGTATTCAAGAATACTTCGTGATAAGTGCACACTATAGCTATAGAGAAATAAGGATAGCAACGAACGCTTCGTGAATTGCAAGACAAGAAACATCATGATATACAACTATTTCTTTATGTTGAAAATGCATTAGATTCATTTTATGTGCGCACTTGTGTAGGGTGTTTTTGAACGGCATAAGTTGATTCTTGCAATGCAACTATGCATGATAGTGCTCAAAACAGAAAGCGAAGTGCAAAAAAGTAAATTCAATTACTTTTTGCGTGGCCCTTCCAACCCTACATCCAACAATACATTGAAGGAGTGGATACCAGATTCTGCTTGGCAAGCGATTCAATCTTTGAAGGTGAAAACCATGCTATTTCATTGAACTTCACGCTTTTGAAAAGCTAATCAAAGCTTTTCTATATCAGTTGTCAAATGATGTTCGAAAGGCTTCACACACACGCAACGCATTGTATTTGTTGAAGCTTGAGCTTGTTTTCACTGCTACCTTGACATGACGTTATTCTTGTTATTCATATTATTATTGCTTTTTTGTTTCACTGTTATATAGTGTTCATATTTAATTGTATCGCAATCACATGCTTCACCCCTCACCGGTCTGTAACACATGTGTGTAACAATGTACATAATATGTTACAACTACATTCTTTCCTCGTGTAGGACATTGATGGATATAAACACTTGCCGGATGACATGGCTGCGTCTGTGAAGCGATGGCAAGAGTGGATGGATGCCGAGCGCCCCGAAGATGAAACGCTTCCAGGTGTCATCCGACCCGCTTCTCAAATTTTTCTTGAATCAAATTCACACAATTTCGTCTTTGGTCCCTGTATATATGTTTAACAATAAAAAAAAAAGTTTCAGAAAGCCATCGTCCACCCAGGTTTCGTATAGAGACCTTACTGGAATATTACAAAATTCACGCAAAGTAACATGTTTAAGTTAATTCCACCATTAGGACAAGGCCACTTGCAAACACAAAAAGGAACCCCATGAATTCATGCGATAAATCAATTTGTGAGTTCTCCAAATGTGGCTGACATGGTGAGATATCAAAAATGTGATATTTCAACATATTAGGTGTTGCGTAGGTGATTGGAAACGATTAAGTGAATTTGACCGCCTACTTCTTTTCCGTGCCTTGCGACCCGATCGCCTCACGGCGGCAATGCGCAAATTTGTGAAGAATACGCTCGGTGTTGAATACGCCAATTCAACGCCCTTCAACCTTGAGGCATCCTTCCAGGTAGATTTTTAAAGTTTGAAGCCAATAATTGCTCATGTTTCACATGGTAAAGTCATAATCCCATGATTTATAAGATACAATTGGTTGTATATAGGGTTATATCAGGTGGCCAATAAAGCGCGAGGACGTACCACCTTAACTAAACTATCTAGAATCGGCTAACTATATTCCACTGTATTTTACAGTTGTACATATATATAATTTAACGCCATGATATTATCACACATTTCTCGACCAATATTGATTAGAAACGCAAAAACTTGGAATTGAATAAGTTTATTTGCTTGTAGGACTCCGACTCAACAACACCAATAATTGTCTTTCTATCCCCGGGAGTGGATGTTGCAGCCATAGTCAGGAGCCTAGGCCGAAAACTTGGATTCACGTATGAGAGTGGCACATATGCTGCTGTGTCACTTGGACAGGTTGTTCTAGGCTATTGCTTCACCAAAATACTATCGCAAATTGAAACAAGATGTGTGAGGCATTTTCAACGGGTTGTAAGACAATTTAAAAGTTGCCAAAATTTGTTCTCACAATTTTTGCCGTTGTCAGGGACAAGAGCTACTCGCAACGGATGAACTAGCAAAAGCGCGTAAAAATGGGGGCTGGGTCTTGCTGCAAAATATTCATCTCACGATTGATTGGACAACGGGCACTCTGGACAAACTTGTGGATAAACTTGGGGAAGGATCCCATTCAAATTTTAGGTATGCCAACTGACACGTAGGACGCAAAATAGGTGTTACGAGGGCCTATTATATTGACCTTAGAAATGTAGTCAAATTGTTTCAATATATTTCGAGGCCTTAAAGAAGCTGTCTAAACGCCCCCTTCAACATAAACATATTATATATATTTGCTTCTCCTGCAGGTTGTTTCTATCAGCTGAGCCGCCACCATTGCTTGAAAAGCCTTTGCCGGTCTCCCTCCTTCAAAATTCCATTAAATTGACGAATGAGCCTCCAGAAGGTTTGAAGGTGTTGGCATCCCCCTTGCTTAAAATGATTTTGGAGTATGTATAACTATATGTTGAAATAATGTTACGACTGTTAACCATCTCTTCCTCTTTTATTCACAACCCTTCAAAATGACATTTTTCGCCTCAAGTTTCATATAATGTGATGAAACTTGCCCCCATCGACAGAAAACAATTTGAACGAAGTTTCCGTGGATGTAGGCTAATTTCAAAAGGGCATATGGTAACTTTACAGACGACATCTTAGAAGCTTGCGCTAAACAATCTGAATTTAGAGCCATTGCATTTGCTCTATGTTTCTTCCATGCTTCCTTATTACAACGGAAGAAATTTGGTGTTGGTAATCTCCCTGGAGCAACTTCTGGTGCGATTGTAATGCACGCACACAATAAAATTGTCTGTCGAAATGCCACGATGGTAATAATTGATTATGGTCACAATGTGATGGTTTTGAGCATTAGGAACAAGCAACAATCCTTCAAAAACCAACCTAATGTCACTGAGCTCTTGCTTATGTAGGCATTGGCTGGAACATGAACTATCCATTCAACACTGGAGATTTGATATGTTGTGGGCAATGCGCTTCAAATTACCTTGATAACAATGCAAAAATTCCATGGGAGGATTTGCGTTACATATTTGGCGAGATTATGTATGGAGGACATATTGTGGAGGATTGGGATCGAAGGCTTGCTACGGCATATTTATCAAGATATTTCAATGAAGGGCTCATTGAGACGAGTGATCATTTCCCATCCTTCCCCAGCCCTCCGTCATCATTGTCTACCATTCAGGCATGCCCGATTCCCACTGCTTAAATGTGTACTAACCACATATGAGCGCAAATATTGCAGTACATGACAATCAATCACAAATAATAAGTGGTTTGGCACATTAATACATCTACGAGGATTGGTTCTTTTAAGTCTTAATCTTGGATTTGATTGCTTATAGCACCTTATATGGTTCATCCTTAGGTTCTTGAATTTATCGAAGAAAATTTGCCACCGGAATCTGCAACAGCTTATGGTCTACACCCCAACGCTGAATTGGGTTTTCAACGGCGGGAAGCATCGTACTTTTGCACCTCGTTCATGTGCCTCCAACCAAGAGAGGCAGTTCAAGAGGGTGGGTTGCGTGTGGAGGAACAAGCAAAAATTATATTGGATGATGTTTTGGATCGATTGCCTGACGTTCCCAATCTCGATGAAATTCGGAAGAGGGTCGAGGAGCTGACACCTTATACAATGGTAGCTCTTCAGGTAAACACCATACCCGGGGTCATAATTGTTCATCGACCTTTTTGCTGAATTCACCGATGCACCACATAGTTCATCTTCTACAAAATTGGCAAGCACTACAATACATACAATGCGCCTATTGCCCACTTCAAGTTGGCGTAGTTTTGCACAAGCATGCGCATCCGTGTTGCTTGTAGGAAACCGAGCGGATGGTGATTCTTCTAAAGACAATAAAATCAAGTCTTGCGGAACTGGATCTAGGATTGAAAGGCATTTTGACAATGAGTGAGACAATGGAGAGCTTGATGTTTGCCCTTTCCACTGGCACCGTTCCAAACGCGTGGGCTTTAGCCGCATATCCATCGCTTCGCCCTTTGAGCTCTTGGGTTACCAATCTTCTTGCACGAGCAACTCAATTAGCCGAATGGACGTCAGACTTCAGTGTGCCTAAATCCGTGTGGTTGCCCGGTAACAAACCCTCTTTGTATGATTTGCTTCACAAAATACCATGCACATTTGTTTATGTTTCGATAAAGTTTGATTATAGACTATCGTGCACGGATTTCGTTATGAACCTCACACACATGTTTCATACGCTAGAAAATCGAGACTTTTAGAAACTCTTGTTTTACAGGTTTATTCAACCCACAGTCGTTCCTTACAGCTGTGATGCAAACAACAGCGAGGAAAAATGATTGGCCGCTCGATAAAACGACACTTGTAACAGAGATCACCAGAAAGAGCTTCCAAGACATTGATGCTCCATCTCGCGACGGCGCATACGTGCACGGGCTTTTCCTTGAAGGTGCACGTTGGGATGGGAAAATGGCCGTACTTGTGGAATCCCATCCGAAGGAGCTTGCAACTCAATTGCCGGTATGCAACAAAGATCTCAAAAAGCACAGTTTTTATACACGAAATTATTTACTTATCAAGTGAAATAACAAATCGGCTTCTTATTTCGAATAAGCTATCATGGTCATTACCAACCAGTTGGCAACCACCATAGTGACAATTAAGTTGTATGCGTTTTGCTTGTCAGAGGCCTTATACAATATTGTAAAATATAACTGACCACGTGACGTTTGGACGTTAGTAGGTGATGCTCATTCGTGCCGTCCCAACAAACAGGCTTGATAACAAAGATGTATATGAATGCCCCGTTTATGCAACTGAGGCTCGTTTTAGACAAGAGGTTTTTACAGCTCAGCTTAAAACAAAACAATCATGGATCCAGTGGACAATGGCAGGAGTTTGTTTGCTTTTGGATGTTGTGTAAGTTTAATCCTGCACACTATGAATGGTAGCTCTAATATTTATAATCTAAGAAATATCATAGTATAACCAGTTTTATAACTTATAAACTTTCTAGTGAATAGAAAAATGTAACAATAAATAATATTGTAAATGCAACGTCACAATCTGGAGTAATTCCATAAATTGTAAAACAATGGGGCTGATGCCATGCGCATATGATTGCATTGCCAGACTCAAGCTCAAAGTCTCCTATTATTCTCCTCTAGCCTTATGCGTCCAACTTCTTGCATTTATATTTAAATATTGAAGTTTTTTGTTTGTGACCACTACGACGTTACAACTTGCATGAGTTTTGTGAAACGTGCGCCCCAAACGCGCATGATTTGGCACAAGCTGAGTATCATTGCAAAACCTAGTGTTCATAGAACAAGCTCATTTCTCACGCAAAGATCAATCTTGTTGGCACAAGCTCATTCTTCACGCAAAGATCAACCTTCACCTAAACGGCACATTATAGTTTTATATTTTCACACCTAGTGTTTTGGGGTTGGGGTGTCGAAAAATGGACCCCCGTTTTAAGGGTGATCTTGGGCAATTTCGATGTGCTGATCACGCCTATGAAGTCCTCACTTGAAAATTCGACCTCCTTGGCTCTCTATAGGGCCTCAAACATGGTGTCAGGCTAGGGTTGCATAGGTTGGGTCTATCTCTTTGGGATGGGGCCTATCGTATGGTGGAGAGGCACGCAATGGGACATATGCATATAGGGCTTTCATTTGATGCATGTCTCACCAAAAGTTACGGTGTAGGGTTTAGGGTTTTATTTACACCTAGTGTTTTGGGGTTGGGGTGTCCAAAAATGGACCCCGGTGTTAAGGGTGATCTTGGGCAATTTCGATGTGCTGATCACGCCTATGAAGTCCAAACTTGAAAATTCGACCTCCTTGGCTCTCTATAACGCCTCAAACATGGTTTCAGGCTAGGGTTTGCATAGGGTTGGCTCTAGCTTCTCAAAAGGGGGGCCTATGGCATAGTGGAAAGACTTGCAATGGGACATATACATATAGGGCTTTCTTTTGATGCATGTCTCACCAAATGTTACAATGCCGTTTTGGAGCTATCACACCTTGAAAAAAGTGATCATTTCCCTTCTAGTCTTGTGGAGCCCCTAGCTCCTCCAAAGGGGGGCCTATGATATAGTGCAATGGCCTCCAATGGGACCCACTCATATGGAGCTTTCACATGATGCATGTCCCAGAAAAAGTTGCAATGCCATTTTGGAGGTAGCACACCTTTTATGAAATCCATAAAGACCCTGGCAGCCTTCTAGAGGCTCTAGATCCTCAAAAGGGGGGCCTATGGCATAGTGGAAAGACTTGCAATGGGACATATACATATAGGGCTTTCATTTGATGCATGTCTCACCAAAAGTTACAATGCCATTTTGGAGCTATCACACATTGAAAAAAGTGATCATGTCCCTTATAGTCTTGTGGAGCCCATAGCTCCTCCAAAGGGGGGCCTTTGATATAGTGCAAAGGCCTATATGTATATGTCTATATTTAGGGTTTAGGGTTTAGGGTTTAGGGTGTAGGGTTTGGGGTTTGGGGTTTAGGGTTTAGGTTTAGGGGTTAGGGGTTAGGGTTTAGGGTTTAGGGTTCAGGGCCTAGGGTTTAGGGTTTAGGGTTCAGGGTTTAGGGCTAGGGCTTAGGGCTTAGGGTTTAGGGTTTAGGGTTTAGGGTTTAGGTTTAGGGTTTAGGGTTTAGGGTTTAGGGTTTAGGGGTTAGGGTTTAGGGTTTAGGGTTTAGGGTTTAGGGTTTAGGGTTTAGGGTTTAGGGTTTAGGGTTTAGGGTTTAGGGTTTAGGGTTTAGGGTTTAGGGTTTAGGGTTTAGGGTTTAGGGTTTAGGGTTTAGGGTTTAGGGTTTAGGGTTTAGGGTTTAGGGTTTAGGGTTTAGGGTTTAGG